GCGCAGACTTTGCATTCTGCATGCCACAGCGCTGCAGCACAGTCTCAAGGTAGGCAGTTTGGTCGAGATGAATCTCGTCGCCTTTCCGAGTAATGCGCATACGCAGGAACTCCTTGACGTCGCCTAGGTCGCGACACTCCCACTTCTTCATGAAGCGGTTCTTGAGTTTGGCTACAAGGGCCTTGTCTTTGCCACAAAATAGGGCGTCATCCACATAGACTATGACTAGGACGAAATGTCCGTCTTTCGTCTTATAGATGAAAATTCCGGCGTCGGATACAAGGCGTGTAAAGCCGAGTTCCTTGAGAGACTCATTCAGGGTGCGCCACCACGCTAACCCTGCCTGTTTGAGTCCATAGAGAGCACGCAATAGCCGGAGGACTCTGTGCTCTTGGCCTTTGACTTTAAAGCCTTCAGGCTGCTCCATGTAAATCTCCTCGTCGAGTTTACCATAGAGGTACGCATTACGGACATCGAGTCCGGAGATGTGCATGCCCTCGAGCGCAGCTAGCGCGAGTATAAGGCGCACGGTCTCAAAGCGAACGACTGGAGAGAAAACCTGATCGTAATCGAGGCCTTCAATCTGGGAGTAGCCTTTTGCGACTAGTCTAGCCTTCTTTCGACCGTCAGTTTTGACGTCGAAGACCCAGCGGTTTTTGGTAACCCTACGTCCCTTAGGACGGTCAACCAACTCATAAACACCACGCTTGCACAGAGCCTCTAACTCTTCGCGACACGCAGCTTTCCACTTCTCTTGCTCCTCTTTAGGTAGCTTCGAGATATCACGGAATGTCCATTCGCGTACGCTGGACTTCGGAGAATCTTGGTCAACTAGTGGTAGCGCTTTTGCAAGCAGCATGTTAACCAATCCTACTCCCCCTTCCCGGCATAGTTGTGCCATGAGTAACTCTTCGACTTCGTCGTCGTCAGAGCCCGAGGAGGATCCAGAAGGTTGGTCTGGCTGTGGATCAGGCGCAGAACTAGGTCCGGGAACCGGTTGCTGCCTTGACTGTGGTTGAGAGCGGGAGCTACCCGGCTCTTCTCCGACAATCTTTCTCCATTGCCCCTTCTTTTCGATCTCTTTGTATATTTCTACGGGGGTCCGTTTCTCCCCATAGACATTCCCTGGGCGGGTTACTGGCTTCCGCTCTCTCCCTGAGCGCCGCGGCGCATCATCGCGCGCTGGCTCTTCCGGAGGTTGAGGCGGCGGAACTGGACTGGGCACCCTAGGCTGCTCCTGAGCATCGTCACGCTCATTGTCCGCTCCCTTTGGAAGGTGATGAGAGGGATGATCGTTGTCATCGTCATCATAATTCTCCTGAGAAGTGGGTTGGCGACCCGCTTGGTCAGGTCTAGGTGCAGATTGCAACCTAGTGTTGCCTCGCCGTTTCATGTCCGGGCATTTTGGGAACATGAGTTCATCAAACAGAGCGTTCGATGAGGTGTAAAGCACATTATTAGGGCTGCGCATGAATCGCGCCCCATGCCCACCAGGGGCAACCCCGAGGTACACCATTAACTCAGATTTCCGAGATAGTGTATTCTGACGCACGTCTTTCGGTATGAATACATATGCGCCACACCCAAATATTCTTAGGTGCTTGATGCTGGGAGCCTCGCCATTTAACATCTCATAGGGGGTACGCCATTTGAGACGTCGGACAGGTGTCCTGTTGTAGAGATGAACAGCGTGCTCAACCGCAAATTCCCACCAGGATTCAGGTAGACATGCTTCATGGCGCATGGCCTCAGCTTTGTCCATTATCGTCCTGTTGAGTCGCTCTGCTCTGCCATTCTCCTGAGGAGTGTGCGGCGAACTTTGCAGGATCTGGATACCCTCGTCTTTCAGCATTTTGTCGAACGCTTCAGACTTGTATTCTCCCCCAGCATCTGACATCCACTTCTTAACCTTCTTGCCGTACTGGTTTTTGGCCATGGCTAAGAATTGGCGCGTGGCCGTGATCGCAGCACTCTTGTTGCGCAGATTCACTGTCCACGCATTGGAAGTGTAGTCGTCATAGTACAGGATGTAGTACCTATACTTATGGTAGGAGTCGATGGGAAACGACTTCACATCAGAGTGAATGAGCTCGAAGGGCTCTGTCGCTCTCAACGTAGATGGCGGGAATGCTTTGTTATGCATTTTCCCTTCCGCGCATCCTGGGCATATAGGATCCTCCCTAGGGAACTCTATCGAAGGTGGGAAACCCTCGGTGTGTTTCTGTGCTTGCCGTAGTACGTCCTTAGAAGGATGTCCTAGGCGGCGATGCATAGTGTGGTAATCGACAGAATAAACTGTCTGATGGATACTCATTGCGTCCTGTGAAGGCAAGGACTGTATTTCGAATATCGTTGAACCTGGGTGCCGCGGCTTGAACACATATAGTGGTTCACGTGCTCCTTGTTCATAGAGGTCGACGTGCTGCGCACCACCGCGCACTGTCATTCCTTCACGGAGGAACGTTCCCATGGATAGGAGACGTTGATGAAGACCTTGGAAGTAATAAACGGGGAATAATCTGGTCGTCGTATGACTACCATCGTCATTCTCGAAGTTCAAGAAGACTGTCCCTCGTTTTGTGCATACGGCGGAGCCGTTTGCGGTCGACAAGACGATTGGCTCACTGAGGTCCTCAATCTCAGCAAAATCATCTAAATTGTTTGAAAAATGTAATGATGCTCCAGAGTCCAACATCCAGGAGTCAGACGACTCAACCGGCTCTGGTTCATGCCAAGCCTTAGCTTTTCCCTTACATTTGGTGCACGCAGCAAAATTGCGCGAATGCCGACAACCAACTGATTTGTGCAACGAACTACTGATATATTCATTCGTTACACTGCGACTACGACTGCGAATACTACGTCTCTTTAAAGTAGACCTAGTGCGTCTACTACTACATGCGGCTGTATGAAGCGCAGGGTTAGTAGGTCGCTTGGGAATAGAAGCTGAAAGGACTGACCCAGCATCAAAGTCCTCTCCTAAGCCGGCGGCGTTAGCCAGCTCGTCGTCGATGTCATACTGACCGTCTGATCCCCAATCAAGTGGATCCTGAGTCGTAGGACCTTCGTCCTCGTCGTACGAGTTGTACGTCCCGTCCATGATTGCGTCGATCGCATGGCCTACTTCAGAACCATGACGAGAGCGTTTGGACGCCCGAGACTCTGACTCCGAGTCGGAGAGGTACTCCTCAATCCGAGCGGAATTGTCAACGACCTCAGACAATGTCGTGAGACGCTGTGAGGTGCCAGAGACGTCGATGTCTTTGGCGAGCTCGAGGGCACTCTTGAGCCACCGGTGAGCATTCTTGCTGTGGCCGGTTTTGGCGGGACGGGTGGTGACGGTGTGAGACTTGCTGCCCGAAGGCGCTATCTCGACGACTTTGGAGGTGGTAGGACCCGCTATCGACGCCTGCGAGGCGAGATGCGCATGGTCCATATGATCTCCTTGGTTGGCGCGGGACTTAACTTGCTTGCCGCTGCGTTTACCGCGCTGCTTGCCTTTGCCCTTGCCTTGACCTTCCTTCGCACCGCTGCTGCTGCTGCCATCCTGGCGCTGCTGCTGCTGGTTGAAGTTTGGTTCGCCGTGCTTACGCTTAACGGCGGAGATCTTCTTCGCGCTCTGCGAAGATGACGCCTGCTTGCCGCCTTGCTCGTAGGCAATGACGACAGACTCCCGGACGTAGTCGATCTTCATCTCCGTAAGCTCTTTGGCTTGGAGGATCGTGGTGACGACGGTGTCGTACCGGGAGGGCAGCGCATTGAGCGCTATCATCGCCCGCAGTGAAGCAGGGATGTCGATCCCTTCGCCCGCAAGCTTGTCAAACGCAGCTGCGATGTTAGCGAACGTCGGGTTTGGGTGCTCGTTCGGAGGGATCCGAGCATTGATCGCTGTCCTAAACTCCTTGTAAACACCGGCGGGGGTCTGCTTGTCATAGAGCGCCTTCAGCTCTTCCCAGAGGGCTTTGCTGGTCGTCTTGTTCTTGACAGGCGCCTTGACGGACGACGTCAGGCGAAGACGGATCGACCCCTGTGCCTTCTGATCGCGCTGCAGCCACTCATAGTAGACTGAGGGATTCTCTGTGTCCAGAGTAGGCTGGGGCCAGGTCGAATTGACAATGATCCAGACCTCCTGCGCCATGAGGAAGGCTGACATGGATTCAGCCCAGGCGCGGTAGTTGGAGCCATCGAGGATGGGGACAGCGGTGAAGAGGGTGTTGGAGGCCATTGGTAGAGGGTTTGAAGTGATAAACTCGGTAAATGGGGAATACTGACAACAATGTCGTCAGCCCTCTACTCAATGACGAGTGCAGCCTTAGAGGCGCAACCACCGCTATGGTGCATGTGCTGGGGATAGCAGCAACAGAGTTGCGCTAAGACCTGCAGCGATGTACGCGCATAGTCCCCCCCTGGCTTCAAGCCGCTTACGGCGAAGCCACAGGTAAGCTGGTGCGCACACTGAGACGCAGCCAGTGAGGCGCAGTACTCAGGCAGTGACCAGGGCTCATAACCTGTTGAGCAGGCAGCTCCACGCAGTGGTGCGCCCTCACAACTTACCTGAAAGGTTGCTGATGCTTGATGCACACGCAAGTACTTCGACTGAAGGTACTGGGGATTGAGCTATGCTACTGGGGTCCTTATATACATGAGGAGACTGCTTATCTAAGCTACTGTATAGTACGTTCCCACAACATACAAGGTAAGTGGCGTAGCCATGTGATAACACACAGATGACATCATAGATGACATCACGGACCCGGAGCTTCCCATAGAACCGGTCCGGCCTGTGATTGAACCCGGCAGCCCGGTAGGCGCCTTCCTAGTTCAACAACAGCTGGTTCTGACGCATACCATTCTAATCTGGGGTGTGCAGAAAGAAGACCAGGGCACACTTGTCATGGCGGGGTACACCGCAGGTGCTCTGTCTGCAGCGACATTCGATTGGACACGCAACATCCTGTCGAAGAAGCACTCAGAGAGCTTCATTCACAAACTGGAGCTCGCTGTTTCGTCTAGTTTTACCTTGTTTTACAACAAGATGCGTGCTGTGCTGCCAGCAGAGCTCCTTGCTGACTACGAACAGTACCTTGAGACCAATGGCTTTCCGCGCATGGATGCCAACGGAACGATGGGGGCTGGGGCTGATGGTCGTGGAGAATACTATGTGCAGAAGGGCAGCGACACCATTGTGTTTCGCCACGAGAAGCTAGCTCCTCCTGCTGGTGTCATGGGTACGAATTACGCTCGGTGAGTACAAGCGGTTTGTGATCAGGTGTTCCCGCCTCATTGACTTTTGAGGTCTATTCATTGGGAGCGTGCACCGCACAAGTACGCATATTCCTGGACGACGAACCGCACCACTGAAGTTGGTGGTCACTTCTACATCGCCACCTACGGGATCAAGATCGAGCAGTCGGCGAACACGTTCATCGCATGGCAGCCCCGCCATGCACATGGAACAAGCCTCATTGGCCACAAGCCTCCAGCCAAGAATTCCCGGCCACCGTTTGCACAACAAGGCCTCAGCTTTGTGAGTAGCATGCGCTTGGCATCTACGTGGCAGAAGTACAAAGCGAGCAAGATCTCTGTGCAGCAAGCTGTTGAGGAGTATGCTGAAGGGCTGGAGCTTGATATAGAGGCTTGATTGTTGGTCGTAACTGTAGTACTGCCAGAATGCTATCTTGAGCATGTCGGAATTTCTGGGCGAACATGAGCCCGGCTACTGATGTGAATCTGCAACTACGTGCTGTACTGTGCTTGTTCCAACATACTATTTGTAATGAAACACGCAGCAGCGCAAGCGTGCGGGTGGTCGGCTAGTAGCGACGATCACAGGCCTCAGTGCACGCTCGTAGAGCAAGACTCATGTATTATAGCATACCTAGTAGCGACGATCACAGGTTAATGAATGTATGTGAGCTATGGTATGCGGGCACGGAAAATAAACGTGTACTCACCCTCAGTGCACGCTCGTAGAGCAAGACTGAGGGTGACCGAACGAAAGCAGCACGGTATATCTGGCAGACGGGACAGGGACAGGAACGAGAGTAGTACCATAAATGGTAAGTCAGATGATAACGCGATGGCGGGTCAACAGAAGAACGGCGGGACGGCAGGATCATGATGGCAGTACCGTAAGAGTCCGTGATAAAAAAGTCGAAATGGTATAGTAAAGCCGGAGCCGGGCGGACGTACAGATTGTATGCTCCAACAATTTGGGAACATATACATGAGCTGCACAGTAGTTACTGTGCTGATAACATCCAAGCCCGGTCTAATGTGCAGGGATTTGCATGCTGTAGGGCGAGCTCACGAATGGTGAGGCGATTCCGCTGTTTGATGGCTTCATCTAGAAAGAAATCATAGCGAGCCTCGCGCATCTCCCGCACCATGGACTGAAATCCTCCAAACCATGCATTTGTCATCTCTGCAGCAGAGGAATTGAAGCGCCATTTCCCTCCCTCGTGTAATTCCGGCCACCGTGCAGGGTTGCAGTGAAGACCGCAAAACTCGTCCGAGTCCTTGTGTTTGCTCTTCATGTGGAAGACATCAACAGGAAGTGCTGAACTGTTGAAATATTGATCACCACTAGCCAATAAATGCTTCTTGAATTGGCAGGCATTATCGTAGAAGATGGCACGAGGAAGCGAGCGCTGGGTCGGGAACAAACGGTGCAGGAAGACCTAGCCACGATCAATTGTCTGAAGAATGGGATCAAATATAAGGCCTACTTTGATTCCGCTTACTGCTTCTGACCCGTACATAGTCATCCGGCCCAGGACAACTCCGCAAGTGGCAACACAGAGCTGCTCGTTGTGAGTCCACCGCCGACCAAAGCGTGCGCGGAGCTTCGGTCCGCTCTGCCCATCGTCTTTGATATTGTCCTCTTCGGCGGCATCCTCTTCATCCATATTGAGCACATCATCTGGGCTATGCTGTCGCTGTCCCAGTCGCTCCAGCCGCTGTCGCAGCTGAAACAGTGCAGATTGTCTCGCCTTGTTAGCCGTCTCCATTGCCCTATGGGACTCGATGCTGCATGTCTTGAAATCCATGTCTGCGTTGTTCTCACACCCAAGGATGCTACATTGTTTTTCAAGATCGAGGTGGGCAGTGCAGAAGCGGGCTCGTTGGGAGAGGAGCTGGCCCTTGCAGTCATGAACTCCACAACATGGCCGCCCAACTGTAACACCATCTGTGACAACAGCTCGCATTGTATCTAGAACACCATGAGTTCCTGGATTGCTCTAGTAAAGAAAGGGCTTATAGTTACACAAGACACCACCATCAACCTTGCGGGCGCAGCAGCGATCGCAAATATGATTCCATTGTTCTTGCCCTGGGCCGACCATTGCCAAATTGCGCTGGCGTAATGCACTATCAAGCCGGACCGAATGATTGGCATCGTTTGTGAGGACAAGAAGAGTGCCATGCTCATCATGGTCTCGCAAGAGTGCAAAAAGGAAAAATGCATCGGAAACCATTGGTCCGTCAAGCCTGGGCTTTACAGGCCACACCAGTGGGAATCGGGCTTCAGATTCCCAGTGCTGTTGCTGGTAAATCTTGGCATTGTTCTGTCCTGAGACCCTTGATTGAGCTGTCAGCACTGGGTCTAGTGAACAAAGGACAGAAGAATAATACCACGCGATGACTGTAGAAGCTGTGAACTGCTCACAGAGCGAGGCCTCAACATACGTATGTTTTGCGACCTCAATTGACGATGGGACTCCATGATAGTAAGACCGAATGCCGCGTTGTTCATGGACATAGTAGTCCGGGTAGTATCGAGTAAAACAGGCTGGTGACTCATGTTATGGGCTGCCATCAATCAAGGATATAGATTGAAAACGTACATCGGCAATGTGCTGAGTATGCGAACACTGGGACAGGCCCGAACTCTCGAGTGAAATTGATGCATTGGGTTGACGTCAGCCGGGTCAGTTTGCGTGAAGTTGCACCCAGTTCGTCAGGATCGGTTTCGCCAGACTGAGGTTGATGAACACTCGTGCATTTTGGATCAAGGCAGACACGAGTACGTGGATATAGATCGTGGAAGCCTGAATATGTTACTCGTATGTTGACGACATGCATATTTGGATAATGTGACACACCTATGTCCTGTTGTATCCCATGCTCCAGAAAAGCATCAAGAAGCTCCTTCGAGCGACACTTCTCAGCAAAAGTGCCAGTGGTACTAGCCCAGATGGAGCTACGAAGCGCAGCCCAGCACTGATCGAGAAGTGCATCTGACGACTCTGGGGCTATACAGAGAGCACTAGCCACGAATTTCTTGACATCGGGAGGTAGAAATGGTGGAGGCTCGCTGCCCCTACATGAAGGGAGCCATGATAATCGCTCCTTGAGGCACTGCAGAAGGCGAAACAGAAGGAGAAATGAGCCAATTGGAAGGCACTGTGCGATCTCGGGGCATTGCTGTATACAACCGAGGACACTGGGAAGTGGCATTTGAGCCGATGAGTGCTGTAGAGCAATGTAAGCCAAGGGATGACTCGCAATGAGTAGAGTCGTACCGAGAGATGTTAAGGGCAAAAGGATAGCAAGTCGCAGCGAGCAAGCAAGCCACTGCTCAGATGTAAACTCGCTTAACAGTATCTCAATATCACCTGATCAGCACTGGGCATCACTCTGGCACAGCACATAGACAGTGTACTACTCGTGTACGAGAGCAGCAGTTCATGCAATCAACCAGGAACCAAGCCCTATCATCGTGACATACGAATTACATTACAAACATATGTGTCAGCGAGCAACAGGTAAAGTAATGGACAGGCAAGGCGACAGATCGTGCATGGACTGATGTCGGTAGGTCAGGATGTGGATGAGGGCGATGATGGGAGCCTGTGAGTCAAAGTCGACGACCCTGTCAATGCACAGGGCCTAGGTGCAGGCCACAGTGACCACGAATGCATGCTAAAGCCTATTTCACATCAGGTACATGAGGCGACGAGGGGCAAGCCAGGCAATCGAGGCAGTGAGCGATAGGTGGCAAACCGACGGGAAAGGGGTGACGATACAAGGGGCAGGCAAGATGAAGAGCAAGCAAGACAAAGGGTGGGCAAAGGGCAAACGAACAAACAGGCGAGATATCAGCGAGCATGGGGACATGGAACGGTGGCGACGTGGAATGGTGGCAACACAAGGACACGCGAGCCGGCGAGATGAGGGGTGAATGAAGTGACAGGGAAGGGCAGTGAGAGAAGCGTGGCGAGACGACGGGTGGGAGAGATGGCGGGAAGGCAAGAGGAAGGGCGGCGATGTGACGAGGAAGGGCGGTGATGTGACGAGGAAGGGCGGCGATGCGACGATGCGACGAGGAAGGGCGGCGATGCGACGAGGAAGGGCAGCGATGCGACGAGGAAGGGCAGCAATGCGATGAGGAAGGGCTGCGAGGTGACGGAGAAGGGCGACGAGGCGACGGGGAAGGGCTAGATGACAGCAACCGAGGCAGCAAGGAAGGGAGGCGATGGGCGGTAAGACCTGGGGCGAGCGAGGCGACCAAAGTGAGGTGGGTGAGGCGGGACCACTCGGCAAGGGCGTGCAGCAGCGGGCGACAGGCGGGCGATCGTGCGGGCTGGATGACAGCACGCGCGAGAGGCTGCGCATGAAGGTGACACGTGGCGGCTGACGGTGCGGGTGCGGGCGACACGACGGAGGTCGGTGGAGGCGCGATGCAGGGAGCGCCTGTGCAGAGCACTGCACAGGCACTAACGACTCGTGTGCAGTGCGCGACGCGAAGTGGTGGGCTACCCCGTAGCGGGGACAGGCGCGGTGGGTGGACGCGAGGGGGATGGTGGTGGGCGGGGTGCATGGTGGCAGGTACCTGCGCGCGACGGCATCGAGGACGTCGTGGATGGTGGCGAGGAGAGGACGGGCAGACGGCATAAATGTAGGGCCCGCGACACGGCCGGGGCGGACGGCATATTTACAGGGCCCGCGCGGTCGCGAGCGGGACGGCGGGGGATGAGGGCGCGAGCGACAGGCGGACGCGGCGAGGGCGTGAGCGACAGGCGGGGGCGCGAGCGACAGGCGGGGACGAGGGCGCGAGCGACAGGCGGGGGCGGCGAGGGCGACCGCACGACGGCGAGTGTCAAGATGCGGGGCGCGCGACAGGTGGCGGCGCGGCCCGCGGGTGGCGTTGCTGCTCTGGCGTTAACAAGCACGTGTAGGCGGGAGCGACCACAACGTACTCACAATGGGCGGGCGTGTATGACGAGGACGGCGGCGCGCCACGTCAGCAGGGAGATAGCTGGGGGTTGACGTGTGCCCGCGCATAGCACACGGCCCCATGCATCCATACCCCGTCCGTGAGCGACGGGCAAGTGAAACTGGAAGGGGCGGGCGATGAAAGGGCAACATACCTGTATGTGATGCGCGGGGTGCAGAAGCGTGGAGGGCGCGAGAGGGCAAGATGCCCTGACGGCGCCGCGGCCACTGAGGCCGAGACCTAGGCGCAGAAGCGCGGACCAGGCCGGACCTGCAGAGCGGGGCTGACAATATCGGGCAAGGCAGCACCCGGGCCTATATACGGCGGTGAGCATCCTGCAGCCACCAAGACAGTTGCTAAGGAGCTGACTTACCGACTTGCACGCACCTGGACCTTACGATTATCCGGTCTGATTAGCCATCATTGCCCGGGTGGGTAATCACGGCTAAGGTGCCCGCGTGTAGCATTCCTATTGTACCCGCGGTTCCACCATAGTACCCCTCGCTCATTTCCCCGATTCAGTATGGAAGGCTCCCCCTACCATTCTGAGGTAGGAGGCTTCCCGCCACCCGCGCCCCATCAGCCACCTGCCCGCCGGCGCTTCCCGTTGCCACCCGCCTCTCAGCCACCGTCCCGTCAGCCACCCGCCTCTCAGCCACCGTCCCGTCAGCCACCCGCCCATCAGCCACCGGCTACCTGCCCGCCGGCGCTCCCCGTTGCCACCCGCCTCTCAGCCACCGTCCCGTCAGCCACCCGCCCATCAGCCACCGGCTACCTGCCCGCCGGCGCTCCCCGTTGCCACCCGCCTCTCAGCCACCGTCCCGTCAGCCACCCGCCTCTCAGCCACCGTCCCGTCAGCCACCCGCCCATCAGCCACCCGCCCATCAGCCACCGGCTATCTCCCGCCCGCCACCCGCTGGCGCTTCCCGTTCCCCAGCCCTCCCGCCCTCAGCCACCCGCCCTTCAGCCACCGGTCCATCAATCACCGGCACCTGCCGCCACCCCCGCGTCTCAGGCACCGGCTACGTCCCGCCCGCCGGCTTTTCCCGTTACCTCAGCCACTGCATCTCAGCCACCGGTACCTCCTGCCCGCCGGCGCTTCCCTCCTCCTCCCGCCCGCCGGCGCTTCTCGTTAGCTCAGCCACTGCCTCTCAGCCACCGGCACGTGCACCTCCCGCCCGCTGGCGCTCCTCGTCACCTCAGCCACCCGCCTCTCCGCCACCGCCGCCTCCCGCCCCCATTCTGCGTACGCGGCGCCTGTCATGCGGCATTGCGCGTGGGGCGCCGTTCGTGTGTTGGTCGCCGTGCGGCGCTCGGTGTACACTAAGTGACGTGGCAGGCTGGCAGCTCGGGTGCTCGTGGCCTCGTGCGCTGCACGTGCCGCCCGACACCGAGGTCACATGATCTTGACACGTTTGTTGAACGCGTCAGACTCAAGAGTCTCACACGTCCTCCTTGCTACGCGACCTCTTCTCCATGTCCTCGTTCACTCCCCGAGGGGGCACCTCTCGCCGGGTTGTCGTCACTAGTCCCTCAGGGCCTCAGCGACGCCACCGTGAAAGGGTCGTCGGTTTGCAAGGCATGCTCGAAGAGGCGCGCCGAGCGAAGCAGCGCACGGTCCATCAAGTGCGAGGTACGGGAAGGCTGTACTTCTGTACTTGTAAGAGCTGACTTATCCTTGAGCCCAGGACTCACTCGCAGTGACCATCATGCTATCGAGGACATACGCGGCACGGCACTCCCTCAAGATGCCAACGATGTACACATGACCGACGTATCGGACGTGGGTCGAGAGGGTCAGGACATGGTAGATGGGGGTGGCGAGGACGGCGATTGGGTGGATGAGGTTGATGAAGGGACGTTCGCGCACGCATTGCGGGATATACTAGATTCGAGGTGAGTCAGAACGACAGTCTGTGCATGGACCAACTGATCTGTGCTGTGGTCTAGGTGGAAGGAGCGCTGGTACAAGGACACGCGCACTTGGCGTGACCATAGGCAGCGGATGGATGAGAACTGGCAGCGCGTACTGCCGGGGCTTGTCGAAGCGTACATCGCGTGGCGCTACCCTGCACCGGTAGCATCTGGTGTCCCTACGTCTCCCCAACCAACGGACCGCCCACCCGAGGCTGCAATACCGCCAGAGAGCGTCGACATGCCTGTTGATCCACCACCCTCCGATGCTGATAGTGGGTTCACTATCCGGGTCTTCGACATCTACACGTTGGTCGACACTGCATACATCCCTCGCCCATCCACGGCTGACTTCGAGGCTCCGTGCCTTGTTGCCTGCGGCTACCTCGGTACCACGCCCATCAGGCCGTCATTCGCCGTGTCCCTGAAGACGCTGGAGTTGCTTCGGTCAATCCGGAGATTCAAGGCCTCGTACAGTATTGAAGCATTCGCCAAGCTTTTGTGTTATTACTATAAGGTACGACGTCTTGGCTTCGCTTTATCATCACTTTATTGATTGAGCTATTCAAGATAGCCTACGAACGACGTCATCGTGAGATGCTCGCGAACACATATGAGATCTACGTAGCCGTTGTTCGCGGCGTCGAAAAGCGTGTGCGGGGGGCCCTCGGCCGTGACTCGCCGAACTGGCGCGTCCTGAACGCTTGTCCGCCGTGTGGGTATGAACTCGAGGACGAGCCCCCTCTCCGTTGGAAACGGATGCTCTGCCTCGACGGCAACAACTCTTTGAAACGTCTCCGGCCCCTCGGCAATCGTACTCAAGGCGACACGCGCGTGTTCGCCGATAGCGACTACTTTCTTCCCCAGGAGTTTGTCGACAGCTTTGCGCACGAGGTGAAGTCTCGGCAGCGTGATCAGTCAGATCCCGATCTCGCTGCTGGCGATCATGATCAGGACGAGTTAGCCGCGCCCGATGGTCGCCCACAGATCGACGCCGACGACTCGGGTGGTGATCCAACCGACGGCATGCCTGACGATTCACCTCTGGCGACATGCACGCAGAACTGGAAGGCGGCATCGGCAGAAGCCAATAAGAAGATGTGGGGCATCTTCGACGAGACGGGCATCTTCGCGAGTGCTTGCCAGCACGGCTTCATCCTTTGGTTAGCTGACATGGTCCGGAGTGGCGAGCTGTGAGTACACCTGACATATCCTACGTCACTAGGCTCATGTTTGGTACAGTGCCAAGTACCCTCTTGCCATCACAGCCAAGGGACTCGAGACGTTTGATGGCTCCGTGCTTCACGCCTACGACATCGGTTGTTCCTTCGGCATCACCATCGCCAACAGCCGCCTCGGCCCCGAGTTCGAGCGCCAACAAAACCGCTCGTGTGTGAATGCGTTCCACGGCTACACGCACAACTATGCGTGTCAATGCGAGAACCATCCGAACGTGATCGAAGGTATGGGTCTCCAGGACATGGAGACCCTCGAGCGAATCTTCAGTGCTTCCAATCATCTCGCATCCATCACTCGTTACGCATCACCTTATCGACGCCGACTCTTTATTGACGAATACTTCAGCCAGTGGGACGACGACAAGTACGCAACTCTAAGCAAGACTATCTACGACAACTTCCGGCAGGCATGCCACATCATCGACACGGAGACGCCCGCACTCAGCGAGGCGATGACAACGCTTCGGATCAATACCGAGGATCTGAAGCGATGGTATGAAGAGGAGCGACACTACTTCAAGAACGTCGGGAAGGAGACCCCGTGGGACGTGCACGCCATGGCCTACGTCGAGGCCCTTGAACAGTTGCGAGACCTTGCAAAGAAGCTCGACGTCGTGTCCGACGACTTCCTGGCGACCATTCCGTCCGACTACCAGTTCCAACTCCCTGCAAGTGGTGCCATCGATTACGGTACGGAGACATCGCGTACGCGCAAGATGGAAACCGCGAAGCGTCATCTTCGAGCGCAGTACAATGCGATGCTCGCTGACGTGATGTCGATGGAAGCAAAGATGGGAATCACTCGGCGCTGGGAGCCCGCAGACGAGCAGTACGCGGCGACGGCTAAGTACCTCGCAAACCGTGAGTACTTCCGGGCTCTGGACAGCTTGCAGCGCCTCGTTGTCCAGAGGCTGTTCGAGCTGCACAAACTCAATCTTCAGAACACCGGTACGTGTGCTCATTTGAGTGACGTTTGCAGAATCTTGACCTCTGTTATCTAGCTTATCGCGTCCGCACGCACATCGCAAAAGCATTACAGAAGCGATCGAAAGCGATCCAAAACGCCGTGAAGACCTACAATGCTGCCGCACTCGCTCTTACTCCTCCGCGTCCAACCGTCGACTGGAGTAAGGTTTCACATTACAGCTTTCTAGACGAGTTCGCCCTTCTGCAGGACACCAGGGACGATGTCCGCGAGAAGCCTTGGTCGACACCGCTTGCACGGGAAGTGATGCGCAAGGCTCGTCGGATCGAACGCGCGCATGAGGAGCGGAAACGGTGCGAGATAGAGGCTTTGCGCCTCTACACGTCGATCTCAGACGAACTCGACTTGTCGACGGCCACACTCTCTCGTCTGCGAGCCGAACACTCTCCTCTGCGCGGCCCCGTCTCGGAATACTGCGCGCGCCGCCTCGCCGTCAACACGCGGCATATCCTACGTCTCGAACAACTTGCGCGGCTGGATGCGTTCTCTGTCGAACTGAAGCGCGGTCGCCGCAAAGGCACAGCCCCTCCTGCAGCGCCATCCGAGCAGCCGTTGGCCGAGATGCTCGGTGTGTCAACGCAAGTAGATGAAGACGCAGACGACACGGACAACTGGGAGGATGAAGAGGCCGAAGGTGACATTGGCGTACTCGTAGATTACATTGTATCGTGAACTGTACAATATATACATCGACCTGCATGAATATCATGATCAATCGACTCGAAAGTGGATATGTTGGACTGAAGTGAGATCGCCAACAGTTGAACGAAGTGAGGCATGTTAGTGCATCTATGTACTCGACTCCTCGAATCTTACGTCTGCAGTGCTCTCAATCCACGCTTTCGAATCGTGATGTAGTACCAGTCTGAAACAATTCATGTATTTCTTGCTAGACACATAACTTAGCACGAGTTTGTGCCGACCGGTAATGTGCAATCTTGACTGAGGATGCATGTTGCGCCTGTATGCACGGCGCGCCACCTTGAGTCGCAGCGTGCGTTTAGCGCTTCGCACCGTCCACCATCCTACACCCAACACATCCTCTTGCTCTTGCTTCCTCTCACATGAGCACTCAATTCTCCTTTCCTCCTCACAAGCCGACAGCACCTCCGGCCGTATATGTAGTTCTTGGGGGACCGGTGAATGGGCGGGGCATCAAAGATGAGATGTACGTCGTCTGTCCTTACCGTTCTCCTCCTTCTAACTCATTGACACACTGTGAAGGCCTCAAATCCGGCCAGTCGACATCAGGTACCCCTTTCCCCTCGTAGTCAGCTGCACCTCTCAGGAACAAGCAGAGCAGGTCTGCATGTTGCAGACCTGCTTTGATATCGCGGGAGAGATCATCGGCCCATCGAAGGACATCTTGAAGCATATCTCGTTAGAACTCCTCAAGAGCGAGGGAAGGGAGGTGATCAACGTTGACAGGGCGGCATATCCTATCATCAGAGGACGTTATCCAAGCGTCGCTCTTCATTGGTGAGTGCCGATTATGACGGTGAAGTGGCAGTCATCTGAGCGCACGTCAGGGACTACTGCTTCGCGGAGACAAAGGCGAAGTATGTCTCTCAGTATACTCAGTGGCCGGCCTGGATCAAGGTGCCAACAGTGCAGCAGGCCCTTATATACTACATCACGAACGGCGGCGACGGCGCAGGCGTCATCGGACAGTTGCATCCCGCCGTTGCAAAGGTCCTCGCAACGCTCTTTGCACCACCACGTGTAACCGATGTTGGATTTGATGCGGCGAGCTTGGTTGCAGGGCTCGAAGGTGAGTTCACTGAACATGTCCATAGCTCGTCTTGTAACGCTGATGTCTACACAGATCTGAATATCCACGCCGACGCAACGGTCCCGGGCTCTGCGCCTCCATCCACCCCTCGACCTGCACCTCCATCCACCCCTCGACCACGTCCTACAGCATCTCCATCGGCATCCTCAAGGCTGTACTCCCCTGCGTCCTCTCGTCCTCGCAACCGTCACACCGCCTCCGTTGAAGAATCGTGGGCGCTCCACAGCATTCCTATCGTGCCGGAAGATACAGACGTGCCTACTCTTGGGCCGCGTGGCGATGCGTACCTGATTAGCCGCGGCTGGGGAGTGTCATCGCGCCTGCACATTGCGCGGATCTATCCACTCTGTCAATCGTGTGAGGACTTTGTCGGCCGCCTTGCAGAGTACGGGGCGCCCCCGGGGATGATGGAGAACCTCTGGCGGGAGATTGTTGGTGAAGGCACTGTGTGAGGTCTGAGTCCTCAATGGCCTTTCGTCTATGTGCTGAGCTCGTTGCTCCGGCAGTAGGCATCGATCTTATAGTGCTAGTTATAAGGTTCCCACAGTACATGCTCTCTTGTTTACATCACGTGCTGCGAAAGTGATTATGTTGAATTTTATCTCCGACATACTGTTGCGATATCCCAAGTCCCCAACTGCTCACGTATTTCCTCTACCTCCCCAGCTGCTAACAATGAGCCACTCACGCGAGTTTGTCTTCCTCGAGAGAATCAAACGCTACAAGAAGTGTCCCGATTACCTGGTACCACGCATGCCGAAGATTAGAGTTCGACGTGCAGGCACATCGAAGAAGTCACCTGATAGTGACGACGTGAAGAAGACGAGGCGAGAACGCAAGAAGGAGGTCAACGAGGCAATTGCAGAGGCTCAAGATGCTATGTGGGAACTTGCGGAGGCCATGCAGACACGCTTCGGTGGAAAGAAGAAAGCTCCCTTCTATTATCACCTCATCCTTCAGCGACCTCACGTTGCCCTTGACCGCCGAAGTATCAACAAGTGGAATGCCTTCGTCCATGGAGAATTGAAGCGACGTAACAACGGTACGTTGTGATTGGACGTCTCTGAACATTGCCGCCATCTAACCATCTGCTTGCTAGAACTCGAACCTGGCACAGAATTGTACCGGGTCAACGACCTCTCGAACGAACTCCGGGTGGAGTGGAACGCAATGACATCGCGTGAGAAAACAGAGGCGACGAAAGAATATGTGAAGGAGATACAGGCGATGCGCGACACGAAGACATACGCGTCCCAAAACACCCAACTGGGTGCATTTCACGACGCGCGACGGCACATCGCTGCTGTCATAATGGAGGTAAGTGTCACGTACATGTGTATGAAGCTTACCTGATGATGATTCACAGCTACAAAACGTGAACGCGCGGACAGGGTTGCACTCAGTGCTCATCACAGTACGCGGTGAGCCCGATCAATGGTCGAAACCCCACGTGTTCTACACGACCGAGGCGATCGCCGAGTTCTTCAGCATGTTCACAAAGAGCACGCTCAGTCAGATTGCTACGCGGTTGGAAGCATTTTTGATATCGGGTGTGGCAGGTAAGTACCGCGTTCAATCCATTCAAGACTACTCGTACTCACGTCTTCTTCTACAGGTGTCGTCTCAAACCATAAGGAGCGCTGTCTCCAGGCGAAAAGTCAGCTCGCCAAACTTGTGCTTGAGAAGCTGAGTAAGTGACAAGGCTTCGAGGATCTGCGGCGTACTGATAGATATTCCAGATGCTGTGTCGAAGAAGCGCATCCCTCAAATGAATTATGTCAACTTCGACGAGGTCATCACCCGCCCGTATGGCATTGTGCTGCGAGGCTACCCCCCGGGCGTCAAGTTCTGCTCACCAAGTAACTTAGGCAGTCTGCACGAGGTCGAGCTCGTGACGGCTTCGTGGCAGTCCGGCACGACGCACTGGTACAAGATGAAAAAGTCGGAGCACAAGAAGTGGAAGAAGGCCCACCGTAACCCGGCAGAGTCCCACAATGGCGCATGCGATGCAGAGGATGATGCCGCTGGTGAGTCCTCAGACGACGAGCCTTTGATTCGCACCGTCGCGCAGCCTGCAGCGGGACCTGCAGACCCGACGCAAGCCGCCGGTACTACACCAACCACCTTGGCATCTACATCCACGCTTGGCACTGCCACCGTATCGCCTTGCCCGCCGACAGCCACTGCATCACCTTGCCCGCCGACGACCGCCTCGCCAAGCACTGACCTGCCGACGACCTCCGATGTGATACCTCCCACTCCGTCAAGTGCTTGCCCGCCGACAGCCTCGATCACTCAACCTCCCACGCAATCGAGCGCTGGCCTACCAACAGCCTCCATTGTCCCACCTCCCCTGCCTCCGAGTCCCGAAGACGTGTCGCTGGCAGTGCCGAGCGCAAACGCAAGCGCTGGCGTGCAGGTCGACCGCCAAGCCAACCCACACGCGGAGCTGGACGTCGAGCATGTATTGGTGCAGTCAACGATCGACAACCAGCCGCCACACTCTCCACCTACCTCTACATCGCCGTTGCAGGTCGTCGGAGACAAGCGTCCTGCGGGTACGCCGGACAGTGCAGCTGGTCCAAGCAAGGCCCCGAAGAGAGCCAAAAAGGCGTTCTCGGGCTTTGTCCTGTCGCCCACAGATGAGCATGGCAACCCTGTGCCTGTTGTGAAGAAGCCTCGCGCTCGGAAGGGCTCTGGGAAGGGTGGCAAGGCTGGGAAGTAGGGACTTGGTGGCCCGTAGCGTCGAGTATACCTTATGTAATTGCAATGACATGAGACGCTGTGCACGTTTCTGTATGACTCAGCATGTGTGACACAGCAAGATCGACACTCTGTCATACAATATTACTGAACTGCACCTTACACGTAGTACTGTATTGACTCTATAGGCATACATAGCTTTCTTGTTATTTGTAGTGTATGATGTGCGCGGGGAGGCGACGTGGCAGCGGTGCGTCGGTGCGCGTCGGGCGGCACGTGCAGCGCGCGAGGCCACGAGCACCCGAGCTGCCAGCCTGCCACGTCACTTAGTGTACACCGAGCGCCGCACGGCGACCAACACACGAGCGGCGCCCCACGCGCAATGCCGCATGACAGGCGCCGCGTACGCAGAATGGGGGCGGGAGGCGGCGGTGGCGGAGAGGCGGGTGGCTGAGGTGACGAGGAGCGCCAGCGGGCGGGAGGTGCACGTGCCGGTGGCTGAGAGGCAGTGGCTGAGCTAACGAGAAGCGCCGGCGGGCGGGAGGAGGAGGGAAGCGCCGGCGGGCAGGAGGTACCGGTGGCTGAGATGCAGTGGCTGAGGTAACGGGAAAAGCCGGCGGGCGGGACGTAGCCGGTGCCTGAGACGCGGGGGTGGCGGCAGGTGCCGGTGATTGATGGACCGGTGGCTGAAGGGCGGGTGGCTGAGGGCGGGAGGGCTGGGGAACGGGAAGCGCCAGCGGGTGGCGGGCGGGAGATAGCCGGTGGCTGATGGGCGGGTGGCTGATGGGCGGGTGGCTGACGGGACGGTGGCTGAGAGGCGGGTGGCTGACGGGACGGTGGCTGAGAGGCGGGTGGCAACGGGGAGCGCCGGCGGGCAGGTAGCCGGTGGCTGATGGGCGGGTGGCTGACGGGACGGTGGCTGAGAGGCGGGTGGCTGACGGGACGGTGGCTGAGAGGCGGGTGGCAACGGGAAGCGCCGGCGGGCAGGTGGCTGATGGGGCGCGGGTGGCGGGAAGCCTCCTACCTCAGAATGGTAGGGGGAGCCTTCCATACTGAATCGGGGAAATGAGCGAGGGGTACTATGGTGGAACCGCGGGTACAATAGGAATGCTACACGCGGGCACCTTAGCCGTGATTACCCACCCGGGCAATGATGGCTAATCAGACCGGATAATCGTAAGGTCCAGGTGCTTGCACGCCGGTCCTCGACTCGCCACACACCACGACTGGAATGCGACCAGAATCGCGCTCCGCTACGAGTGGGATTGCTACGCTACGAACGGAATCAGAGCGGAATCGCTGCGTTACGAACCGGAGCGATGCGCCCGGAGTTCGCCGGACGCCACACGCTGCGGGCGCTACGCGCCCGCAGGCCTGGGGTCTGAGGTTCGTACTTTCCGATCGACTCCCCAACCGTCAACCCCGCGAGTCTCTGTAAATCCTCCTCTAGCTTGTCTTTTCGACTCTCCGGCACGAAGTTCTTGATAGCATTGATGATGGCTCCATTTTTCAGCCCGACAACCTCCAACTTGCTCGCGTACATCTCCGGCGCAAATCCGAGCGATTCAAGGTAGCGTCGGACATCGGGATCAATGTTGTCGCGTGCTGCAGACGCGCTCTTATGGGCTGCGCTAGCAGGTGGTGTATCCGGAGAAAGAGTCTGGGTCGAGCTGGCGCTGCCAACACTATCTCTGGGTGGGCCTGCGCGATCGACTCTTTCCTCTCTCCCGCCATGCGATCCTGGGGCTGTGGATCTCGCTGCGATAGGCGACAGCTGGCTACTAGGCCAACCCTCGCAGGTATCCGGCGACTGGCTCGGATGGAGACTCGATGACCCAGATAGTGCTGCAGGAGGTAACAGGACATTGCGGGATGCATGTATGGTCGCACCCTCTGTTGATATGGTACCCCGTTGCGCAGTGCTCGTACGCGGCGGCGCCCGGGACGGTGCTGCGGGAGCCGGAGTGCTGCCGCCACTCTGAGGATGCTCGACATCCGCTTCCGACTTGGCGATGTTCGCCGGCGGTACACCGTCGTTGTCTCCCTCGGCCGGTTGACGTTCAAGTACGACACCCTGTCTGCTTGAACTGGGCGTGGGTGTAGGAGACTCGGACGTCACATTCCGTGTATCGGCTACTACATCAGAGGTAGTAGGGCGAGGGCTGTCGACAGCCGCACTAATCTGCGGTTCTCGTGCTCGTGCCGTCGAGTCGCCCGGCCCGAGCTTGGTGCGCTTTGTTTCTCGCTGCAAAGCGGCGGAGCTACGTGATGGGTATCAGTGCCATGACATGAGTGTCTACTGGACAGTGCCACAAAAGGCTTACCCATCTGGCTCGCAAGCACCATGTTCGTCAGCGATACTACTGGCATCGTGTTGTCTTTTGGTTGGCAAGGTCCGAGTCCCAACTTGAATACTGCGGCTGCTGGATTCTTGAGAGGATTGTGACTGACGACTGACAGGTGCTGCCAGCCGACTGAAATGAATCGTTGGTACCACACAACGGCAGCGTAATGATATCTCGAGAGGCAGCTGGCCGCCGGCGTGCCCTTCGGTCGAGGACTTGGAAGTACTATATGGTGCACCGTGACGGCGCCGTGTGATGAAAGTACCTCGCCCAAACAAAACTCCGGAAGCCGCTGCTCGGGATTGCGTCGATCGTGGCGTTCTCGGGAGGGGCAAGGGGACTTTGAATGTGGCTTGAGTCGACTCTATCCGCGCTCCTGGGACCTGCCCATTTATACGGGGTGTTGCAGCTCTGCCGGCTCTTCCCTGTGGTGATGACATACCTGCAATATACGACTGGGTTGTCAAAGGGTGTCATCAACACAGAAGATTTGGCTGCTTACCCATGTTTCCCGGTGACTCAGGCGGAGGTGAAGGGGTTAAAGGGGGGAGTGTGCCCCGAAACAAGACTGATAAGGCCCGGGACATAGATGCAGGGCCCATGTGCTGCAGTGTGGCTGCAGAGCCTGAAGGATCTGACTCTGCGACCGTGACGTGCCTTCTGCTGCCAGTAGGCTTCGAGCGGTAGCGGGGCATGCGGAGGACTGCATCGGGCGAAAGCGACGTCCGCACATCTGAGGATGCAACCGTCAGCCAAAGGCTATGTCCAAAACCGAGACACTATACATGGTGCTGGCTCTTGGCGAAGTCTCGCTGACACCCTCCTCTCGCTCAGCAGCCAACTCGGAGGTTCGGGATCAGGAGCGGTATAGTCAGGATCATCATCGGGCTGATCAGACTCGCCCGAACTTTCAAGTCCTATGTCGTCGCTCTCCTCCTCTCCCTTTGCGTGGCTTTGATGTCCGGGATGCAGATCCGCCCTCGCTGAACCTGCCTCGTGCAGAGACCACAAAGGAGTATGATCGAGGGCATCAACATCCGTCACGGTCGCATCCCAACTCTCCACGTAGTGTTGGTCTTCGCTCAAGTCCTCGCCTCTGTCATTTGTGCAGACGCGGCGCACAGTCCGTTTGGAACAACCGAAAAATTTGGCTATCTTCTTCAAAGGTACCTGCTCGTTGTGCAATCGCCGCATAGCGGCGTGCCTTGCTCGTTCGACCTCCCGATACAGTGCTGTGTCTCCCTGGCCTGCATGGGATGGCTCGTTTCTCTGTTGATCTGAGGCCATCAGTAAACTGTTGGTAACCTTCACCAAAAAGCCGAACTGCGGTAGACACTGTGACGAGGAAGGGGTACAGGGAGACGATACGTAGTCGTGCTGACTCGTGCAGTGCTTGAGGCGTATCGTGAGATAGAAGCTACAGAATATGCCGTGACTTACGTCCATCGCAATTGGAGCAACGTGACCGAGCTACTATATAGTGACGACGCGGTATTGCGGGCATCGTACTGTAGTGTCGTCGTTGGGATTTTCACGCCGTGTATATCCAATGAAAACAACATCGCGAAAACCACACGACGGTCAAACTTGACTGCATTGCCAACGTCAACAATGTTATGTCGAGCAGGGCTCGTGAGATCCTTAGCCAATCACGATCAGTACTAGTGTCAGGAGTGCTCTTCGATCGATCACGAATTTGGACCCACCTGCACTCTACGGGGCCTGCCGCCTGGCCCTCAATCATGAAATCAAGACCATAGCCTCCACAACCGTCAATCCCCCGCGCCTTTGGAGTTCCTCTTCCAATTTGTCTTTTCGGCTCTCCGGGACCAAGCCCCTCATGCATCTGATCAAGGCTTCCGAATCCAGTCCGATATCCTTGAGCTTGCTCGCGTACTTCTCTAGTGGCAAGTTCAGCGATCGGAGATATTGCATAACTGCCGGATCTATCCCGTCGATCGCAGTGTTTTCGGGCTTCACCGACACCATAGAGGGGACAGCAGTGCCGGTGTTCTTCGCCTGAGAGTTTAGTGGCTTTCTCCGAGCTTGTCGTGAGGACACGACGGATCACGGCATCAAGCTGTTCCGACGACGTGGCACGCTGTACACCACTAGAACACGCACCATACAGGTCATAGACACCGGCCATGGACGTTGGAACCCCAGCGCTGATATTTGTGCCCTCCCGCCAATGTTCTGCGTGAGATTGAAGAGTCCGAGAGCTTGCCGTATGGGACGAGCCTGCTAGCGGTGTGACGACCATCGAGGACTGCGCCGATGTGGCTTCCGACCGAGAGGTTGTGCTGAGTGGCACTATCCCTCCATGCCTCGATTGCGGCAAAGGTGGGAACGTCAGCGTCCCGCTCGAAAAGCGCGCCGGCGACGGCTGGAGAGTCTCGCGCTGCGAGTCCCGGATGGCAGGAGGTGTAGCAGGGCGCGGATGCATTGTGGAGTATTTGCCCGATAGCTTTTGCGCGCTACTCTTCGTCCTCAAGGATGGTGCGTCTAGCAGCAGCTTGACCTGTCTTGCCAGTTGCCCCACGGGCTCTATGTAATGAACGAGCATGAGCTTATGAAGCGATCACCATCCGTTTCGAGCGACTCGCCTATGGGATCGTGTCCGAGTTGTTGCTTGTGGGGCCTCCGCGCACCTGTTAATAATAACATCGGATAGTGACTCCGCGTCAGACTGTCGTTCATTCGTGTTCACGGAGGCGGGTGGCTGATCCGCTGGAGTTTGTGGACCTTCACTAGAAGACATAGCGCCAAGGTTGCCATCGCTGTGTCCCTGAGCGACTCTTTCCAGGGGCACCACCCGGCTCATGATGCCCGGCTCCAACGACTTGCGCATCTCTTCGATTTGGTGCTCTGCAGCAGAAATCGATACAGACTGTAGACTCAGTGATCGACGTGTAGCAGCTTTGCGATTGACGCGCCTCCGGACGGTTTTCCGCTTCTCTTCCTTGCGCTGCCCGGAGGATGAGGTCGGGCGACATTGTCGCGTGCACATCTGCAATAGGATAATAGTAGGCATCGTCAGCACTCCTTCGCAGAACTCATTCCACGGAAGATACATACGCGGTGCCGGCTTCTTGAGCAGTCTCGAAGAGACCCTCGTACCCGCCACAGAGGTGAGACTGCCGAGAGACAGGGGTATCTTCCGATCCACTGGAGCTGTAAATATCATCGGCCTCGGGCTGAAACTCGCTGGCTTTACTGGCCAACGAAAGACCTTGCTCGACCTTGGGTGCGTATGCGACTCGGAGCCGCTACACTGAGCTCACTGGCGGTGACGTCCAACTGCATTTCCATCCTACATCTAGAGAATGCGAGTCAACACGACGCATGGCATTGAGCGATCGCACACTCACCAATGGACGTTTAGCAAGACGAGTTTTCGAAAACAACAAATGCGCAGTCCGTCCACTGGCTTGCAGCAGACTATGGCGCCGCGGATATTGTGGGACTTAGCACAGCGGAGAGCAGAGTTACGCTCGGACATGGTTCATGAGGAACAACCCGGTGCATTCTGCCAGAACCCATTAGAATATGCAATGTCCGTGGGATGTGATGGTATACGAGTACAATAACGAGTGCCGGTATAGAGTCACGGCTAAAGGAGACGAGCGACAGCGAGACAATAAAATGATATGGCTACAAATTCGAAAGCAGACGCTGGGATGTCAAGTGGTCGATGCAGGGTCAGGATGATATGAGGCGTGAAGTGTATGGGCATGCGTATGTGAAGACGTGGAACGTGGAGATGTTGAACGTGGAGATGTGGAATATGGAGATGTGGAACGTGAGCTTGCGGTCGTTGTCACTGAATGGGTCGATGGACCCAGTCGTGGCGGACCTCTCCTAACGAGCGGCCCTTAGTGGATCTTTCCTGTCTGCCCTCCTACAGCGAGCGAGTCGCGCGCGGAACGCGTCGGCGGACCCTCTATGCTCGTCTTGCCCGCGCGAGGTGCGCCTGCGCACGGAGTCTCGCCGGACCTGAGCAGGGCTCCCTCTAGCCCTCACTTCTTCTGTATGAACTTCTTGATCGTGCCCGCGCTGGTCTGAGCACCAGACTGCATGTTCGCCTGCTGCGAAGGCGCGAGGGCCGCGTACATCGCGTGGCCGTCTCGCGGCGACTGGTGGAAGGACGAGAACGCGTGCGGCGACGCGGGGCCGGTGGGGAAGAAGCTCGCGATCGGGGACGACGGCGGCGACGTGTAGTTCGACGGCATGGCGGGCGCGTGAGGAAGTACGGGGGCGTAAGGAGGTTAGATCAGACGTAGATCGTGAACGTCGGCGCGGTAGTACGCGACGGTGGCGGACAGGGAGGCGGGCCTCGAGTGTTGTACGGCGGCGGGTGACAATGTCGAGGCGGGCCAAGCGGGCTGGCAGGGCTGGGGAGAACAGGGCGCATGCTTGTTCTCGGTTTATATGGTTGCTAGCGGGTCGCGCTGGGATCGGGGCTCAGAAGAAGGCCTGCCATTCCGGGCGCAGAGTACAAGGGATCGTCCATATCCGGACTGCTTCTCAAACCCCGCGAATGTGACCTGCCATATCCGGATGAAAGGATCGGCTGAAATGGGTTGGTCGGCCAACGCCCAGCGCGAGTCGCATCTCTCCCGGAGCAGGCGACCACAGGGCGCACGCGGCTTGACGTACGGCGGCGTGCGGTGCTGTGCGATAGCACCGGGGACAGCGTAGCTGGCATCACACGGCGAGCCGGAGAGGGCCTCGAGAGCTGAAGATCGCATAGGCGCCCGCGTAATGCGGTACGGCACCAATCCCACACTCTCCAAGGACGGTCTATGAACGTTGTTCTCCTCTGACTCGAAGATGTGGCCTTACGTACAGCCTTGTACCGGCGGACGTGTGGCGTGGCCCGCATGCGTAGCACAGAATGATGAGCTCCCTTCCAGAACGGCAACATGCATTGGCCCGAGCACGCGTCCGCGCCGTGGCCAGCCCCAGGTTTCCAGCAGAACATACGTTTCATTGCACATGCGATACATGGATGCGGATTGCGAACAACGATGCGAAAAGTGATGGGTGTACTGTACTGTGACGCGAGACCGGGATTAGCACCTGACATGGACGTCCGTGATGCGAGGCGACTACTATGCGGATATCAAATGGGATAGTCAAAAGAGGAGAGAGAGCGTGAAAGGTATAACACAAATCACACAGAACAGACAGACCGAGCGCTGCGAACAAACTGTCCAGAAATCCGACGGTATAATGATACGGCCAACACTCGGACTGGAAAGCAGAGAAAACACCGACGACTCATCAACACCTACGCGACATGCAGTTGCAGCACTGCGCCGCAATTCGCCTCGCCTAGAGCAGCGCCGAATCCTGCTGGCCTGACTCGACTAGCCGCTGCCAGTCTTGTCGCCACTGCCGCATACTCGAGCGCAGCTTCTTGTCGGCGACCACCTTCTCTATCCACGAAAGGAGCGCATTCTCATCCTCAGGGACGAAGAAAGAAGACAGCAACGAAAGCACAGTCTCAAAACTTGCCGAGGCAGACGTGATGTGATCTATCACAAGACAATAAGCACTCGGACACGCCGGCGGCTTTCAATTATGCAGACGGAGCACTCACCCCTGTACACCCACACAATCGCCACAGCAACCACCACGAAGATGTCGTGGCCCTCCAGGAGGAACGCATCCCACAACCGGAGCTGCGTCTGGAACGGCACCGAGTTCGCGAAGAGCGTGATGTACCACTTGGTCGCATACGAAGTCGTCGATATCATGTGCTTCTTGAAAGCGGCGTACACGGGCGGCAGGAGCTGCTCCATGATCCGCTCTTGCACGTATATCGCCTCGAGCAAGCCGGGGAACCCCGGACTGAAGATCGTGTGCATTTGGTAGGCGTCGTGTAAGCGCACGAGCGACGCGTAGACGCGCTCGGGCTCGAAATAGCACAGAAGGGTCGCTGCTATAGGGCCCATGCCTTGGCAATATCCGCAGGTTTCGCAGCGCAGTGAGAAAGAATGAAGGACTTGAAATAGTGATCGTTGTCTGCAGCTACCATTAGGATAAGGGTGCAAGGGAGGATGCGTGAAGCTTACCCTTGGCCGTATCTCGTACGGAACATGACATGGCCACTAATCGTCCGCGGCACGTCCAAGTCAATTTGCACATCATATGTCGACGGCCGATCGAGGGCTTCCCTGAACTCCAGTGAGAGTGCACGAGTCTCCGTCTTGCCATGCCGTGAGAACCTGCACATCAGCGTGTCCCAAGCAGCACTTCTCCAACAGTCCGGGATACCCTTGAAGGTCCGCTGCCGTAGCTTATGATCCTTCGACGCACGTATACCCCACGCCTCAACGTTAGACCCCGGATCGCGTTCACGCGCCTCAAGCATCCGTCCCCACTTCGCTACCCGTGCCTTCTCATTCGGCGGTGGTGCCAACGATGGCTGAGACGATAGCAGCGGTGGACTTGGAGGCCCGCCTGTATGCGCCGAGCCGAGCCGCGTGAGAGCCTTCAGCAGAGGCACAGAGGGGAGTAGTATGCACCGGTCATGAGACGGTGTCACGTAGAAACCATAGCTGTGTTGGAGTCAGACGTGCGGCGGTAGAAGGGACATAGTAGCAGGGCGTACCGATCAAGACTCGCAAGCAAGCTCACCTCCTGCGGTGTAAGCTCGCGCGTCTTCTCCTGCGCATCCGCAAGGGCCTCCAGTGCCCGCAGCTCGCTCGCGCGGCTGCCCCCGACCCGTGCTCGCGTCCGCTCTACGCCCTCCTCGTACCCGTCACCACGCACGCCGCATACATCGAGCTGCGCGTAAGTAGAGCGCACGTGAAATGCATCTGGTTCTTCGTCCGGTGCGGGCGTGATTGATGTCGCACTTGATGGTGAGCTGGGAGAAGACGGGAGGCGGGACGGAGATGACCGTGGGGGCGTTGCGAGGACGGACAGCGCTTGTGGAGGCGGTGTGGATACGGCCGCAAGATGCGGGGAGGTAGAGCGCGGTCGTGTGGGAGGTTGTAGGGACGAGGTGGCTTGACTAGATGTCGGCCGACTATTCGACGCAGATAGGGACGCATAGGACACTACCCGCGGGGTGCCGTCGCTGGCAGTAGCATAGCTGGACGTCCGCCGACTGTCTGGGGCCGAAGGTTGTGCAGAGCCGTTGGACAGATGGCGCGCGTCAGCGTAAGACGTCTTTGACGAGCGCGCCTGGCTTGACGGGGGGCGTTCCGCGTAGGCAAGCTGGACCGAGCCGTTAGACACGACGGAGTGTCGCATCTTGTCCACCACGCTGGCCCGCTTGAAGGGCTCTTGTTCAAAGTACGCACTATCCTCGACCGGCCTACTCCACCGCGGGGTCGTGCTCCTGCGGTCGACACCCAAGACAGCTACATCCACAGCTGTGTCCTTGCCCGGGTGTAGCACGGACGGAGAGGCAGACCAGCTGCCCTCGTCGTCCTCGTACATAGAATAGATCGTGACGATGGTCGTTTCGGAGGAGGCGCGTTCCTGACTGGAGTCGTCGACGGAGAGGTCGGGCGTCGTCGCAGCCGAGGATGGCGGGGGCGAGACGAGCGTCCTGGAGGGATCGATGGGGGTTGCGGGTACGACAAGGACCGACGGGGAGTCCATGAAGAACGAAGGTAGAATGAAAGAAGGAAGGGCAGAGACGCGCCGTCTCACAGGCAGCTGTTGGGCAGCTGAGACTCGCAGAGCTGGTGCGCACGACTCCACACAGCCGCCGTCCTTCAATGTCGGGTGCTATCAATCAAATGCTTTGTCTCGCAGCGCGCTTGTCGACTGCAGTGAACAGCCCGTGCCCACCGTTCGTGGAGGTTGGCAGAGCAATGGCAGAGTACCCTCTGCTGGCCGTCGCGCGAGACTTTGACCGTGGCAAGAGGTCGCAAGCAACCCGCACGCAGGAGCACTTCCCCCATATCGGGCAATTCCCGATTCGGCCAGCCACGTGGGCTGCCGCACGTGCGCAACTCTAAATCTCGACGCCACCGCGAAGGTCACCGCACGGGTCCCGCGGCACGGACATCGCCCATCGGTTTGTCTCCCCCCGCCAGCCCTCCGCCTCAACCTCGACGGCGGCCATGTCCCGCCGCGCACCCGCCGCATCCTCGTCCAACGCCATGGCCACCGCACACTCCCTCGCCATCCTCGGCGAGTACACCCACACCCTAGATTCTCTCCCGCTCGACCTCTCCCGCAACTTTGCCGAGTTCCGCGAACTCGACGCCGTCCTCTCCGCCTCGATGTCCTCCCTGACCTCCAAGATCACCCAGCTCACCACCATGCTCGAGACGAACGTCGGGACGAAGGAGGAGCGCCTGTGGCTGCTCGCCGACATCGCGGAGGAAGCCACTCACCTCAAGCTCGGCAGCGAGGACAAGATACGCGTCGCCTGCCACGCCGCGGACGGCCTCCGCGGCCACAAGACTCACATGCGGGCACTTCTGCAGCATATCCCAGACCGCGACTTCGAGAGCCTCGATGCGCTCTGCCGGAAGACCGTCTACCCACATGTCGCGCCGTACCCTGCCTCGGCGCAGGGCAGCCTTGGGGACGGACGGCGGCAACGAAGAAGCGCACACGGGAGCTTGCTCGCGAGCGGCTCGGTTGATGCGAGCCCCGCGAAGCGTAAGAGGGCAGCGGGGAGGGATGACGACTCGGAGGCCGTCGCAAAGACGCCGAGGAAAGAGAGGAATGGTGACGGCACGCGGCAGCGCAATGGCCCGAGAAACAAACGGTACGCCCACAGCACCATCAGAGCCCTGCACGTCCTCTGACAAGCCGCGCTGGAAGCCCCGACCGCGCTGCATCGCCTGCAGAATCCCTGTTATCAGTGGCTTCGCACCTGCCGCCGAGCGCGCAAGTCGCAGGCGCTTCTCACCCGCGCCAGAGCGCAGCACGCGCCGGGAACGGGAACGCAGCAAAGCGTGCTCGGGCGACGCACAACCACGAGCACCATGCCTCTACGCCGGTTGACCAGTCGCACGAAATGTATGTCCCCCCTCCGTCGGCCTCCGCTGCACACCCGTCTCTGCCGAGTCTCTTCGCACATCCTCTGAATGGCATCGGCGAATGGAGACCCGGCCAACTGGAGGGCCCCGGCATGCCTGTTGCCCCAACCTTCGTCAACACGTCTGTTGTGGTCGCCGACGAGAACGATGGTGTTGTCGCGCCGGCTGGCGAAGGAGAAGGCGAGGGCGACGACGGCAAGACGTACTGCGTCTGCAATGGCGTTAGCTACGGCGAGATGATTGCGTGTGACGACGCTAGCTGTGACACCGAATGGGTGAGTGCAGTCATCATCTATGCAATCAATCTAACAGGTTACCCCAGTTCCACCTTTTGTGTGTTGGCCTCCAAACACCTCCCGTTGGAGAATGGTATTGCGAGACATGTCGGGGCAAACGGAACGGCCGCCGGGCAGGCCGCGGTGGGAAGAAGAAGGCTGGCGGTGGACGCTCGAACGCTCGGAATACCTCGACCTGATCTCCACGACTGGCTGTAAGTGAAGTCATCGTTTGTGTAACGTTCCGGTTGCTGAGACTTCATTGCAGACGTTTTGGATACCAGCGCTGGATGTACACTAGATCGTCCTTCTACCTTAGCCGGTATCATTATTTCTCTACACATAACCTGGCTCTTGATTGTCCTCGCAAGGGCTGTCGCTCTGCAGGTGAGTACGCAGGGTGCTGGACTGGCTCGTGCGCGACCTGGACGCGTCGAGAGCGCTTGAGCGATCGTGTACGCGACAATCACGTGCTGTTCGATTACCGAAAGCGGCGCGCGTTGCTCACCCGCGACGCTGCTCCTAACCGCAACACGACCGCTGTGGTCTGTCTCGCCAGCTGCTGCTTCTCTCTTGCCCCCATCGTCTCTGGCCTGCTTCTTGCATCCTACGCTATGAGCCTGACGACGCGCGAAGACATCGTGCTTGTCGTACCTCCGGAAGTCTGGCTTCACATATGTGCGGGAACCGTCCCTGGATAGCTATGCGATATGAGTGCTCACACTAGCGTTGTGGTAGTCTCGTATCTGGACCTGCCCGAGCTGGCCAATCTCGCCCGGGTCTCCCCTGTACTCGCATGCTACGCGGAAGACCCTGTGCTGCACCACCACCGCCTACATGTAGTCGCGCCGTCGCGGGTGTCCCATTCACTGTTCGGACAGAGCTCGGACGGGCTACCGTTGCGACCGACAGTCAGTGACCTGGTGCACCGAGGAATCATGCGAGGGCTTGGGATCGAGCGGCGGTGGAGAGCGGGGATGTACTTCTACTCGCAGCACGTACGTCGTCAGCCGTAGGCCGCTCGTGCGTCGCTCACCCTCCCGCAGATGGTCGCGCAGTACGAGGTTTCGCTCCGCCTGCAGCGCACGCACGCGGGAAACGTCGTCGAGTCCGCGCTGCGGCGGCGGTCCTCGACGAGCCTATACCGCATCTACTCTGCGCGGGTGCTCCCCGACGAGCTGCCGTCCGCAGCGATCTCGTCGACGCTCATCCCAGCGATGCGCAAGCTGAAGTGGTCGATCCAGCGCGACCGCCTCGCGAAGCTGGTGAAGGCGCGCAGCGAGATGGTGCGTGAGGGCGGCGTCGTGGCGTGGCTCGAGGACAGGGGCAAGGCGGTCATGCGCAGGGAGAACGAGCGCGTGCGGCTCGCACTGTGCCCCGGCATCGGAGGGACCGTGCGGTTCTATGAGAACCTGAGTCATCGGTGAGGTGAGGTGAGGTTGTGTTGGCCGTTGTGTACGAGGGACTTGTAACGGTAAGAGTATTTATTACTCTATGGATGGACTATGATGCGCGCGAGTGTATGTTATACCCAGATCTGCGTTGTACTCTCCTCCCCTCATTCGAAACTTAACTACGATTCTTACGACCCTACATGTCAGAACGACACGTGTATTCCTGTGCATTCAGCCTTTGTTGAATCCACTACCCAAGCTATCGACCAATGGCACTATTATACAGTCCAGGGCCTGCAGTAACAGCCTGCTACAAACGCGGACCCACCGCAAGGTCTCAGTTTACCATCTGCGAGTACTATGTATCGGTGAGTGCAGACCTTTTTATGCTTGCGGCGCAGCATGTTGACTAGCATAGTCTGAATACTCCCAGACTCCGAGTGCATGCGCAGTAGTGACGCCTGCTGCAGACGTCCACTCAGACTATCTCTGGTCGCCTCGTTGGCCCACTGCGTCTGCCTGCATCGACATACGAAATCCATTGAACTGCGTCAGTCTCCATGATCTCCAGCGAACGTGCCCGGTGCTCCGTCGTCCGCCACATACGCGGCCACCGCGGTATCAAGTTCAAGGCTGTCACAGGGATGTTCGGGTGCCCCATGCGCTACGCGTTCTGCGCGCGTTCCGAGCGGGGCGATCGAGGCGTGTAGCAGGCATATCACCACCTGGTGGAATCTCTCGGCCGGGAACAGCACCGAGGCATTCCTCGAGAGTCGTCACGCACCTAGGTGAGGCACTATTCTCTTGGACTTGAGTCGGTTTTACGACTCCGCGCCGTAGAAAAGAATAACGTACTTTCCCATCGGTGTGATGTGCGATGCTGTCACGGTGTCTTGCATCCTGGAATCGAACAAGCTCTACGCCATCGTGGTATAGTATATACGCGTTCGCTGCGAATGCATCAATAATTCGAGTAAGTACTTACGTAGCCATGTTCCGTGACGCGGCGCCGCAACGACCACGGCAAACGGTTGACTCGGTGACGCTGCCCCCGATCGTTTATTCTCACGATGCCGATCGAGCACGGTGACTATGTTCCTCAGCTCCCGCAGCCATCTCCTCCTCTGCTCTCCACTTCACCTAGCTAGAGGCTACCAACCCGCAATCAATGTCTCCTGGATCATCAATAGGTGTACCGTCACAGGTGACCAATCTGAAAGACCCTGTACCTCTGCACGAGATAGACCGGGCAAAGCGCGCAATCATTCGAGACTTGCACAAACAGCACGTAGCATTCACCAAAATAGCTGTATCCTTTGGCTGCGCAAGAGCAACTGTGGCAGACATCTGCAAAAATGTGACCAAGGACAACGTGAGCGAAGACGTGCGCTATCTCAATTCGCCTCCTGCAAAGGCGGAGTCGCATAGCAGAAATCAAAAGGCCAAAACGGGAGCTGAGGAAGATGATCATGACGATGCTTCAGGACACGAAACTTCAAGCGATTCTGCGCCTAACGATGATTCAGAGTATGAATATGAGTCTTCTGAACCAGATTCCGACTCGGAGTACGAGGAGATGACCGGCGAGAGGAGGGTGTCGGCGAGACTTCGGCGTGAGCCAGCACCATGTATAGTCTTTGTATCACCGGGCTAGCCTTTGACTGACGGTTGCATTCTCAGATATACGGACATCGCTATCACCCGATGTTGTCCTCCGTCATCCCCGCAAGCACAAGAAACAATCGAGAGCAAGGCAGAATGAAGGCTCTGACTCGGATGCTTCAGATGTTGCGGCCTCACAACCCGCGGGTGCATCTATGTCTCGGGCTTCACCGAGAAACATGAACGGTAGATTCTACATGAAATTGCTTTTAGGAGAGGACAATCTAACATGGTTCTTCCATCATAGTGCACGGGACGGCGACCAAATCCAACGGGCGGGCCCCCGGAGCGCGGACCGACTCAGCAACAGCTACAGTCAAAGCTCCCATGCTCCTTCCGAGGACAGTGCAACTCAAACGACCCCAACCCACAAGTTCGGCTTCCCGATCTTCGCATGGGCAGGCCCTTATCAGGGAACCACGGGGCCGTCCGAGTCGGGACGTACAACACCCTTCTCAGCCCTCTGCGGAAGTATCCAGCGTATCACCATGCATTCCGCATTTGGTTCGGCCAGCTCCTTCCTCTACTACCAAGTCATTCAGTAGCCAGCCACCGTCTCCAGATTCCGGTGGCCGCGATACTCGAGTATCTCCAGCTAAACGAAAAAACGAGGCCAGTGGTACTGTCAAACATGACACGCGCAAACTGGACATGTAAGCTGTTTCGAAGTGTCTTGTCTCGGACGACCCGGACTGTGGTGCTGATAGTACTGCTTTCGCAGCGACGACATGCAACCGCCCGAATCAAAGCGCAGCAAACTCCTGAGGTCAGACAGCCCGGCGGCACCCCTTGATATCGCAACGACTGCAAGTCCCCACGCGCCTGCGCCTGACTCCTCTACGTCTGTGCCTAGCCGCCCTAGCGCGCTGAAGGATGTACACCAGTCCGCATCTGCGGCTGATCGTACCTGCGAAGACGACGTGTCGTTAGCCAACGGCATCAAAATGGAAGAAGATGTCCGAGTCGAGCTTCCCCGAGCTCAAGGCGGCAGCAGCACTCAGACTCGGACTCCCACCGCGACGGTTCCACCGCGAGTGCCGACTCCGAGTGCGAGCACTGCACAACGGAGTGTTGCGCCAACAACGAGTGTAGATGGTCAAGAGTCACGCAATGTCGCGTTGCCTCTTGGGACATCGAGTCCTCGACCAAGGCAGTCGCCGGAGATATACATTGATGTCCGGTCTAGTAGCCCAGCATCACCTATTGCAGCGGCGAAACTGACAGCTCCAAAATCTCCCGTTTGGAAGGTGGACCCAGTCGACCACGCAGGCTCACAGCGGGTGAGTGTCGGCAGCACCAGCTCAGAGGCTCAGACTCTGTCTTCGGGAATACAACCTGCCAGTGCAGCCCACAAGTGCCCGCCTGCACCTCGCGACACCATCGATCCCGATGTCCGTCGCTACCTCGAATCACTCGGCTTTGAACCGGAGGTGTACGCGAGCAAGCTGGAGATCATCGGGTTGAAGAACGGGGCCGTCATCAACGCGATCAAGAACTTCGTCCCGGAGAGTCGAAAGGACAAGCTAGAGGAGGACCTACAAAACCTCGCGGGGTTGACGGTTGGGGAGTCGATGGCGCTGATCTCAGGGCTGAGGCGATCAGCCTAGCAGTTCTTGAAAGCAACGTGGACCCAGTTTACAGGTGTCCTGCAAGTTATTGGTGACTGCTAGTGGGATCAATTGCAGACCACGTCAGCGTGGCTTGGTTGTGGCATTCGCGTGGAAGGCTGATCAATGATGAGTGCCGGCGAAACACTGTATTGACCACCATACTGTACCACGGATCTCGCTCAGTTACTGACTCTGTACAGAACGATAGAATGCATCACTCGCACTGGCAGTTTCGTTTGGACCTCGACTGTGACTGTCTTCAGTGCTCACACGCTGTCTCAGACAGGGCTGCCTGGCGCATCCGACAGTGGCTCATCGCGCCAGCTTGACGAACCGTAAGAAATGTTCAGTTGCAATAATGATTGCATACGATGTTCTGCCAGACGGCGTGGACCGCGTGGTGTCCGGATCCAGGATGATACTGCAATATATCGAACAGGCCCTACGCCAATATTTGCGCCACGTACGCACGGCTGTGCTCAGAATGCATGAGAACCATTCGGTCAACTGAACGCGGTTTCCATGGTGAGCACGAATGCTCATGGAGCGACGAGTGAGCACGCGGGTTCAGAGCTCGATTCCACGGACTCAGCTATCGACTCGAGGCCGGACAGTCGAAATGCGCGGTGAAAAGAGCATAAAATGAAGGAATATTCGTGGTCGGAAAGCCACACTGACATTCGACGTCGGGCGACAAAAGGGCAGGAGGATATTGTCCGGCGTTCGGAGGTTACCAAATGAGGTCATACGGCGGGTGAGCGCGTGCGGCTAGTTCACTTCCGTCGCCCATTGATCGAGGGCTGCGCCTCCGCCACACCCCGTTTCCTTCAACCCCTTCCTCCTCCTCCTCTCGCTGGACTCTCTCCGTCTCTCCCCAACCTCTTCAACCCGACTCACCCAACTCAAATCCCCTCCTTCTCCACCCCGTCCTCGCCACCATGAAGATGGACGGATGGCAAGACCACCTCCACTTTGCCTTTATCGGAGAACACGTCCTCCTCCCCAGCCTCCACCTCGACTCGCTCTGGAAGTTTGCCGTCGCATCCGCTCTTTCTGTCGTTATATGCTCTTCCGAAAGGTCCGTTTATAGCTGCACTCACACGGAGAGCAGTCCACTCATTAGACGCGCCGTTGACTGTTTCCCATGCATGTCGGCCACAGGTTGCTCACGTATGCTATTTCGCAACACTGGGGCCCGGCATGCACACGTCGGTCACGCGTCCGCCAGGCTGCATGGAGGGCCTTCCTACACTGGCTCGTCACCTTTGACAGACTGTACGTCGCAGTCTTCTCATTACGTCGAACGGTTCCCGTTTACCGACCGTCGCACGCAGGATGTACATGCTCATCGCCATGACTTTCAGCATTGGGTATGCACTCATGTTCTGCTCGCTCAGAAGTGGCTCGTTGCTAACCCACGCGTCCCAGCCTGATCGTCGTCACCGTCACTACCCTCTCCTTCGGTCAGTTCATTATCGAACTGCTCCAGACCCCCCACTCGCCCACGCACAGCCATGGCCCCGGCAGCCCCGAATACAAAGAGCCGCTCCTCCCCTCGCACTCCTCGCACTACCAGGACCGCGAGTCCGAGGACCCGCACGGCTACGCCGACTCGTACCCACCGCCCATCCCGCTCACGCTCCCCACGCGTCGACCCGTGCCCATCCGCGCCTACTCCGAAAACTCGCACACGACGCGCACGGCACGGTCGGGCTCGACACGCTCAAAGCCAGATGGCCTGAACATCTTCATCCACCCGAGCGAGAACAACATCGCCCGGGCGGACGCCGCGGCGCGCGAGCTTGGGCTAAGCTCTGAGGAGGACGAAGAGACAGGTATCTACCGTGCGGATACGCCGGAGGACCAGCCTCTGTGGGAGCCCGGCAAGGGCAAAGACGTCGCGAGGAGTCTGCTGGGGCGATAGCGCGTCCGCAGTGAGCATTTTCATTTTCATTTTCATCCACTCTACGCACAGAGCATGCTTCAGACGGCACCGGAGCCGGCCTCCCCCTCATTCATTCAGATTATCCCGCGTGTTCTGATAGCCCCATTCTGCAGTCACGTCGCATTGGCTTTCTTCATCTTTGTAGGTAGATCCAAGCCCATATACGCTATAGCAAATAAAATGTACAATACGTGCGGAAGCATTCATCACGTTGACCATTCCTTGATACCCTCGTTTACTGTCACTGTCGACCCGTGTGCATGCAAGAACGTCTACTGAGATCAGACCATCACTCAACAAAACGCAGGTAAAATAAGTACCGCCGTCCAGCGCACCATCCAACCACACCACACGCTGATCCACGTCCGAAACCAGGTAAGCCTACCTCGCCACCCCCGCCTTCTTCACCGGGGGCCCCTTCCTGTCCCCAGAGTTGTCCACCGCCTTCTGCCAGCGGTCGATCAGCTTCGACACGCCCTGGTACGGCCGCTCCGGCGACGGCGAGCGCACCGGCTCCCCCTCGTCCCTCTCGACACCCGCGCTCAACTGCAGCGGCGGCAGTGTCGTCTTGCGCACCGGGAACGGCGACGGCGACGGTGCAGCCACGGGCTGTTCCTGCTCCCTCTCCCACTCCCTCTCCCTCGCCTGTGTCTCCCGCGCTACTTGGAGGGGCGACCGCCTCCCGGGCAGGCCGTTCACGCCATTCGCCTCAAACGAGCGCGCGACGGGGGACACGCGGCTCGGCAGGCCAGACATCCCGGGCGACCGCCGGCCGCTATCCCTCTCCGCCCTGCCCTGCCCCGCGTCGTCGGGCACCGCGAGGTTCGCCTTGGACATGACGGGCGAGGACGACGGGGAGAGCCTCGGGAAGCGCGTCGCCGCGGCGGAGGGGCTCGCGAGCGAGTCGGGCGCGGCGCCAGCGCCCGCGGACGACCTGCTCCTCGCGTTGAGCGGCGTGGGCTTCGTGGGCGAGATCGGGCCCGGTCCTGGTGGCGATTTCGAGGTAATGGCCTCGTAGTGCTGCACCATATCGGATATTGAGGACCGCCTGCCGGCGCGCGGGCGCGGGTTAGGCGGGGGCGAGAGCGCGTTCGCGGCGGTGCTTGCGGTGGTGGGTGCCGGGGATGGAGAGGGCCCAGGTTGCTGGAATGAGTGCGCAGTCTTGGAGGGAGAGGTGATGAACATCGACTGGGGACGGGAGCGCCCTGACATCGGCGGGGGCATCGAGGACGCCGTGGCCATTGGTATTGCCTGCATGCGCGACCCAGACGACGGTGCGGCGGAGGGCTGCCTCTTGTGCGGACTTGGTGGAGGGGCCATGTTCGACTGTCGGCCTGGAAGGGAAGTGTCGACGAGAGGCTGTGGGGACTCTGAGCGCGTCGGTTTGCTCGCGAGCGGTGGCGGGCGCGCAGCAGGCGAAGGCATGATGACCGACCTACGCTTAGATGCGTCGGCCACTCGCGAACTGGTGGTACTAGTAGTCGCGCTCTTGGCTGCAGGTTCTTTCTCCTTCTCGCCGACACCTCCCCAGAGATCGACCAGGTCATGTACTGAGCTCTGTCGGCCCTTGCTCCTAGCCTGCTTTCTCCTGTCCTCCGTGTTCTGCTCCCCATCACCCTTCAGCCTCGTCTTAACCTGCCGCGCCGCCCCATACCCAGATAAATCCTCAGGCCCTTCCTCACTCGAGCTACTCGACGAGCTCTTCAGAAGCGCCGCCGATGCAATCGGGCTCCAGTTCTCCGTGAGGCCGTTGGGCGAGGGCATGGTGCCTGTTCGCGACGTGCTCCGCGTGTCAACAGGTGGAAGCTGCAGCACACGGGTATTCGCGCTCCCAGCCGCACTCGAATTGGTACTCGCCTGCCGCGCAGCGAACGCCTTCGGCCGCACCGGCGAACGTGGCCTCTCCTCGCGTGGTTTCTCTTCCCTCTCGGGCTCCTTCCTCTCCCGACTGGGCCGAACGCCAGATGTCGGCTTTCGAGCAGCTGTGGGCTTGTCGGGGGACCCGCGTCGCGTAGGTTTCTCGTAGTTGGCTAGCACCTCCTCAGCCTCGAGCGGCTTCACCAGCTGGATCGGACTACGCTCGATGAAGCTTGCGCGTTTGCTCGGGCTCTCGCGCATGACAGGCTGCGGCTCTGGTTTAGACGGTGCATCGTCCTCGTCCGCACCGGTCAGCCAGTCCCTCGGTTCGGTACGGGGGCTCCGCTCGGGTTGTGGGAGTGAAGGCGCGTTTTCGCGGACGGGCAAGACGAGATTGGCAGAGTTGTTGCGCGAGGGTGTCTTCGAGCCTGTCGTCCGATGCCGCCGGGCAGCAGAGGGCCTGCTCCGGAGAACGGCGACGACGTCCTGCGGCTTCTCCCTGTCCTCGTCGTGCTTCGGCTTATGCGGTGAGCGTGGCCTGTCCTGCTCCCTACTCCTCGACGGTTCAGTAGGCGCTTGTGGAGGTCGCAGAGAGAGCGAGGGAGCTCGTGCAACACCAAATCGAGGCTCGCGCATTGCTGTACCAGTGACGTTTTGCGAGCGCGCACCGAGACCCTCGTGCACGTTCCGCTTCGCATTAGTGAACACAGAGCCATTCGAGGCGGGCGCAGCAGCACCTGTTATTGCTGCGTCTGCAACAGCCGAGCGAAGATACCCTCCGCGAGACGGTGGTCGTGAGCCAGTCGCGAGCTTCTCCGTCGACGAAGGCTGAGTCGGTGCATGTGCCATCGCGAACCTCTCTGCAGCCGTCCCAGGCGAGGGCGACCCAAACTCGCGATCAAGCTCCTCCAGCGACGGGAACCGCTCCTCCGCAGTTAACGCATCTCCCTTTGACGGACTCGGCCGCCATGACGGGGCTGGTGCAGTTCGAGGCGACGGCGACGGCACGGGCGAGTGGGAGCTTGGCGGTCGGAACGACGTGTTGTTCGTCCCAAGGCCTGATGTTTGCGAGCTCGACATCATCCCAAGGCTCGCGAGGCCTGTCCGGCTCATGCGAGCTTCACCAAGGGTCTGCGGAGGCAGCGGGGAGGCAAGCCCGAGTCCGTCGAACGCGTCCTGCGCCTTGCGTATAGAAGCGTTACGGTTTAGCCCCGTTGGCATCGATGGCGGGCGCGGAGAAGGCGATGGTTGCGGGTTTGGTGACGGCTGAGGCTTGGGCGACGGCAAAGGAGACCGCGCAGGCTGGAACGAGTCGCCAAACGTCTTCCCGAACCCTGAGCTGAAGTCGTTCCCGAATCCCTTCTCAAACGACGGCCGCGAGTCCCTCGACGGCTCCTGCGCCCCTTTCTGCCCCATGCCCCACGCGTCCCCAGCGTCTCTGTGTGCATGCACCACCGCCAGCCCAGACTTGTGCCCCTTGACGCCGCGCCAGACGCGGTCGTCGTCCGCCCCGAACTTCATGTCCATTTCGAATGCGCGCTCCTTCTTAGGACTCGACGGTGCCTGTGCCATGGGCGGAGGGCGCCCACGCCGCATCGGCGCAATCGCCTCCAGCACCTTGTCGCGTGCTTCGATGCCTGCGTTCTTCGATGGCGACGTCGACAAGGCCTGCTGTGCCTTGAGCGACACGAGGTCGTCCAGCGGGTTCGCTGGCGTAGACACGATATTTGGTGAGAGTGTCTGGAGCGGAGATGCAGCGGCACGCGTGGGAGACAAGGGCGGTGCCTTCGGCGGGACGTTATACGTGAAGCGGGACTTTGTGCCGCGCAGCCTGTGTACATGGTCCAGCAGTTCAAAAACAGTCGGCCGCTGAGCACCATGTTCACGCAGCATCGACGCTGCAGGTTAGGTTTCCATCAGTCGGTTCGCTAAATAGCGACCGTGGGACGCACCGATCAACGTATTCATCTGTTGTGAGTAGACGGGATAGGGTGGAATCTTGTATTGCACGTTGAGGATCGCCAACGGGCCGTGTTCCTCGAACGGCGTGGTATAATAGCATAGCTTGTAGAGAAGCACGCCGAGCGCCCATACATCGCTCTTCTCGTCGACAGGCCGCCGAAGGTAGACATCGACCATCTCGGGCGCGCGATACTGCAGAGTTGTGTGCCGGTTGAGGTCCGCCTCGAGCATCCTGATCTCCTGCACATTCGAGGGTACCTTCTGGACAGGCGTAGCACTCCCAAAGTCACATAACTTGTAAAGCGTCGCGGAGGCCTGCAGGATGTTCTCAACCTTGAGGTCCCGGTGAAGTAATGGCGGCTTCAGCGAGTGCATCGCCGCGAGACCCTCGCACACGTCGCAGAAGATCGTAAGGATCTCGGGCTCCGTCAGTCGCTCGCGCAACCGACGGTTCATCATGTCGATGATACCTCCTCCGGCACAGTATTCCATGAGGATGAAGACTTCGTACATCCCATTCGGAAGGCGGTGCCACGCGGCGTCGATCAGATATACAATGTTCGGGTGCCCTTTCAGGATTCTCTGCAAATACGTAGGATCGTCAGTTACGGTATGGCATGGCACGGCGAAGGAGGTTTTCCAGGATGATGTGCACGGTCTAGACGATTAGTATCCGCCGGCAGCGCCCTGAAAGTGCGTTGAGACAACTCAACAATTGTGCCAGTACAAAGCACCGTCCAGACCGTGTCGGGTCAGAACTTCGGACAATCATGAGTGTATGGCCATCCAGCATGGGAGCATCCAGAAAGCCTGCAGATCCTAAGGACAGCATGTCGACACAAACTCTGCCCACCCACTGCGTACGCTGCGCGAAGTGCCTAACGTCTGCTGAACTGCAGGGGCTCCGAACACGCACCATGATGTCGACCTCCTTCTTAACCTCCGTGAGCATGCCCTCATTTGGCACCGCGATCCGCTTCAGGACATGGTGGGTCGTGTTGATCACGGGCGTCGCCGTGCGCACCAGATAGACGTGGGCGAAGCCGCCTGCGGAGGATGGTCATCCCGGCCTCGCCGTGTCGACGCCTGCGTTACGCACCTTGGCTGAGGTAGCGCTCGACCTGGACGGTGTACTTGTTGACGGCGATCGTCTGGCCGGCGACGAGGGTGCCCTTGTTGGGCTGCATGTAGGCCTGCGCCATGGCGGCCATGGTGGTGGGTGGGAGAAAGCGGGTGCGTGCACTGTGCAGCAGGCCGCTGCTGCCGCTGCTCGAGTGCTCAACGTTGCTAGTTGGCAGACTTGCCTGATTTGGCTATGTTGTATGAACGCCCACGTGAGGTCAGGTGACTATGACGGTGTACCCCGTAGCGAGTAATCTGGACGATCGCGGAGGCAGCAAACGGCTCTCCGTTCACGCTCTGCACTTGCATTCGGTCCTTTTCCGCGGCCGGTATATTAGGGCAGCTGTGGTCACCATATTAAACTCCTCTCTCACGCACAGCGACCATGGCCCACCTACACACCCCCGCTCAGCACGCCGTACCCTTCTCGCGTCCCGCGACACCGGGTCATGTAGCCCAGCACCTCGGATTCTACGGTCTGGGTGCTATGGGGTACTTCATGGCGCGCAACCTGGCGAAGACACGCTCGACGCATGCCGCAGCCGGTCCGCTCCTGGTCTACAACCGATCGGTGGGCAAGTGCGAGCAACTGCAGAAGGAGCTCGGAACGGACAAGGTCCAGATCGCGAAGTCGCCCGAGGAGCTGGTGCAGGAGTGCGACATCATCTTCACGAGCCTGGCGAGTGACGCCGTCGTGAAGAGCGTATATGAGCAGTTCGCGGCCGCGCTGAAGGTATGTATGTGCGATCGGCAGGCGTTCATCGTGTATATCTACCGATGCCATACACAACGTAGGCAAAGCCGCCCACGAAGAACAAGATCCTCGTGGAAATGAGCACTATATATCCCTCTCTGGCCGGTATGTGCATGCCTGCTGTCAGCCAAGTACGTGTGCTGATCACCCCGCAGGCGAACTGGATACGCTGTTGAGTGAGATCCCGCACACACACCTGGTCACCGGACCCGTGTTCGGTCCCCCAGCTGCCGCAGATGCCGGTACTCTCATTTGTATCCTCGCCGGAGAATACCGAGCAAAGAAGGAGGTGGCGCATATTCTTGTCCCAGGTGTGGGCAGGAAGGTTATGGACCTGGGCGGTAACCTCGAGAAAGGTACGACACTGCAGTCGAAATCTTCGAGCTAGGCCGTAAACTCTAAATGTGCGTTTAGCCCCGATCTTCAAGCTCATCGGAAATTCCATGATCCTCGGGTCGCTCGAGATCCTCTCCGAAGCGTTGACACTGTCGGAGAAGACGGGCATTGGCTCCGGGACCACATACGAACTGATCAAGGAACTTTTGCCAGCCCCAGCGTACGTCCCATACTAAACGACTGTGTAGCATTGCTAACTAGTTCTGTAGCTTCATCAACTACGGCAGCAAGATGGTGACAGACTCATTTGATGGACTGAAGGGCTTTGCTATCGATGGCGGCCTAAAGGACGCGAACCACGTTCGAAGACTCGTGACTGAGTACAACGCGCCCATGCCTGCCGTCGTAAGTGTCAGCTATCGATCTCAGAGCGGCTCAGCCTGACAAACACACAATCTCGCAGGACGCTGCACATGGCCATCTCCTCACGGCCCGGGCCATTCACCAGGAACAGACGAAGCGGGGGGAGCAGGCCTTCGATGTCCTGGATTGGAGTGCAATGGTTGCAGGCACTCGAGTCGCGGCCGGCATGGATGCGTTTAGCAACTCTCAGGTACGTTCCGTCTGCTTTCTAGAAAACACGCGCAAGCGCCTCATGGTCGCCATCTAGCCTGCGAAAGTTGTCAAGGAGGGATAGAAGATGTCAACTGTCGACGTTGTTGTACTTTAGTTGTTGTAGACTCGTATTCTGTCGGACGTTAACGGAGTTCTGGAGAGGATGTATTTCTACCCTTACCGCAGTGTTGTTGTATCCGTCTTAACTGTACCAGATTAAAGTCTGGCACATTGTGGGATGATATCTGTCGCTCTTACCAGCGCGGTGCGCGAGCGATGCAGCCTACAAGACTCGTGAAGCCTCGGAAACAATGTGGAGGGCGAACACTAGACCTTCCAAATGCGTGCGAAAGTGCCGCTGACGGGCGCTCCGCCACCGACATTGGTGTGCAGTGGCATTTGCGACTTGGCCGCCAACGACCAATGTTCGCCCGACCGCTGCGGCAGCCTTGCTCGCCTCCCGCTCTCCGCCATGTGCGCACATATGTCGTGCGCCTTGAGCCTACGGTGGAATACCCCAACCAGCCCGGACCGCGCAAGTACAACGCGCGCAAAACCTATCTATACAACAAGTACACCCACCTAATCGAGTCCAGTCCACAAAAACCCGTCCTCCTCTTCATGCACTCCGGATTCACGGTGCCACGACTCATAAATCTGCGACTCGACATTGCGAAAGCAGCGGCGCGGCATGCCAGCGCACCGTCGCTAGTGGGGCCTTCACCAGCTCCGGCCCAAGAGCCACCCACGCTCACCTTCATACGGTCGTCCATCTTCGGTGTCGTATTGCGGGACCTTACATCCCTCGACAAAACCACTGTTGTCGACTTTGCGAGCGAGATAGAGGGCGGTCTCGCGGCGCTCAGCTTCCCGAACCTCAACCCACCGCAACTGAACGCCATCCTCAAGATGCTAGAAAAGACGCTCCGGCCGCCTCGCCAGAAAACCGAGGCCGAGCTCGCGCACGAGCGCAAGCTGGCCGAGGCGTCATTCGTACCCGGCCGACGACCCAAACGCGTACGAGACCCACCCACCCCGCAGCTCACGCTGGCCGGCGCGCTCATCGAGGGCCGGCTCTTCCAGGCGCCAGGCGTACTGAAGGTGACGGAGCTGCCGACCCTGGAAACGCTACGTGCGCAGCTGGTGGGAATGCTGAGCGCTCCGGCGATGCAGCTGGCGATGGTGCTCGGTGAGGCGAGTGGCGCGAAGTTGCATCGGACGCTGGAGGGGTTGAGGAAGGGGCTGGAGGAACGCGACGCGGGGCCGAAGGAGGGGCAGGCTACGGAAGAGTCCTCGTCATAGTCCGTGTGTCGTCGCGAGCTGCACGTCTGCCTATCGTAAAATGCTAATTGCTGGGTTTACCGGGACGCATAGAGCTCTCGTAATGTCTCCGTGGAAGTCGGCGGTTGACTGAGTACGGTATCTGTGTTTCGAGGTCTGCCCATGATGTCAACCACAGACAGCTCCGGCTGCGCTCATGTGTAAACCCGACCTTCGACCGGGACCGCTCACTGAGTCATAACCAGGTTATTGCGAGTCCGCCCGCTATGTGCGCCGACGGAGCTCGCGGCGTACCACGCCCGCTGCTCAGGAGGCCCCACCGCCGTCCGAAGGTATGTCTTACCCGCTCCCTTCCCACCTACTCTGACGACCGGCATTACTACCTATATGTTGACTAGAGCCGCTGCTACTCGGAGTTTGAAGCTTACAGCTGCAGCGCCTAGCCTCATGAACAGACACTGCCTTGGCTGTCATATCACATAGCTCTTGCGCGGCACCCAACGGGCCAAGACATATAACTGTAGACACCCGTTCATGAGGCAATGCCCCAACTCCGACTGAGTCTCAGTGCCCACCATGTACGCCGGCGCTGACTCGACATACCGAGCGGACTCGGAACATCGGCCACATCGCAGCTCAGTCAAATGATTTATATATACGCCCATTTCTTCTAGAAACGATGCATGAGGCGTTAGGCTCCTAAATCTGCTGGAGAAGGCTTCCAGGATATTTGGGTTCCACGGTGAGTTCCCTTTGCTGGCAGACAGCTGTTTATGGGCGCGATGTAGCGGACGCATGTACCCCTTCATAAAACGCGAGGAGAGGTACTATCGCTGGTGGTACGTCCATCTTCATGCGATTGTGGCCGCCCTGCATGCAGCATACATCCACAGGTGTCCGCACAGACCCGCACAGACCCGCACGAGCGGTCATTTTATGCAACCTGACGCTCCGCGTGCCATACATCAGTATCATGAGTTCCGTTTGGAACATCAGCTTGACGTTCAGTTCATTCACAGATTTCTTATCTGCGTGGTTAAAGCGCGACAGACTTCCCCCACTCCCTACGGTCTACCCACTCAGCCGGATCGACCATGGAGACAGGTGTGTGGCAACTCCTGTTTCTGAGTTCAGCATGAATCGTTTAGACTGGCTACAGACGGCCATCGGATGCGCCTGAATAACCTCCTGCAAAGCCGGAAGACTCTGCAGTTAACCTGGCAGACTACCCAGTCTGGGCTGGCTCATCAACCTACTTGGCAGGCCATCGCGTACAGTAAGTGGTGTGGCGTCAGCAAAATTCTCCTGATACGGTACTGATCGAATCATCTAAGTCAATGGCGCGGAGCACGGCAGAGGAACAGCCCAGACGCAGGGACAAGCGAAGGAATTGGCAGCAAGAGAAACTTATAATAAGCTTGTGAGCCAATCTCGGTAACTCCACAATGGAACGTAAGTGAGGCTGTGGTTTCCGATGATTCTTCATTTTGACAATCTGCGGACCGCTTTGTTTCGCAACCTGTAGGGTCGGCGTAATCTAGGCTACCTACGAGGTCGTCAGATCTTGATGTTGCCCTCTTGCTAACAGCCTTAGCTGTGTAGCGGTTCTGGGGCAACCTCTTGACGAGTTTTGGCTTATATGAACGAAATGAATGACTGCTATACTTACGCGACGTTACGCTCACCGGAAGCTGCCGCAGTGTAACCGTTACGAGCGAGAGCAGGGACATATCGGGAATTCGACCGGCAGCATGACCCGGAGACTCGGTTCAAGCGATCTTACTGATACACAGCCAACAAGGCCAACAATCCAGGATACTCGAATAGCTCCACAACTTATTGAACATGCTTCCATCTATAATCAAGTTCGTCAGATGTGTACAGCATCTAATCCACGGAGCTCGTATCCCAATGCGAACAAATTCATCGCAGAAGTGTATTATTTTGTGTCAACATCTGTGCCAAGAAGAGCATGAGGTCAGTCGGTTTGTTTCAGCCGTTATGCTCGCTTCGGCTGACGATGCCTCATTCAGGCCTCATCGTTGCAAGGGTGACCATCAGCGTTGCAACACGGCGAATTCCCGTACATCTATCCCTTCCTTATTGGGACGGGAGTGCAACACCAGACTAGCCGAGCGAAGAGGATGATTGCCTCCCCGCACTCACCAACTCTTTTGCGCCAACTTCGCGAACATTCTTATGCGAAAGTGAAGCTAAACTCTACAGGTCATAGCTGTTCTGTATTGTTCTGGCGACGTTCGGCGGCTCGCTGTCCATTCTCGGGCGCAACCGGTGAGTAACTAGACAACAACGTAGCATTCTGACAGTGAGTTGGCTGCCATCCCTGTCTGTGGATGCCGTTACAAGAAGTTTTCACCGTTGTGTGTGTAGTGCTGCTGAGTGGACTCGCCGGCAGCCATATGACATGAGCTTACTCGGGGCTGCCTCCGAGGCGCTTCGTTAAATACAATTTACGAACCTTGTTTCACGAGGGCCTCGTGGGAGGGCCCTTCATATCCGCTCGGCCTATCTAAAACGAGAAGCTGCTTTCTCTTTCCTGCGTCCACCAGTCTTCTAGCTTATATGGTTGCGGTTCTGAGCGCGGCGCATCGCGCGACCAACCTTTGAACCGAACCACCATGGGGATCAACACCGAGAGCGTGCAGCAGAAACTCGAGTCGACGATCTTCGTCAAACTCAACTCGTCGGGCCACCCGTATGAGGAGCACTACGTAGCCCATATCAAGGTATGGGAGGCTGGGCAGGATGGCAGAGGGAAGAAATCACGGTACATCGTCTTGTCTCGTATGTTTTGATCTCCAATTTGGTACACACACGCAGTGACTGAACGAAACCACAGAGGCAAGCGATGGATCGGGCTTCATTCACAAAGCAAAATTCAACTGCAACGGTGCGTTCTCTGTCGGAAAGACATGGAGGATTGAAGAGCTCCGGGAAATCGAAGTCATCAACGTAAGTCCACTCGTCCCTTCCGCCGCGCGCACAGACTTCAACGGTGCCCCCAAACAGTCGCTGTCGTTTGAGATCACTCCGAGCGCTACAACATATCGTTGGCAGGCGGACAACGCCCGAGACCAGACAAAATTCATCACCTCCCTCATCAGACTGTTCAAATTCGTTACAGGAGGCACAGTGCCATTACGGCTGATCGGGGTAAAGGATCCGGATAGCCATGGGTCGTGTATGTAGCATCGTCCACCATTGAGTTCGTCGAACGCAGCCAAATTAACGGCGCATGGTGAAGCTCCCAAAGCTCCGCCTTCTAGTTACAGATCGCCGCAGATGCAGGAAATCCTGGTGCACAACAAAGCCGTACTCGCACAGGGCAGAAACAACGCCCAGGGCCACGCCGCGTCCGTCCCTCCTTCGAAACCGCCGGTGGTGATATGGAAGCGACCGGTCGCCATGTCGCCGCTACCTCCCATACCTGCGTCCCCGGTACCCCCTGTAGCCATGCGGCAGTGAACGTCGAAGCCAGGCTTCCCTTCTTGCTGTGGACACGCAGACAGGAGTCGGCGTTCGCCATGCACTTTACCGTAGTTTATTTTCTATTATTTCGGACGGACGACGGAGATGAAGTTATCTGTTGCCACATTGTATGATCAGTGTACCTGTACTTATAGAGATCCTTGTTCGAAGATAGTGCATCGTACTTCGGAGACCCGTGCCGCACCAGAAGAGACGCGGTGAAGTCAGAAGAGCTGCTCGCATTGGAGGTGGGATACAACGAGCAAGTACGCCGCGCACAACACAGAACAAGAGTCTGAAACGGTCATCGCCGTTTGGATTCCCTGCGATCGTCCAGTCCAGGAGAGCTTCTCCGCTTCCTGCACAAGAATTGCCATTAGCACCGAGCAGAAGTCGCCGCAAATCCTAGCCGCACGCACCTGCTGCTGCTTCGCTCATCATCTGGGGTGCCCCGGCTCCTCTCTCCTCGATCGTCCCTGCTACTGCTGCCGCCCCCGCCCCCACCATAGTCCAGGCCGTCCACGGCAGGCGCACTGCCATCAATGTCCCTGTACTTCGTCTTATTGCGCGGACCAGTGGGGACGTTCGGAGGCAATGGCGATGCAGGCCTTGCAAGAACTGCACATAGATGAAGACGATGAGAAAGAGCTGGTCAGGTTTTAGGACAGAACATACCGCGACCGCGAGGTGCGTAGGCCGCTCGTCCGCGCGCAGGCATCGAAGGCGGTATACCACGACCACGGAATGAACCTGGCATGGGCCCGCCGCCGCGTGTAGGGGTAGGAGTACTGGTGGGAGCTGGAGTGTGGTTGCCCTCTGCTCCGCCGAACATCTGCTGGCCGGGCTGTTGGCCCATGTTGCCCGGTTCCTGTCATGTAAAGTAACAACGCGCCGCAAGGGAAAGTGCTGTTTGTTAACAACCGAAGATGCTAGCGGAGTCAATGGAACGTACCTGCATGTTGAAGTCGCCACCGCCCATCCCTGGGCCAGGACCATTGACACCAGGTCCAAAGCCGTCACCCAAGCCCATCCCACCTTCAGAGCTCGGCTGCCCGCCCGCTCCAGACTGTGCTCCCGGGCCACCAGCAGGCGCACCCTCCCCTTGCATCATGCCCATCTGCATGCCAGGGCCGCCGCCGGGGCCACCCATGCCCATCTGCATACCCGGCCCGCCACCCATACCCATACCCATCTCGCCCATGCCCATACCCATATCCTGCATCATGGGATTCATCATTGGCATGTTCATCATCTGGCCCATCATCGGGTTCCCGTTCATGTTCATACCGCCGGGAGGCATCATGCCGCCGGGGCCGCCCCCGCCGCCATTCATCATGGCGGTGGAGCCTGCGATGACCATGCTGCGTATCTCGGGTGGGAGGGCGGTGAGTTGGTCTTCTGGCATGCCGGCGAAGTTCTATACCGTACGGTCAGTGATTAGTCCATAGTCAGCAGGCAGGTTGAATAGCATACTAAGACGTTGTTCTTCAGCACGCTTGCGACCTCGCCCAACTCGCGTCTCCTGTAACAATAAGCCTCCCACGAGATCTCGTCGAAGCCATAGTTGAACCAGTCGCTCAGATCAGAACCTGGCCGCCTCCATGACTTCTCCGCGAGGGCAGTTAGGTCGACTTCAAGGATGGACCGACCATCGAGTGTTCCTGGAATAGCAGGATTAATGGAGGGATGTGACGGAGGTGCTGTGGTAGGGGGGAGGGTAGCAGGGTCAGGACCAGTGCCGTCGGCCTGTGTGTGCCCTTCTATTGAGCTCTGGGAACCGGCTGCTCCGGTCTGACCTGGACGTGGCGATTGCGTCGACGGTTGTGGAGTAGCCAGTTTTGTGAGGGACCCTCGTTCTCGTGGGGTGTACTCGGTCGTGAGTGACGGAGCCGGTGCCGCTATCAGTGACTTCAGTGCACTATACCGATCATGATACACCATATGTACGTACGTCGAACAGGCGTACTAGTGCTCGTTGTCCTGGCTGGCATTGGTCTTCCGTTTTGTTGCCTTCATGCAGTCAAACTGTTTGAGCATATGCGACCTTGGTCTGACAAGCAACTTACCTGAGGTCCAGAGACCGCGAGGGTTGCTCCATGATGATCTCAATATCCTGTGCGACATCTTAAGCAGAGCTGAGAGGCACAAAAGACAAAGGACACGTACATCATCACTCTCTTCCTCTTCCTCCTCCTCTTCTCCGCCGCCGCCAGCCTCCTCCTCCTCCTCTTCTTCTTCTTCTTCTTTGGGCTCTGGAGCTTCGGGCGTACCATCCGCGTTGTCTGTCTCCGCAGCCTCCGCCTCAAGAGTGGCAACTAAACCTTGGGTGACAGACTTCGTCTGTTCAAGCGATATTCTAACGCATGTATTGTCAAGGTCGTTCCGCTCTCAGACGAATATGGACTCACGGCTGTGGCACTGCATTATGCGTTGCTGAAAAGACATTCGTATTGCGGAAGGATGTACAACATGTGTTACTCGACCGTGCCTTTCTATGAAATTCCACAATCCTTACCGGGTGTTTGCACGGGCGACTGCACACGGGCATGTTCTGCATTGTCCTTGGACTCTCCATAAAGGAAGGCATCGTCGTCATCCATGTCGGCGTGGTGTACCTTCGCGGTTCTCAACCCGCGACGTCCTGAGTACGCACAATACGGCGAAGATTAAGTCCCTGGTCCGATGGCCGTCGCGTTGCCTGACTTGCCTTCGCGCTGGCGCAGTGGCAAGTTGCAACGAGCGTCTCTGTGTCGGGCGCCAAAGAGATTGCGGTCACGTGGGTGCACCTGCTCAAAAATCCCCGATCGCGAGTTTCGCAGCGCGATCGCCCAGAGTCCTCGCGGAGCTGCAAGGCTTGCTGTTCTCCTACACCCCGACGCTCCTCTGTCTGCAACCGCGACGGCATATCATTCGCAAATCATAATCAAGACTTGGGACCTCTGAACTGCTTCGACCTTCACACCACCGTCAGCCATGGGGAAATCTCAGAAAAAGCGCCAAATGAGGAGGCATAATCCTATGCGTGTCCCCGACTCGCATCTACCCAAGGGACTCGAGGCCGCGTCTTCGTCGTCATCCAGGAAGGATGCTATCCTCCCCATCCTGCAGAAGGTGAGCTATCTCGTCCCCACTCCATGAATGAGCTAACCGCGGCACTAGATGGAGAGTGTAGATCCTGCAGAACGCAAATGGGCATGCGTTGCTGTCTCAAATCTCATTCAAAACGATCCGTCGACCCGTAGGCTGCTGCAAGGCAAGAACGTTGTGGGCGCCTTGATCAATCGACTTTCAGACAGCGAAGAGGAAGTTATAGTGGAAGCTACTGGATCACTGCGGTACGTACAGTCCTCAACTCTCGTAATTCACGTTTACATCTGCTCATGTCGTCGCATAGGAACCTATGCATAGACGGCGGATTTGACATCTGTGCGGAAATGTATAACAAGAACATTCTCACACCTCTCAAAACTTTCATTCCCAAGGTTGCTCTAGAATCCGAGTCTTCTGAGCCGATCTGACGTCGCGCCCAGATCTCAAAAACCCTATCTGAATACCTGGAAAACCCAAAAACTGCACCGGAGAACGCGCAGCAGCTCGTCTACGAGTTCGCAGACAATGTCATAACCATCCTGTGGTGCCTGTCGTAAGTAGAATTCCGCTCTAACAGCGGACTGGACCTAAGGAAGACCAGAGAGACTTCGAACAAGGCCATGAACGCCATCAACCAGATCTCGCTGGTCCCATTCCTCATGTCGTTCCTAGCGTCAAGGGACAAGCTACCTATCTCGACTGTGACATCTGCAGGTTAGTGGCACTACTATCTGTCAAGTGAATAGCAACGTCTCATCTCGGTTCCCAAGCACAATGTTTGTATGTGCTCACCGATGAGAACCCACCTGCCGTCGAAGAGGTCCGATCAAATGCGCCTTACTCCGCCTGCATTCTCTCCATAGTACAATCGAGGGAAGGACTGCCTCAGGCTAATGGGAAGAACAAGGAGGTCGAGTACGACCGAAGCCTTGCTCTCCAGGTCCTCTGCTGTGGTAAGCTTTACTCATCCTCAGTCATGAATATGGTCTAGACAAGTCGGCAGGGATCCTCAGGAATATCTCTCCGGTCCCGCCTCCTTCTGTCGCGGCAACAGTCGCTGTAGACCGTGACATCGTTATGCCAACCCTAGAGCCTGTCTTATCCCTGATTTCCTTGCCCGAGGCGTCACAAGACGCCCAGGAGCAGATCGCCAAAGAAGTCAGTTTGTGCTATCAGCTTGCTAGAACTCACGTGTCCTGATCTGACATCCGTGTTACGTCTAGGACGCTATCCCAGCACTGGAGAAGCTGTCGCTAAAGCACACGCCCAAGTCGGACCATAAGACGCCCTCGGAACTCGAGCTCGAGCGGTTAGAGCACAAACTACGAACGGTGCAGTTAGCGCTCGAGGTCCTCACGGGTGTCTGTGCAACGCTGCCCGACCCCGACTTTGACGTACGAGACACGGATGGCGAGGGTGCCGACGAAGACGACGAGGAGGCGCACGAAGGTCAGTCGTCTATCGATCCTTCTAGGCATCTACGCATCGATTTACCGGCGTTTCACCGCTCGTCGCGCCCTGCTAACCTATTGCGTCCTTAAGATGAAGACATGGACGACGAGCCTGACGTCGACATGGCGCCTGACGATGAATCAGGGATGAAGGCCCGGAGCGGTTCGAATGCGACAATCTTCCAAACGCTCGTCGCTCCCCTCCTCACTCTGATCCAGCCCACATCGCTCTCCTTTTCCCCTCTCGATGGACTTTCCCCCCATCCGCCCACTACCTCAGCGCTCAGTGCGATTCACGTCAGCGCGCTTGAGTGTCTGAACAACATCTTCCTGTCCCTTCGTAGTGCCCAGGTCGATGCACTACGCGCCGATCCAGACAGCGGGCGGAGGGTCTGGGATTCGGCCTGGCAGGCGCTCGGTGCCGTCGGGACCGACGTTGACAAGCCTGGCCAGGAGCGACGGCGCGCGATGTGGGAAATCGGTGTCGGCGTGCTCTGGGGCGTGGCCGAAGTGTGGAAGGGCCTCCTTGCGCCAGACGAGACACACGTCAAGGTGCTCATACAGTTGTGTGACGCTACCACTGACGAGGGCGTCAAGGTGAAATGCATTGGTGCACTTGAGTGTCTCGCGCAACATCCGGAATCTGTAGATGCGAATCGGGTGTGTAATGACTTCTCACAGCCCGGCCTTGGAGTAGAGCTAACGTGTTTCCTCGCGCGCCTCATAGGTCATAGCAACGTACTTGCTCTCGCTGCTCCCACCTTGGCCCGCTAAGCCGACGCCGAGAGAACCTCTACTCCAGGCAGTGTCGGCGCTCGTAGACATATACTCGGACGAGACGCTACCGTATGACACAAATTTCAGGCAGGGGCGGTTCCTCGACGCGCTCGTCGCGAGCGTGGAAGGCGTGCGGAAGGCGGTGCGCGGCATCGATAGGAAGAAGGAGCGGGAGCTCAGGGCACGGGGCGAGGAAGTCCGAGACAACCTGGTCGCATTCATCGAGTACCGCAGGGGGTTAGGCGTTTGATTGCGCGTGCGCAGGACCACTGTAATTGCGTACCGAGGGGCAGTGCCACGGTAGGGTCCCGCAGCTAGGTCGTTCCATGCTAGTACAAAATGGAATTGAGTTGTGTCTTTCGTGACACAGCACTAGTGGTGTAAAATTCTCAGCGCCATAGTCTACGGGAGTTGGGCGATGGTCGGTATGTCGTGAGATTTGAGTCATGTTCGCGTGCGTATGTCCGCATGCACAAAGCTTGCTACCCAGCTTAGCCCCGCCAATTGAGTGGGATGCTTGGTCATGACCGAGGCGAGGGCGACGGCTTTCTCGGTCTTGCGGGTGTGCAACTTGTCCGCGACTTCGATGCAAACGGTCGGACGTCTGACACCATGACAAATGGTGGAAGGGTCTCCGTCACATCCGAGTCGCCTTTCGGCGACGGGAGTCGGACATTTTGGGATGTTGATGGAGCCTAGAAGCAGCATCGTGATGGACCTGTATCCCAGATCGGCGGGTCGTCTGAGTCGTGAGCGGCTGGGATGCACATGCCGCGGGCCGTCCTGCAGTTACCAAAACCCAGGAGATTGGGCCGCATGAGCAAGAGATCCCAGAAGTCAGCCGCACGATCGTTCGGCAAGGGTACGTACAAGAAGCTGCTGGACGCTGGACCGATGATGTCGGGAGTTTCGTTGGCCTCCCATAGAGCGTACCAAGCGTGGCCCTGGTGCCTTCCGCTGTAAGGACCGGTGGCGCTGGCGAGGCCGGCCGAGGGCAAGAGACGTGAGGGCAAGGGACGTGACATTTCGCAGCACCCGAGGGTGCACAGGTACCGGCGACTGAGAACAGTGGTGCAGGTGCAATTCTATCAGTGGCGCCGTACTAACCATATGAGTATGTCAGTGGTATAGGACGCGCTGGTGGACTGCGTACCTCCGAGGACATACCACGGTGAGCAGCTAAGTCGAGATCGCAGACGGGTTCATCTACATCGATGGCGGCACGGTGCATAATACACAAAAAGTCTCTCCTGACGAAGGCGAAAGCGCCGGTGGAATGTCCAACTGGAGATGAAGCACCAACGCCGAGATATCGGGGTTGTGGACGCTGTGTACGGCAGCGTTGTAGATAGGATGATCCTGTCATAACTTCTTGACTATGCGGAGAATTATTCTGACACACGCACCTCATCATCCACCTTGGTGTGCCTGTCGGTCAGTCAGGAGCATTATCTTGTGTAAGAGACAACGTTACACGTACTTCACTCGGTGCTCTGGTTCGACATTCGTGCCGGCGAGGAGGGAGGAAGATGGGCGCTTTGTTGACGAATTGAATAGACTTTTAGCACGATGTATCGGTTTCACATAGAGGTAAGTTGCGGCCTGAAACCATCGCACAGTTCTTGGCATTCTCATAGTCCACTCCTGCCAGTGTGTGGGTAGCCGGCGAGCCCAGGGCGTTAGGGACGACTCGACGTCGAGTCACGTCTGAGATCCAAATACACCTGTCACAAGTGTGTTATCAGACCATATATCAATAATTGTACTAGATGCACCACAAAATTGTAAGGGGGTTGAGACGGCCAGCGACGTGGTGATTGTCGCAAAGCCGTGGTCGACGGCTGTCTCGAGACGCGTCGGTGGCGGAGGTAGTACTCGGTCACGTGTATACGACGCGTCTCAGTTCTCACGGTTCGAGCAGCCAGTGGCCACTGTACGGACTCTGTTTCAACCTCCACTCGCGATCTCGTGTAGCAACGTCTGTATCAACTCTACTGCGACATTGCTGCAACATGGTGGCAGAAGTCAGTATGCGCCACTTTCCCGACTTCTCTGATGCCTCTCTCGACCAAGACTTCTCCGAATCCTCGTTCCAAATCCCGACAGCTGGAGGCTCAAACGATCTCCTGATGGACGAGGACAGCATCACCTTCCTGCCTAACGCAGACAACACTCTCAGCACACCCATGGTACCCCGCAGAACTCACGCGAGTAATCGCGCACCCTTGACTCTGCAAGACTTGACGCCGAGATCGACCCGTACACGAGCAACACCCGCACGTTCGTCCCTCCGTCCTCGCGCACGGCCGGCCATTGCGACGCCTCTCCGAGCCACCATAGCGATGGACATCTCCGATGCTTTATCCGAGGATATATCCGCCTCGGGACAGGATCTTTCTTTCCAGATACCTACTACCGCCGCGCAGGGGACTGATTACCTCTTGGACACACAAAACAACATCAATCTTTCCGACTGCGCAGACATCACCCTGAGCGCCGGCCAGCAACTGTGTCCCACTTCATCGGATCCACTGACGCTCTGTCAACTCAGTCCACAGTTCAATGAATCCTTATCCGAACATTCAACATCTTCGACTTCTCGGCTCACGCCAGAACCTGTTCCAGATGAACCCCTTCAGGCTCGTGCTGAGAACGCTTCCGGATCCATCGATAGGAGTCAGGGAATAGAACCACTTGCCATTCAAGGTGCGTACAGGCTTTATTCCACGCTAGAAGCTTTGAAGCTCATGGAATGCCAATGACTGCTTCGCCCGCTATGTTCAATAGTCACACCATCGGAGCCGAATATAGAGGAGCACCAAGTGATGCCACATGCTGACCCAGACCATGCCCTTTCCAAACCATCGGAAGCGTGTGGAGATTCAATGGCTACTACAGCCAAGCGAGGCACTCGGAGGACGAGCGATCAATTAAAGCGACGGAAGCCGGTACTGTATTCGTACTGCTCAGTTGTTCACAGGAGTTCTCATGCTTGTGTGTATCTCCTTTTAGACGGTACTACACGGCGGAATCACGAAGGCAAAAGCGAAGGTGTCGAAGCCCGCGACCAGCGTATCCCGATCGCTCAGTGGGAGAACTGTATCAGCAACGACGACTGCGAAGCCACCGCTGATCACACGTGTGCGATCTCGTGCAGATACCTCGAATGCGCAGAGCAAGCAGCGTGCTGCAGCGAGCTCCATGAAGACAGGCGATGCCCAGAAGAGTAAAGTGCTGAGTAATGATGGTGGCAAAGGCACGGTAGGGGGTTTGGCTAGCACCCTGATGTCATACGGCCTCCGACTCACTGATAATCTCGCGAGGTGTGTGTGCTAGTCTGCTTGTGGCGAAGACGATCCTAACCGGTAACCAGCTCGAATTCTCAACAAGCTACCGAACCCGTACTGAAGACGAATTTGGCCGTCGCCCCCGTCGTCACTGCACCGATGTCAAAATGCACCAGTCCTGACATGATCAACGCGGATACCGCGGGTGCGGCAGGCGATGGAAGCAAATCAGAGGGACAGGGGCAGTTCGAGCGGCTGCTTTCCGAACCCCGATCCGCGTCCCCGGAGGCATATCGCGATACCGATCGACGCACTGATTTGCCGCTCACGCTCTCCCAGCTTTCTCCAACGAAGGCCAAACCGTCAGAGCCTTCGGCGCCTGCATGTCTCCACCAGGCTCCTGGCGGTCGGGCCCCCGCGCGTCCGCCCTCGCCTACTCGTCCGCCGACGAAGCGCCTGCAGTCAGCTGCTGCCTCGTCCTCTTCTGCGGTAGCTACGTCCTCGCAAAATAAGCGCAGCAAGACTGCGCACGCTCCGAAGCCAGAGACACACTCAAGGACGACAAGCTCGTCTTCGCAGACTTCGTATGACGGACGGGGTCGAGCCCCAGGCGCGCAGGGTACCAGTCAAAATTTAACTTCGCAGCCCTCGAACGTACACGTACGGCACCCGTCTGCAGATCAAGCTGCGAAGACGAAGACCAAGGCCGGCGCGAGTCTAAACGCGAGGGAGAGGGCAGCGTCCGGATCTTCGACTTCTCGATCGTCAGCCAACGCCGACGAGGACGGGAAGCGCGCCGCACGCGGGCAGCTGACGGACACACGCGCTGGGGCGGGGGCGACCGCAGGCAGCAGCAGATCAGGGGACTCGGCCACCCTGTGCGACTCGCACAAGGAGAACCAGACAGCGGATGGGAACGCGCGGAGGCCAGCATCCGCGGAGGGGGACCACGCGCACGGGCCTAAGCCGACCATGGAGAGATCGGTGAGTCGCGCTCTTCATCGTATCGCATCTGGCATCTCTACAGGCGTGCAGTGGATGGCAAGCCTTCGGTGCTTGCACGCTCCAGGCCTGCAGAGCTGCTAGGTGTTTCCCGCGATCGCATCTTCCCCGCGAACGACAAGGTCCGAATGAATGCTCACTGTTTCTCTGCTTTCCCTCCCCCGTGTCGCTTTCGCGCCCTCTTCTTGGATTTTAGGCATCGACGCTTCCTCCCGCGAAACCGACGAAGCCGATCGAGTTCCACTTCCGCTCTGACGCGCGGATAGAAGCGCGAAAGGCCGAGCCCGAGAAGTCGTCGGCAGGCGGTGGCAGCATGGGCATGAGCAAGTCGCGGTCACATGCACCGCTGCTCATCCCCGACTTTAAGGCCATGCACGCCGCGCAGGAGGCCGCGCACGCCGCGCGGCGCGAGCACATCGTGCCCGTGAAGCCGCAGGAGATCGAGTTCTCGACGGAGGCGCGCTCGAAAGGGCGCGAGAAGTTCGAGGAGGCGCGGCGTGCGCGCGAGCGGGAGATCGAGTTGCAGATGGAGGAGCGCCGGCGGCTGAGGGAGATCGAGGAGGAGAAGGAGATCAGAGAGCTGAGGAAGCGCGCGGTGCCAAAAGCGCATGAGGTCCCGGAATGGTATGCAGACGCTCCGAAACGGCCGGGCAAGGCGAAGTCATAAATCCCGGGCATTGGTGATCACGATCGAACAGCCAAGGGCCAAGACGTGGGGTCTGGGGCTCTGAGGTCCTTTGTACGTGATAGACGACATGTCTGTCGGTGCTTGCGCCCCCGTGTACAGTAGTTCTGGTGTGTTGGTGTCTCGCTACCGTTTGGAGCTGTGTATGGTTCGCACAGCATGTCTGCGCTTTCATGATTCGCTCCTTCGCTCGTCAGTCGTTGACACAATGCGGACGCGGCTTCACACCGACCACATGTGATCAGCGTCACCGGGCCTGAAGAATCTCGCAGCAGTTCGACGGTCGACGCGGCGAGTGCCTCGCACGGTGGGTGTGCTTTCTGATAACATGACGAGGGCGAGTGGCAGAACAAGCTCGAAGTCGGAGGTCTGTGCCGCTGCGTGTTCGTCAGAGGCCCGGGGGCGCGCTGCGGATTGGCTGAACGCAAACAAACGAACCGCCTTCTGAACATGAGAATGCACTACGTGTGAGAGACAAAGATAACCCGCCTCGCGGTGTCCTCATGTAGGCCCCCTCTGCAGCTGGAGGTACAGTCCGATATTGCTGTGCGCGCGATGGGCCCCTGCGCTGGGTCGCACAGCGCTCGCGGACAGGCGTCTCGCGTCCGGACGTGCGGGCGAGGGTCCGTCAGCGCCGCGAGCGTGGCTTGGGTACCGGTGAAGATGCATCGGCAGTCTGGACGCGGGGCGCGTGCGTGCCGTCAATGTCAGAGCAGCGAAGACGGGCCCGGGACAGGGTAGCAGCAGGCCACCTTACGTCCGCGAACGGCGAGCAGCGCGTTACTGAGCAACCGGTGAGTCGGTGGGATCCTGGCATCCGTACAGACGTGCGAAGGAACGTTTTGCGCAGGAAGGCGCAGATGTTGGAAGCAGGGCCCAAGGCTGCGCCCGTCAAGTACGACCCACCTTCTAGGACGCGTCTTAGTGTGTGCACGACCGAAACCATGATATAAACAGCTACCGAAGTGATATAGTACAAGCTGCTAAGTAGGTGTGTGCTAACCGAGAGTAGCAGGAGGATCCCCAGAGTGACATGATCAGCCGTCATGGCATGGCATCACGAATCAAGATAGCGCACGCAGGCGGTTCCTTGGATTATGAAGGCACGACGGCTCGACGTGAGATCGCGCGCTGGGGCCGCAGGGGCGTGACACTCGATGATCCGTGCGGTTCTCTGCTAGTGCGCACGGACACAACGGCGGAGGCAGGGCCCTGGGCGGGCGGCGAGACCGTTCACCCTGCCCCAGAAATCGGGGGCTGGGTCTGGCGGGGGCGTGAGGGCGGCTGCACGGACGTAACGGGTCGGGGTGCGAAATCGAGCAGGAGCCCTGGGCCGCCCCTGCCTGCGACGGCGATTGTGTCTCCAGCGCGGGCCACCATCAGCGAAATTGCAGTCCGAACAGGGCGGGGAGGAGGAAGTACGCCGCGGACATGGCACACGGCGCCACAGGCCATATGCGGCAGGCAGCATGCAGGGCGGCGGGTGACAGATGCCTGGAGGCGTTGTTCGCCGTTGCAGGCTCGAGGAGGGCGACCGACGTCCCACGTGCGGAAAGAAGCTTTGTGGGTCCAGCGCGGTCCAGCGCTTGCAGTTGGTGCGCCTTCGCAGCGGGCTTACCGGTCCAGCCCGTCCGTCGCCCAGCACCCCATCATCCACTGCACACGCAGCTGCTGCCGCAATCGCCACCGTGCACTCAGTGAAACAGGCTGTATGTTGTGGCGCATGTAAGCCTGCCAGAGTCAGTGTGATAGACGGCTTGCAATAGTCTGCACTCGGTGAAGAGCGCCGACTCATCAGAGCATAGGAAGATACCTACGGCTGACGCTGACAGCGATCTGCGCGCCCTGAAGAGCCTCAGGCAGAAGCCAGCAACGAGCAAGTACCGGCGGCGCGCGTATCAGCCCGGAGTAACGGACGTAAGCTCGCAGCACGGTCGAGGCAGGACGAGGCTCACCAGGACCCCAAGAAGCGGCGGCGGCGTGGACACAAGCGGGAGGCGAGCACCGACGTGCAATGTCGCGCCGTAAGAGGGCCCTCTGCAGGGCAACGGTTTACTGTAATTTCGTCGCGACGTGTCCGGCTCGGTGACGGGGATGCTTTCCTGGCAGCCACGGCCGCGGGGTCTTCTGCGTGCTCCGGAGCCCGCCGCGACGATCCGGGAGTGGTTCTGGGCGAGCTGAGGGGACTCTCGAGCACGCGAGGCTTGTGGAAATACATCGTAGCGCATCGCACATTCGTGGCGGCCACGGCACGTACGCTGACTGTACACCACTCATGACTTTCCGCGTACGAGGAGGCTTGCACAATGGGCGTACACACGCAAGCAAGCACGGAAGGTTGGAGAAGATTGGCTGATCCTTGAGAACAGTTAACGCGCGTGCACACAGACAAATTAAACAATTAGACTGATTTAGCACGGTGCTGAACGTTACCACATGGGCGGCCGAATGCGCTTACACTCCACCTGTGGTTCGGAGCGCACGGGATGTAACCCGTTACGCCTGGGACTGCGTATGCGAGCACGAAACGCCGGGCAATCTCCAGGGGCGGCACGCCTGAGCGATCGTCAGCTCGAGGATGTCCGCCGCTGCTCAGTGTGTTCGGACGCCGGGCGCCACAACTCGCGTTCACGGGTGGGGGAAAGCAGTCTCGGAGGCGGCCACGGGTAGCGGAGGGTCGGAAGGGCGGCTCCGGGCAACGGCAGTGCTCGACATGTAAGACGAGATAGATGGATGGATCACGGAGAGGCTGCAGACGCGGACAATTGGGAGGGCATAGCATTCGCGGGCGTGCCGCAGCGTGAATGTATCACCAGCTATCGACATCACACACGGAAAGGGATCAAACGGTGGACGCATGTGCGTGGCGAGGCGCAGGCGGTGGCCCACAAAGGAAGGGGCGGGCGGTAGAGACAATGGGTGGCGGGCTGTAGCGCGGGTGGGCAGGCGGGGAACACGAGCAGGCCACGATCGCTTGGCCGGCCACACCGAGTCACGCCGGGGCCGGGCGCCTCCTGCGTGTGGCCCGTGCACCTGCCGGAAATAGCTAGGCACACGCGGGGCGAACCAAGAGATCGCGGCCCGATACGGGTTAGCGCGATTTCGAGGATAAGTTGTATTCGAATCATCATCATATCACCGCAACGGGTGGCCACTCGTCTGTCACCCGCGCTGTCACGTCGCGCCGGTGCACCTGCCATCCCATGGCGCCGTCACGCTGCCATCTCCTCCTCCAACATAAAAGCTGCCTCTCCACCGCCAAGGGGGCCCATCCATCCCGCCGGGAACGCGAATAGCCCTCAGCGATCTACTCCCACTTGCCTCCGAGCGAACATCCCCGGCCCTGTACCTTGCCCGACGCCTTTCTCCGCGTCCACCTCGCCCTCGTCGTACCCCACCTGCGAGCCACACCCTCTCGTCGCGCCCCCACCGCCGCTATGCACTCGACCTCCACCACGTCGCGCTCACATCACCGCTGCAGCCGGTCGACCGCGCACCAGCGACCGTCCGCCGAGTCCACGCCCGTCTGCCACCGCGCGCACGAACAGCCCGCGCCCGTGAACCACAACGCGCCCCAGTGCTGCCACTGTGGCTGGCGGGGAGACCACGCCCCAACGTGCCCCTTCAAGTGAGCGTGCCCGTTGTACACTGTGTACTAGTATCGTCTCGTCTCTCGTGAGTACCACCCGTCCCCGTCGTCCATGGCCGCCACCCTGACGCGACGCGTCCCCAGGACTGTGTCATACCATAATATTTGTCGCCTGTCGTCGATCTCGCCATGTTATCATCCGCACTCGATCCCGCAGCATCTTGTATCAACACCACGACCACCGCCGCAGCGTACTGCAAGTCGGGCGCCGGCCCATATATTATTCGCCCCACGTATATTCACGCGCACTGTAGGAGGTGTAATCCGATGGACGGAAGGAGAGGGGAGAGGGGAGAGCTACTGCTAATGACCGTGGTTGTACATACCCCACCTGTGTATTGTCAACACTCCAATCCGCATTGTCTCACACACTCACCTCCTGTGCGCGCTGCAGCGTTGAGTCCTCCGCACGAAGGTAAGCGTTGGTGCCCGGTGAGTGCAGATCCTCCGGCCTCTGTGTCGCAGGGCCGGCTCGACGCGCCGTGCTGGCCGCGCCGAAGTCCGTGGCCTGTGGCAGCGTGTGGCCCGTGTTTGTGGGCGCTGCAGCGGTGATCTTATCTCCAGGAACGGATCCCGGCGCAACGTTATCATGACGTCGCCGCACGTGTTCCCCGCATTCCTTCACGTCGCCCGTGTGCTCTCTCGGCGGGCTGCCTCCGAGCTCGCCGTCCGTGCCGTTGCCTTCCCACCAGCCACATTGCCATGCATTGCCAGCCATGCATTGCCACGCATTGCCAGCCAAGGCCATCTGCCTCAGCTCCTCCGACGCCCAGCCTGCCGGTCCCGGCCATCCATCGATGCAATCGTCGCCAGGGCATGCGTTATGTTTTCCCCGCGTCGCCATAACGATCGTCGTGAAACGCGGCTGCGAGCGAAGAAACCTCGGATGCGGCCCCTGGAGCGCCCAGCGGAGAATCGCCCTGCTCGACCCCGGATCGCACATCCCGTCCGCACCGAGCTCCTCGCTCGCACCCCGCGCCCCGCGAAGGCTGACCTTGTTCTCAATCCATGCAGCCTCCGACGCCCAGCGCGCGCGACGGCGAGAACACTTCACCCCACCCCCCCAGCTGACCCCGCCTTCGCCCCACCGCACACGTGAACGCCTCTTCGATGCCGCGCGCGCTCGACGCTTGGGTCCTCCACTGCAAATGCGCTCAGGCCGCATCGAAAGTTGGCCGCTGCCGCATCGATGGGCTCTGCACGTCTTTCTGTCTCTCTCGCGCCCTTCTGCTCGCTTACGCCCGTCTGATGCGATAACGACACGTCCGGTATGCCGTCCGCGGGCCACCGCCGGGCGAGGGCCGCACATTGCTCATGCGCCCGCTCCGGCGTCCTCTGCCCTCCGCTTCGAACAAGCTGCTGTCAGATTGGGATCATCTGTATCAGCGTATCAAGGAGGATCACATCAAGTATGTACTGTCCTCGGACGGGCGTCGTACCAACTCCCGGGTGTCGGTTCACTAGTTGCCAGGTCTGCCATGCCATCCCGTGCGGCCGGTGCAACAATAGAGTGGATGATACAGCCCGTCTCCCATCGCGCGTCCGCTCTGCACAGCCCACAACGTGTCTTCGCTCCCACTCCACAAACGCACACCCGGCGAACAGATTTTTTCGAGTCCAAATCCTAATTGTCTCCTTGGCGCGATCAGCGAGCCCGCTATCGTACTCTATCGGCGGAGGGCATCGGTGCTACGGTAGGGCGCCCCCACTCGTGGGGCGCGGAAAGCTTAACACTCACAGGTCAACGCCGCGCTCATGGGTGCGCGGGCACGCGGGCCTGCTGGCCATCGACGACTGACGCAGGCCCTCGCGAGCCCTCGCGTCTCTGCTCCATCGCCCCGCGCAGCGTGCTCGCCCCCTGCCTTCGCAATACACTCTGCGAGAGACCCACGCGAACGCGGCATAGCAGATCCGCAAGAAAGGTACACACGGGCACGGCCTGGGAACGCGCCCTGCACCGGCCTCCCCAGAGCCTGGAGGAGGGCAGCTCGTATGTCGATACCATACGATCTGCGGGGGACGGTGTGGACGGTGTATGACGGGCGTAGCTAAGAGAGTTCTGAGCTTAACGAACTGACTTGCCTGCAGCCTTCGCCTTCTCGCGCGCCGGAGCATCGCCGGCCGGTCGCCGGGGATGCGTCGACGAGCTTCCTGAGCCTAGCTGTGGCCTTCGCGGACGCCACATTCACAGGGCAGGCGAAACGTCCTGCGGAAGGCGAAGCGCGGCTCTGCCCGGACGTCCTCCGTCGAAGCCTCGAAGCGGAAGCGCCCCTGGAATGGCTCGCCCACCCACACGCAACGCACGGCTGCCAGTGCCAGAAGACGCAGCGGCGGAGTGCTGCCTGCTGCACGTAAGGCGAGCCCGCGTCTGTGCTCCGGTTCTTCTGAATCGTAGGCCCCCGCGGCCCTCTGCACCCGCGTTGTGGGCGATTCTGCGGCCAGTCGGGGGCCTTCTATCCTGGGTCGCCGCGTCGGGATCGTCCTACCCATTACAGGGAGCCCTCACGCCGTATCGCGTGAGCATCTGTGCTGGCGAGGTGTTCTCCACGGCATACGAACCTGCGACTTTGCTCTCTGGCCAGGCCTCGTCGCACCGAGCCGCGTCCCGTCCGCCCGAGGACCCCGCCGCAGCTCTCAGGTTGGCACGTCCGGCGGGCGATCGCTGCAGCATCAGTAATCCGTCGCCCTCCACTCGCGGAATCCACCGTGTTCGTACGTACGCGTCCCTCTGCGCTTCGCACGCAATACAGTCCCGGCGGAAGTCTGTGCCATCAGTGCCCGCTCAATATGTGGATGATATTTTGTTAATCTTAGCCTGTTACTTAGTAGGTGCCGTGAGCCGTGGTCTGTTCTATTCCTACGTATACGTTCTGCGTGGATCCATGAAATTGTGGCACCGTGATGCTCTGGTAACTGGTAACCTCCTGGCCTTAGCAGTACAGATGGAAGTCTGGGCTGCAAATGGGCATGCACATAGCTGAAAGGAGATGAAGCGGTCATGTAGCGCTCAACCTCGCCGTGAAGAGAACCCGGGCAGTCAGCGGGTTACGACTGGCTTGGAGCAGTCGGGTTGAATACACCGCTGTCAGGTATTGTAGATAGTCTGGGCAAAGACACGATGCAGTGGAGAGTTGAGACACTTTCGACTTGACGCAGTGGAAGCACGCAGAACCGACGCGAATTTGACGCAGTGGAGGCATGCAGGGCGCTTGCGGCAAGATCGCTCTGATAAAAAGAATCCAAAAGCTAGCAACTCCTGGTTTCGATCCAGGGACTTCAGGGTATCAACCACATGATCGTATGAGCCCTGCACGCTTCCACTGCGTCAAGTTGCTATGATAGGATGTGTATCAAGACTGCTTATAATCCGCTTTTGATGGCCCCGTTCTGCGTGGCTCCACTGCGTCCAGTCACTCTGCGTGCTTCCACTGCGTCAAGTCAAAAGTGTCTCAACTCCCCACTGCATTGTGACATTGCCCAGACTACAACGCTTCAAAGCCGTGTATTCCTGTCAACTCGACTGCTCCAAGCCAGTCGGAACCCGCTGAATAATGGGAATCCTCGATCCTACACCGGAACGCTGGTGACACGCCTCAATCAACAGTCGACCGACATCTACCATTGTTGTACGACTACGCGAAGAGCTTACACAACCAACTCGTCTGTCGCTCTGGTGTGACTATACTCTGGCGAAGCACCGCGACATCATACGGCCCAGATAACACTCTCTGAGGCCGTCACACGCGGGAGCCAGGTCCCCGTCCGACAGCTCTGCGCTAGATCTCGCTAACGTTACACCCAATGTTGTCTACAGCTCCAACGCAACTACGTACGCCTCGCCAGGGTGTGGAATCCCTGGGAGAAGTGCCGAAGTCGCCACCCAATGGCAACGCAGAACGCGCAAGCCCCCAAGCTTCCGCCGCCCCGAATGACAAGTGGAACCCGCGACTCTCCCTCGTAGGGTCTCAAGGACACCGCCGGCTGCATGGATTGTAGGTATCTAATACAAATTCTATTGCTATTGTGCCATCTTCTACTGTGTTCGGACGTATCGCCCGCGCAAGGTCCACGAGCGAGCCGCCTAGTGTGGGGACGTATGTACGGCCACGGTCTTCCCACTTCTCCCGAGTCGGCCTCGTGCGCATGGACAGCGAAGATCACACTATCAGACACCAACAGCCAACCAACAGCTCATCTCCTCGGCGAGGAGGCTGACTCGACCTATTCGGGCTGGAAGCCAGTCGCGGACTCGCGGGGCGCTGGTGTGCAGCACCGCTTATGGGGCATCTGTGTTGCGATAGAGGCGTAAAGTACGTTTTTTCCTGTGCTTCGGCGACACGCTCAAGGCGCGAGGGAAACTCTGATTTTGCCAGGCATCATAGGACGGAAACGCTTCTGTGGATAGACATGCTCTTCATGCCCACAGAGGCGCCATGCCACCGCTTACGACATTGTCGTGGATTCTGCACGTCGACGTTGTTGGGATTATTACGTTGTTCTCGACTCACCGAGTGCCGTGACCAGGGGAGATCGTATCTCTGCGAAGGGACGGAGTGCACACGTACGTACATGTGGCTATCCGCCGTTGACATCGGTCTCGAGCTCGGGCGGTGAAGTCGAGAGTAAGGGCATCATTTAGTTGTGTCTTCTATCGTGCTGATTACTACCTGCATGCGTCTGACAGCATCATTCGAACCTGCTCGGACTTTTCGCTGTCGCCAATGGTCGTTCGGCACGTTTGTCGGTCGCAGCCTGCAGGGAGAAGCATACCGATCACTGTGTATCTCGCATCTTCCTCATTTGGCGCTGATGTCGCCGGCGAAGTTGACTTGCCGTTGCGGTCTGCAGTTCATCACAGAACGCAAGGTGGTGGCTGTCTGTATGCGGCTTCTCACAGCTTCCGTATGTCGTCGTTTTTGATCATACGGAACTCCGACATGTGCGCCCGCGGTTCCCTTCATTATGCCTATACAGCACCAATGGAACCCCCAATTCGGAGACAGCACAAGCTTCTTTCCGTCCCTGATTGTCGCTCTTCTCATACTCAGCAGTTATCGGCCGGTCGCCCGACCCGCAGATTCAGTACGCCTCACATGACCTCGCCCTAGGGTTCAGGCTCACGCTCGCCCCTGTGGCACTAGTGTGGCGGGCGCATACACTATCATAGACTCAGAGGCTGCGGTTAGTGCTCTCTAGGGGGCCGCTGAGCCAAACAATATGTAGTCATCAGGCGTTGATGTCCGAATGCGCGCTCGGTGGAGGCGGCGCGTTGACAGCTGGTCATGGTGAGTACGCACCTACCCTTGATGGGTCTGCTTACCGGTGACAAGAATTCAGTGCAGGTGGCTGGATGAACTCTGCCTGCTTCCATCGACCTCGAGTGAATACATGGGACCATGCGGGCGGCGCGATCATCCGGGTTATGGTGAAGACTTGCGTTCAATCCGACGATGACCGGTCACAACTCGCGGCAGTCATTGGTGCATGCAGGCTCGCAAACTCAGCTCGGGGCGGAGCGTCACTGCGGAGCGTCGGCGTCAGTCATGACGACCGCAGCGTCAAAATTCATATTCAACCTCAACGTTCACGGCAAGGTGATAAACGCGGGGGTACCTGTGTTAATTAACCATGCCGTGACACTGCTCGGAGAAGCTGTGACCACCTGTAACTCCGTCCTCCGTCGGGCCCGACACACCTCCCGGATGTTCGTAGCTAGCCTACCATTGCATCTCATGTCCTGCCCGCGAGGTGCGGGATGAGCGTAATGTTCATCTCAATCAAGACCTATGGTTGGACCCTAGATGCAACTCGGAGTTGCGGAGAGGCTTCAAGGGTCCGTGTCTATCGGGCGTTTGGGGCACCCCGAGGGGTCGGTATGTTGCGAATTTGACCTTCATATTACGGCTGACAGTTGCATTAGACCCCTCCCACAGGTTCTCGAACACGATCTGCCACCAAGAGGCGGATGTGGCTCACCGCCGCCTTCCGAAGCCTCGATAGCGACTGCAGAGCTTGCGCAGTTCAAATCGGCGGAGAGGCAGTCGGGCTTCCCGCAACCCTTCAAGAGCCTCGTTCTCGAGAGAAGCAGCCATGCTGACGAAGAGCACCCGTAAGTGATGCTACCCAGACGGACCTTAGTAACTTACGCAATAGATTACACAAGCTGCGTGTCCCCGCCCGTGGCTGACCCGTCCTGCGGGGTTACACCCGATACAGGTATGCTGGGATCCCGCAAAGCTGTGCTGGCCAATACAATTGTAATCCCGTATCTGTCGGGGTGCAAGTGATGCGCCAGCGAGAGAGCATTACATGAGGTACGCATACGGATCTGGGCCCCTGCATGGATAACGGGACACAGGCTGAGCTGCAATCCGGTATAACGAAGTGCATCCTAGAGCCGCCGCGCCTCGGTTTCTCAAGCGCTGTGACGATGATCAGCGACAGCGAGGGTGCGTCACTCTCGCATATACACTTGTATTTCTCGCTGAGATACTCAACTGTGCAGTGTGCATGCGTCACATTGCCCGCCCCGGATTATCATCGCTCCGCATCCTATTGCAATACCTTGTCACACACTACGTCTGGACGTGACGATCCGGAGGTCCCGGCGAACAAGAGATGCAGCAATATCACGCGTAAGGTTAAGGAAGAGGCTTGGGTGTGGGGACTTACAGAATGCCCTCGACTTACGTCCACATGGGCTCGACGACAGGTTCCTCCGGTGCCTGATACCGCTCGTGCGACCATGTATTCCGTCATGATATGATGCAGGATCGTCCGGGCGCTGAGGCTGAATGGCAGATACATTACTCACATGCATATCCCGAAGCCTTGCTGCATGGCGGAAGTGCTCATGCCGTTCCAGAAGGCGGCGTTCGAATACACGAGAGCTGTGGCCAGCTGTGGCCTTCGACGCACACCATAGGGCAACGCTCAGGGTTTGCTGACTATTCATAACACCCCTTCTTGCTTCTAAGACGCGGCGCGGGGCAGATGAAGAGCAGACGGTGGACGTAACAGGCGCTCAATGCAGCCAGAAGAGCATTTACCTCCAATCGCCCTCTCGCGCTCGATCGCACTTACCACTACTAGCCGCCTTCGCGCCGTGTTGGCGATATCATCCATTTGGCATCTGCATTCCAACTCTCGGGTATATCGACTGACCACCGGCCGCCGGCCGCAAGTATTCAGGGCGCCTCAAATAACATTGCTGCACTTCGACAGAGGAACTACGGGAACGCCGCATGGATGGTGCCTCCGTCTCTGGGGAAGGCGTTCATATGAAGAACTACAGGAAGACTTCCCGCTTGGACCGGAGTACTCAGATGTCTATCGTGAGACTCCGCCACATACATAGCTGACGGCAGCGCAGGAGCAGTCAAAGATGCATACGTGTCGGTACGAACGATGATTCGGTCGGACGTACATGGCATTTACCAGGACACTCCACGGCGCGTATACTGCAATTCCTGCGGTTTGGGATTGTGGCTACTCACTAGCACTGGGGATGACTCAGGTTGCTTGAACTCTCTAACTGACTGCGGTTCGAGAGAAAACCATACGTCATAGCACGGATGACTGCTCACCTTCCCAGTGACGACGCGAACCACCTACGAAGATATCTCTGCGTAACTGTACACGCGCAACTGACTGGAAGATGCGCGAGGTGAGGGGAAACTCACGACATACTTCACTCGGCACCCCGGAAGGAAGCAACCTCGGAAGATACGGTCCTAATTCGAGTAAGTATATGGCACCTATATACGGCGTTCTGACATCACTACCGTGCCGCTCAATCACTAACTGGTAGTAAGGTGTCTATAATGCATCTAGAAGACCATCTGATTTTGTGGGCACCTTCCACACAGTATCAATTCATTACTCACAACTGACAAAGGATTATGTAGGCGAAGACCGTAGGGCTCGTGGAACGCCTTGTGTGCCTACTCTCCGCAGTCCACAGCGACACCTTCGGATGCGTTCCGAGGTGATGTCAACGAATCTGTCCTTAGCCTTCACGCGTCTTGGAAGGTTCTGCTGTGTCTGCGAACTTCGAAGCACGACGTTTTACGTATGTCAAGTGGCCATATATGCAACGTTTCACGCCCAACACCGCACAAATGGCTCATCGCCCTCAGGCTAGCCAGTCTGCGGGAAGGCGTTACCAGGTCATAGAGACCGGATGCGCTTTCCAATTGCTTCAAATGGCACCGAAGCCGAGCAAACGTTGCTTCGCGTAGGTATACATGCCGAAAGGTTACGTCCTGTCTCATGAAAATCACTCCAGGTCTTGTGCTTCTACTCCCGAGTAGGTGGCTGCCAAGAAACTGCAATTCCGGACATACCGGCCCCCGCACCCCTTTCACATATGTCCTGAAATAAAACATATGATGGTAATTGCTCACGACGAACTCGAAGCGCATGCTAGTGTGCGACAACCTGAAGATACAAGTTGCGTACTACATCTGATCTCGTCGTTTTAGGCTTGAATTCGATCAGTGCTTCTCCAGGACCGGTCCGATATCACCCCATGACGGCAGTCTGCAGCTGTCAAGGACTCAAGGACCTCGAGTGCCTCACTACCGCTCTTGACACATCCTATCCTCGATGGCGGCGAACTGCCAAGGCTCTCCCTGGTCAAATCAGCCGAACTCTAGCCTTCAATATTCAATGTCAGTAGTCGACCGGCACTCGGGTTTCGCCAGCGTCTTTGCTAGGGCCCCCGCCACTAGCAAGAATCAGGATTTTGACCTCACCGATCGTAATTCGCCTAACTTCCGTCATCTCCGATCGATTCAAAGGCGATGGGATGTTCTCGAGTCTATCAAAAGTGAGTAACGGATGGAACCCGAGAGGTCCTCACTCGCGTCTTCGGTGCAAACGCGCGTCCAGTCCGCAACTCTATGACGCCCGGTGTTTATACAGAAACAAGCGATTGAATTGCAATGCGTGCGGATCTTGTGGGTGACGAGGTAGAAGCGTGAAGAAACGAACGAGGCAGCGCTAGGATCATACCCGGGCGACCAGCAGCATACTGGATCCGACTGGAGCCGCCTCTAAAGACTCTTGTCCTATCCCATTCGTGTCGCGCAAGCCGAGGACCCCCAGCTCGTGCTCGTCTCCTGACTCTATGAGGTCTCCGCCTTCCACGCTGTCGTGGCGGATGCTCTCGCCACTTCCCTCCTTGTCCGGTTCATCGGACCCGTGGGCCAGGGAATCGCTGAAGCTTTGAACCAATGTAGAGAAGCGTATATCCGAGAGTTGCGATGGGCTGGAGACGATGCTCTGTGGAGCCAGCGCTCGTTGACGAAGGTTGAGGATGAACCGTGACAGTAATACGGTCGTGAGGCTAAGCAATGAATACTCAATGCGCGCTTCGTACGGAATGAATTTGGATGCAGCTTACGTGGTAGGGAATTCTGTGACGTTCTGGTATATCTATCCAGCACATCGAGTCAGGTGCCACGCGCGTGAGCAGAGAGCGACTCACGTTGGTTGTCCACATAATAATATTGATGATGTTGAGTACAAGGAGAATACTGCAATACAGTCCTTCATGAGCGTCGGCCCAAGCTTACATACTTGATGCACGCAACATTACCTGAAGTACGCGGTTCCTGTTACAACTTCGCCTTAGTCTCTGTATGACCTACGACTAGGGGCACTCACCATCTCTGAGCAGCAATGTTGTTAGAGGAAGCTTCACTTTTGCGGAATCTTTGCATCTCTTGAAGCCGAAGGTGGCACGCCAGGTCACCGCCAACACGAGTGCGTCAGCGGCGATTATGCTGATTCGCGTGGCCAATTCGACTGAAGTGAGAACACGTAGTTAGTAACGACGGTCAGAGCGGTTCACTAGTGTGGACTTCGTACATCTACGAGCGCGCAAAGTTCAGTATGGTCGGTCAGGGACGCCCCACACCCTCAAGATCACTCACCCGTATAATGTTCCCGTGGACGCGACGTTGAAAATGTGGCATTCCCCACCTGCAATTTCCCACCCGAGCCGGCTGTAATCGTACTGGAATGCTACTGTCAATCTCTGCATGCATGAATGCACCGGAGACTTACAATGGTCGCGACGACGGGCACTATATAGAGCGTCATGATGATCAAGGGCAACCGCCATCGTCGGCCATTGATAGCATGAACTCGAGCAGCTGAGATGACTGCAATATCGGTACCGTCGTCTCAGTCATTGACCCAGTGGTGAGACGTGAATCCTTACATCCCCAGAGAAAATTGAGCAGGCAATACGTAGCAGCAGTCGTCAAGTTGAGGTTGTAGGTTCTAAACGGTTCGATAGGCCCGTCAGCTCTCCCGAGCGCAAGACAGTCTGTAGCGTTACGCACGTCTGAGAACGACGTGAAACAATGACCAGAGTCAGTGAGGCTTCGTCACGCAGAGTGTGTAGCTTTGCTTACTCGGCAAGGAAATTCAATATACGACATAATATACCATAGCAATTCCAAAGCAGTGACAAGGTGTAAGAGCGTGTATATCAGTGTCAACAAGCCCTTCCGGCGCATCCAGATCATGGCAACCTCCTGACCGAATGTCAAGACATGATCGTAGACGTACAGCGCTGGATGCAATTGTCAGGTCAATTCATATGCGAACTACTGTCACCGGCAAGTCCATGCCGACGTCGTAAGCACACGTACCGCAGACAGCGGAGAGGCAGCATATGCTGACGAAACTGTCATACAAATGAGTAACAAGGAACCACATAAAGCATCGCGGACGTACTTCTCCTCGTACGCCGCTATCAATTCCTCCTCCGATGGACCGTCGTCCGAAGACATTGCACCTGGAGGCTACCGTGACATGAAAGCGAGAGTTGCGAGGCTGGACGGCAGCGCACGCCGTGACTACATATGTATGCGAAAAGGGCCGTTCGTAGCGCAATAAGCCGCCGCATCATCACATCCAGGGATTCCATTTGTATCTACAGCCCAGCAGGCACTGCAGACCTGTGGGACCTGTGGAGATACTCGAAATAGTGGGTCTAAGCTGGGTCTAAGGCTGCTTCGCGAAGGGCCAGACAGTGTAGCCATCAAGGCACAGCCACTATCGCCCAATGGCAATGTTCCGCCAGTGCACCGATCAGCCTCTTCATCTGTTGATGCGTCTAAGTTGGACAGATCGTTGCAGCACTTGCAGCGCCCATAACATGTGCATGCGCCGTCCTGCCACTGCCAGTGGTGGATAATACGACTGCAACATTCGCCATTGCGCTCTAGTATTAGCACGTCGTTGCAATGGACATCTACTTATACGCAGGTGTTTAGCTGGACTGCAAAAGAGCGTGAACATCCGCAACAGTGCAGTTGCGTACAAGGTTTGAGACTCGGAGGCTGTTGTCGCCCAGATGGCTTGACCTCTTCTGAGAAGTGACCAAGGAATGTGGGTGCGAGGTCGAAAGCTCTGGCGACAGACGCGGATTGACATCGGGTGAGTGCTGTACGGTGTATGACTGGTGTATGCGTCCATTTTGACTGTGAGCGGTGAGCTGGAAGCAAGGGATGTGACGTCGGTCTCAATGTCAGGGTTGTATGATATGCGGTTGTACTGTTTGCAGTCCTTCGAGCCATGGCGACAATTGACTTGAGACCTCAGTCTGACCGCGGCAGAGGTCATCTACCCCAGTATATGACCATCCGAAGTAAGTAGAGCGCGATGGTCGCCATTCGAGGATTCGGTTTGCCAGTCACCCGTATTCCCGTAGACTTGACTAACAGTCGCAGCACATATGCATGTTGATACACTTCTGCTTAACATTCGGTTCTACCCCCGCCCCTGGCACATCTCGCAGTCAGCCCATAAGCGCAGAAACTGATGGTCGCACGAGCACAGAGTTCACTTCCTTCTCCCAACCTTTCCAATTCCACCCGCACTCTCACAGCCTCCCGTACACATCCAACGCCGGCCGACCGAAGGTCGACTAACCCCAAAGTCAGCACCAGCGCAAAGTCAATCACCACGGAACGGAGACGCACCGGAGGCGCAGGCTTGTTCTGCAAGATCTCCTCGATCTTCTCGAGCACCGCGGGGGTCAGCTTCGGGATCACCTCGAGGGCCTTGAGGTTCTCGACGACCTGCTCGGGCCGCGACGCGCCGAGGATGACCGTGCTCGTGTTCGGGTTGATCGCGATCCACGCGAGCGCGAGCTGCGCGACCGTGCAGCCCAGTTCTACGACCGGCGATCAGCACCGTGGACGCGGAGACAGGCGTGGGCGGCCGCCGGGACGGCGATGGAGGTGCGCAGCGTACCTTTCTCGGCGAACGTCGTGAGCGTCTTGACCTTCTCGAGCTTCTTCAGGCCCTCCTCCTCGTTCAGGCTCTGGATCGTGTTCTTGAAGAAGTCCTTGTGGTTCTCGAACCGCGAGCCTGACGGAATGCCGTTGTTGTACTGGAAGGACGGGGTCAGCAGTGTGAGCGGGCGACGCACAGAACCGTGGGTGTGGGTGTGGGGAATGAGATCGTACCTTGCCAGTAAGGAGGCCGCTCGCGAGCGCGGAGAAGACAGTAGTGCCGAGACCGTATTTCCGGTACAGGGGTCTGTCCAATTCGTATTTCGGTTACCGGCGTGTATGTAGGTGTGGTGAACGGTACTTACGCGTATTCGCCTTCCGGACGGTCACGGTGGAACATGCTAGAGGCGGAATATCAGCATTGAGCGGATCGAGAACGGTGGTTGGCGTACTGGTGTTGACACTGCTCGGCGATAGGACCCTGCAGACCGAGCTTGTCCGCTACGTCTTGATACCGGTAAAGTTTGAATCAGCGGGCGTGTTGTATGCAGGAAGATCTCAACGCACGGTACGCTTCCTCAATCTCACGAGCGGACCACTCTGAGGTTGCCCAATAGAACGCCTGGCGGGGAACTGTCAATCAATTGGTCGCGGATTGAATGGGTATATGCGCACCCAGCCCTGGTCAATCACGTAGTTGAATGCGCGAACGATCTCGTCCATCGGAACTGAAAGTGGCTGAGGTCAGCGGATGGCCCTGGAAGTTTGTTTCGTTGGCCTACCAGTGAAGTCCGGGCGGTGGGCAAAAATCACATCTACGTAGTCCAAACCCAACCGTTCCAGAGACAGCTTCGTCCCTTCGATGATACTGAGAAAATTTGAGCTCTGAGGCTAAGTTCGCCGACCATGTTCTACGTACTGCTTTCTGGAAAGACCAGTGCCGTTCGGGCTGTTCCTGTGTCCCCAGAAGAGCTTGGTGGTGATGATCAGGTCGGTCCTGCGGAGATTGAGCTCCCGAATGACCCGGCCCCTGCAAGGGCAGGCACACGGTCAGTCTCCAATCGCGAAGACGCTCGCCGGCAGGTCTCGAGCTAATGACGGAGGACGTACATTTCCTTCTCTGAGTTCCCATCAGCGTAGACCTCAGCCGTGTCGAACCTGCGAAAGTGCGCATATACGCCATCAGTTCGCTGGTCCACGCAGGCGCAGGCGATGGTGAACATACATGTTGATGCCATTGTCGTACGCGGCCTTGATGATGTCCTGAGAGCCGATACGACCACTCAACAGGTTGCCCTTCCCCCACAGACACGCTGTTCGGATCTCACCTTGACGGGGTCGCCCTTGACAGTTCCACCTAGCGTCAACCCTAACAGCATAGCGTGAGTTTGGATCTGATCATCGTGTTCGAAGGCGTGGCAATGCTCACATCCACCCAGTGAGAAAATGGGCACGCGCAGGCCACTGGGGCCCAGGCGCCTGAAGGGCATGCCTTTCGCATCGTACTCAACAGCGGACATGGTGGTCTCTGGGAAGGTTGTAGTTGTGGTAGGAGAGGATAGAGGGTGGTAACGGCGGTGTCTGCGGTCGTCCGCACCGTCCCTTTATATCCGTGTACAGTAAGCACGTTCCATATCGCGCACATCGAGCTGCATGCCGCGCTGTCTAAGTTATCGCTGACCAGACGGCGCCACTGCTGCACTGACGCGTCGACTGCATTTCCACTTGACATCGACGACGGTGTTCCGCAGACGACTTCGTCAGCCAGGATCCTGATGACTGTCCTCGGGATCGGGCGGTACGGTTGACTCACCTTGCCAATCCCCATTTGCACCGAGGCCTGGTCAGCTGCGACCCACACGCTTCCCAGGGCATACGGCCGCCTCCCAGGAAGAGAGGCCGACGGCACTGCGATAAAGAGAACCCTCGCCATCTGCCTATTTCCCCAAGAAAGTTCCGTCCAGCCTCGGCAAGTAGAATGCCAAATAGCACAATTGGATGGCATTGCGGCACATGGTGCGCACTTGTCGTCATACAGCGGACTCGTGGACCTTGAGCTTGAGGCCTCGAGACCGTAGCAGATAGCTCTGAGCGACGCGGCGCGCGGATGGTCACGAACAATCGATCCCCTGATGGATTTGAGAGCGCAATCCACAAGATCGACCGTGGTTCACCTCGGAAGAACAGCAGAAATAATCCTTCAGAGCGAATGAATATGGCATGAATGGTCGAACAACGAACATTTGTCTCGACGAGGAATATGGCGCCCAAGCGCCCGTGGACTGAGCGTGGAAGACTGCCTCGTTTGGATGAGTGCGGGTCACTGAGGTCACCGACGCTCACTGCCACACACCACCATGCGTCTCTTCGCTCTCTCGTCTCTGGCTCTCCCAATCCTCGCATTCGCATCCTTGGACGACCAGACCGCAATGTCCGGGTCCATCCTCGACGAATCAGCGCCCTACACCCCGCAAACCAACTCCCAGCCGACGCTCGCGGACCTGCTCACGATCGAGTCTTCCGCCTCCATCTACTATTCCTATGCACGCGAGACGGAACTGAGTACACTATTCGGTGATGAGAGCGCGCACCTAACTCTGCTGGTCCCGACGAACAAGGCTGTGATGGCACTGGCGCGGAAGCCGTGAGTACATCGTCTCCGCGAAGCGTGGCGTCGAATGGCTAACTTTGGTCCATCCTTGTAGGCATGAAGGCCCAGCGCCCGTGAAGGATGGGGCCATTATCTCCGAAGCTGAGTTTGATGCGCTTTCGAAGGAGAATGTGGTTCGCTGGGTATCGGCGCACATCATCCCTGTGAGTTCATCCTCTTATAGTTCATGGAAGAATCGAACTCAAATCAGGGTCCTTAGCAGTCACCTATCTCCGTCACGTCTTCCCAACCGTACCATACGATGCTGCAAGAGAAGAATGTTACCTTCACGCAGGTCGACAGTGACGAGAGCAAGCCGGACTGGTCCCGCGTGCGTTTGAATGACGACGTACGTCTCATTGACATGACGGAGGTATGTTTGGGTTTCTGTCCTGAGTGAACTCATGGGAATCCTGACCGACGTGTACGTGTAGGCTTCGAATGGCGTGCTCTATATCATCGACGGCACTGTCAAGCTTGACTAAAGCGTCCGATCCTCATTCCTGTACTATCACCCCATGTACTGTAGAACCCTACTGACCATCGTGTACTAACATCGTCAAACCCTAATTGGCAGATATCCTTTCTGTTGCAGAGGTCGTCACTACGTCTGAGCGTGATGCAACGAAGGATCAGGCAAGTGCGACATCCTGACTACGGACAGTTCTCGACACAAGGAGCACTTGGCGGCTCGAAGTCACTTTGCAACCCCTTTGCGTCATGAGCATCGCAAGCTCGAGTCTTTCTGCCATCAACCCGACCGCCGACACCATGAAGCCACATTGACGCAGTGAATCTAAGCAGGATATTCAAACACGATACTCGCAATCGAGCATGTCGTCGCGGGACCGCTGGTCGTCGCAGTGGGGGAGCTCATGGAAATGACGGCAGCATTGTTGTAGTTCGTGCCGCCACCCGTGCACCAGGACGTCGAGGTAGTGTTAGCCACCTGCGCGTCGAGTCAGCACCTGACTCCCGTGTAACGCCAGATACGCGGAGAAGACGCACGATCACTACGTCCTCGAACGTGAGCGCCCCAAAGTCCCACGTAACGTTGTACAGCTCGATGGCCATGATCGCCTGGTCCATCGGGTGCGTCGGCAGCGCGAAGGAGCCCGTCGCCGAGTTGCTCCCGGACGAGAGCGACGTGCTCCAAGTCCCCTCATCAATATCATCCACCACATTCGAAAACGCGACCGCCGCGCCGTCCGCCACTGCCAATCGCCGTCATTTGCTTCCCCGCTTCACCGAGCACACGGGCACTCACCGTTGAAGCCGCTGCCCCAGGGCAGGTCGGGGTCGCTGCAGCACCACCCGGAGCCGATCCACCACTCGCCGCTGCGCCCGTCGAGCACCTGCTGGAGCACGCCCGCGTTCCCGCTCGGCTGCAGGCCCGGCCAGAGGTAGTACGTCGCCGCCTGCGGCAGGCCCGGCGCGACCATCGTGCCGCTGAACGAGGTGATGTACGACCCGGATGGCGTCGTGAAGTCGAGGTAGTACCATGTCACGGCGGATGCGTGCGTGGTGAGCGCTGCGAGCGCGAGGAGTGTGAGGAGCTGCATGCAGGGGAGGGATGCGCACTCGGATGCGGGATTGGTTGCGGTGGTTAAGTACGTCGTCGGGTGAGTTCTCTTGGAAAGCTTGAAGGAACATGGCCATGCGTTGCATCTTGCAGTCTCCATTCTCCATGGCTATCAAGCCTAACTGCAGCACACATCCCCGACTCCTCCCGAACGGAAAGAGGGCTCTCATGTCGAAACGGAGCGTGCGACGTACGGGATAACTGCCCATAGATAAGAGCAGACATCGACTCAATGGGCAGTCCGCTCGGGGCAGCGCATGCGCGGTTCCCAACACGGGAGTTGATTCCGCTGCGTCGAGTCCGCGAACATTCGCCGCAGGCAGGCTCTCATGTCGAGACATGGACAGACCATAGTATGCCGCGCGATGAGGAGGATCTCCATAGCAAGTGGGGCTCAGCAATGTGGCTGGGTCGGGCGCGCTACGGATGCACATTGTGCTCAGCATCCGGCGGTCGGACCAATGTTAACATAGACCATATGTTCGTGCTGCTCCGTCCCAGCAGCAGATCTAGAGGCCCTCCGCTGCGGTTATCGTCGCTGCTGAATGGCTCACCCTCACCGCCGGATACCTTGTGAGTCGGATCACTAGAAGCCAAGTACGTTGCTTATTAGTCGCGGATGCAAGGCCCGTGGCGGACCGCCGGGAAGTCCAATTGAAGATGGGAAGAGAAGCTTTGTGGGTCCCGGTCAGGGCAGGGCTGCAGGTCTGGACAGCTGGGATTGTCTTGGATCAGCGGGCGCAGCGATGCGACGGTCGGCTGGCGACGCGATCGCACTGACAGGACGAAGAGGACGAGTCCAAGGGAATTTACATGCAGGTCATGATGGCGGACAATCAGTAGGAGCTGTCCTAATAGTGGCCTTCGGACCTTACTGAGGTCAGTCAAACATCGTGAGTATAGACGATTCCCTCAATTCTGCCCGACTCTCACTGACATGCGGTCCAGAGCAGAGCGTATTGTCCTGTGTCATAGAGCACTGTGAGCTGGCTAGCTTCCTCCTGCCACGACGGACGTGAATTAAGAAGAGCTCATCGGCTTTAAATTCATCGCACACGATTTGTGGCACCCTCACGCTAATATACCGCTCCCGTCGCGATGATTTCCGATATGCATTGTCACAGATTTGCGAAGCCATGCGTGTGCACAGCATCGGACGACATGGAGTAATATTGATATGTATGCCCGGGTTTACTGCGACCGGTCTTTGATCGCACAACGCAACTCGCATCCAACATACTCTGGGGGACATAGACTACTGCGGTGGGTTGTACTTATTACTGCTCGCGCATTACGCTACTGTGTCACTGAGTGCTTCATCAGATGTCATAACGTACAAGCCTAGAGTTCAGGTCGTTCATTGCGGCGTCTAGATCTGTCACGGTCTTACTGCTCGCTACCGAACCCATCCCGAGCCAGACCTGCGCAATTTCCATTCGATGATTTCTCTGGCGCGCCGATTTTCCTGTCGAGACTCAACTTGAATGACAGATCGGCCCGTGAATTTATAGTGGCCGCACGTCCGTACAGACACGGATCGGACGCGGCATTTCACACATTCGGAAGTCGAGCAGCAAGATAAAAGATCGGACGATGTTGTGGCGAGACTTGCTTGCCCCAAGCGCCCTTGTTAGGTGATGTTCAAATGGATCTTCTCACTGCTGTGCCTCAATCTTACTGGAGACTCCAACAGAAGTGTCGAGCCTTTGCCACCGGTCTACGCGTCATAGGTATCGCAGGAAGCATGGCCTGAGATAGATTAGTGTATTGAGGTAAGTGGTCTACCTATTCTTGACGGGGATCCGGGGTCATGAACTGAAATGGTGCACAGTTCGCTACGGTAGACTGACAGCTATGCCGCGGACCCGCCGTGTGTACGTTGAGCGATACCGATGCGTGTCAGCGCCTCGTATTTAATTCCATCTACGACGGTTCCATTGCTGACCATATGACAGCGCTCTCGTGACCGGCAACAAACCAATGGACGCTGCTCAGGATGGTCTCGCGAAACCAAATACCGATAAGTAATTCAAGCGTGAGTGGAGACCACCACCGCGCTACCTCCGTACAGGACATGCTGCATCTCAGAATCCCGGAAGCCTGGTACAACTGCACTAATTGTGAGTAAGCTACCAAGTTCTCGGTCAAAGAACGCCACCACGAGGATCTCTAGGAAGTAACCAAAATCTCCGATACAAGAATTAGGTTACCTTTCTGCGCCGTCATGGCACCATACCCAATTGCCCATGCCCGCTGCTCGAACGATCGCGTGGCGTTTCTGTCAGCTGTTATTGGGGGACGGAGCAGCGCGCTGCCGTCGCGTGCCTGTTCTATCGTGAATGGGAAGGCGCGCTGCCAAAACGTTCGTAACACAAGGTTGTTGACTTCAACGCGTTGACGGCTTCCTTTGACGCAGAATTGCTGACAGCGATACCAGCGCAGAGATACTCTCTCTTCGGCCTACTTTTGCTGCCAGTGGTGGCCCTGTGGGCCCGGGCCCGTGGTGCTCGACATACGGAGGGCACAGACGAATAATTATGCGCCAGTGCTGTGACACTGCTCGGGAGAAAGCGCAGCGCTCTGTGTCTAGGACACCGCGACCCCGCGCTCCGTGGGATGCGCCTGGTGTGTCATGCTGAACTCAAACCCTCAAAATCTACCACAGGGTGCAGCATTGCTCGGCTTCCTACAGACAGCTCGTGTGGAGAATCTATCGGTATCTCATGACGTACACTCGCAGACCCCAACCTCCTGGGTTGCATCCAGATCATAAATTCGTCTAGGACACTTACACGAGGCATGAGCCAACACCCCATCCTCAACTCAAGCCGGCGCGCCAGCTGGAATTCCCATCACACCATGCCCTCTCTCCCTGCCGGCATCGAGCTCCCGCAGCTGTCTCCTTTGGAGATATGTGGTCTAGCATTCACCCTCCTGGTGCTCCTGTACCTGCGGCGGCGGTCAAACCCAGTACGTACGAGGGTGTCGCTCACATGGCCACCTTGAGCTGACATCGTCTCCGTCAGATCCATTCCATCCCGACGGTTGGACCATCTCTACCGATCATCTCCTACCTCGGCGCGTGGAGGTACCTCCGCAATGCCAAGGCGCTGCTCCTGGAGGGCTGCTCAAAGGTTCGGCGGCACTGATGAATTTCATCGTACCGTCGCTAACCCGCCCACAGTATGAGATTTTCAAGATTCCGCTAACGGACCAGTGGCTCGTCGTCGTCAGCGGTCCCAAGATGAACGACGAGCTCCGTAAGTTCCCGGATGACATCATGTCCGCCTTGGAGGCGCACAAATACGTGAGTAGCGATTGCGAGCGGCGACTGGGCCGCGCTGATGTCAATTACGACAGGTATTGCAGACCGAGTATACCCTCGGTACCACTCACCCCGATGCGACGGCGAAAAAGATCATCGGGGGCCCACTGACTCGCAAGCTGCCCCAGCTCATGCCGGAGGTCTTCGACGAAGTCGTCGCCTCATTTGAAGACATCATACCTAAAGCAGGGAATGGTGCGCTCATAATCTGTTAAGTTATTGCGACGGGCGACTCAGCCAACGAATCGCAGAATGGGTTACTGTCCCAGCTCTCGAGACCATGACCGACATAATCGGGCGCGTCACGAACAGGGCCTTTGTCGGGCTGCCGTTCTGTACGTACTCGTCATCGTTTGCAGTGCGCGCGAGGTGATGATTCCGCGTCATCCAGGCCGAGACGAGGTTCTCATCAAGACATTCACCGGCTTCGCGAAGGATGTGATGAAGACAAAGACTATATTGAGCATGATGCCCAACTTCCTGAAGCCGTAAACATCCTCCCCCGTTGGTGTGCGAGGATATATGCTCACACATTCGTGTCACCGCCAGGATCGTCGGGCCTCGACTCCCGTGGACTTCAGCAGCGAGACGTCGGATGGCCTCCATCCTCGGCGCGACCGTCATCGAACGTCGCAGGCAACTGCTCGAGTACGGGTTTGATTACGAAGGCAAGCCCGTTCGTAGCCTTCTCCTTCTTAGCCGGCACCACAGCACTAACCCCAGCTAATCCCCGTCAGGACGACTATCTGACGTGGTGCATCGAGGAAGACCTCAAGTTCCGCGGGAAGGGCGAGTCGATCGACGGTGTCATGGAAGTCATCTCCGCGTCCAACTTCGCAGCCATCCACACTTCGAGTCAGGTACGCCCGATAGCCTTGTCCCTGCCGGCGCAGTCTACCATGACGGACGTGTCGCCCTAGTCGATGACGCACGCTCTCTACTACCTCTGCGCGATGCCGGAGTGTGTCGAGCCCCTGCGGAAGGAGGCAGAGGAGATGATCAAGCAACACGGCTGGACGAAGGCTGCGGTCGACGGGATGTGGAAGGCGGATAGCTTCTTCAAGGAGGCGCTCCGGCTGAACTCCGCTGCCCACCGTACGTCGCCCCGAGACTACTGACGGATCCACTGACCCTGACTCTGACCACGGTAGTGACGCTCTACCGCAAGGTCATGAAACCGGTTGCGTTCTCGAATGGGACCGTCATCCCCGTCGGGACGATGGTCGTCGCGACGACGACAGGGACACACCTCAGCGAGAAGCTGTACGAAGACGCGACAGAGTTCCGGCCGTTCCGCTTCTCGGACGTCCGTGCGAAGGGCGGGGACGACGCGCTCCGACAGCAGTTCCACACCTCGTCCCCGGACTACATCCCCTTCGGGCACGGCAAACACGCATGGTGAGTCGGTGGGCGTCCTGAGTGGAGCGTGGAGCTTCGTTCTGACCGGAGTATTGTATGTTCAGCTCGGGACGGTGGTTCGCTGCGGCGGAGGTGAAGGCTGTCATGGCCTACATCTTGCTGAACTACGACGTCAAGCTGCATGAGGGCAGCGGTCGACCAGAGAACTTATACGTGGGTCCTAGCATCATCGCCAACCCCTGGGCGAAGATCATGTTCAGAAGGCGTAAGATGCCCTATGCCTGAGCTTGCTGTGATGGCCACCCCAGTGGTCGGTTTATATGCAGGCTCTCGTACGTCGCTATTGCGGTTCCTGTGTGTCGCCAAGGATTCCTCGTGTAGAGACGTTCATGCCCGTGTTGTCTGCGTACTAGAGTCACATGGGTGACCACAATCATTGCACTATATATAGAGAATACAGCCCACAGGTGATGCCTATGATGTTCCATCCTGTCTTCACCGGGAAATTACAGGGATCTCGTCCCTAGTGGCATATTCATACCCACCAAGTCAAGGTAGTGCATTCCCAACATCCAGCCTTCGCGTTAACCCCTACGCCCGTTGGCACGGGCACGATGTTACCATCGGGGCCACTGCGCTGTGGCCCTCAAGGAGGTCATCGAATGCGGATCCGTTCAATTGGGAGGTGTAGCGTGGTATAGTCCAACTGTGAGCGGAAGCTGCGGCGTCGTCGCATCATCTCGAATTGTTGGGAAGACGGCGTGCGCAGCTCTCCAGATAATGTCCTTGCTGCCTGGCGAGAAGGTCAAACGCAGAAGGAGGATTGACAGCAGAGCTTCTGCACACGTAGATCAGAGAGGTATGAACAGATACAGCGTCGTCCATGAGATCTGAGACATACTGATCTCTAGCTCCGCGAACTTCCACCCACTGAATGATTCCGATTCGTGAGCACGACACGAACATGTTCCAGTCAATTTGACGATCACTCACATACAAGCCCGTCGACCTCCGCTGAAAGACATGCTGATAGGATGTCAACAACGTCAGCAGAGAGCCGCGAGTTACTCCTACTTCGGACTCACAGGTTTGGAGAGACACCGGGAAACGTATTTTGAGCGACAGTGGGAGGCAAAGGGTTGAGCCATCGCTCGGGTTTCCACTCCAGTGCGTCCTCTCCCCAGATCGCCTTGCTGGTGTTCGCACCCATGAGGCCAACAATGACCTCGCAGCCTTTCGGGACGAGGATCTCATCCATCACCGTGCCGTCATTGCCAACAATGGGCGTCGCCAGAGGCAACACAATGTCTTTTCTCGCGCTGCGCTGGATCAGTACGTCAGGAGAAACAGCGATGGTTGTGTGCACTCACTCGCGTATTACCCATGTCGCTGGCGCATATCTGCAAGAATAGATAGTCGCATCAGTCAATCAGTCTCTCGAACCTCGTCGTGGCACACTTACAGTCGCATGGTTTCCCGGAAGACAGCATCAAGGAAGGGTAACTGCAGTAAACGGCCGTATGCGATATCACCGTCTTGCCATGCTTCGATGGCTTCTTCGCGCAGCCTGCGTTGCGCGCGTAGATTGTTGGCGAGAAGATGTAGGATACGACCCAAAGTGTTCGACGTAGTGTCGGTGGCCGTCACGATGAGGACCCTAAAGCGAGGTCATCAGTGATTGCCACGGTACCTATGTATTGCTTGAATACACACGCCGTCTGAGCGACCACCTCTGCATCCGGTAGCTTGTCTGCTTCAGGAGCGGCCATATTTGCCTTGACTAGTACCGCATAGTCAGTCAAGAGTAGGCCGCCTATGATGGGACATACTGACTGAGCACGCTCATGAAGTCATTTCCACAGGCCATCTGTTCCATTGCACCCAGCTCACCCTCCTTGAGTGCGTGCTTCTTCGCTTCGATCATCCGTGCGCCATGCAGTATGACGACATCTATGAGCTTGCGCAACTCAAGGACCACCCGGAGAGGGTAGAAAGAGGCTAGACATCTTCGCATCCGTGGTGGGACCCGGTCGAGATATGGGAATGCATCTGCCCATAGGTGGAGACGAGAAATGGCTGGACTAGTGCGTCGTTAACAAATGTTGCCTAGCAAGGAGATCATACTACTGACAAGAGCTTCATAGCAGTCTGACCGAGCTCACATCGGCTCGTATCCACGAGAGGATCAAAGGAATGGCCGAGGGCAGCTTGACCTATGCATTCCAAAGCGATTCTTGTAGTCCAAGCGAGCACGTCCATCTCTTGAGGCCCCGATGCAACCAAGGACGCTAAAGTATCAGACGCCTTGTCTATGCGTTATTGACCCGGCGAAAAACGAGCGATACGGCGTGACGCACCGTGAATCCGATGTTGTAACATATAGGCACCAGAGAGCGCATCCGGTTCGTAGTGAACACCGGGTTCAGCATCTTCCGCTGTTTGCGATGTTGGGCGTCTATACGGGTACTCTCAGCCCTCAGGATGACTTATATCACGAATCCAGAGTTTCACGCACCCAGGGTGGAAACCATGCCGGGTCCAACAAGGGCCTTGTTCATGCTACAATAGCGTTGGGAGAGGTCCTGCGACCAAGTGAATGTGAGTCTCACTTGATGAGCCGCGCCGATTGCTCAAAGTCATCTTCCTCCTTGATGAGTACTGTGTGGAGTGCCTTGGGGTCGTATACGTATAATACCGGTCTCTACAGTGCGAAGGAGCCCATCAGTCACTGAAGATGATTGGTCAGAATTTGCATACACCAAATATGCCGTATAACCTCACGACACTAGACGTGAAGGAGCTTATGATGTCGTTTTGGAAGGCTATAGATTGGGGGCCGAAGAATTGGCCCATATTACCTGTATCACCTGCATGAGTAATGTACGTCTCTAGTGTCCTAGCTTGCAAACGCACCTGCTATGAAAGACGGCGATCGAGGTCCTGGTATATTGTTCAAAGGATGCCGGCGCAGGCGTAAAAGTGCATAGAACCAGATACCGCATGCACAACCACATAGCAGGGCTAGACGTATCATGAGATCTGCACAATCCATATCTTCTGGAACGAAGAAACATAGGCTCTGTTGGTACTTATAGTCCAAGAGTGCCAACGACGTCCGAAGAGGTCGGTATGAGTTCACAGCGCGTGATGGCAATAAATACGCGGCTGCTGGGCTGAGCGTCTACTATCCGGCGAAATTGGAGGTCAAACCCGGTGAACGTGTTCATGGCAGGCACTGTACATGCAGCCTGGACCGTGCACGAAACCATTGGGCCCTTCTGATAGGCTCAGTGGCGATCTCTGTGAAGCAATGCGCCCAGTATTGAATGCTTACCTGGTTTGGTAGGACATGATTGGGTCCCTTGTTTTGATGCCATGATCCGTAGCGAGGCGTATCTGAGGATTCCGAGCGAGGCTGAGTCGCTCAACGAAGGAAACAGCCTATTCTTTGGTGACCGGGTCAGTCGAGGAACATGTTGGCGATCTCACGTTGATCATACCTGATCATGCCTGACACGGGTTACGTGTCGCAGCCCCTTGCATGTCGGAGCTTTCGACGCGCAGGTGTGTGAAATCTGCGGTTCACGTCTACCATGTTTCCTTCATTCGAGGTCACGATGGGCCATCCAATTTCGAGGTCCGTAGGACGCCAATAAGCCACCATCATTCTTGATGCCTCTCCAAAAAGTCAGTCGCATTCATGTAAGCATTGTCGACAAGACGCACTTTACTCGCATCTAGCCTTGCTAGGCTCGACTAGCAGATGTCCTGGTATCTAATTGAGATGACCGCATCGGAGCAAGTCAGTAGTCAGTAGCGCGACTAGTCTGACACAACAATGCCCCTGTGCATAAGCTATTCCGCTCGAAGGCATGTACCTCAGGCTAGAGGCTGACAGATATGCGTCTGCAGGGCAGGACTGGCGTGCACTGACATTCCAAGGAAATCTCTGCCGACGTCTCATGATCAACGGAGCGGGAATAGAGAGGCCCGCAGTATCTCCCCGCCTGTATGATCTCAGTCAAATTAAACGCCGCGCGCGTACTCGCAGAGTCAAGATAGCATTCGGATAGACTGCTGTCAGTCACGACGCCGGGTAGGATCGGTTCTGTGCATACGACATGGCGCAACAAGACAAACCTCCGCCGAGGCTAAGCGCCTACAAGCGCCTCGTACTCCAAGCTAGCGAGGATGAAGGGCGCAAGTCCTTTCAGGTCATTTATGTTGATGGGCTCGTTGATATAGTACTGCATCGAGGATCATTGTCAGTGTAGTCAGACGGAATGGACGTCCACACGCACCTCGTAGTCATTCCCGGGCTCCAGACTCCCGACGATGACTGTGTTGTTCCAGTCCATCGTTCCGTCCGACTGAGGTATCACCCAATTGGCCGTCGCGTACTCGTAGGCTCTCTTTGCGGTCGCGACGAAGGAGCCATCCGTATCCTCGAGGTAGCCGAGGCGCACGCCCTTCAAGAGCGCGTAGATGTACATGGCCGCGCCGGAGCTCTCGAAGTAGTTCCCCGCCCGGCCGGGCTGCGTCAGCACGAGCCACCACACGCCGCTCTCGCTGTCCGCCGCCTTGACAAGCGCCCGCGAGAGGATCTGCAGCTGGGAGCGGATGGTCTCGCGCATGAAGAACGTCTCATCCGTTGTCGGGGAGCCCTCGAGGATGTCCACGATCGCCATGACGTACCACCCGACAGCGCGGTCCCAGACCTCCGGGGAGTGCCCGCGGTCGGGGGAGGCCCAGTCTTCTGCGTGCGAGTCGTCGTAGCCGTGGTAGAGCAGCCCGAGGTAGGTCTCGTTGTTTGTCGCGTTGATGCTTGACGCGAGTTGTATGCCATGGCTGTATTGCTCGATAAACTGGTTGGCGATATCGTCTGTCGTTGAGTCAAGAAGTCAGTTGAGATGAATAGCACGAATAGACAGAGGAGACGCTGACCCCAAGCTGACCGGTTCGTCGGCTGGAACGCGGCAGTATACCTGGCATAGAAAACATCACCCATATAGATACCATCAAGCCAGCCTGAGCAGTGGGGAGAATGAGCAATTGGCGACGTCTGTGGCTTAGGGTCTGACCTTGTTCTGGGTACGCTCCTTTGTGCCAGAACTGCCCCTCCGGTGTGCGAGGCTGGGTCTCAAATTGGGTGCGGAACTCATCGGCCCCTACTTTGTACCGCTCGTCACTGGTCGTGTTATAACTGTTACATTACTCAGTGTCGAATGCGGCACGATATCAAGAAGACATACAGATACAGGAATGACCACCCCGGAGGTATGTAGTCCAGCTGGTACTCGCTCGGGCTGCCCAAGAACCATCCGTACGCGTTGCAATAGTCACAATGAGGAAAACTCTTACTGGTAGACTGAGACAACCGTCCCGTTTTCATTGAGAATGTTGTTGGCAGCCTCAGTGATGTAGTCGTAGTAGCTCCGGTTACCGGTCTTCTCGTACAGAAGTCTGAGCGCCCACTGTAGCACGCCATGTTCGTATGTCACGACAGGGTCGCCGCTAGCGTTAAGTCCGTTCCCCTGTCCACGAGTGATAGCGGAGTTAGCAGCCCATGTAGAGTATGTCGTGCCCAGGGCGAGCGGTAGGGAGGAGATCCCCAGGAGCGTGAGCGTCGGCCAGAACATGAGAATGCACACCAGCTCGGTGAACAGCGCCGTCGCGTACCGCTAGACGAGCCCCAGAGATATATAGGCATAACAGCATGAGCAGATGTTCATCTGGGACGGTCCGGGCGGAAAAGCGGGCAGACACCGTAGTATCGAGGAGAGAGACACTGGAGGCTTGTCCACATGGGGGCGTTCGTCACATGCGCGATGTTTGATGTCCATGCAGTGGTCAAGAAACCATGTCGTGAGCCATAAGACCCATGCCGCCATTTCGCATCGGGGCAAGTAACGCAGCTGACAGCCAAGCCGACTCTCTGCGTGCGTGATCAAGCCTCAATATCAAACGAGTCTCCGATGTCTTTACAGGGCCACCTACCGTTGAATTTCGAAGTCTCGAGCTCTGTCAAAACCTCGCCCGCAAGGCACTGCTCCGGTGCCGTACTTCACGCGTCACGAATTGCGAGTATTCTGCGAGACTGTTTATGTAACCCGGTTTCTAGTCCAGCGACCGTCGGCGGAAAGGGAAGATTCAAGCGTGAGTGTTACTCGTTTGCCAGTAGCATCCGCGGAGGCTTGTAATATTTGAGCAAATGGTAAAACCCCGTGACGCGCGAAGATTTGGTTGCTCTCGAGGCCCCGGGAGCTGTGCGGCCGTTCAACTTGCTGCACGACGGGCGTCGACGGCGGCTCGGCCAGTCAGTGCCTACATCCCGCGGATCCATGGGCCATCGCTCCCATACGAAGAGTCCATGTTCAGCGCACAGATAACTTACCATCACCGTTGCAAAGGGTGACAAGCCCCTCTAGCTACGATCTGGCCAATCTTCAGGTTTTCAGCGAGACGGCGGAGGAGGAGGAGGAGGAGGAGGAGGAGGAGGAGGAGGAGGAGGAGGAGGAGGAAATTTCATTTAGCCACATTTAACACGTGTAACACACGCGACACTCGACAACGCGGTTGTGGCTACGGACGTTCATACCGTTACCCGCTAGTCCGAGGATGAAGGTCTCGCGCCACGCGCCTCAGCCACATCGCGTCTCCGGATATTCCACGGCGCTGTCTAGCTCAATTCTTGCGCAATTGGTTCATAAGGCCCCTTTATTTGTTCCAGGCATCAACACCAGCATAGTGAAGATGTCACCGAGGCGATACACACACAAGAACGCGCGCGAGGCCAATTCCAGAGTCGGAGGCCGTAAGCGCTCGTGCCAGCTGGCGGCGCGGCACACGGCGTTCGATGCTTCCAACAGAGTACATTTCATGGACACGATTTGGCAATGTGCTCTCAAATTTTGGGGACTCTTGTCGTGGGTACAGTACTCAGTACAGTAGGCAGCCCGTGCTTCTATAACATTTTATTTGTAGGATATGGAATTTATTTTGTTCGGTGACAACACCCGCAGCCAAAGTGGTATTAGTACTAGTAGTGGACAGAAGAGGAGGCACGCATCGAGCTAAATTGAGGCCACACTTTTCATTGTGTACATGCCCTACTACGGATGCCCTACTGGTAAGTACCACCTCTTCCAACTTCCCTAGGTCCGGTAGCTTCTGTGATGATCTACAAAGGCACATGCAGTACAGTCTCGTAGGCCAAGCCCAATCTTGATATCACCCCGCTCACCTCTACCACCACCGCAGCAGACCACAGCTCGTAACATCCGAATGTTCCACCAGGATCGCCTCAAACTCCCAATACACGTCTCGTTCGAACGCCGTGTGCCGCGCCGCCAGCTGGCACGAGCGCTTACGGCCTCCGACTCTGGAATTGGCCTCGCGCGCGTTCTTGTGTGTGTATCGCCTCGGTGACATCTTCACTATGCTGGTGTTGATGCCTGGAACAAATAAAGGGGCCTTATGAACCAATTGCGCAAGAATTGAGCTAGACAGCGCCGTGGAATATCCGGAGACGCGATGTGGCTGAGGCGCGTGGCGCGAGACCTTCATCCTCGGACTAGCGGGTAACGGTACGTTCAGCATGCTGGAAGCGCCCGCCTTGGTGTCGTATGGCAGTCATGATCAAAGCCCTCTTCCACCGCCGGGTGTCACTACTATGTTCCAGATTCGGATTCGTTCTACAGGTATCTGGTTTCGGGAGGCAGACTGGAGCCGTGGATACATGGCGCTCGAGAAAGACATTCAACCAAGCTACTTAGTGACCGCTGAAGCCTAGTGAGTACTTTTGAGATTGATGCATCGTGAATCTGAGCCTGATGCACTATAAAGGATCGCATGCGACGCGCTCGGCCGTGGCTTGGCCGTGGCGATCCAGAAGAATCCCGGCCGGACCCGGCGAAACACAAACGCGAGACTAGAAACACCTCAGCGTCGGCTCAGCGCCCATTTAAATGTTACCCCCCACGCCTGTATTCGCCGCCAGGACCTAACGTTGGTTTCCTCTCCACAACGCCATGCTGCCCAACCTCGGTGTCTTCACAGTCCTCTTCAGCTCGTTCGCCACTTTTTGTGCCGCAAGTGACGCGTTCTTCGCGACGGCGATCGTGACCGACGCTAAGAACAACTCAGCTCTCGAGTGCTGGCAGCTAAACGCGAGTGTCTCTGTCTCGAGCGGCGCGGGTACGGCAGGCGCGACGAGCATCCAGCTGGGTGACCTCGCGAACGCGACATACACCGTACTCCCGCCAAACTTCTATGGCGGAGTCCATAATGCGCCTTATCCCCAGTGAGTCGTGAATGTCGCAGCTCGTGCTGTATATGCTGACTCGACTGGTGTAGATGGGTCGTCTTCACCTCGGGCCTGGCAGTAGTCACTTTGCCGAACAACCCGGGCACTGCATACGTGCCCGGAGGGCCGAATGGAATTATCATCGCGGTCGATACCACCGGCAGCGGTCATAACACTTCGTACCCGTCCAACGACGAGACAGTTGCGCTTCAGATACCTTTCGCCGACGGTGCGGTCCCGCCGCATACCGTCGTGAGTGAAGGTCCCTGTGTCGGAAACCAGATACAAAATGTTAGTGCGACGGAGTGAAATTGGGGCTGAGGTACGTCTCCCAATCCGGTGACGCGGTTTCAGCTTGAGATCAGTCTTGACTGAGGTTCCCTAGGGGAGATGTGCGAATGGTCCACTCATAGTCAGTATACGTTATCTGAAACTTAATATCCACGTCGAACAAGCCAGGGGATATAACTGTCTTTTTGAACTTGTCTTTTGATGATGCGCGCTGTTCGCGTGAATCTCATGCTTCCTTTCGTGGCTGGTAAGCACACTACTTTATATAGCGCCAAACGTCAATTGAATACTACAAGAATTATGTCAATACACAACGCGATGATTCCAAAGCTGGGCGTACCAGCACATCACATGCCACAAACTGTGAGTTAATCGAATGTGCCTTCATTCGAGAAATGACCTAGCAGTGCTCATATGGCGTGGAATGAAAAGAACAAAATAATCAGACAGCTGGGATGTTCCCTAGAATGAAGCCTCTGTGTCCCTCCATTCGCAGTCTTGATGGTACTCGCAAACCCTGCATGACGCAGATACCTGATCAGCATACATAATCCACCTGCCACGAAGCGGAGCACGACTCACTCGCACCGACGTTCCAATCCTGCTGGCACCCCTTTTGGCTGACGGTGTCCATGCCAGTACTGCAAGATGCTGCGCAGATGGTCGTCCAGCATCTGATCGTCCATCACGAACTCTTTCACACCTAGCATGCCAGCGACCAACTGCGCTTTGTCGTCGGAGTTCGACGCGGACGCTCCCATAGTCGCCTTCTCGTCGCCATCCCCGACTGCAGTGGCTTCGGAATCTTGAGATAGCCCAATCACTGTATCTCCGGACACCTGTGAGATGCCTTCCACTACCTCCGCATCCACGGAAGGCCGTGTCTCCTGAGATTGCGACAGGGATGCGGGATACAGACCGTCGGGCTTGTCTGTCGTTTGCAGTATGTACTCCAGCGTCAGCGTCGTGTCGATACCGTCGACGTCGAGGCGTTCTACGGCTTTTTGCCAGGCTGCAGCGAGGTCATCGAGGCAGTCCAGCGCGAGGTACCTGTGCTCTGCGCTCCCGCTTGGCGTGGTATGCGACACATCCCCTTGCGTCGGAGACCGAGCCGCACGATCGAGAAGACGCCTCGCCCCACGGATGAACGTGTCAGAGAACGGCCGCCGAGGGTTGAGAGACAGTTTGCGCCATACCGCAGCAAAGTCCAACGGCTGTGAAGTAGTAGTCGCCCGCTCGCTCGAGTCACCAGTGCCGAAAGGTCGTGTCATGAGGCTACTCAGCAAGCGGTGATAGAGCATCAGCTGGAACCGATGGGCCAGGGCGTCCTCGTCTGGGGGAATATCGGGAGTGGTCCGTGTCTTCGTATCGGATAGGTGGATCGCGTAACGGTGAGGGCTCGAGCACGCTAAAGCGTTTGTGGCCCGCGACGCCAACGGTTCCGCTTCATTATCGGCCGCAACGGATAGAGCTTGCGGCGTGTCCTGGGATTCAGTCGAGGGCATACGGGCCTTCTTGGCTTGCTCCCTCAAAATGAAGGCCGCCTTGCGCTTTCTCTGGCTCGGTGGGCCGGGCATGACTTCAATTTTTGTTTCAGTATCCACTCGCAGAGAAGGCTTCAACGCCAGATTATCCTGAACGCAAGTGAGACTAGGTTGCGAAGCAAGGTTAGAAACATACAATCTGTCCGTGAATCACGTTGTCGTCGATGAGCCCCAAAACCGGTATTTCGCGCTGCCAGCGAAGCAATGATTTCTAGTGTCCGATCAGTTAGAACGCTTATTCTACTCACGCAAAGGCCTGTTTCCTTGAGTGTATCCAAGGCTTCGAGCATCTGTACCAGACTTTCCGAGAATCAGGATATATTCACGGCCACATGAGGAAGCAGGCTATTTACCGCAGTTTACCTAACGCTTGCGGTAAGTGTACATCCGCCCTGCGTAGACTGGCCTGACGTTCCAACGTCTTGTGCATTGACTGCATAGTACGCGCGTAAACAATCGTCAAGGTCAAGGTTGGCCATATGGGATACAACTTAAGTACTCACTCTACCACGCCTCGTAACGCGATAGTGCTGCTCTGCGATGGCCTTGTCTATTCTGATCCATTTACCACTCGCACTCCGGAAACCAGTTCCCCTCTTTTCTGGAGAGGAATTGGAGTTGGACCTTAGTGAGTAGTCGTACGACAACTCGCACCTGTGTTGCCATCCGAGTCAGTATATGGCATAGAGACCAGAGAAATCCCACACACCAAGAAGGCTGCACCAAATCCGTTACGGATAGCCATACCCTGTTTCTACGAAAGTTGGCATACGGACTAGGACCGTGAGGCCGTTCCGGACCTATGTGTACAAGAGGCTCTCCCTTGAGCGTATTCTTTCCAGGATTCAGGGCACCACCGCTGCCAGTTGTTCGAGACATGCGAGTCGTGGATTCGACAAAGAGGTGGCAAGAGAGGAGAATTTCGCCGACCCAGTACAAGATCGAGGGCTCTTCAAGGGCACGCTCCTGGGCCACACACAAAGAGATGCATCGGCCACAACGAAGCGCTGGACACATGTCAGAGCCGAGCTAAGATCAGTCCAGATATCGGACAGCGACTTCAGAGACTTCATGGCGATCGAGAGAGAGCGAAGTGCACGCAGACTGAGATAAAGGATGGGCAGACCGCCGCACGACTGCCAGGACTTGACTGCAATGGGACAACCTGGGACGACGCCTGGCACGACGCGGTGTGGCAGCTGGCCACAGCGCTTGCGCCACCGTGGCTGATTACGTCAGCATCTCAGAGTGAGAGTGAACGGTGTGAACCGTGACCTTGAACAAGTTGAACAAACTCATAAACTCGGCGGCCAAGAGAGTTTACGATGTCAATTCACTCGATCTCTGGGACATCCCGGACCGGTACTACAGATGCATAGGCGTAGGACAAGAAGCCTAACTAGTTGCCCGGCGAGTCCGATCTTGCACTTTGGCCAGTGTTAGGTTGCACAACAAGTTGCAGTAGATGTTAACAGTGAGTTCCCGTCCTAAAGATACCTCGCATTCAATTTCCCTCTAACCATTCATGACCTGTACTCATAATGATGCGCACTACCTCTCTCACGTGTTCCTCATTCGTGCGCCAGACCGCCCATTGGCCTTCGCCGACGCCCATTCCCATTCCCTCTTTCCGGTATCGTGCTTCGCTCGGGATCCACTGACCTCCGCTCATGTGTATTTGACATAGCCCTAAGGGTAGTAGCTCTAGAAGCACGCTGCGAATCGTGTTCGGCGACACGCCTGACCCGGGGAGGATATTGAATCGGGAGGCCATGTGGGGTTGATGTTGCGAATCGTTATCATTCAAGACGCGGAACAGAGTGGAAATATTTGCGAGGGCCGTAGACGTGGTGCAAGTGGGTTCTTGCCCGCTGGAGATGTTGTTTCTTCCAGTGAACACCGAAGGCAAAAGTGGGGTACCAACCTCGTGAGCACGCGATTGACATGTGGGATCTTGCGCACGTCCTCAAATGCTACACAGAATCTCAGCACAGCCAGCGTTCAGATCAAATGACTGAAAGCTCACACACCTCTCTGTATATTTCTTGTCATATCGAAGGCCCTGTGAAAACATACTGTACGGACGGTCATTTGCATCCGACAACCACATGATGCATCTCATACGCTTACTTTCCAGTGGGTGCGCTTCGTTCGCTAATCTACCGTTCGGTATATGCGAGTCAGTCAATGTTACCATGTGTGAATTTGACCCACCTGGTGCCGCAGCCAACGTCGATCTCCCCCTCGCGGGTTAGGACACCAAAAACAACCCCGGCCGCACCTGCCAACTTGAAGATGCGAATATCTTCTATCATGACTTCCAGCTCCTCGTCTGAGTACACAAAATCTCCCGTCCGTGGACGTATCATGACCTTGGAGCAGGTTGATGAATCACGACAGCAGGGCCGGAAGAATCCTTCGAGACTAACCAAGATAGGCACTTGAGGAGCGGCTCTTGCGACCGCCTTGAACATACCCAGGCTCGGGGTAACGCCGCCGCCCGCGGTGAGAGAACCACAAAGCTCGAGGCGATCTGCACCACCCGCAACGGCTCTGAGAACACAGCGATCAGAATTGGCAAAAGGATCAAAGCACATGGACAACCAACGCGACAGCTGATTCCACCGAGTCGATGCACACCTCGAGCTCAACTTGGAGACGACTGTCGCTGTCGATAGCTGTCGTGTGAGAAAATGACCAACGGTGATAGTGATGCAATGTTCTCTTACATTTGGACCATAGCGAGCCTGACTCCCTGCTAAGCTAGTGATTGCACGATACGGCCGGAGACCTAAGCAAATGACGAGAGCGTTCAACCGTAACTGCGTGTGAGTTCAGAGTGAGTCAGCGTGGCATCTCGCATCATAGCCTCCTCCCCACGACGAACATCATTCTACGCGCATCACACGAGGCGAAGTCGTAGCCGCCACGAAGTGATTCAGTAGGATTGGACGATGATGTCTCTACTGACGCACTGTAGAACATATCGATCCGATGCTACCTCTGGGCGGGCCGCCGTGGACGTTTGACAGGAAACTGATCCGACTTCAGGTATGTCAAGTTACAGGCCACTGGATACAGGCTACTGGATGGAGCCATGGAGAGGACGGCTCATCATCATCCATCGCCATAGGTAGCCCATCATCGTGCAAAATGCGTGAGACAAATGAATTCTCTCTTTTTGCGAAGGGTACGATTCCAGAGACGTACGTGCCTTGTAGACACGGGCCACGCTCCGCACCGATTCCAGATGCTACCGCGTTGTGCTAAGCTATCTGAGTAGTGAGCAGTAAGCTGCAGTGCCACGTCGGCCGCACAACACCTCCGCTCACCTTGTCCGGGCGGTCCTGTCTGAGAGTGAGCCTGGTTCTCGCTCTTGTACACCGTAGACACGCCGGTCGTCTGCAAGTTGGCGCTCAGCTGAGAGGGGAACGAATCTCCGTAGTCGCGATCACGTGGCATTGTGTATACGCGTCGTGCTGGATTTAGTCAAATTCTGCTGAAGATCCTCTTGAAGGTGCTACAGCTGCTCATGTCCGCTTCCGTAATATCGTTCCCCGTCAACTTCGGGCTGCTATCATTCACCCGCCCGAGGTTCCCACTTGCAATTATGATGGGTCCGTCACTGACAAGGGGCCCCGGCGTCGACATTTCGTCGGAAACAACCCGGATGACAGCTCCTTTTACCGCATTGGGCAGGGATCCCAACCACTGGTGATGCGGAACACACTAGGCCGCCTTCCTATATGATATCTCACCGCGCTCACGTCAAATGTACGTCCGATAATGCGGTCACTAGACAGCGATTAGGTGAGAAGATCGCAACGACAATCGGGAGCGTCCTCGCACGAAGAGCATATCGAACGCCTGCTCAAAATTTGGATCGCAGAGATATAAGCAGCCACTACATATTCGAAGGCCGTTGTGCTTACTGATCGCTAGCATGGCTCTGCAACCTGACCCACAACCTACGCTGCCCCAGCAGCCGAAGTTATGGTGGGCGAACGGGACGGCCTTCGTAGCGATCCACCTTGCAGCCGCGATAGGTTGCTACTTCCGCCCGTATCAAAGCGTGTCAATATACACACTGTCTCTGTGCGCTGTTCTCTTTCAAATGGCAGAGTTGTCGTAAGTCAGCCGTCGAACAGTTGCAAGCTTGTGCTCACTACGAAGTCAATCAGCATCACAGTCGGTTATCACCGTCTGTACTCGCACAGAGCATTTCGTGCCAGCCTACCCGTGAGGATCGTCGTGTCGTTGCTCGGTGCCAGCGCAATGCAGGGGTCAATCAAAGTGAGCATGGGAATCGTCTTCCATTGAAGGCGGGAGTAATGGCTGACTAACCCGACCAAGTGGTGGTAAGTAAACGCACACCATAGGAGTGCAGACGCGGTAGTTCACTTCCCCGACTTGACAGGTGCCTAAGGCATCGGCTGCACCATGTATGTCCGATCCCGAGATATAAACAGTGCTGACATTTACCAAGCATCGTGCACAGCGTTACACAGACGACCCTGTACATGACCCGTAAGCACAACATCCAGACACAGTCACTCTATGCTCAACGTATGGGAAGTTATGCGGCCACTCGCGGATTTTGGTGGTCACATATGGGGTGGATTTTCTTCAAGCCTCGCTACGAGCGCCTCGAGCTGGTCGACCAGGCGGACCTCGACAATGACCCAGGTATGCTACGCTCTTGTCTACGTAGACATCCACGTTGACGAGACATAAGTCGTCCGCCTGCAGCACAAATATTACCGTAAGTGTTACGTGGAATGCCAACGCCTGCTGAAGCAAAAATACTCTCAGTGCCGCTGTCCATTACACTGGGGCTGATACTGCCGCCCTGCCTCGGAGTCCTGTGGGGTGAACCTGCGGAAGCGTTCATCTGGGGAGCGCTTGTCGCGAGACTGCTCAGTACGGATCTTTCCCCCGTGCCTGTCGGACCGAGCTAACTTGCCTTGAATACAGTCTGGCATTGTACCTTTTTCGTGAATTCGTGAGTACGAGTCTGTAAGCTCGATGAACTAAGTTGGTTTGACGTCTTCGGGAAGCCTCGCACACTGGGACGGCCTGCAGCCGTACTCGGACGAAAATACGTCCAAGTCGAACCTGGTTCGTCCCCAACACGGCTGGGAACATGCGTTCAGTGCAGCTCATCCTTCTTATACGACTAGGTCCTCGCACTCCTCACCTGCGGCGAAGGGAACCATAACTTCGTGGGTACGCTTGTGCTTCCCTGGGTCGACGTACTAAATAATGCCCACAGCATGTGAGCATCAAGTCCAGGAACAATCACGTATCTGACCTGTCGAACAGCACGCATTCCCCCATGACTATCGTTCCGGTCCCGCGCGGTACGATTGGGACCCGTCCAAGTGGACGATTCTTCTGCTCCAGCAACTTGGCCTCGCCTGGGGACTCAAACGCGCGCGTCCAGAAGACGTGAGCGAGGCGTGCCTCTACATGCTTCACAAGCACGCTGGGGAAGTCAGCGGAAGCGATGATGACTCGAGTTCTGGGGACGACGCTGACCTTCCACGCTCCTCGGATTTGGAGGTCTGGACCTGTCCTGATGTGCAGAGGTATGTCGACGGCGGCCGATGCGTCGTCGTGCTTGATGGGCTCGTGGTTGACGTCACGGGCTACCTGGGCGAACACGTACGTCGCTGATCCTCTATACCGGGCTTGCTTAGGATCCGATCGGAATGTGCTGACGGTCTTCTAGCCTGGAGGTGCTGCGCTGCTCCGCAAGTACTCCGTCCGACCACAGGGGATGCCGCATCACGACGTCTGGAAGCAAGCTGGTTGGGCGTTCCATGGCGGTATGAACAACCACTCGCGAGCTGCCCGGAAGCGGATGAAGGAGCTGCTGGTGGCCAGGCTGGTGGACGAGATGTAGGATGGCATGGATTGATCATGACCTAGGGAAACGATATGTGGTAGTACAAGCAACAGCGACAACAAGCAGATAGCAGATAGCAGCAGAGCAGAGAGCAAATTTCACATTGTAACACGAATAGTCCCACCGTACCTCGCGCACCAGGCGCATTCCTCAACTTCACAACCGCGCGCTACACCTACACCAACTTCTTCTCAATCAGGAGCAAGATGTTCTTTTCCTGCGTCGTCACCCTATTGCCGCGGATGCACTGCCGGATGTCCGACAACAGGATCGCGTCGTGCATTCCTAGGCGCGCCCCCTCCTCGTATGTGAGCGCATCGTCGCGCTTGCAGAGCTCCAGATACGCCGCAGCGATCCACTCCGGTATGTCGTAACTGCGCCCGAGCAGGATGCGGTCGATCGGAGAGGCGAGCTGAGCGAGCCGCGAGATGGCAAGCTGGCGGTAGTCTGCAAACTCCCACTTCGTGGCGAGCGCGAGGACCGATGTCCATTCTTCGGTGGTAGACAAATCGCCGTCGCTCACGTTCCTGTGGGGTCGGTCCATCGTCAAGCACCGTCGCGCCATTGCAAAAAGAACGTCGCCAGGGCCGTAACCTCGAACCAGTCGTCCTATAGGAGACACTCGACTGGCGGTTCCCGCTCCATTTGTCGCAACGACCACCACATTGTCAATAATGAGAGTGAGGTCGCTGCGGCAAAGGTGTTGAGATCGCAAGCCCGAGCAGCCTCCTGGGAAGAACGGCGGATACGAGACTAACTACCTCAAGTCAGTGGCCGGCGTCGTAATACGTACTCAGGATAGAAGAGGCATAGCAATCGCTCGAAGTCCTTGCAGGCGACACCATGTAGATAGAAAGGATTGTCGTCAGTCAGACCTTCCACGACTTTATCTTGTCCCTGTGGAAGGCTGAAAGTAGTTGAAAAGGCTTTGGATCGGCATGTCAAGAAGTGACGATGGATCCTGTAAAGGGTATTTTCTACCTGTTGAGTAGATGTATCATATTGAGATCGGTACGGTACTCTCAAGAGGAAATATAGTGACATACACGAATGACTATAGGGTCGTCTTTGATGTAATATGATGGGTGTCGCTTGGTGGTCCCGCTCGCAGAACAGAGCTCTTGGTTCCCCGTACCCTGTGCACTACAACCGCCAATCATCATCAACCGTTACACACAAATGTTTGCAGTCTAAGATAGACGACACCTTACGCGTTATCGACCATGATGGCGCGCGCAGTCCAGGCTTAGTGTGAAGTTCCGATATGCAAGTCAAAACAGCCGATACAATCGACCTGCAGCAAGAGGCTGAGGCTGCCAGTGATCATGGTGCACGACTTGAGATGGGCGCCTGCCGCGTTCATCACGTGGCCATGTTTACTGGATTAGGGGGGTTGGTGGCTCGCGCGCTGACACGGCCGACGGAGAAAGGGTCCTTAGCCAACAGAGGCTGTCGCTGTCATTCTGGGCACTGTGCTTGTTTGATAACCACACCAGAGCCGCAAGGAGGGAGAGGGAAGACGATGTCGAAGAGAGAGGCCAGCCAAATCGCCGCGGCAGCGGGAGTCGATATCGACGCACCGCGCGCCAAACGACGCAAGGAGGCTCCTGCAGACTCGAAACCACTCGCCGGGACAAGCAACGCGGATGGGGTCAAGAAGGAGGGCGAGTCGAGTGAACCGAAGCGGGACGGGCCAGAGGTGATCAAGGAGAAGGGGCTGAGGTTGTGGACAACGGTGAAGGATGCAGTGGACAAGGAGTGCGTGATTGTCTGCTCGCCTACCACTCACTACATTCTGACTCCGAACGCGTTTACCACCTACTTTCACCCATTGCAATCTGCCATCGCCTACCACTCTGCGCTCGTCATGTCTGCGGCCTCAAACACGCCCATTCATCTAGTGGTCGGCCACTCTGTGTCGACTTCATGCGTTTGCCATCCAAACGGCAGTACCCCGACTACTATGTCCAGATCAAGAAGCCAATTGCTCTCGACGATATCAAGGCCCAACTAGACGCACTCGCATACGCTTCATTCGAGGATGCTAAGCATGACCTGGAAACTTGCTTCCGGAATGCGAAGAGGTACAACATCAGAGAGAGCCAGATCTTCCAGGACGCCAAGGTGTTACATGTACGTAGACGAGAGCCCTGTGCTGACGCCCCCTCTCCCTGTGTCCTACGTTGTTGCTTGTGCTCATCCATGTGACGTAGAAACTCGTCAAGAAAGAGTATGCTAAGATGACCGGGACCGCAGAAGAGGCCGCCGAGGATGAAGGCGATGAACGTACCGGGGACGGTGCAGCGCATGAAGGGGGTTCTGACGATGAAGGAGCAAAGAAGAAGAAACCGCCCAATATGAATCGCTTGCTCAAGACGCGTTTGCAGAAGCTAGTGGAGAAGACTGACGACTCGTACGTTGAGACGACTTAGTGATGTCTGCATTCACGCACCCCTATTGATCCAGAGGACGTGTACTCTCAACCGAGTTCATGGAACTGCCGAACAAGAAGCAATGGCCAATATATTACAAGATGATCAAGCGTCCCCAATGTCTTGAGTCTATCTTCGTGAGTGTTTTTGCCGTTCTGTGTGTACTTGCAGTCGTCTCATGCAAGTGGCCAGAAACGTCTCAAACGGAAGGAGTACCACACGTCACAGGAGTTCGCTAACGATGTTGAACTTGTATTCTCCAACGCACTCGAATTCAATCAAGACCACACAGAGATCTGGGAAGATGCTGTGGTGCTTAGGGTGCGTTCGACCGCCCTGACATCGCCACCTGTACCCTAACCCGTATACAGGACTACTTCCGCCACCTAATGTCAGACCTGCCGCCACCACACACCATACCCGCCTATACCATTACAGAGTCTCACACCAAGATCAAGCTTAAGGTCCCCGCTCATCATCCACCCGCTGCCTCTACACCCGCACAACCCTCGCCTGTCCCCGGTACGCTAAAGATCCGTGCGCCGCACCCAATTGCGAACGGTGCTGCCTCGCAGGCATCCCCGCCAGGGGAACCTTCGAGATCTCCGGCGGTCCCTGTAAAGCCAGTCCCAGCGTCCGCGTCCCCGCCGCTCCCACAGCCGGGGCAGGCGCCCTCACATCCGATCATACCAGCTCCTATCCCTGCGGTGGCTCAATTGAAGGCGTCCGCAAGTGGCAGCAATGTTGCGCCCAACGCCTATCCACAGCCGGGCTACTCTCCGTACCCACAATACACACTGCCAGCGTACCAGCAGTCCGGTACGCCGGCTCCAGCCCCGTCTGTGTCACCGGCGCAAGTTGCCGTACCCCCCACGACTACTGTGGCCGAGCTGCAGTCGCCGTTCGACGCTCAGAGACATCGCACGCCCAAGTGCGTCACTTTGTTGACAAAACCGCTAGGCCGGCTGCTGCAGCTTGACTACACTGATGGTGTGCGGACATGGGCCGTCCGACTGTGCGGAGAGACGAGCGTCCATGTTTCCGGGGTGCGTTTTCTGAAGCTGGATCACGAAGACGAAGAGAGCAGCGACGACGAGGAGAAGCTGCAGAAGCCGGAAGAGGAAGAGGAGGAAGAGAATGGAGAAGAGAAGGTGAAAGAGAAGGAAGAGGAGGAGCCGAAGCCAGAGAAGAGGAAGCGGGGCAGACCGCCGAAGAAAAAGAAGCAGCTGGTGGTCGAGGAGGCGAAGATAGAGGAGTCGGCCAAGAAGAAGGGCAAGGCCCGCGCGAAGCAGCCTCCTGGGGAGACTCAGGTGAAGCTGAATGGCGCAGTCGTCAATGCTCTCGATGACAACAAGAGCGAATGGGACCTTGAGCTACCCATCGGGCCGAATTTAGTGGAGATCGGGGAGAAGGGCGGTACACCGTGGAGGGTGTACCTCGACAGAATGCCTGTCTGATACCCTGGACAACTAGTGTCCATTTCTTTTAGTCACCGTCTCGTGCTGTCGTATCTCGTTATATGCTGTCTGTACTTATTGATGATTGTCACCGAGTCGGATGTGAATTAGTGATGTTGTACGATTCAAATAATGATAGTAGTATCCCGTTGGTCCGCATACAACACTCCACATTACAACCAATATCGAAGCATCAATAGAGATCAGCTATTAGCTCTGCAACTTCGCGGCGAGAGGCACCGAGTCGTCCGGGTCCTCCTCAGCTTCGCTTTCACTGCTAACCTCGGGATCGTAGTAATTATACCGCCCAGGCTCGCGCGTCCTATCCTCGATAAACCCCTGCATGATCGCCTCCCTGTTGATCGACTTGATCTCGTAACCCTCGGAGCCCCTCCGTACACGGATGCCACTCCTAGAGTTGTCGTACTCGTCTTCACTAGACGACGCAGGATCATACGGGACAACAGCTTCGGGCTCGCGATAGTCAGGGTGATATGGCGGGAGGGCGGAGTAGGGGCCGTTGCGGGTGGTTTGGCGGCGGCGGGCGTTGGAGGGCTGTAGATACGGGTTGACGGAGCCGTTTTGATACGTCCAGGGGCTTGAGGGGAGGCTGAACTTGTGGTTGGGGTCGGGTTCGGGCATGGGCACATGAGTGGGATCCTCGGGAGGCCAGTTTTCAGCATCGGGGTCTGCGGAGAGAATTTGTAAGCGATGCAACTCATTGACCGCGTCGATGAGAAGAAGGGAAGGGCGTGCTGCAGACTACGGGTACCTAAATGGAGGAATAACGGGATAAAGCATGAGTGCTTACATACATAGCAGGGGTATCCGACGACTGCACACCTAGATGCGACCAGCGCAATCACGGCTCGGGTAGGCGATGTCCGCCGTTCATATAGACATTTGGATAAGCCCGAGAATTGAGCTCGATCCACTTACCATCGCCTTCGGCGAGTTGATACTTGAGGCCTGTTCCCGGCGTGACAGTCGGCCAGCACCACCATAGCGGCGAGTCGCCAAGTACAGAGCAAATGTTACGCCACAATCCCAAATTCTGTATAACCATTAGCATAGTTTCTCAGAGTGGATAGCGCGTACGCACATAGGGGAATTTGATCTGAACAGCAGATCAGCCTCGAGTCATACATGAGAAGCAACATTCAAGCACACCTCATGAATCTTGCCACGTCGTACGAGGGTCGCAACCTTATCCTTCTCCCAGCCTTCAATTGTGGTACTGTTACCTGATAACAGGTAGAAGTGATACAAACTGTCGCCGTCCAGTCAGCATATGCTGCGGAAATGGCTGACGTAGTGACTTACCTGAAGCCGCCAACAGCAAGCCAGACAGGTATGCAAGTTGCCATGTTCAAGATGATGAATATCATCTCTGAACTCTCGAAGTTCTCCTGTGGACTGGTTCAGGCACAGTACTACACTCCGGCGTGCAAATAGACGTACCCATGTTTGTGTGGCCACATAAATGCGTCGTACGTGGATTGCCAGATGGTACGAGCAAGCACAGTTTACGTAGAAGAGGAACCGGAAGAAATACCCGTAGTTGAAGTGACCGACGCAGTTGTTCACCCAGGGACAGTGATGATCTGCGTTTCCTCATGAGCGCAAGGCTATGTAATATGCACACAGATCCTTACCCATGCGTAAGATACAGCTACACGAACCAGAGAGTTAGGTACACTGTACATTCTCAAGGAATAGCGACGTACCGTTTGCACTGCCTACAATGGTGTGCGCGGGGTGGCTTAAAGGCGTCACACGTTCGACAGTATCTCGGTCCACGAGTGAGCTTCTTGACCTCATAGCCATCGTTATCCTGGACGTCTGGTTGCTGCGGAAGCGCCTTCAGAGTCTGTGCCAGACTACGGGCGTGAATACGTACCCATCCGGGTGGCACTCTGCCTGGGTCTGTTACGACGCACAGGTAGTAGTTCCACAACAGCATCCCCACCAAGGCACTGCAGAGTATATCTCTCAGTATGAGATTGAAAGGAACTTCGTATGACTTACTTGAAAGGGACGAGGAGTGTAAGCAGCTCAATGGAGAGTACACGGCCATACCAAGGCCAGACGACAAAAATCTGCGACGAGTATGCAATGAAGCAGATGAGCGCAGTGGTGAAGCCAACAAACAAGCGACCCGTTAATCGACCCATGCAAGCAGACCAAGAACAGACTGGAGCCCAAAACCGGAGGGAGGAGAAAGAGGCGTGTGCCGCGGCTGAGACGGGCACAGCTGGATGGTCGCGTAGGCGCCCGTGTCACTTTCCTCCCGACCATCACACTGCACACAGGCAGACCAACAACTTGCATGTGTTGAAGTCCTGCAAATACTCCACAATGTTTGCCAGGCCAGCGCGAGCCTTGTACCGCTCGCGGGCCACCGTCCGACTCAACTCAACGGTCGCACCGGCAGCCAGCGCACAGACGGGCAAGAAGGCTGCGCCGAAGCGCACCGTCCCTATGCTCGAGGAGTTTGGAGACATCAAAATTCGTGAGTTCTCCCTTACTCCATGACAAATTTATGCTCAGCTTAGCATACCAGCGAGTGCCCGCAGGGGCAGCGCCGGCTGGGAGTGGGCAGCAAACGTAGGGCTCGGGTCCGGTTTGGCCGACAAACTGGCACGACGACAGCAGCAGAACGCCCGGGGCGACTCTGAAGCCAACGATGTTACACCTCGTGCACCCAGGTCGGCCGTTCAAGCGGAGCAACGACGCTCGAATCAGGACAAGCGGGCTCCGCAGGGAGGGGAGAGGAATCAGAATGGGGCGAATAGGAACCAGTATGGGGCGAACAGGAGCCAGGATGGGGCGAATCGCAGCAACAATACACGAGCACAAGGAGGAGACAGAGCCGCTCGACCTCAACGAAGTGACACCCAGAACCGCTCACCCAGGCAGTCGAGACCACAGCAACAGACCGACGCGAGGCGATCCTCGAATGGGCGTTTCAAGCGCGAGGAAACTGCTGAAGCTGCTGCTGCCCCCGCAGAGTCTGCTGCCCCAAGCCCTCCCATTCACCTCGATGTTCAGAGGGACACAGCGAAGATCGCACTGTCCACCTCCGAACTCGATACACTCTTCGTGCACAAGAAGCGTTTCGCTTCTCCCGCAAGGGCAGTTGCTGCCGTGAAGCCCGGTGCTCGGGACCTGCGGAATGCCACCGCTGCAGTCGGAGGGCGGCCGTTCGAGAGGCGGTCAGGCGATTATTCGCGGTATCTCCCTCAAGACTTGGGCACGTCGTTCCCGGAGCTGCTCGGGCCTCTCGGCAATGCCAGGCTGCTCGTTGGACGCAGAACGGAGGTGGGGTTCAAGTCGCGGGAGAGGATTTTGGGCACCGTGCAGAGCCTGGTGGTGAACAAGGTTGTAGAAAACCAGCCCGCGTAGAATGATTGAGCGTAGACATGTCTCTCAGGGTATCCTTGACATACATACTCAATACATATGGGTATGTGACACAACCCGACCATCAGACTCATCGCTACACGGGAAGTACATGACGGATGATAAAGAAAAAAATAAATATGCTGCGTCACTGTTCGAGGTATGCTATCTGCACTGTGTCCTCTTCGTTTGCTCTCGATAATAGACCGTTACGCTCGGAGGCAACTGACTCCCGCTTGAAGTCCCTCGATAAACTCCTGTATTCGTCAGGCGGTCCACCGTCAAGGGACAGCTCGTCTTGCGCGTCGTCCTCCGTATCTTGGTTGAGTACCCACTCCGGGACCTCGAAGTCCCGTACTAGCTCGATCTCTGGTGGCACCCGCGCACCAAACGCCAGGACGTTTCGTTGTGTCTTGCGCACATTAGGTGCGGCAGAGTTGCGCAGGGCGGCAGCCATGAGCACGCACGTCGTCTGCTCCTGCTTCCCCGCGGCCCCTGCGTACGTCGCGTACTGCCTCGAACCGGGCGAGTCCAGGCGCATGGGGCGCACCGCTCCGGAGGAGATCGACTCGCCGTTCGTTGGCTTCGTCGGATGCGTGAAGGACGCCAGGCTGTCTGTGCGTGGGCGTTTTCGGGGGTGTACCTTCGTAGGACTTGCGCTGTCGTGCTCCTTGCCTTTCGGCAGGAACTTGCCACTGGCTCCACGAGCGCGCGGCGGGGCAAAGGCGGTGGTGGTGAGGATGGATGTTGTCGCGAGCATTTTGGTCGGACTCTGGTCGTCCACCTTCCGGCTCGCCTCGAGTGCATGCTTCATGAATGGTGACAGCGTGGTCTGTTTCTTTTTTTTAGTGGTTGACTTCGATAGTGCGTCCTTCAGTTGCGCCGGCGTCCGGGGAGGGAACTTGATCTTCAGCTTGAGACCCTTTGAGCGCTGTCGGTCGCGCTCGTCGAAATCGACCTCGGACTCCCCTGACTCGTCATGATACGACGGCCGCTGAGGCAACATAGTGTCCGCCTCTTCAGACTGATCTAGCTCGTCCACTTCTTCTTCCTCTTCCTCCTCTACCTCTGCCGCCTCCTCCTGCATCTCGTCGTTCTCTTCTGGTTCTGGTTCAGAGTCGGATGCAACGACCTCAGACACAGCATGAGACCCGTATTTCTTCTCGGGTGGTTTCTTGTCTGGGTTGAGCAGCGTACGATAGCGGTCCTCCAGACTTGAGGCGATGGCCAGCATTTCCTTCCTCCGGCGTTCTCCCTCCACCTGCGCGGCGCCATGTGGATGCAAACCGCCAAGCTCAATCCCGTCCCCGTTTTGCTCTACTACGTCATCTGGAGGAACGTCTGGCGGCGGGGGGAAGTCGGACGCGGGGAGGGTGAGGAATGCAGATGGGTCCATGCCGCGCAGCTGGTCGATGCGCTCCTTGAGCTTGTACTGCTCGTGTTTGAGCTTCTCCTTCTCGCGCAGCCGTTGTCGCTTCTCAAACGTCTCGTACTTGCGATGCCGCTTCTCGTACGCCGCGTCGGACGTGTCCGCGGGCTCCTGTGAAGGAAGAAACGAGTAAGAACACGGTACCCATAATAGGAGCGGTGTACACGGACGTCTTCTGCCACTCGTGGCCTGAACCGGCCCCCGACGCTGGCGTCCTCATCCAGCTGAGTGAACTCGGGGGTCTGGATAAGTTGCTGCTCCTTATACGCCTTCTGCACCTCTGGCCGGTCGAAGTAACGACCATATGCGTGCGTGTTGATTTCGACCTCGAAGTTCGGCGCGTCTGAGGTGGAGGGAACAAGGGACGAGTTGGTGGTCAGCAGGAATTTGGTGGTAGCGGGGATAAGGGGTTCGTTCTCGACTGCGCTGCGTAAGCGTGAGGCGATCCGCGCAAGAGGATTGGGACGTACGTCTCCGCCGCATAGTATCCAGAATCATCATGTCTGTCTCACAACTCCCGACGCCCGGCCCTCCTCGCCGGGAACGCGATGGCAAGACGCGTTTCGGCGGCGGCGCGCCGCCTTTCTTAGGCGTGCCATTGACTGACACGGGTGCTTGCGACGCGTGTTCGTCCGCGTTGGAGTCTCGTGGCGCAGTCTGTTCGGTAGTCGCCATTCGAACGTTGTGGCCGGCAGGTGTAAGTCGTCGTAGAGGTTGCGTTGAAAGGGCGATTTTGAAGGCGCTGGCAGACAGCAAGGCCCGAGGAGGTCAAGCCAGAGTCCTGAAGGCAATCTGAGATTCAAGGACAAGGAGTGGCCGCTCAGTGGGTCAATGTCGGCAAGGCTGGTACATACGAGCGTTTGGGCGGGCGATCTATGCCTTTCTGGGTGCGTCGGGATTTCCCTTATACAGACGAGATGACTACGCGCGGCCCGGGAGACCGTCCCAGCCACCACCTCCAATGCCAGTGATATATATTCGACTTCGTGGTAGAGACACAAGCATTGACTGGATTTCACACCGATGCGTATACAGAAACTGCAGTATTGCATATTGTATTGATCGTCATCAACTATGACTATTCCCATTGGATGATCCTGCGTCCCCATCTGCAGAGGAGCCCCAATTCTGGTTCCAAGCCCCGGACTGGTCGCCTGCAGGATTATACCCCGCGTTTCCGTAAGGAGCGTACTGGTTCGCCTGCGCGAACCCGAAGTTCATCGCGAAAGTAGAGGCGAAGCGGGGGTTGATATGTGGCTGCACATACTGATTTTGGTACCCGTATCCGGGGAAGTTGAACTGCTGCTGCGGTGGGTACTGACCACCCCACCCACCGCCGTTCATATGCTGTGAGGCATCAGGATGGTGTTGCATGTCCTGAGCCATTGACGCCTCGTCAGAGTACTGGCCAGTCGCCCGCGCAATGGCCAGCGAGGTGGGAGACATCGAGCGGCGCTGCTGAACGTCATACTCGTCATGCGGAGACGAACGCATTTGCGGTCCTCTGTCACCGCCACCCCACGATTGTCGGTCGTCACGACCTCGCCCCCGGCCCCGTCCGCGCTCCCTTCCTCGCCCACGACCGCGGCCTCGGCCCCGACCGTGGTCGTCGCGCCTTCCCCTAGCAGGTGCATTAGAGCGACCTCTGCCACGGCCACGGTCAGCATAGGCTTCTCCGCTCTCGGACCTGTGATCATCTCGGCCTTGAGAACCTGAGGTCACGGCTGGAGATGTTTCGGGTACACCGTAGTTATCTGCATAGGGGTCGTCGTAGGGCATAGGTGCAGGGCGCGAAGGTCCTGCTCCATAGTCCAGGTCGTTGTAAGGGTCTCGTTCACTGTATGGGCTGGCACCAGATGTATCGTCCTCAGCCATATCCGCGTCCCGCCTCATCGACGGTATGGGCGTCGTGTGTCTCGACGAGGCAGCCGAACGTGACCGATGCCTACACAGCGGTGAGTCAGTCTTCCACAACCCTCCTGGGGTGCTCACCTCTGTGTCCTCGTCCGTTTGGCAGCAGCTTCAGCCTCATCGTCAGAGTACTCCATCTCGTCTTCTGCGGGCTCTTCGTCGTTGATATTGCTCGCATCGCTGCCCTTTATTTGCCGGAGTGCCCTCACGAAGACGAAGTTGCTTCGTTCCGGGACGTGGAACACTGCTCTTGAAACCTTCACCTTCTCAGGATCAAGCGGATACTTGTCGTTGAACTTGACCTGGTAGAGGGGTTGTGAAGTAGGCCCGAAGGTCTCGTAGATCTGACGGAGCGTTCAGTTATGTCAGCGTTCATCAGGTAGTTCAGGAGCAGAGAACGTACGTATCCGAGCACCCTCCTGTCTTCGAATACAAGCAGCGTATCAGAGTCAAGTGCCCTCTCGGACGCCCTAGTAGCAATCTCTGACGCAGACCCCTTGACGATCACCACCCTGTCCACTATGCTCATGACCTCTCCCACCTTCTCGAGAGCTTCGTGCGGGCTGACCTCCTCGATGGTGGGAACGACAATCTCTGACTCTTCTATCTCGTTCTTGGTCCGCAGCTGTGCCGCGGACGTAACAGCAGGTCCAGTCTCGTCTGCATCGTCTAGGTCCCCTTCGTCCGCCGGAGCCTTCGCAGTGGTGCGTCGCTTGTCCGCGCTGCTTTCGTCAGAGTCAGAGTCAGATGATGAGTCCGAATCAGAGATGGATTCTGAGGACGTCGGCCTATCGTGATAGGTAAGTTAGCAGACGATATATCGGGCGAAGCACACATACCCAGATGGCTCCTCTGCTTCATCCTCCAAACCACCGAGGATGTCCGCCTCGACTTCCTGCTCACTGTCCGCATCGCTATCTGAGCTGTCTATCAATTCATCGTTTTTGGCTGTCACAGAATTTGCCAGTGCTTTGCTAGTAGAGGGGACGGGAAGCTCCCCGACGATGCCCTGAATAAGTTGGAGGTCCTGAGGGACTATTGAAGGGACCTTGAACGCAAGCCCAGAGTCCATAGCGAAGGTTTCGTCTTGCCTCGTTGAGTCGTTTGCCAGGGAAGTCCTATGGGCGAGGAAGGGGAAGAACCTGCAGCAGACTGAGTAAGGACGGGGAGAAATTGACCGCTGTGGCTGAAGAAACGAAGTGAAAGAAAGGGTCACGTTTTCTGACGCGCTCGCGTTCGCGTCCAGCTCTCAGTGTCTTTCGCAGCGCCACCACCTCCGTCCACCACCTTAAAATGTTCGCAGCCAGACGAGCAGCCCAGCGCACCTTCGCTGCACGACTCTACTCGACCGAGTCGCCCAAAAAGTCGCTCAAGGAGCTCGTCGCAGAGCTCCGGAGCCATGCCGACGTATCACCCATCGAGGCCGGGCAGGCTCTCAAGGCCTCGGACATGGACGTTTCAAGAGCTCTCCTCTGGCTCTGTAACTTCCGCGCCGAGTCTGCAGTCAAGAAGGCAGCGAAGGTCGAGGGCCGGGAGGCGAACGAGGGCATGATCGGGACCGCTGTTCTGTCCCCCGGAGCGACCAGCGCGAAGCCAAGCGGAGTGCGCGCCGCCATGGTCGAGCTCAATTGCGAGACGGACTTCGTCGCTCGGAACGACCTCTTCGCCCAGCTGCTTGACGACATCGCGCATACAGCCGCGTTCATGTCGGAGCCCGCTGACTCGGACAAGTTCTTCCACCCCTTCTCTCTCGACGTCCTCCGGGACGCGCCCCTACTCTCCAAGACAGCCCCCGAGAAGAATGGCAAGAGCACTGTCGCAGATGCGATGCGCGACCTCACCGGTCGGGTGGGCGAGAAGATCTCACTTCGCCGAGTCCTCACTGTCGTACGCGACCCCTTCCCTCCATCCCAGCGCGACATTGCTTTGCGTATTGCATCTCGCGTACACCAATCTGTCAACAACCCCCGACAAGGGCGTGTCGGGAACCTTGCTGTCCTCGCGTTGAAGTCTCCCCAGCTAGCGAACATCCTCGGGCCAGAAGCGTTTCAGGCCGACCTGAACAAGCTATGCCTATCCCTCGGGAACCAGATCATCGGCTTCCCGACGACTAGTGTCCGCTCGCCTACCGGTGCAAGGGACGAGGAGGGGGCTCTGTACGACCAGCCGTTCGCTATGTTCGCGGGCGAAGGCAACGACCAACCTGTGCAGACGTTCCTCCGGAACTGGGCCGCTCAACGTGGCTTGGTCGAGTCAAGTGAGCAAGAGGGTGGATTGGAGGTCCTGGAGTTCGCCAAGTGGACGGTCGCCGAAAGTATCTAGACGTAACATATTCTATCCTAATGTCGTCACAACATCCCCACTCATGTATTGGTGAGTCTCAGCGACTGCTGTGGCGGAAGGTTTCTGATGTAAGGCATATAGTATAGTCGCCTTGCTGTCCGCTGTTGGGTATGGTGGTGCAAGCGAAATTGACACACATCCTCTGTCATATGCATTGTAGTGCGCGATGCCCTCGCTCGTCACACCCCGGCAAATTCTCAAATGCTCCGGCAAATGTCACGCCGTTTCGCGAATGCCCTCTGCGATCTGGGGCGAGTGGTAACTGAACGCCTTCCTCGTAGATAGTGATCGCAGCGGTTAGTTCCTAATTCTGACCAGCTCGAACTCGATGTCAAGCATGTGTGACATGCCCGGCGGAACGATGGACTACAGCTGCTATATCCTCGCGACTGAGACAGCTTTGGAGCAGTCACAGTAGGTCCATCAATCCGCACATGCAAGTAGTGACGAAGGGATCTGTAGAAGAGCAGTCATGTGGTAAGTATTCTCCAGCGCCGGGTCGGGTGTCTTGCTCTCACTGTGCGCAGTTGCATGGTTGATTCTAGGAGCCTGAGTACTCCGGGGATAAGATGTGCTTGCCTACCTTGGTCAGTGAGTGCCTCTGGCAATATGTTAAATAGTATTATGTCGTGGGGCATCACTGAAGCTACGAGAAGCTACGTCAGGACGCATCGTTCAGGGCGTAACTACGACACCGACAACTATCGGCGCGCGAGCCCCGCCTCAAAAGAGGCTTAACTCTGATCGCTCTGCCAGTAGTGAGTGGATACGGTAGCCTCGTGTCGTCGACTGCGCTGATTCGTCCCTGCAACGCTGTAGTCTATGTCAATTGGCTGCTCGCGATGCATGACATATGTCATTTAACCTCTCCGAGTTATCGAGCATGCGGGGTGGGCTGTCACAGATCGAACGTATAGTTGAGATTCACTAGGGTGGAGGACGGTATAGGCTGGCTGGCGAGCACGAAAAGGTGCGCTGCAGTGGAGCACCGCTAGCTTGAGCTGTTATCTGACATGTTAATGGTTGCCATGTCGCCCTCCTAGTCTTTTCCTTGCAGGTTGGCGGTGACTGCCAATGGAAGGACATGAGCGTCGCAGAACACCAGGCACCACCAGGCACGGTCGAGCTCCACTTCCCAGTGCTCGCGGTACGTATGGTGGTTCTCGTACTTCGCAGCACACGATGAAACTCATTGGCCTGATGGTACTTGTAGCGAGCCGCAGCAATCGGGTGCTTCGATGTTGAGGGCGTCCCCGAATATGGCAAGCTCGCCGAGCAGAGGGGCAACCGTCGCGTCGGTCGGGAATACTACAGCCTATCCGCCAAAAGCCCCCGGAGGTCGTCAGCCGAGCCCAGGCCGCGCCCATACCCGTGTGGCGGAGCGCCGCCGGCGCCGCGACACGCCACCACCGACGTATCCGGATCTCGATCATCGAGCACCGTAGATCTGGCGTTCAGTAGCTGGTGGCTGTGCTGTCTGCCAGACTCTGGCCCGCCGCCGCGCCGACACCTCGCATGAACGTCACAAACCATTGCATTTCTCTTTCTCGTCGCTATTTCCGAGTCCGGAGAAAGCGTATCAGGACATAACGGCAGTATGCGACTCGGACTGCCGCGAAGGGGTCGCGCGATCGACTCGGAAATGGCTGGGCGCTTCCCGGAAGTTTGTTGCGAGATTGACTATGTGGAAGCCGGGGCCGACTGTTGATCCCTGGTTGATCCACTCGTCTTCCGCCTCCGCATGGCTCGCGCATCCGAGGCTTCTGAGCGCTGCACCAAAATTAAAACGACGAAGGGCTTACACACACCTCATCATGCTTATGACCGTCACCAGCCTCTAGCTCCTCCAGCTTTCGTCTGCGCTGCCTCGACTGCTGCTCCCCCTTTGCACGACGTCGCCAATGCCATGTCCAGCGCCGACCTGAATCTCAATGCCACCCTTGGGTGTACATTCATCGGAATCGTCTTCGAAGTCGTGTAAGGACAAATATGGCACTCAGTCTATCGTGGTTTTGACCGTCTCTGTTCAGGCTGTATGGCTTTTCGTGCGCGCAGACACAGTACTACTTCCATGAGTACTGGACGGACAAAACACAGCTCAGAGCTCTGGCATGTCTTTATCTGCCGCTCCAATCTACGTGTCGCTCACAGTTGGTCTAGGTAGCCTTTCTTTGGTAGGTTGACTGCGAGTGCAAATGTCCGGGGCGCCGCTCACCGAGACGCCCACCCCTGATCAGGGTCCTCGACACTGTACGAACAATCTTAGACATACAGGTAATGCCCTCGAATCCTTGGCTGGTGGATACGTACTGACGTTCGGACTCAAAAGTACATGTGGCTCTATATTGTCACGAATCACGCGAATCGATCGGCTTTGCAAACTATACCAACGTGAGTACTACATTGCCACCGTACGACGTATCGTATCTTGCTCACTGCCTTGTTGCAGCACGTTCACAGTGGGTCAAGGATAACTTATGCGCTATGGACCTGACACTCATATACCCCCATAGGTCGAGTTCTTGCTCTCTGTGAGTAGATTACATTTACGGCGATCCTTCCAGAGTCGGTCATGCTTACTTTGTCCATCAGTCCGTCACAGTGCTGGTTGTGCAGACGTATGTCATCAATTCCTTGATTATCCTTTGTGTACTGACTTTGATTCAGCTACTTCATCCGTGCCATCTACCGCTGTAAGTACTTGCGCAAGCCGTGTCCCGCCGCTCTTTTGCTCACGATAATCACTCCGTCCGACAGTCCTCATAGGAAAGTGGTACTTCATACCGCTCATAGGCCCTCTGGTACGTCTCGTCTTAGGAGATATTGTTTCGTCTCACTGACCCTATCACAGACTGTCATCGCTCTTCTGTCGTTTGGTTCGTACCAAACTTTTCCACCCCCATTGAGTCGAGCTTACCCACAGGACGCGCCCCTGCAGCTGGCGGTTGCGGTAAGTTCGATTCAGAATACTCACGCCCGACATACCCACTAAATCCCCACCCACGTACTCTAGCCTCCGTTGCCGAATTGTAAGCAATATTCCGTCATCCATCCACCGCCACCGCTCACGTCGAACTCTCTACCCCACACAGCGCCCGCGACCCCGGGTTCAACGCGATCCTCTTCAACTCACGCATCCCGGCGTCGATCCAGACCGTGGCCGCGTTCGTTGCAGACGTATACATCGCTATCGCGCTCTCGGTCATCTTGTACGGGAAGAAGACCGGGTTCAAAAAGTGCGTCTGCATCTGCTGGTGGCGTGGAGGATCTAGCTTACGCTGGGTTGCGTATCACAGCACGGACACGTTGGTTAGCCGGTTGGTCACGTATGCGATACACAGGGGGCTCTTCACTGCGTGAGTAGCATCCTCATGTCGTCGAGCTCCCTGTTGACAGCTCGACTTATTCCCATTTCGTATCGCAATAGCCTCCTGCAACTGCTGCACTTCGCTACGGTATGTTTGCGTCCAAAGGGACCCTTGTCGCCAAAGCTTGCTCAGACGGGTCTGATGTAGTACATCGCCACGCTCCAGTACGGCGCAAGTGAGCTCATCTGGTCGCTTTTCCACTTCCCTGCGAGCAAGGGTGAGTCCGCCTGTCCCCTACTCCTCTCATCTCACGACGAACTGATTGTCCGCAACGCAGTCTACGTCAACTCACTTCTGGCTCTGTACGTGCCCTCATCCTTTCCTGTCCATCTCACGCGCTGAATGTACCGTACGATGGTAGGTTGAACGTGCGCCACTGGCTCCGCGAATCGCACTACGCAGAGTCCGTCCACCTTCAGAACTTGCGGAGCGGAATTCGGTGCGTCCCCACTTCCCGCTGGCACACCCCTCTCCTCTCATGTCTGACGTATCGCTTCTATGGCAGGGACGACTTCTGGGGCTCAATGCTCCGCACGGACCCGGGCGTCCTTGTCACGACAGAGACGCAGGTCAAGCAGGACGAGGAAGAGCGCCACGCCCCGCCACCGCGCAAGTACGGCCGCAACGTGACTCTACCCGTGGACGTGAAAGGCATTCCATAGGGCGCGCGGGGTCTAGACTTCGGTGCGGATCGGTACTCAGACCCAGACGATTGGGTCGTGGCGTGCAGGAGGGCATGCTTGTGCGGTTCCGTACATGTGGCTGTATGCGACTTGCATGGACCCCGGAGCGTGAGGTTTTTCGAGGGGCTGCTGTACACGAGACGTTCGTTATCGAGATACCAGTGGACATTGGGTGTGAGACATAGGACTTGAGTCGAGTCGCGCGTTCGGAGCCGCGTTCTACATCGAGGCAGGTGCCGAGCGTATCTACGATAGAATGTCAATGGTCATCGTTGCATCTTCACATCTCAACGGGAATCTTTAGTACTCGACCCCTTTCCTAGACCCTCATGATCAGGATGCCAACTCATGGAGGCAGAAACTGCTCCTCTTGCCACGACGGGCTGGGCTCCTGGGACTGCTAACAGATGAGAGCTACAGTAAGGCGCATGTAGTACAAGCACACGTCAGTGTTGCGGAGGCAAGCACGCGTGAGGGCGCACCTTTTGGGGCTCAAGCTGTTATCTTCAAATGCACCGGCGATACCGAGTTCGACGTAGTCGACAATCGAAGTTCCTCGAAGCCAGTGGCGGAGATTCAGCCTGAGACAATGAGTAGGCAGTGACGATTCAAGGTGAAATGAGATTGAAGACTCACATTGCGAGCAGAGAGTTGGTGTAGACTGATGGTCATTGTCAATAAGCTGAAACCAGACCGGACTGTGAAGTATGCAGTGTACGTACCTTTGCTCGCCGGAAAGTAAAAGAGAGTCCAAATGAGCTTACTACTGCCTGAATGGAGTGTGGCAGCGTACTGCAAGTGACCATTGTTCCCACCAGTCACCAGTAGACGTGTCAAGCGAACAGAACCGTATACACGGTTACGTACCGTGACGAACTCTAGAAACTGAAGCAAGCTGTCAGTGCGGCGGCCGCGTATTCAAACCCATGTGAGTTACCCTCCTTATTCATATAATGGAGAACATACACTGTCACGATCCCCCGCTGCAGTGCGAATGTCATGAGTCGCCTAATTAACAAGTCTGACCTATTTCCAGAGTCCGTATGGCGACATTAGTCATCGACATTCCCGGGGCACAATCGTCGGTAAGGCTAAGTTCAGATGTCTCTGAACCCATTGAGTTGGACGCACCCTGATCTTGTACAACCTGTCCGCTGGCGATGAAAAATGATTGACAGGGCAATGGCCAAATACGCGTCTGTGATAAACGCGGTGATAGTCTGCATTGACGAAGTGACTTTGACATCGACCATACTCGCAGCGATTCCACGCCGGAGCCAGCTGCCACTCGGGGACGTGAGAAGACTCTGTAGATAGGAAGTGTGGGTCATCTTACCACCCATAAACAGATACTGAAGGGCAGTGAGTAGGGTTAATGCAAACGGAATGTAGTATCAGGCCGTACCCACACCGCTACCTGAGATTGTGCCGCATGAGTATCAACCGTTCCTCCAGAACTCTGCAGACTCACAAAAGGACAGTAGGACGAGTAACACCTTGAAAGTGTGTGAGAGGTAGACAGTATCTGCTCGTGACAATGTGTGGCTGCTCACCATTATTGTTATCAGAATGAGACGGCACCGTCTATGACCCTGGGCCATTGACATAACTGTTTGATCGTCAATTCCCGTGATGTTCCGCAAGACTGGATATACATACGGTGCCAAATGGTGTGTATATAGTACCTGCGCGACTGCTGTAGTAACATGGTTGGCGAATCAATTAGGTCGGAGGTTTACCCACAGCTGTGTGATCGCGATTGTCAAGGTCTAGACCAGGAGAACGCAAGGTGAGATATTTGCCACGGACGTTCTGCTGTGTAGTAGTCACTCACCCCCAAAAAAGCGTCAGACTTGGTTCGTGTACGTTGTGGTCACGTCAGTCAAGATCGAAGGGTCACGTAGAACACTGACTCGGAGGCTGCTTACAATGAATGTGCTGTTGACATTCTCAGCCGGCGTTGTGACCAAAGTGGAACTGTGTCTTACACTGTGAATCGTAGCATACCCCTCATGCCAGTGTTTGCATGGTTCTCGACTACGCAGACCCAGAGAAACTGTGATAATTTTAGACGAAGGTGTGTAACCCAAGAGTATGAACAGACTGCTTACATGCAAGCCGCAGGACGTTCTCGCCGTGTCAAGTAGCCTGGGCGATATCGAGTGAGTCGGGGTCCGAGAAGCGTTAGCCGTGGCAATGATTACGTCGTACCATAGAAAGGCCACCTGCGACAACACAGAGATTAGGAGGCAAACTAGCAATGACACTTTGAGCTTCTGTGGCTCACCAGAGCCTTGAGCGATAGACGGTCGGAAGTATATCTATGGAAATAAAACTGCGTCTGCGCCATGGACAAACCGTACAAACTGCCATATCATCCGGGTCAGAGCAACGACGCCAATGGATGAACAGAGATCAACGTAAACTTCTGACGTACACTAGAGCCAATGATATTCCAATGAACATACATCCCAGCGTATCATTCAGCTGATCCAGGTGAAACATGGGGTTCTGGGCGCAGTGAGGGTTAGAAAAATGGTACAGAGCGGATGGAAACCTGTAGGTGGCAAGATATAGGCATCTCGGCCAGGCTCGAGGTCGACCGTCCATTCACCTCGGACAGCAGAAGGCATCACGGTCTCTGAGATGCTAGTACATCAGCATGCAACTACAGCCCAGCCGTGATACATCATCTGTAGCACAGACGAGGCCTGCCAGTGTCGCCGGCCCGGTGTATGACAGAACATATCACTGGATCAGACGGAGATGCTGTACTGTGTAATCGTGTATAAAACTCCCTACATGCAGTTGAAGCGCGCGCCCACACTGCACTGGCAGCGTCGACATACCGCCAGCGTCGACATAAGTACCGCCAGCGTGCCGGCGCCGCCTCAGGCTACGAGTTGAAGCTGGCACAAATCTAAGTAGTTGAATCAATGATGTGCCTGCGTGCGGCGGAGCTCTGGGCTAGAGACACGATTCTGCAAGTATGACATTCAGTACTAGGGTTTTCTCCCCGATGTATTTCCAGGATTTACTAACCTTCACAGTGCAATCGTACATGTCTCGGTTGCAAAACATGAGCACACTTCAGCCACTGAAGACTCACTGGAGTTGCCTGATTTGGAATCCATCAGTTACGTGGTGTAAGCGCCTATTTATATACCGGCGGTCCGCCAAGTTCATGACATTGACAACTCCCAGTCGCGGCGGTGCCGGCGTACATTGCTCGCCAGTTACCATAGCCTCGAGCTCTGCTATGCATCATGTTTGTCTCTGCGCGATGCTGTCAAGTGTCACTCATTAGTAACATATACTGTACACTTCGTGATATTATAACAGCTGCCATCTCTCCTAGCATCATACCATAACACCGTCTGGATAGATGATGTTCTCCGATCTGCGTCAGCGGCGCATTCAACAGTCAGGTACACAGGCCGTAGTTTGCGCGAAACGCTGTTCTGATTTGGGAGACCTTACCAACGCATGCCTCGAGGCCTCCCTTCATTCTATCCCAAGTACTGTTCCCACAAGGTCGCTTCCAAAGTGGTCCAGAAGACGTCTGTGCGGCTCGACCAAGGCCCCGCGATGATTCGCGCCGCCTTACTCTTGAAGGCGGATCCCGAACGTGCTCATCAGAATGGAGACGCAGAACAAGGCTGAGGAGGAGAGTCCCGCCACCACAGCGTAAGTACGGCTGTACTGTAGCTCTCAGGCTGGCGATGGACGTGAAGAGCGTTGCAAAGGAGAGGGCGTGCTTGCGTGATTCATGGGAATGTATTGTACATAGCGTGCATGAACCCCGGAAAGTTGAGGTTCTTCGAGGGCCCGTTGCATCATTCAGACGGACACGGGATCTGCGGCAACGATTCCGTGTTGAGGGCCTGATAGTCAGCGCAGCCGGCAAAAATCACGCCGTGGTCTGTACCAGCGGTCGACAGACAGCGTCCACTATAGAATGTGCCTTGCCGTCGTCAAGCCCTTGTGACTCAGGGCCAATGACTCCGACTTGCGATCCCAACGACGCTCCTTTTGCGAGGAGAATCCGTGTTGTGCGTGGATGCGACCCGCGCGGGCTACAGAAACATGAAATTTGAAATGTCAGCCTGGTACTGACCGAGAACGAGAAGCTGTACCTCAATGAGCTACCGCTATCTGTCCGACCGATGTTGAGCTCAACGTCCTGTACCATCGATTCTCGAAGCCAGTGGCGGACATTTAGCCTAACACAGAAGTCAACCATGCAGAGCGGTCAGACGGCTTAAATCACTCACATCGCCAGTAGAGAGTTGGTGTTGACTAGGGCGTTCATCAGTGGTTGTTGTGAGACATGAGAAATTGGTGGTCAAACAGACGCACCCTTGCTCGCCGGAAAGTAGAAGACAGCCCAGATAAGCTTAGTACCTCCGGAATGCAATGTGACGATGTACTGCCAATGAAAATTGTCAGCGTGCATTGAGAGCGAGCATGTCAGGCTGCAAATCGTGAGACATACAGTGATGAACTGCAAGAACTGAAGCAAGCTATATGCAGTTGTCCAGAGTGTGTGAGACGCATACTACTTTGCATGTTACGGAAAACGTACGCCGTCAGGATCCCCCGGTGAACTGCGGAGATGATGAGTTTGGTTAGAAGCGAGTCCGTCCTGTGCCAGCCGGTAGCGATAAAGTTTCCACTCGTCAGATCGGCTGCGCTAATTCCTATAGCCTATCGCTGAAGCAGACGCACCGCGTTAGGCCTGTTCTTTTGCCATGGAGGACGACTGACAACGTCGCGGCGATGTATGCATCTACTACAAATGCTGCGAGGCTCTGTATTGACGATGTCACTCGCGAACCAGATTCAGTCGCGGCTACCTCGTGATGTTGGGAACTACCGTGAGATCGGACACAGGGAGCTTTCGTGAGCAACTCAAGAGTGACTGCAAATGAACAGCAACGGAAAGACTTACAAACCATGAACTGATGCTATAGGGATCACTTTGTAGAGCGTTCAGACCAGAAACAATATGGCCCGAACTCACCAATGCCGCTACCTATTGTGCACGTAGTCGTGAGATATGATTCTCATGATCAGGTCGTAATATCACACTTACAAAAGGACAGTAGGGCAAGTCCTACCTGGCGCGTTGGAATTTCGGTGAGCATTGCCCGCGTATGTGCTGAGACGCACTCACCATTATTGACGCAAGGAAGAGCCGGTGCTGTTGTCGAGCAATCACTGCATCGCTAATTCAATGCATCATCATGCTAGACAAGAATAGCGTGGACGTACGGCGCCAGATGACATTGATGTAGTATCTTGACATTGTGATTACAAGTTCACTACGAAATCAGCTCAAACATGTACTTACAACTGAGTGATCAGGATAATCAAGGTCTGGCACGATAATCAGACGTGCCACACGAGGTTTTATCGAGGAAGTACGAACTGCGAAGAAGGCGTCGGCCTCGGTTTTGCTTATCAGACGAAATGGAGACAACTTGCGGCACGAGAACTCACAATGAACGCGCTGTTAAGGGATTCTGTAAGCAGTCATCAAAGTCTCGGAGAAATTGCCCAACTCTGTGAACTGTGATAAGCCGCTCAAGTTCGTATGGTTGTCGATCAAGTAAACCCAGAGAAACTGAGGATAAACCGAATCAGGGTGAGATCAGAGTCCCCACAAACTTCAAGCGATGCATACCTGCAGTCCACAGCACGTCCTTGCCGTGTCAAGCAGCCTAGGTAGCACGGGGTCAGCCGATCTAGCTACCGATCTCTCGGACGGGATAATACCATAGGAAGGCCACCTGCCGTGATAAGTTCAGGTCCCAGGATGAGTCGAACGTCGAACCTCAACATGGACCACTGCACCTCACCAAGGCTTGTGTGGATAGGTGATCACATGAACTATATTCGTGGAAGTAATACTGCGTCTGCGCCAAGGAGAAGCCGTACAAACTGTGCTCGTGTTATGACTCGGTTGACAGCTATGAACATAAGTAACCGACGCACATCAATGCCAGTGTCAGTCCGATAAAAACGCATCCCAACGTATCGTCCAGTTGTTGGCTGAGATCTGGATCCATGACGAGAAGCGGCGTAACGGAACCAGGGCCACAGGAGGGTGCACCGAGCGTTAGGACCTGTGGGCATTATATATTAGAACCTCGGTGAAGCATACTGACTCCGAGAACTACACCGCATGGGCTTACGGCCTTTTCGTCGTTTTGACTTCGAATAGAAGCCCTTGAAGCCCGCTAAGTGTAGAGCGGCCATCGGTGCATCAGGCCACCGCGTCAAGGCATCGTAATAGCTGCAGAAGCACCGCGAAGCCATTCAGTTCGTTATTGGGCTAGACTGGTCGAGAGCGCCAGTCCCGCTTATAGTTGATCGCTCGGCAAAGCTCACCAACTTGAAGGTGGCGATACAGAAGCCTACCGTAGATGTCACGTCGCCAGCACAGAGCCAACGGTAGCACATCTAGGGACTAGCAATTGTCAGTGGACATACCACTTCGGTTCCCGAGCCTGGAGACTCGACAGTGTGTAGCAGTCTAACGACAGATAGCAGCGCCTACATGGCCGCCCGCATGGAGTTCAGCGTTCCAGTCTGAAACCGTCGCCGATCGACTCGACTTCTATCGCATCGTTTGCTAGATCACGTTCGTGCATAGCCTAGACATGTCCAACACCAGCCATGCAATGGCTCCGATCTGTGTCGACGAGGGTCTTCGCATGTCGTATACGTATGCAGGCTGTAGGGTTCGCGCAAGAAACGCTATTCAATACGGCAGGTTCTACTTGTAAATGGTGCTCCCCTTCATTTCCACCGCCACGAGGCTGCTCTTCGATTGTGGTCGAGAAGAACGCTATGCGATCTCAGCGAGAGACAGTGTGCACACCTACCAGCCTCGGCCCTATACTCCAGCACCGCTCCCACTCCTCCCTCTCCCGTTGCGCAGGTCCGTGTCCGAGAACACCTCCGTGGTAACGACAATACGCGCCGCCCGTATTTGGGGTGGACCCGTGCTACACAACGAGCATCCATGTTGACATGGGTGCGAGGAGAAGCGAACGAAGTGCGGCGTAGGATGCGAGTCTGCGTCAGCTTCGAGAACAGGAATGAAATAAATGACATGACGAGCGCGCACCTCCGTGAGCCGCCGCTCCCTGACGAACAAAGCTCGATCTCCTCAACCATCGCCTGGGCGGGGCCATCGCGAAGCCAGTTGCGGATGTTAAAGCTAGGACGGCGCATGCGGTCGTCAGATCGCCATTCACCTTTTGATGCGCGACAGACGAAACACGCACACAGCAAGGAGAGAATTTGTATAAACTGCGAGCAAAGAACTCTGTCAGCACGGCGCGTGGCCAACGGGAGGCAGAGTGGGCACGCACTTTTGCTCCCTGGGAAGTGAAAGAGCGCCCAAAAGAGTTTGTTAGGGCCGTCGTTGAGAGTGCCGATGTACTGTTGATGGGAATCGCGCACAGGGTGAGCAATAACAACAGATACAATACAGATGCATACCGTGGCGAAGTGCAGAAGTTGCATGAGTCTATATGTGGTTCTCGGGTTTATCAACTCAGCCGAGCACGTTTCAGAGAACGTAAAGCGTACGCAGTAATGATACCTCTATGAATTGCGAACGCGACGAGCTTCGTGATGAGCGAATCCGTTCTGTAGGACACCCGACCGCACAGAATCAGCCATGGCAGGAACTAATATAGGACGTCAGGGCTTTCGACGCACCCCGAAAACCCTGTTCGTTTTCCATGCAAGATGATGGACAGAGCAGCCGCGATGTATACGTCTGTGACAAACGCGGTGACGGTTTGAATGGAGGCAGGAACTTCCGCACGATCAAGGCTTGCTCCGAGATCCGAATTGACCGTACTAGGATAGACGCATTCGCGGTATCAACAAGTGTGTCGCAAGCAGCTAGAGAGAGCTCACAAATCATACACGGAAACTAGGAAATGCATCAGTGTTCAGTCAAATGGCATGAAATTGAACTACTTACCCACACCGCCACCTATAATACCACGAACAACGGTTGCTCAACATATGAATCGTGAGTCCAAGGCTACGCGGAACGTACTAAACGAGAGTAGAGCCAGAGACACCTGATTGAAATATGAGCACCGTCCGGCTCCCGAACGAGTGCCCTCACCATAGTGATGGTCAGCGGGAACCGATGCCATTTGTAGGCCATGACTGCAAGTAACGTTAGTGTTTGTGACGTCGTGCGACGAAGACAGACATACAGCGCCAGACGGAGTAGATGAAGTACCTTATAAGCGTTACCGTCAGTATGTAAATATGGGATGCACGCCGGTTTTTGTACTCACAACTGGACAATCAAGACGACGCAGCTCTATGAACGTGATACTGTGACACAGGATTTGTCAAGTATAATCTATGTACTCACAGCGAGAAAGAACTCAGCCTTGAACGGCGCATATCAGCTACAAAGCCGGTATGGCATGAAGCAGGGATGGTGCTCACAATGAATGTGCTGTGAGACTCGTCAGTTAACGCTACCGACACAGACTACGCCGCCTTACTTGGTGAACCGTGACATGCCACCGAGGTTTGCATGGTTTGTGACCAGATAGTCCCATAGAAACTGAGGAGCACTAGTCAGGCAAACCGTTGAAGACAGTCGAACAAAGCCATAACAACTTGCCTGCAGATCGCAGCATGTCCTCGCGGTATCCAGCAACCTATTCAGCACGAGTGAAGACCATAACAGTCCTTCGCTGAGATGCATTCTTACCACAAGAACGCAACCTGCATTGATCTCGTCAACGGACTATTTCATGTATCGTAGAACAGAGAAGAAACTTACCAGTATCTGTATGTAAAGGCGGTCGCAGGGATACTCATGGAAGTAATACTGTGTTTGCGCCAAGGAAAAGCCGTACAAGCTATCAGCATTTGGGTCGATCACAATATCAATACCAATCGGATAGCGGTCAAGACGATGACGTACATGAGTTCGAGGAGTATTCCAATGAATACACATCCCACAGTATCGTTCAGATGGTGATCGAGGTCTAAATTAGCCATGGGAGTGGCGACGCGGGACAAGCGGTACAGGAGCGTACATGCCGGGTAGTCGCCTTAGGCATGATATAAGGGTAGCTGCGCGAAGGCCGCGGGGTATAGCTCCACTAGTCGAAGGCGTCTCCGACGTATTGAGCATCGGACGGAAGCCCTGCTCGGGGTAGAGGCGGACATACGCCACAAAACAATGGCATGGTACCCAGGCTGTCGGTGTGCTGTCAAGGGACAGTAGATTCGCTCAGGGGAGTCCGGCTGTCATGGGCTATTCATCCCCCACAAGTCCGGTGGACCGGCTGGTACGGAGAAAGTGCAGGATTGTCGATGGGCCTGTGGCGGATGGGCGGCATCATAGGAGATACATGGACCAGCTATCGGACCGCCGAGAGCAAGGTACGACGCATGTAGACAATGAGATAGTACATCGCAGCATTGAGGAACATACCAACGAATGCCAAAGAACTGTGGTACGTTTGGACAGGAGTGTCAGAAGCCGTCTACCCATTGAACTCGATCCGACGCGACCTCCGAGTTCTATCCTGTCGTCCGAATCCTATGGCATCTAAACACAAAACAATGAGTACCCGATGTAGAATGCGGTAGAACAACTCAGTGGGAGTTCACAAGACTTCGCCACCAGGGCACCATCAGCCACTGTGCCCAGCGTCGATGAGCGAGGTACCCTCATAAGGTGTCCTACGCGGTGGTCTTGGGAAGCATTACGAGGATTAACTTCGAAATGCGGTCATCAAGCCATGGTTGGGAGGTTTCGTCGGATGTCGACGACGTCTTCGACAAGCGGCGCAACTTGCGGCGAGTCCACTGGCACGTAGCGATCCGACTATTAGCTTGCAATGATGACAGTATTCACATTCAAATATAGCGACGCTGAAAGCAGGTTGCACTGTGTTCATAAGCATTGTGCGAGCGAAATGCGACGTTTCTTGGACGTTTCTGAGTGGACTTTCAAGTTTACGCGACTAGACGCCGGAGGTCGTCTACAAGTTGACAACGTAAGCATATGATGCGCATGTGGCTGGCTACACCGTCCACAGTCACGGTCGTCGATTGGTCGTCGGGCTTTGCTTCTTACTTCGTCGACGATGCTCCAGAAGTCGGACCCGGTCGTATGATCAATCCCGTCGAGGCTCCTATCGCGCCGCTACTCGCTGAGGTGCCGCAACCGCTGGGCCAGTGAGTCAGCCCAAGCGCAAACTCTCGACATAGTAGAACGTCTACTACTTATCGCGGACCAAGACTTCAAATACAAACTTGACCGTACTGCTTAATCCAGCGCCGTCGCGTATGAACGGCTGTTCAGGGCGAGAAACGTGGTTAGACATGAGTGTTGTGTATGCAGAAACGCAAGATTATAACATGACGGACCTTCTTGTCTGACATGGCTAGAGACCAGCCCATTCCTTCGAGTCCTACAGTACGAGGACAGTCTCAACATCTCGGTCAGGCATGCGAAATCGCGAAGCAATAGTGCCATGCTCGGCCGCCGCCTTGGCCAGTCCGTCGGCGATGGTATTCATTTTGCGTGGGATATGCCAGAAACCGACACGGGTATTATACTTTTCTTCCAGGACGCTCAGGCTTATTTCAAGCCCCAAAAACAGGTCCCTATTGGCCGGTTCACGCCCTTGAGCCGTGCGCATCCCGTTGGGCTGATAGAAAATAGGATTATACGGTAGCATGGCAAGGTAATAACCGAGACCGTACCATCCACTTGTTCGGTACCCAGTCTGTTATGCCTTGAAATAGATAGTCCGAGTCTGTCGCGACGATCCACTGGGCGGTTTCCGACGCATGATGCGGGCTCAACAAGCACTCGTCGCCAGTGCGTGACCTTTTCGCCGTGTTCTCGATGAATCCGAGTGCCAGGATAGCAGCTAACAACTCCGCGCGCTGGCTGGACCTTGTGGGATGTGAGTCGATATCGTCGTCCACGGGGACGGACAATCGACGGTCCGGATCCACAGTGGGTCCGAAGGCGACGCCCACACCAGCCGTTGCGGTTGGCTCGCCGTTGTTGGGACATGCACCGTCTGTGTAGACCACTCGGAAGCGATGGCACACCCGTTTTTGCTTGCCCGGACGAACGTCACATTCGCAGCAGACCGCGACAAAGCGGTCGCAGTGAGGGCAGTAAGTGACCAGTTGATCCGGAGTGTATTTGCTGAGTAGTGTCGGGCAAGGCTGGTACTTTCGATTAACGATGTGTTGATGATGAGGACCGAGGGAAGGGCCGGGTACTGAGGCCATGATATGCGAAAGACCGAATGGAGTTGGGTTGGATGAGACCAAGAAAGTCGAGGGATGCGCTAGTGGCGACCTTGCCGCGCGATGGTATGGTCTGAGAGACGTGGCCAGGGCCCAGGGGAACCGATGACTTAGCTGGGCAGGGTGATGAAAGCGATATCACGCACGTGAGCGCGATCGTAAAACAGTCGCTGCAGCGACAAGCTCTGGAGGCACTCCCTCGACGGGCCTCCACGGACGCAGGTTCTGTAGACCATCTAGATTTCAGCACGGTACTGCCATATATTAGCTATATTGACTGGGGCTTAATGGAAGTTCCGAATAGACCACTGACAATCGCAAAAGCCGAGCACCTATAACTACTTACCACCGTCGTGGAGTCGCCGTCCGGTCTGAATTAGTCGCATATCGCCTGCCTTCGTATCGGCAGAGCAGAGAATAGTTTATTGATTAATGGGAGACTGCTCGACATTAACACGAGGGTCCCAGCCACACAGCCCACGAGCGCGCTGGTTCCTTAAACGTTTCCTTGGTCAATACTTGCTGCCCAGGCAGGGATGGAGTTTAAAGTAGTTGATAATGGTAGCTGACATTCGAATGAATACCGTGTATATGCGGCATGAGCAGTGACGACGAACCTTTTCAGTTCATTGATTCAATAAAAAGCTTCAAGTTTCATACGTGTCGAAACGGGGTCACTCAGAAGGCGACGTTCGGGCTGCGAAGGGGAGAAGCGGCAGGGGCACGCTTAGCAGCGTCCTTAGCCAGGCGGTCGGCGATGGCGTTGTGCTGGCGCGGGACATGCCAGAAGCCAATGCGGACGTCACGCTGGCGCTCCAGGTTGTTGATATCTCTGTGAAGCGTCAGGAAGAGGTCGAGATTGGCGGGAGTGCGGTAATCGAATGTGCGCATTCCGTTAGGCTGCGAGGCAGGCGCATATAGTGAGTATATTGACACAAAGGGGTCCATGACAAAGACTCACCTTCCACTTATTCGGCAGCCAGTCCGTTATACCATCCACCACGTACTTCGAGTCCGTCGTGATAATCCAGTTATTATACGAGACGGTGGATTCATCTCCTGGCTTCCCGTGGCGGTTGTAGAGACGATGATGCGCGTCTCCGGGGCCCTCGACAAATTCCAGCAATCGCAGTCCCTCGATGGCAGCGAGCAGCTCTGCACGCTGACTAGACCTCTTGGCGCCCGGATCAACTGTATTGTCCACGGGAACGGAGGACTGTTGATAGGACTCCTGGCCGATAGCGGCGCCAAGGCCGGATGTCGCCGCCGTCTGGCCATTCGAAAGGCATGCACCGTCCGTGAATACCAGCCGGTAGCGATGGCAAGGCAGCGGTCTCCTATGTTCACTGTGTTGGCAGCAAACGACGAAAAAGCGAGAGCAATCGGGACAGGTCTTGATGAGATCCCCAGTGCTGTAGTTGTTCTCCAGATACTCGCAAAGGTGGAACTGCCGATTGAAGACGTGCTCGGAGCCAGCATCTGGGTCGTACGTGGAGGCCATGACGTGACTAGATGCGGACGAAGGAGAGGAGGATAGGAGGGCAGGTCTTGCTGGGCTTTATATCAGGGGAGAGCTCGCCGCTCACTGCCTCCGAGCACAATGTAACACAAGCGCCGCCCCTCATTATGCCACCGTCGCGTCCTCTGCACGTGAGCGCGATTTTCGAGCATCGCGCGACGCGATCCAGAGGCGAGGCGCCGATACCGCTCTTCTGTGGAATGGCAGGCGCTGTGCACTATGAGAAGTTGAAGGTTACATCGGTACATTGATTCACAGATTGCTTGATCTCGACTATGCTGCAGCATAGTACCGGAGGGCGTCGATAGGGCCCCGAGTGCCTACAAATTGAGTACAAATTTCTTGATTAATCTTGACGGGTACGTGAGCATCCGCCCTTGAGCAAATCGGCGTGGCCTTCGCCATTCGAGGCGACGCTTAGTGCATCCGTGAGTTGTGAGGGCATACAGGGGTTGTAACGAGGAGGCCTGCCAGGAACGTCACTGGTGGACGATATCTGAGCATTAAGTATGTTATCAGCCCTTCGTTGAGCTTGAGCTTGGTGGTGAATTCGTCCCCCCGAATCAAAGCTTGAGAAAAGGAGACTCACATAGTGTGATACGGCCACAGAGCAAGAGGAACCGACTCCGGCTCGGATGCGTGTGTACCTGTGTACGTTAGACATACGTCGACTTGACCATGGACTGAGACTTCTATTCTTTAGTGTTATATACCGTACAGGAGGTATGAGCGTAACCTATGCGACTATGAACGAGGATGCGACGAAATGAGGGTGTGAAGTATCAGTAAAACAATGATAGAATGCGTGCGACGTACGAGTTCCAGACATGGGCAGGTGCAGTGTGCATGTGTACGGGTATAGCTCCATAAGTACAATAAGGGCATACGGAATGGGTTGTGACGGCGTTCAACGCCAGCGATAGCGAAGGGAGCATGTATCATTGAGACGGCGTCACCGTGATAGGTGGCACCGTCGAGGAGTCGCCGTCCTCGGAGACGACCAGGGACGCTTCCACCGCCTCTTCGCTATCCAGCCTGGTCTCGGCACCGTGCCGCATGGCGTTGAGCAGAGCGAAAGCGCCGTCCCCGCTCATATCCATCTGAGTAGATTCCTCGTCTTCTCGCTCCTCGGTCAGAGACGTATCTGGGTCGATGTCATCCAGTGTTTCGTCTCCACGCCATGACCGAACTTCCTCCGCCGTGAGGACCTTCGCGCCTCCTCGCGTCTTCTCAACGAAGTCCTCCGGCTTCGTTTGCAGCGCCCGTTGACAAGAGTCAAGCAAGGTCTCCAGCATGACCTTGACACGACGGTATGGCTCGTCATCCTTGCCCTCGATAATCTTCTGCTCCTCTTCCTCGTCCTCGCCTTCTTCCTCCTCTTCCTCCTCCGCGGTATCATCATGAGGCAGTGACGATTTCACCGCACGGTAAGCGGGAGGTGGCAATATGAGCCGCGACTCCCGCAGCTTCCGCTTCAGCTCTCGAATCTCCTTGGCTTGCTTATGCTTCTCCGCCTCCAACGTCACGTTGATAGCAAGGAGAGACTTGTTCGTAATCTCCAAGTCGGCAATCTGCCAGTGGAATGTGTCAGTTGTAGCATACGCCAAAGTCGTCACTTCGGGTTGCTCACCTTACGGTTTGACTTGGCCTCGTCCTTCAACTTCCTGTCTGGGTCCTCGCGCAGCGGTGCGCGCAACGCGGTGCTATCCTCATCTTCGTCCCAGCTTTCGTCCTCGCTGGGCGTCAGTACATCTGAGTGCACATCCAATCCATCCATACTAGCTCTCGCGTGCTTGCTATGCCCATTGATTCGGGAATGCACTGTAGGGGCCGTGCTATGACTAGCATCTGTCCTGTCATACGAAACCGATGAACGTGATGCGGAAGATCGCGAGGAGAACGAGATGGTGGACATCGGCGGTGACTGTGGTGGGAGCGGTATCGCAGCCGGGTCCACCTTCGCGGTTACCGAGTAGTTGCTATATTTCGCGACCACATCGTCAAACGGAGCAAGCGGTTGATATACATGGCCGTGTGTTGGACTATCTCCCCTTGAAAACGACGGTGGATGCGCCGAGGACAAGATCGGTGACGAATTAACATCAGCAGGCAGCAGCGGAGCCGCCAAGGAGATAGTGGGAATAGATAGCCCACGAGCGTGACCCGTCGGGAAGGAAGAGACGGGAGGTGATGTATGCGGGCTGCCGCCAGCAAGGTTCGACACCTTGGACTTCACGCGTGCTATACCCTTAGTCGCAGATGGTAGCGGCGACCCATTCTCCTGTGATGGCGACGCTAGAGACCTCGTGGACTGGGTTCGGTGTTCGGCGTGCGTAGGGGAGACGGTCAAGGAGGCATGAGAGGATACGCTGCCCCTGCGCGGTCGCGCACCGAAGCCGCGGGCAGAGAGAGCCGAATCTGAAGGGACGGTCGTCAGCGAACGCTGTCGCGACTCCGGGGTCGTGGGCGAGTGTTGCGAGGCCGGACGCGCAGTGAGCCGTGCCTTCACACTCGAGACGGCGGTCGTCGACGTGGATTGTAGAAGACCGGAGTGCGTCGGCTTGAACGGAGAGGGCGCCCGCGCCGAAGGCGGGCTTCGCACTGACGGCGCGGGGGATGCAACTCGGGGTGCTTGAACCTTGCGGTTTGCGACGGTCGCACTACTGTTGACCTTCGCCTTGGGCTTGATGACTGTGTTGAGCGACAGCGTCGGGGTGTGAGGTTTGAAGGGGGAGGGAGGTCGTGTTCTATCGTAGTCCACTCTCGCGGTGACCTGCAAAGCCGTCTCAGCGCGCACAGCAAGCAGGTCACTTGCGACTGCGAACCTTGGCTTTCGTCTGCGCCTCCATACTGCAGAAGGGACATACAAAGGGTATAAGTTAGCTTGCACAGCGACGGGGAGATGAACGAACGGGAGAGACAGAGCCGAGGTTAAGCTGGGCCAGGGCTTGTGGCGGCAATGTCCGGTACGGAGAGCAGCCGACCGCCTGAAACGGCAACTTTCCAAAGCAGCCTCTCACATGAATACTGCTGCGAGTGCAGGCGTGCAGCGTCGACCCAAAGCTCGACATACAAAAATCATGCAGTGTTCTATTGCTATTTCTCAGAGTCAAAAGGATGAAAGCTCGTCAAGCATCATAACACATGAGCGCTATATACTCCACCATCGCGCGAAGCATGAACTACACAAGACCTTTCTTCGTCAATACATCTTCTACTATCTTCTCAATCGTATCCCTCATAACCTCGCTTCCACCACCAGATAATGATGCGTGAACGCTTTTCTCCACGAACTTACCGACCATGTCAACCTCGATATTGACCTTCGCTCCAACCGCCTTCTTGCTCAGCGTAATCTTCTCCTGCGTGTGCGTGATCAGCATCACGCCGAACGTGCGCTGACTGTCGTCGACTTGTGTGATGGTGAGGGACGTGCCATCTATGGCGATGTAGCCCTTTGGGATGATATAAGGCAAAAGCGACGGTCGTTCTGGGGTTGGCTCGGGAAGCTGGAAGAGCAAGCGCAGAGATTCGCCATCTGGTTTCCGGTCGATGATTGTTGCTGTAGTATCGACATGCGCCTGGTGAAGCGATGAATGGGTGTACCTGCCGCCGCGCAGTGATGATGCTGCATACCTGCACGAAATGTCCTCCGAACCGGACGTGCGCACCCATTGCACGCTCCAAGTTCACTTGGTCTCCCACCTTCCTCTCCCCTGATCCAGAGACCGTCAGTTGCTGACATTCAGCGACAAAGACTGCGACAAACAAGACATACCGAGGTCAGTCCTGTCAAGCGTCTCATTCGCAAGCCAGACCTTGAACCACCCGCCCTGCGCCTCCTTATCGAACTCCGTCACAGTCAGACATGCTCCGTTCACGGCGATAGAGTCTCCGACGTGACCGTCAGTGAGAATAGGAGCAGATTCCGCGATGGTCAGGGTACACCCGCCGGCGTCGCGTTCGATTGAAGACACGGTCCCAAGATGTTCGATCTATGACGCCACGAGACACACCGGTGAGTAAGAAGTGTGGATTGAGCTACGCTAGCATACCAGACCTGTGAACATACTGTGACTGAAGGCGACGGCTTGTGAGACGAGACGAAAGGTGGGCAGACCCGATAAGTGTCGAATGAGTCCTGCTTATAAGAGCGAAGCGCCCGGTCACGGTCATGCACTGGCAAAACGCGACGCCTCAACGCGCCGCGGCCCGCGGGATAAACAGAGACCCTCTGTTCTGTCAACTACGACCAAGTACACGCAATGACTCTCGAACTCGCTACTGTACATGAAGGCGACCGACAAACAACAAATTGAGGTACAATTCACAGCATCTCGACGCAGAACTCATCTCCCTCCACCGTCTCCCGACAGCCTTGAGACGGCGTTCTCGCGCAGTATGAAGCTCGCGACCTTCTCGCTCTGCGCATACCGCTTCAAGTGAATGACGCAGTCCTCGTACGACCCGGCCTCCAGCCCGACGTTCGACTCGTCGACGAGCCTCTCGTGCCAATCGACCGTCGTCGGGCATCCGCGCGCTGGGCAGACGTCCTCGCCAAGGCCCGACGCGCAGTCCTCGCAGAGGGTGTGGCGGCAGGGATGGAGTATAACAGCGGCCTTGCCGTAGGCGCAGAACACGCACTCTAGGCTCGGTTTGGCGTTTCGCTGTCTATCGCGCTCAGCGTCCAGCGTTGCGACGGACTTGACGTTGGACAGGGGGTTCGCGTCGAAGTTCATCTTCGCTGAAGGGACACGTTCGTCGTAGAACGTGAACCACGGCAGCTTGTTCTGCAAGTAGATCGACGTGGTAACAGGGGTAGAGGGTGCAGGGAGGCCTGTCATCGCAGAGAAGTAGGCCGCGTTGATGACAGTGATATGAAGGCGTGTCGGCGCGGTCCCGTCGTATGCAGATGGTGGCAATGTGTCTCGGTTGATCTTCTGCGAGATTCGCCCCCCTGCAGCAAAACCTGCTATGGCATCACAATCGCCACCACCTCTCAATGGCTGACATAAGTGAATGGTTGACTCCTTTTGGATGTTGTAGTCTGAAATAGGTGGTCAATTCCAAAGCTAACCATAGTGGCGCAACATTGCAATCACCAGACAGCTGTCTTCCATCTTCTAACAGACGGCCAGCAAATATCAGTCTTTGCTGATCAGGTGGAATGCCCTCTCTGCGTTGAAGCACTGCTTTGAGACCACCAACAGTCAAGTTATTTTGCCAGTGGTATGGTATAGTGATTGTCTTCCCAGTAAGTGTTTTGACATATACTGTCAAGAATTGAGATCAGTGGTATATAAACAGACAATTGAATGCCTCACTTTCCCTGTCACAAGCTGTGACTTGAATGGATGAACCTGCAGTGAAGCTTGCATGTTTCAATGATGAGTTCCATTGGCCTAAAGTTTCTGAGATGCTACACAAAGCACAGGTATCGTAATACATCCCATTAGAATCTTCAGATAAAAAGGCTCACTTGGTATCAGCATCCATAGATAAAGACTCCTTCAGTCTGAGACCTTCATGCTCTGGTGAATTGAACAGGTTCAGATTCTTCCCATTGCACTTGAAGATGACTGGGGTTGCATATTTGTTGAAGACATCAAGTTGCATGCCTCCAACATCCTGGAAACCAATTGGAAGGTGAAATTCATATAAGCTTAGTACTGAATAAACAACAGGTCACCCACTTCTTTCCCTGTCACCTGGCCTTCAACAGTATATCCATGGCCAAGTGGCATTGCCACAAATTCTGTGTGCCATAAAATGAATCCAGCTCAATAATGATCCATGAAGAGCTCACGTTGGACAATCCCAGGAGCAGTACAGATCCCATCCTGTAGAATCAGCATAATGAGTGATAGATTGACATGAGGGATAAGTTATCCAACCAGCCAGCTGTGATGGATAAAGGTCAAAATGATACCAGTGAACATGATAGAAAATCAGCATACAGTTGACCACTGTTATTATTGATGGCCAGATAATCCTGGTGACCTTCACTGTACATATCTTGTGGCTTCCCTGTAAGAGCATTGACTCCACCAACAGAGACCTTGACAGCATGATGCTGGCCAGTCCCATATGGGTGAGAGAAGGATATCCACATGGCCTCCCTTTGATACATAGCCTAGTGATGATTGTTAGTGGAATCAGACCTCTCATGACAAAGGAGTAAGCAAGACGCACGATGAAGACCCCTCCCTTGCTGACTACAGACTTTGGGAGTCTGTCAGCAAAGTCTGCAACATTGCTTAGAAGGAGATACAGATCAGTACAGTACACATACATGACACACTACACACTGACTAGACTTCAAATGCACCCATGTTGGGAGGCAGGGCTTGTACTTTGTTATTGTCTGCAAGATATCTAGCTGTAGCGACACACATCAAGTACTATCCATAGTCTTACCTGGCACACGGATCGTTCTACAGTATGAATCCTATGTGAGTTGAGTGCATTGCTGGATGTAGACCACAAGCATACCGCTGAAATTGTATATTGACACCTCCGACTCCGATCATGGTCTGGTCCCGTTTCACCTGAGATTCGCTGATGTGGTGCAGGGATTTCTCTTTCGATCGATCTCCCGTGAGGCCGCGGATTGCTGGAAGGTACACCTTGTGGTAATAGTGTATAAAAGGCTGCTTGCTATATATGAAACGGTTAGATACCTAGACGCCGCGATAGCATAGAGGAACGCACATGTTGATTTTGCCGCCTTTTCTCGGTGTAAACATAGACGGACCTTCGGTGATTTCAAGTGCATGACTGCCTGGTCGGCAGATGACTTGATGAGGAGCCGGATATCCTGCACAATTTCATCACAGATGAGATGTTTAATTAGAGGTGCAACGGAGAAAGGCTTGGTCAAACCTCGCTCGACAATACGCCGCGCAAGCTGTTCAAAGGTCACAGGAAGCTCGAGTTCATCGAAACGAAGCTTCGCCGTGCCCACGAGTACATCGGCCCCGATCATCTGTGGAGGCCGTCCCAAGTCGTCAGTCTTGTCAGTCAAGCCGATGAATGGGGGATGAGAGCCTGTTGAGACGAGCATCTGGAGAGTACGGGACGAAGCGCAAACACGAGCACCTGTAACGTGCAGGGCTTTGAGGGCCAGAGGACCAGGGCGTCCGGAAACCGCCTCGTCGCTCGCGTGGACGCGTACAGCGAAGACAGGCCGATTGGCCAGTATCTGCACAAAGTTAAGGTTTCCAGCCCTACATCCGATTAACGCTTGGGATCCACAGCAGATAAGTCCCATGGCCAACCGTTGCGGCATCTTAGCCATACGGCTCGTCACACATTTTGTGTGCACCGTCCACCATTGTGAAGGCGAAGCTATGCTGAAACAACAACTTACTGCAGGGGGGCTGATTGTATGCGGCGACATAACGCAAGACATTGAATGCGACGCTGAATGGTCGCAGAACAGCAACTGCAGCTAAAAGCTAGCCGGTCCGAAGAGGATCAGCGGCGACAGAAGTGATAAGTACCGGTGCTTACATCTGACAAGGTCAGCGGCGACGGTAAGGAAGTGCGACCACTGTTGGAGGGAAATCTGTCTCTCGCAGATCACTAAGCTCGCTCGGGCTGGTGCGTGAGGGCGAGGAAGCAACGCAGTGTGAGAGTGCGAAGGTGGCCGTCTGCAGCGCTGGATGAGGGAGGGAGGAGGACGGCGAGCGCTGAGGACGGTCGCGCGCGTGCGTGACCGCGGGGCGCGAGAGGCGGAGATGGACGACACCGAGGCGGGCGGGCGTGGCTGAGCGCCCTACGTCTGCGTCCGTCAATAAACCTGTGGCCATACAACCCGGACAAATACATCGCTCGCCATTCATCTCCTCAGCCTCTTCTCTTGCTGCCTCCCCACCGCCGCCGCGTCTCACGCTCTCGCCCGCGACTTTGCCATGAACGGCACCCATACCGCTCGCCATGGCAGAACAGCCCAGGCGGGTGCCACCCCGCCCGCCCCCGCTGCAGCGCCGCCCGCTCCCCCGAACCACACACATACGCCGGCCAACAACCGCCAGACTAACGGGGCAACAACAAATGGCGCACATCCGCCCCCGCAGAGGGGCAAGAAGAAGGCCGCTGAGCAGCCGGTCGATCCTTCGCAAATGTATGAAACCCTCAAGAACCGCATCGCCGCATTGGAGGAGGAGGAAGTGCACGAGGAGGAAGAGGAACGCAGGTTCGGTGAGTCGTCGATCTGTCCTCTGCAGTGGCGCTGTCCATACTCACCCGCAGCAGCTGAGGAGGCACAGAACTCCGTGTCTGGCATGGGGGAGAATGCGATCCATGCCAAGTACATTGAATTGGTGCATATCAGTCTACTCTACTGTGATGCTGCCAGGCCTTGACGTTCGAGGACAGTTCGCGGAGTTCAAGCGATTGGAACGAGATCATGCGAAGGAGAAGCAGAAGTTGGCGAAAGACAAGGATGCGGGTGCGTTTATGGCCAGGCGCTGTCCGCATAGTGACCCTCATGACATATGTCTGTGCAGCGAAGAACCAGTTGACGAAAGCGAACCAGACAAAGACGAAGATGGAGAACCTGGCGCGCGAGTTGCAGAAGGTAATTCTGCGTGGCTGGAGTAACCGTTCCCTCTTAACGCTTTCTGTAGGATAACAAAAGGCTACGGGTGGGTTTCTTCAGCTCCGACATGCGTCTTCCTGAAGGCTTTAGTATCTTATTGACGGCCGCAGGAGGATAGCAAACGGTTAGCAACATGTGTAGAGGAGGCGCAGGAAGAGGTGAGTCGCCCATACATTTATCCGCCTCTGCACGTACCCAACACGCGACAAGATCATGCAAATGAAGAATGACATGGCGAAACGCGCCGAGCGGGCGAAGATCCAAGAGACGAAGTACCGCGAGACCCCCGACATCGTCGTGCGCGTGCACTGCAAGTACCGCGCGGAGCTCTACTTCAAGATCTCGCGCAAGACGAAGCTCTCCCGGCTCTTCAACGCGTGGACGGAGCGCATGGAGTCCGGCGTCGTGAAGGGCAGCAAGATCCTCACCGGCACGCCGCCTCAGCCGCCGAATGGCACAGCACTCACGACAAGCTCGACGAGCTCTAGCGGGCCGGCGTCGAAGAGCTCGATGCAGTTCATCTTCACGCACGCAGGCCGGAGTCTTGAGGCGGACCAAACACCGGAGGAGGCGGGGATCGAGGACGGCGACATGATCTTGGCTGTGGAGATCATGGACCTGACGGAAGGACCGGGCACCGAGGAGGTGGTAAGTATTGTCGCTCTAGGGGTCACAACTGAAGCGAACAGACTTCTTGATAGGACGAACCCGAGCCCAGGCGCCAGAAGTTGAAGAAGGAATGGGTGGAGAATCCGTCAGAGTAAGTGCCATACCCTGTACGCTGGGTCACGCATCAATATTGACGTCGGCACCCCAGAGCTAAGAAGACTGTGGAAGATATCTTCGACAGCGTGTATGTTCTCAGCACATCGTGCCTCTGTTCGCCGTGCTCACGCACTTGCCCCCAACTCAGTGTCCGCGAACGTCTCAAGGAAGTTCTCCGGCAATATGAGCTACGAGAACGGCACTTCGAATGCGTTATTCGTTCGAAGGAACTTGAAGTCCTGCTCTCCCGCGCGCGTGCCGCGGAACAAAAGCAGCTCGCAGAGGGCCAAAATACACGAGCTGATAAGCTCGATGAGCAGGTTCGGCGTGTGGATTCGCTCGATTCAACGCCTCGCTGATCCGTAGAGCAGGTCAAGCAGCTGCGCAAGGAGCTGGAGGACGTCACGGAGCAGCAGACAGTGCTCGTCAACAAACTCTTGGCTTGCTGTCATGAGGTTCGCTCCCATGTCTGTTCTCCCTGTCCGCCCTGATCGACATTCTCCCCGAAGTCAAATGACGCGCGGATACAACAACTGTTTGGCTCTCTTCGAGAAGAGCTAGAAACACGTGAGATCTTATCCCTCTTCCTTGATCAATCCCGCACTGAGCGCTGAAGTTGGTCTGCCAGGCTGGAAGCCGACTCTGAACGGCACGGCTAATCGCCCACCAGACGACGAGACCATTATATGACCCCGGGGACGGCGGACATGGTGGATGATGGGTCGGCGAGGACACTGGTTCCCTGTACGTGCCTGCTCGGCCACTACGCATCCTGTATATCCGCATCGTTCTTAGGTCCAGTAACTGCCACCTCGCTTCAGGGCAGCTCACACACCGACAGCGCACGCGAAATGTTGTGCGATTGGGGCCGACGACGATTAGTCTGGTACACTACGCACAACATCCAAACCTAACAAAGTCCCTATGCGATGTCCGTGTCCAGATGTGACTAGCTATGTGTACAAGTCCGTCCGGGAGAGCGTTCTAGGTCACCTTTTCTCTGCTTTAGACAAGCGCGTCCAGCTCTTCGACAGCCTCGACTAGGCCAGAACGAGTAAACTTCTTCCCCTTAACCGTCTCCAATCCTTCACCAGCGTATGAGACCAGCGGGGAAATCTCGATCTCGACACCCTCAGCGACAGTCGCGCTAACACGCTCGAGGAAACGCTTGTGCTGGGAGATGAGATCGCGGCGGCTCGTCTCCGGGTCATCCGAGCCGGTGCCAGGTGCGTTCTTGAGCGGGCTGAACTCCTCGTTCCGCGCGACCTCGAGGACGGCAAAGTGCTTCGTGAACGGAAACACATCGAACACGAACATCTCGAGCTTCATGCCGTTCGGCTTGGTCGGCTTCACGGTCTGGCCCTGCTCGTCCACATACGGGATCTTCTTGCGCGCGATGTGGTGCGCGAGCTCCTCCTCGATCGACTCGGTCGAGTGTAGGAACGCGGTCGTGTAGAAGTGGTTCACGATGTTCGCCGCGCGGAACGCGAGCTCGCCCGTCTTGGGGTCGCGCCGCTCCGCCTGCTCCTTTGATATCTCCGAGTATTCGATCACGCTATACCGGTCGCCCTGCCGCGCGACGACGCCGACGGACTCGGTCGGGTACGCCTTGGGCACGACCTTCGCGGCGCAGTCGGCCTGCTTCTGGATGCAGTACCCGAGGAAGACGGGGTCCGCGACCTTGACGAGGCAGTTGTCCACGCAGTAGCTGTGGATGTACTGCACCTTGCGTGCGCCGAGATCCGAGAGGACCGTGCGCGAGTCGGACGGGGAAAGTGGCTTGCGGAGGGCAGCGTAGAGGCCACCGTTGCCATCCGGGGCTACGGCGATCTTCGAAGGGTCCTCCAGGATGACCTTGCCTTCCGTTGTGAGGCATGGCAGCGTACCTGGCAGAAGGATGTGTTAGCCTCGTATGGTATGCGGCTTTCCTTTCAAGCAATGGGGCAGATGAGGTACACGTGAACGAGAATCAAGAACAGGCTGCTCGGTAGCTGCGCGGACGCAAGACCCAATCATACCACACATGGTACAGCAACTGACAACATCTTCATGGAAGCACATCATCGTCCAGTCTATGTAAAGTACGCTATACAGTTCGGAGATAGACGCACCCTGCTCGAAGAATACCACGTTCTTCGGGGAGAGCCCAAAGTAGTCGTGTTTCTTGAAGAAGGACTCCGTCTCCCGCCGAGTAGGTCCGCTGGTCATGACATACCAGGGAATCACGACCGATCCGGAAGCCTTGCCATTCTCTTGCGCGGCGACCGTTTGGAGGCGGGCGATCCGCTCTGCCTGGTACTGGAACAGCGACTTGTGCGACGGCAGGCCGATGTCGTAGCAGCCCTTCGGCGCACTGCTGCCCAATCGGGTGCCCTGCCCACCAGCCATCAGCAGCACACCGACCTGGCCATGCGCGATAGCCTTCAGGCCTATGCTCCGCCACTCCTTCTCCTTTGCGGGGTCGCCGATTACGCTGTCAGCCGCGTCCTCGGGCAGGGGTTCGATGGCATCCTTGCCCGCGTTCTCCGCCTTGTCCTTCTCAGAGCTGACTGCCCTCGTGTAGATCCTGTTCACGCGATCGATGTCGAGGGCGTCGAGTTGCGCGAGGAGAGATGCGCGCTCCGACTCGGACAGCTTCGGCCAGAACTGGAGCAGATGGCCCTGTCCGGCGGCCTCATAGCGCTTGAGAGTGGAATCGTAGGAGGGCATGGTGGTGATGGGTGGTGAGGGGAATTAGATGCGGGTGTACTGGTGGCAGAGATGAAGGAACGAAGCAAGCGGGGTCGTCGTGGGGGAGGCGTTGTATACACGTTCGCCGCGATCTACGGTGACAGAAATACGCGTCGGGAACTGCCGCACGAACAGCTTTGCTCTGCTCGCCCTCGCTGCCTCCCTTTCTCCTCCCGCCACCATCACCCTCTTGCACCGCGTCCAAGCAGCGCAGGTCTCATGGCGGGCACCCAACCCCACCGACTGTCCTTGCACTGCATCGGAGCGCTGACCACGAGCGCGACCCGGCATCTCTGTCAAGTTGCGACGCTTGCCTCATCCTAACCTCATCCTGCGCGCCATTGCAACGACAGCTCTGCCTCTCATAACCGGGTCGCTCTACGCCCGCTGTTCATTCTACCGTGTCTCGGTGCTCACAAGGTCTGTCTGTCTGTCGGCGATCCTCTCCGGGATGTTCGGAACGGATCCTGTGGACGTGGGACTCCGGACTTGACGACCTTCTGCAACACTAGGGGTGTTTCTGCGTTTGTCATGTGCTTCCAAGTCCTGGACAACTGCCTCCCTATCTCCTACTTTCCCGCGTGCATCCAGACGTACAACCTCGGACTAGGAGCCTCCGCCGGGACGCGGATGCATACGTCCGACTTCCCATCTTTGTCGTGACCCGAAGAATGTAGGACTGTGTCCCAGGTCTGTCCCGATTAGAGGCAGGATGTCCGAAGAGTTCTATCATAGAGACGCGTATGCGCGTCGTTCGCCCTAGTCTGGCAAATGCTGACCGACCATAGCCTCCTGACGGTGAGCGTCGATTGCCTCCAGGAGTATCAGCATGCTAATCGTGTACTTATCGGCGACTGGGCCCTTTGGCAACTAGATTAAGTCAGAGAAAAACTGATGGGTCTAGACCGAACGCCCCTTTCGTGGACGGAGTGCTACACGAGTTCGCCTAAAGATCGTCGTCGTAAGAAATGATATCATATTGCTTTTCTCACCAGCCAATACGAGGCCAGGATACCGTTCACCATGCTCAAGGCAATTCATTGGCAATTCCATGAGGCCGGCGGTTCGCTCTCCAATCCACTAATCCCCGTAAAGAATCAAAACCACGATGTTTCTCAGATGCTCCGGCGATTGCTCGGGATGAACAGCAGTCAACAAGGACGCGTCAAGGTCCTCCTCGGATACTGTTACGTTGGACGGCTACCGCTCGCTTGCGGTCACCTGCGACGCCGTATATGTCTAGAGTGTTACTGGCGCAAGGCTGCTATTCGGCCGGCGGTCCTTCCTGGGCCTTTGCATGAGAGAACACGGCAGGGAAGAGCAGAAATACATCCCGGAGATGGGTCGACCAGGCACGGCGAGACGCACTTCGGCGGGACTACCATTCACGAGGCCTGCGGGTCGCGTATTGCACTGTCCTCCGTCATCCTGAGTGGGGCGCCACAGGACGGTTGATTCTCCGTGCAAGCGTGTCTGGTAGCCGAGACTCGACGTTTGGGGTGCTCGTCGCCCGTTGGCCGCCAGCTCGATCGCACACACCACACGTGAGGAATAGAACCGTCAACACCAGCCGCCGATCGCGGCTGGCAGCGACCTCAAACAGACGACGTACCGTCTGGAGACTTGGTGTCGGCACGTATAAATATCGTCCAGCGCACCACTCGCCTCCCCCTATCCTCCCTCGACCCGATTCACCATGTCTTCCACCTGGCGTCGCGCCGCGGTTTTCTCGCTGTTCTCCCTTCTCGCGCACCGCGTCGTGAGTGACACCGCCATCAGCCCGTCCTTCTCCTATGGCACGGAGACGGTCCGCGGCGTCAATTTGGGAGGATGGCTCGTCCTCGAGGTGAGGGGCTCGCTTGACCGCTGTCGGCCGCACGTACGTCGCGCTCACGTCGGCTGCTAGCCATGGATCACGCCCAGTCTCTTCGACAACACCGGCAACGATAACATCGTTGACGAGTGGACCTTCGCTGAGCTCCAAGACACTGCGACAGCAACCTCTGCCCTCCAGAACCACTGGAACAGCTGGATAACAGAACAAGACTTCGCAGACATTGCGGCAGCCGGGTGCGTCACGTGGCCGTGTCATTGGCTGCAAGCGAGGCTGACCTTCTATCACCTCTTTCCCCAGTTTGAACCATGTTCGCCTTCCTATCGGATATTGGGCATTCGACGTCGGCCCGGGAGAGCCTTACATCCAGGGCCAGGTTCCCTACCTCCAGAATGCTGTTGGTTGGGCTGGGAACTATGGTCTCAAAGTTATCGTCGACCTGCACGGTGTTCCAGGAAGCCAGAATGGGTAAGTAGTCTCAGATGGGCGTGTAGCTTTATCACAATACGCGTGCTAACCTCATTTCGCAGCTTCGACAACTCGGGACAGAGAATGAATTACCCGGAGTGGCAGTCGAACTCTACGAACGTGCAGCGGACCGACGCCATTGTCAAAACGATCGCGTCAATGTTCGCCAACAACCCCCAGGTCGTGTCTATCATCGAGCCGATCAACGAGTAAGCCTCGAGGTATGACGCACTGTCGGTACTTCTACTTATCCACACTCGCTAGGCCAGCGGGGTATGATAATAACGGTAATCAGATGCTGGATGTGGTCCAGCAGTACTACTACGATTCGTACGGAAACATCAGGTATGCGCCACCCTGTGATCCGCATGGCTGCAACGCCCTAACTGTCGACTCACGGAAAGATATTCTTTCGGCACCTCGGAGGAGAGCAACACGGTCGTACTACTGCATGACGCGTTCCAATCTCTCAGGTACGCGCTCACATCGATAGACCTGGTAGTTCGGTCGGCTAACTGCTCTTCACAGCTACTGGTCGGGCTTTGAGACTCCCTCCAACTGGCAAGGTGTCGCAATGGACACGCACATCTACCAGATGTTCTCGGACTCGGAAGTAGCCTATTCCGACTCGCAGCATATCTCCGCCGCCTGTAACTACGCCTCGACCCTCTCAGGCTTCGACCTCTGGTTGATTGTCGGTGAATGGTCGCCCGCCGCCACCGACTGCGCGACCTACCTCAACGGCCGTGGTATCGGTGCGCGGTACGACGGCTCCTACGCCGGCTCGTCGTACGTCGGCAGCTGCGACGGCTTGACCGGCTCGGCTTCGACGTTCAGTAGTTCGTACCAGACGTTCCTCCGCCAGTTCTGGGAGGCGCAGACGATCACGTTTGAAAACAACGCGCAAGGTTGGATCCAGTGGACATGGAAGACGGAGAGCGCGGATGAGTGGTCCTACCAGGCCGGATTGGCCAACGGCTGGATCCCGCAGAACCCGACGGACCTGCTCTACCCCAACATCTGTGGCTAGGTTACTGCTGACCCGCTGATGTCTGCCTCGACGAAGCGACATTATCTGTTCTTTGCTTGTGTTACGTCATCTGTGCAATTAAACCGGACCTCCATTACTCACTTCACCTAGTCAATACGATCCGAGTAGTCTAACTACCATTGTATTAGTTCTACGACACAATCACGGTTTTACGACTTTCACGACGATACTCTCTGTATTATTGCACTACTGCGGTATACAAGGATTCGCGTATTCCTCAGCTGGCAAACCTGAGTTTGGACGCGCTTGGTGCCGAGACCGTGTTGCCTTGGGTCACGTGGGCGTGCCCATATCGCGGTGCGCGGGACGTCGAGCGTGTTTCGAACCGCGACAGCCTATCGAGGCAAGCTGGCCTTGCTGCTCCTCCGCCGACGACCTCAAGCACCCGCTATCGACGCCCGTGTTCTATCTTCCGCGTCTCTCACCCGGCAGGCTTGTGCTTCACGAGCCATGAGGCCAACCATTCTCGTCGTGCTCGCCTGCTGTACCCATGTACTCGGGACCTATGCCCTACCGCTGCGGAACCACGGACGCCTCGCGCGCGCGTACACTGTAGAAGATCGACGGGACTTCTCTGGGCTGCTGGGAGGGCTAGGCGGAGGAGATGCGGATGCCCCTACGGACGAGAAGACGGCCCAAGGCACCTCGGACGCTCGGCCCTTTGCGACGACCGCTCACGGCGACAGTACCTCGGTCGCCTCACTTGAACTTCTTCCTGGGCTGTTCTCCACTGGCTCTGAGACATCCAAGGCGAAGGACACGACATCAACTACGTCTAGCTCTGCGACTGCCACCCCCGAGTCCCGTCTCGCGTCGACCACTCAGGCTCAGCCCGCTGCTTCACTCACAGGCTCTACGGTGACTGCAACTTCTCAGGCCCAAAGTACAAAGCAAGACCACCCAGTGGGTAACAACGCCATCTCGTCGGACTCCTCATGGAAGATCATCGGCGTCGCCGTCATCTCTTTCACCGCCGTCGTCGTCATCCTCGTCGCTGCGGTCTTCTTCGATACCTGGTGGCACTTCCTACGCGATCTCTTCTGGAAGCGGCGCAAGTCGGACGGCCTCGAGGAGCTGGTGCCCGACTGGCAGAAGGCTAGCTGGGAGGTGCGCATCGGCGACGACCGCCATCGGTACCCATCGTTTGGCTCGCTTCCGAACTCGCCTATCCTCCGCGGAGACCCTCTACAACGCCAGCGGTCGCTCAGAGTGCAAGAATGGCAGAAGGATGACATGGGCTCGAGTACGACGTCTCTCGGTGCGGGACTCACTCCGGCGGAGAGACTCGCGCAGTACCCCACCATTCCTCCGAGTACCTATGTCAGTCCTGACCCAAGACCAAGCCCCGGTAGCGCGGATCCTTTCATGGACAAGAACACCTCGCCGACTCCTACGCTCGTGCACAACGGACCTGACGATAGCAAGAGTCCCTTCCACGACACACACACGTCCCCTCAGACGGAAATCTACGGCGGCATCAACGAGAAGTAGACCAAACGGACCTGCAACTAATACACCCCCCACGACTGTATCCCTAGCCATCCTAACACACCCTCGTTGTATCATGTTCTCTTCCTTTGTTGTCCTTCATACTGGGAATGCGATGCAAATGTCATGGTGGCGGCACGTCCTTCGCTGCGCCTTCTGAGAGAGGCTTCTTGTCCGCTGGAGGTGGTAGCACCCGCTCCAGCTGGTCGGAGAGGTAGATGCCTGCAAGCGCGATGCCCGTGACGGCTAGCGAGATCTGTATGCGCGTCCTCGCCGGCAGAGCTGTGGTTACATGGTCATGTATCTCTCAGTGAGTTGGGGACTGGATGACGCGACTGACCTACCCAAGACTCGCCCAGGGTGCGTTGTCCTACAGGCTTGCTCCGCACAGACGAGTATTGCTTGTTCTGTTGTTCGGACATGACTCGCAGTTGTGTTGTCCTGGGATCACACGCGACGCATGGGGGTTATACAGTGGAGGTCGACCGCTGCAGGCACGTACTGCATCGCTCCGCTACTTCACCGCGGGCAAACCAGGTTTTTCGGGCTCCGAAAATGCTAATAACATCGGTCCTCCATGGGAACCTTTTCGGAGAGCTTGACTGACTCCGAAAATGCTCCTACATTTCTCATGTTCGTAGCATGTTCGCCGAAAACACGCATGTTCGGCCTCCGAACATGCTGAAATCGGCTGAAACACATCATGTTCGCAGCATGTTCTGACAATATTCGGAGTCCGTAAAGGTTCCCAGGCGGGACCGATGTTCGTAGGGGTTTTCGGAGTTCGAACAACCTGGTTTGCCCGCGGTGCTTACGACTGCGTGCTGGGTTACGTAACGTGCTCTCTCATTGGTCCACCTGAGTAGGTTGAACCTCGACAACGAAGCATTGATCATTGCATACAGTACAAGCGACTTTGCGCATCTCCGTCGCTGGTCCAACCTAAGCAGAATTGACAGAGATGATGTTTACGACCGTGAATCAAACCCTATAGACCCGTTGGCTCTGCGCTCATGCGCATCATATCAGCACACTTCTCCGCCAGGGCATACACGAGTGCCTGCGGGTGCGCCGCAGGCACATTCGGAATTACACTCGCATCCGCTACGCGCAACTTCCGTACCCCATGCACGCGCAGCTCGTCGTCCACGACGCCCGGCCGTACATCGTCCTCCGGCGCCATCCGACAGGTGCTCGTGTAGTGGTACATCGTGTCGACGTACTTGTCGATGTACTCGTCGATGGCCGCGTCGCTCGACACGTCTGGCACGCGCACCGGGTCGATTTCGTAGCCTTCCTCGCGTAGCTGTCGGGCGATCGCGTTGGTGACGCGCAAGGCGGCACGGAGAGCAGCGCGGTCTTCGGGCGCAGTGAGGTACTGCATGTCGCAGAGAGGCTCAACGCGCGGATCTGTAGAGCCCAGGCGGACGTTGCCGAATGATTTGGAGAGCATGAGGCCTGCGTTGATGCTCAGGACACCTTTCGTGGTATCCACGCCTGGGATGCTCGGGTCACCGATCGGGGCCTGGGGCCTGGTGAGCGAACAGCCGGTGGTATATCTAACTGGAACACTTACCACAAGAACGCAGAAGTCCGGCAGGTTGGCGGGATTGTAAGGGTTCAGCTGTTCCTCTGATAACATGGCGGGTTTTCCGTCGGAGTTGATCACACTCGACAGGCCGAAGATCTCTACTTCGGCGAGAGTGCAGAGGAACCATCCCGCGCCGTGACGGAGGTAGTTATAAGTCTCTCGCAGGAATGTGGTTGGCTGCTTGACCATTGCGTAGAGCGAGTCCGACAAGGGGCAGTTGTAGGTCGTCTGGATAATGACATGGTCTTGCTGTGGAACATCAATATGGCGACGGCCCCTAAAGCATACCAAGGAACACACTCACCAAATGTTGGCCGACTCCGGGGGTACCCCTGACGACCCGGATTCCCTTCTCACGTAGATGAGAAATAGGGCCTATTCCACTAGGCAACGTTAACGCTCTCTGCGACGGATTATGACAAACGATGGTACCTCAAAAGTAATAGCTGAGGAGTGCGCAAGGCTCCACAAGAGAGAACGATCTCACGACGAGCAGTGATTATTCGCTTCAGGCTGCGGTCGAGGCTCTCAAGCTCTACCCCTTCGGCGCTGTTAGTACCGTCACTTCCCTCTGAGAATTCAACCCTTGTAGCCACCACATTTATGCATACGTGCAGATTCGGTCGACCTCTGACGACCTCTGCGGGTAGGTATGCACGAAAAGCAGAATGGCGTCGTCCTGTCGAGTCGACTGTGTACTGCATCTTGTTGAAGCCTATGCTCGGCTCGAAGGGCGAATGCATGTCGATGATGTCGCGGAAGCCAATCTTCCTGACTGCATCTGCCGCTCTAGTGCAGTCACCGATGAAGGCCTAGACAAAGGGCAGTCATATGCGATCGCCTACCTCCGCGAACATTCATAGTGGTAACCTTCGAAAGAGCGTACTTCCAGAGGACCTGCCGTGGAATTAGTATGAACGTCTCTGGCGCGAGACAGAGTGGAATGATTCTACCATTTAGACCATGGTACTCCTGAGGCACCGGCCCCGTCCACCGCTCGGACTTGAGGAAGTACGGCTTGAACTCGTCGTAAGACCATCCGACCCGGCCTTGGTCGCTCCATGCATTGTACTGAGCGGGAACACCACAGGTGTACTGGCCGCCATTGATACGCGATGTCCCACCCAGGCCAACTCCACAGACGAGGGGAAACGTCCGCCCAAGCCGCGCGTGAGGCGTACTTGGGATGACTGTACTGCGCCGTCCTGTTGACATGTGGTGTATAGACAGAAGAGGAGTCGTATCGAGGAAGCTTGGAGTGTAGGTCGTGGGTTCGTTGCATGAGGCTGTAGCTCGAACCATGTTAGAGTAAGTACTCACTTGTTAGAAGCGTCGCCTCTCTCCACTAACAAGACTGTGCATGTCGGCTGATCCTCACTTAACCTGCGGGCAAGAACACACCCAGCTGTGCCTCCTGTGACGCAATGTGTATCCGTTAGCAGACTCATCACAGAGCTCGGCCAAAGCCAACTACGCACCTCCTACGACGATGTAGTCATACTGCGACCTCAGCGTTGCTAGCGGCCGGGCAGGATAGCTGTCCGTGAATGGCCACATCCTGGGAAGTCAGTTGGGGTTGGCAGTCGCAACTGGGAAGACGCCATAGACTGCTAAAAGGGTGCTTATAGCGTCCCGCGTGTGTTTCCGCAGGTGATACGGTGCAACGGGAATGTTACCAGGCCGTAGTATTTCTGATAGTTGGCCTGGAGATCTAAGTCGACTCATCCGTGAACGGCACAAGGGGTGGCACATATGTTGCAAAAGAAAGCAACATATTTGAAGGTGGTCGTCACGGACAAGAGCTGCACAGTGCGACTGGATCAGTGGGAAGTGGCGCGCTGCAAGTTCAACGCTCGTTCTCCGACACCCACCATGCAGCCGCGAGCTCGCCTCCATTGACGACGCTCCCCACTCCCGGGAACGATGCTACTGACTGGGAGGCAGGCCGCCGTTCTCGCTGTCTTTGCCGGCATAGTGTTGCCCACCGCCGCGCGCATCGCGTCTTCACCGCTCGCGCTTGTCCTATGCCTCCCGTTCCTCCTGGTGCTCACGGTCCTTGGATTTCTGGTGCTCAATGTCGCTCTCGGCTACCTGTTGGACAGCTCGAGGCCACCAGTGCCTAACGCCTTGCCCCATGCTGCCCGACCACTCGCCTTCTCCACTCCGGCGGCGTGGCAGGCTGTCCTAACGCGTTCCCAATGGTCGCACAAGGCCCCGCAATCACTACCGCCTCTGTGCCCCGACTCCCCGGTGATTTCTGCCGCACTCAATGACATCCTAATCATGATTGTGAGAGACTTCGTGCTCGTTTGGTACCGCAACATTTCAGCTTCGCCATCCTTCCCGACGGCGGTGTCCTCGATCTTGCACAGCTCCATCGAACAGTTGCTAGCTCGCGTCGAGACTCTGGACCTCTCTGCCCTCATTGTGAAGCGGATCGTGCCCAAGGTCACCGCACATATCGAGCAATTTCGGCAGTCCGAAGTCGCACTGCGGGGTGCCGAGCTGGAACGCAGGTTGACGCAGTCGGAGGAGCTTGACTTGTTGTTGGCCAGTCGATATGCTGGAAGGGGTGGAGGAAAGCTACATCGCGCTGTAGATAACCTCTCCTCGACGTTCACCAGGCAAACGGAGGAGAACCACTTACGAGAGCTCATTGACAAGGCGCTCCCTACCATCTTGCCCGAGAAAGAGGCGAAGAGCCAGGCTGTGAGGCATGTGGTCAGGGAGATCGTGGCTTGCGCTGTACTCTACCCCATCATGGACATGGTCGCTGATCCCGACTTTTGGAATCGTTCAATCGACTCTGTGGTGAGCATGGTCGTGTATGCATACTCTACGTCTCCTCACTATCGTAGGCGGGAGCAGCTATACGTCAACAGTATGTCGCAGTGATCAAGTGAATAGAACCGTTGTTCATAATTCCCTCGCGCTACAGGAGGCTCGTGTCGAAAGTACGCAACATTCTGGAGGCTCAACTACCTCGTCCAAATGCCCGTGTGCCCGAGTTGAAAGTCCCTACGACGGAAACCATCACCATACGTACGGATCCACGACAATTTGAGTCGTTCTTGCGTAGCATCAATCGCTGCTCGTCCCTCCTCGACGCCAGGAGACTAAAGAACGACGTAATGAGCGAGATCAGGCGCAACCGGACACTGCTCGGTATGTTCTCGAGCACTGAGTAGTTGATTTGATACTTCAACCTCTGCACAGCAAACCATGAGAAGGACGACTGGATCAATGGTGAGAAGACAGAAGATATAGTCGCTTTTCTGGACAGACTGTATACCGCCAAGCGCACCGCGGAGAAGCGAATCGCTGTCTTGGGTGGAGAGTCTGAGCCGGTGCATAAGTCGTTGTATCACATTCTACTGTATCGACTGAACGAGCTTCCTAGCGTTCAGCAACTGTGACAGAACCGCACCCGGTGTCAAGTCTCAGTCTACGCGACGTCTTAACCAACCCAAGCTCCCTGTCGTACTTCATGGAGTTCATGGACCGCCGCCATCGTTCTCTGCTAGTCCAGTTCTGGCTGACAGTCGAGAGTTTCAAGAACCCCCTCGAGTCAGTAGACTCGGACAGCGACGATGACGACGACGAAGCAGTCCTGGACCCTGCACGCTCCGCCACACTGAAGGAAGATATCTCCATGATGAACGAGCTCTACTTCTCCAGCACATCGCCTGACCCCGTCCTCAGAGCCATCTCGCAGAAGCACGTAGAGGCCATCCATTCGTTCGGACTATCCGAGGACCCGCCTACACCAGCGGAGGAAAGCAGGGTCCGCAAGAGCGTCATGCTCGCGCAGAGGCAGGTCGAACGCGAGATGGAGCAGGACTTCGAGGACTTTCAGCGCTCAGAACTGTGGTTCCGCGTCGTGGGAGATATGGAGTTGCAAGGCCGCAGAGACGCAGCTGTGTCTTCGCACAACACGAATACTGAGTCATCTCTCATGTCCCGGACACCGTCTGGGGTCTCGCGGGGTTCCTCTACGTCGTCCGAGCGTGGCCCGAGGACACCGGTGCAGCGGTCCTACTCGTCTCCGGTGCTGAAGCTCCCCTTGGGTCAGAGGTCGATGGGCGTTGCTATATCGTCGCCTGCTACGCCGCTCGGCGCGCCTCCCCCAAACGCTCCACCACGGCCTGTTGCGTCGGCGTCGAACTTGGAATTGCTCATGTCGCCCGCCCCGGATTCACCCTCTACCTCTATGAACCGAGCGCCGCTCTTCGACGACCCTGCCGATCCAGAGATGCAACAGATCACTGAGCAGTCAAGACGTATGGAGGCCATCCAGGCTGCGCTGACTGACATCATTGCGCTCGACAAGCGGGATCATCCTCTGGAGTCGAAGAACCCGGATGGCCTGCCGAGCACACTGAGCGACAGCAGCATCCCCGAGAAGAAGCGTGTGCTCTTTGACGATGAGGTGTATGAGGAGGAGCGGGCGGAAGACGATGCTGACGAGGGGCACGGTTCCTTCCAGCTCGCTGGCCCCGGCGATTTGCAGCTCTCGCACGAGATCGCGAGGCTTGCGAGCAAGATCGAGACGCTGCAGTCGCAGGATGCCATGTTGGACACTCTGATCAAGAAGGCTGACCTGACCGGCGACGCTCAGGAGCTCAGGTTGTTGCGCAAGTCAAAGTCTTCTCTGACGAGGGAACTGCGGGAACTGGGCTTCCAGAAGACTCAGTACGAGCAGCAGGAATCGGCCAATCGTCTCCTTTCAGATCGTACGAAGGTCGCCATCGTGAACTCCACAGTGGGCGAGGAGGACGGCAAGTCAGTAGTGCGCTATCTCATTGAAGTGCAGCAGCTCGCTCCGGACGGGAATCATACGTCTGGCTGGGTCGTCGCGCGGCGTTACAACGAGTTCTTCAACATGCACAACAAGCTCAGGGAGCGGTATGCCCTTGTGCGAAATCTGGACTTCCCGGGAAAGCGACTTGTGACGTCCCTGACATCGAGCTTCGTCGATTATCGGCGGGTTGCTCTCGAGAAGTACTTGCAGGTGCGTGATGCGGTACGTGCTACCTTGCTAATGGTGCTGAAGCGGGCATGCAGAGCTTGATAACCATCCCTGCTGTATGCGAGAGCGACGAACTCCGGAACTTCTTGTCCCGCGACTCTCCCTTTATCGCAACGGCCCCGACCGAATCTACTACCAAGGCAGCGGCAGCGGCTCCTTCCACTGGCAAGGGCCTCGTCCAATCCGTCTACAAGTCCGTCACCGACAGCATCGACGACATGTTCTTCGGCCCCTCGATGCTCGACGTCATCATTCAGCGACTTACCACCCAAGCTGCTGAGTTTGCCGGTATCGTAGGCAGCGGCGTCCATGACGAAGACCTCGTTGCACAGGCATTGAAGGCATCAGGCAAGACAGGCTCGGATGATGCTTTGTTGCAGCTCTCAGGTGATCTGAAGCCGATGCAAGGCGAGACGAGTAACTCAACATTCTCGTCTCCTATATGCGACTTGATCCTCGCCGTCTTTGAACTGGACAAGAAGAACAATTGGTTGCGGAGGCAGGCCATCGTAATTATTCTGCAGCAAGTCTTTGGCGATACCATTGAACGGTAGGTGTGGCCATTCCTGGAGCTCGGCAAAGACTGAGCGATGAGCAGCAAAATCCGGGAAACGCTCAAGTCGTATCTGGACGAGCCACATGTGGTCGACTATATTGGCAAATTCAAAGACGGACTCTGGCCCAGCGGACAACTGAAACCACCTTCTGCACCACGCACGGCGGAGGACAAGGTCCGCACGAGAGATGAGGCCAATCGCAAGCTCTCTGCTTTGATGCCAGGTGAGCTCGTTGCTGACGTGTTGGACGCGGTTATTGACGTATCCCCCAGACCTGGTAGCCAACATGATCGGCCGGTCCAACGCGCGTCGCGGAGCCCGACGGATATTCGCCGTGCTCCAGAACCGACGCCTCAATCAACACCTGCTGTACACCATCGTTGATGAGGTACGTATGTAGCGCGGACTCCACGGCATAGGTGCTCATAATCGACTGCAGGTGTTTGCTGCGATGTTCACAGACGCACCGTCATAATTCCATGACACCTCGTGGGCTTTCAGGTGGCTATAACGAACTTTCATGATGATACCACGGGGACCATATATTATAAATACCATTTAAAGACCTACACCCCGCTCATGTCCGTGCACTGTCATGCGTGACGGCAATATCAGGCTGTACCATCATCGAGCTCGTCGGCGCAGCAGCTTCAGAATCTACTTTGGCTGATACTTCGCTCATGACGGAGTCTTGTCTCGAACTACTCGCGGCGCCGGCGTCTAACTTCGCCTTCTTCGCCTTTTGGCGATGCGACACGACGGATTGCGCCTTGGGGTCATCGTATCTAGGCCACGACGTGAGTTCAGCAGTGCCAAGACGAAGTCATGACGGATCGTACACTTTGATCGTGTGCATAATGAACCCGCCAGAGCCGGACATGTTCATGAACGGATGCGTCCTTCCGGGGAGCACTTGGTACCTCCGTAGCCACATCTCCGTGACGGCCGCTCCAAGGTACTGAGGGAGATTCCGTAGTTGATTTTGCAGGTCGGTGACGATCTGCATGTCGGCAGTTAGTCTTGGCGTCATTGAGAATACATGGGCCCTACCTGTATGTATGGACTGTGGACGACAATATTGGCAGACCCTGCAAGATAGGGAGATAAGTTCTGTAATATCGAGAATGGGTCGTATTCGCTGGCCACGACAAGCCTAGATAACATAGTCGCCAATTCAGGAAGGAGCGTGTCTCTCAGACACGAAGCTACATACCCGTCGAATTCACCAGCAAAAAGTTCTTCTCTCGTTTGGTTGAGCGTCTCGCTGACAGCCTTACGTTTATTCAACCTTGATTTTTGGGCATCCGACTTGATCTTGCCTGCAGGCTCAGATGGTGGCGTGACTTGGCGACGTGAACACCTGCTACAGCGGGACAGTGAAGTACGACACTCACTAGGTATGTAGTCTTCATCGGCAGTTGCCCAATTTAGGGACGAGAGCACTTGGGTTACTTCCTTGGTGAAGTTCATGTGCACCAAGGCAGGGTATGCCGGTGGTGAATCAACGTCACATACTGTGATCAGTCTGCCCCTACCTGTGAGGGAGTCTCACGTATTTGATCATTTGTATGGATACGAGCACACGTACCACCAAGTCGTTCCAACATCCCTGCCACCACAATACCAGATGCGTCATCTACCGCCAGATATCTGCCCCCGGGCCGTATATTGGCTAGGTTGAGAATCTGGCCTAGCGCATCCGGCCGGATGTCTCGAAGTCTATTTTGATCCTTATTGAACCAGTAGTCACACACGTTGAACACTGTTGGGTCAACGACTGTAAATGACTTCGAGTATCTGGAGAATGTGGGTCAGGGGAGCTATGCAAGGGATGATTCAGGACGCACTTCGCCTCCTTGCGCTTCTTGTATTTCTCCTTGCTGTATTCCGTCTTCAAAGAGTAGTTGGCATGCTGCTCTATCTGCTTCTTGATAATCTCCTGCGGCGCGAATCAGCCGCTGCAATATTGCTTCCAGGTTGAATGCCAAACGCACCGATGCATGAAGACCAGATTTCTTCAGCATTTCGATTTCCTCCGAGGTCAACGGCTGGACGAATTGACCGTCGTTGATAAGCTCATTCGTCGCTTCAGTATCCTCTGCATATATAACGTCAGACCACTCAATAAGGACGTTGATGAGATTCATACCTACTTCTTGCAATGTGCGAGGGGACACGGCTTTGAGCTTCTTGTCGACGATCTCGTAGGTCAAACCAAATGGTTGGCCCACGAGTTCGTTGGCATAGAAAGACCCAAACTTCCCGAGGTTAGCAGTACTGGACCATAAGTGAGCGAACTAACTCCAATGCAAAACGAGAGAGGATCGCACGAGTCTTTCTCCAGTTTCCATGTTTTGATGTCACCGCTCGGCAATTTCAGCAGTAATGTGTTGCCCACTTGTATCGTTTCATGGCGTGTATTTTGTGGCGTTTTCGAAGGGCCCTCTTCCATATCCATGGCTGCAAGGGGTTGTCGACTGAGGGAAGGTGGACTCCGACTCAGAGGTCGCTCGAGCTTGACTGGAATCGGTCGAGCGATCTTGTCTGCATGAGGCACGTGACTCCTCCTCCGCGACTGTCCTCGACCACGAAGTGGAGATGTTCACCGACTACTTACCACCCATTCCTTCTTCAAGCTACACGACTAGAGCCCTGCGCATTCTTCTGTTAGCGGTTGCTACATATATGGCTGGGGATCTCGAGTCTGGATTGGACCAGCTGCTTACGAAACGCGAGGGAAAGCCTTGGAATGCCCTCCTACCAGACGAGCTATCGTGCTTGATTAACTCCTTCCTCCCCTCGCAACCAACATCTCTTCGGCCCAAGGCTTATATCGCCCTATCAGCAATATGCACGAAACTCAGGAAGGGATCGCCACCAGCTGGTGGGCAACAACAAGAGGGTGATCCTGGTACTGAGGCGATACGCAAGACATTTGGTCCATCTGTCGTTTCCCGACTCTCCGACACTACCGAAACGGAAGTACTCGCAGGCATGTCCTTCCTCACCGCTCTGTTTGAGGTTGACTGGCAGTCTGCTGCTGCTATTTTTGCGGATGACGGAGTACTGGAGTCGGTGACGGATGCGCTTGATCTGTTCTCGGGTTCTGCAGACGTCTCGAGGGCCGTGGCGGCTCTCCTCGCGAACGCCAGTGGGCACAAATCGTGCCGCTCCCTCTTCTCAGAGCAGCATGTCGAATGGCTTGCTACGCAATCACAGCGAACCTCGGATGACATTCTGAAAGCTTCAGCTGCCGTTGCGTTAGTCAAGCTGTCGCAAGGTGCAGGGGCAGAAGCGACCCAAGTCGAGAGCAGCGAGAAACTCGATGTTCCTGCCAGCGATGAAGAGCTGGCGAGGTTGATGAAAGGCCTTGTGGTCGATGGCCAGTCTTCATCTTTCGCCGATGCTGTCGAAGGGCTCGCCTACATGTCCACAAACCCTAAGATCAAGGAGCTATTAGCAAATGACGGACCATTCCTGTCGCGCTTGTTCTCTCTCGTCCCTCGCCGCAAAGCCGGTACGGCAGGTAGTCAAGCCCCGGAAGACATTGCTAGGTCGCCTCTGTACGGAGTGGTCGTCATCATATTCAACCTCTGTTCTTACCGACCACGCTTGACCGATGAACAGGCTCAGATCGCAAAGTTGCGACGGATGGCCAATACGCCATCGAAGAATGGGGCGGACGAGGGTAGTCCTCTGGATGACGATGAACATGTCAAGGCACGAGCTCGGAAGCTCGTCAAGCAAGGCGCGCTCGACGCTCTCGTAGCAGCGGTGCGAGCCGCAGACAGTCCCGCCGTCAGGCTCACAGCTGGGAGAACCATTCTGCATTTCGTGGAGGACAAGGAGAACCGGGGGAAGATCCTCCAAGCAGGAGGATCCAAAGCCCTCATGCTCATCATACAGAGTATTCTCCCCACCCAGAAGTCTACTACGCAGTCGTCTCAAGCACCGCATCTGGAGCCAGCCGAAATTGAGCCTATCCAGGCCCTCGCCAAGTTGGCCATCACTTCTGCGCCCGTGCAGGTGTTTGGACCCAACCAGGGTGCGCTCTTCGACGCCATTCGCCCGCTGACCCTCATGCTCGTGCACCCGGCGTCGAACCTTCTGCAGCGCTTCGAAGCGCTCATGGCCCTCACGAACCTGGCGTCCCAAGGCGGCGAGGTTGCGGACAGGGTTGCCAACGCCGACGGGCTGCTCAACAAAGTCGAGCTGCTCATGCTCGAGGACCATACCCTCGTCCGGCGCGCTGCGACGGAGCTCATATGCAACCTCGTCGGCGGCGGCGAGGAAGTGTACAACAAATTCGGCGGCGAGAAGACGGCGGCGTCGAAGTCGAAGTTGCAGGTTCTCGTCGCGCTCTGCGACGTGGAGGACTTGCAGACGCGGCTGGCGGCCTCGGGTGCGGTAGCCACGTTGATGACTTCTCCGGAGGCGTGCCAAAGTTTGTTGGAGCTCCAGCGCGAGCGCAAGCGGGTGCTGCCAGTCCTCGGGAACCTCATCGACCCTTCTATCTCTACGGCACTAGAGGAGGCCGACGACGATGGCGAACGAGACTCGACCACGCCCGATCCCGGCCTGGTACATCGCGGAGTCATTTGCATCAGGAACCTCTTCCTCTCAGTCCGGGACTCCGTTGCGCGTGCCGAGTTGGCGACGGAGGCGGAACGTGCTGGAGTAGTGCGGGCATTGGTTGGTGTCGTTCAAGCTTCCTCGACGAACCCTAACGCACCTGCGCTTCGACCAACTGCGGAGGCGTTGAAATGGCTGCTAGAGAGCGGTATCCAGATCACAGTTTGACGAAGGGACCCGCACACGCTTGGGGCCGTTGGATGATGGGAACGTAGGCGACCGGTACCATGGGGGACATCGTACGGTGGCTTCGCTGAAATTATCTAGCGTACACAACTGACTGCGATGCAACACAGGACTATGCCGATCCGATCGCCTTGCACGGTTCATGGCCTTGGGCGCGATAGGCGACGTGGGCCCCCACTGCCATGAGACGAACAACGGCCATCCGTTCGCGCGCACAGAACTATCTAATCTCGCTACAGTCCTCGATACCTTGGTTGCGTAACTTGCGCCGAGGTGAGAACGAGTCGGCATGGGGTCTACGGAGTCTGGAACAGGGGCACGCATTGGATAGGGCACACCGAGATGTCGGATTTCACACAATGCGAGTTCCGTCCACAACATTGTGCAACAATCTGCTTTGTGCTCAGTGGGCTTGCCATGTGCCGTTGGATTACCCACACCGGCCCCCGCGTCCTATACTTCAATAGCCCATCCGAGTTGAGAGAGCTAGCGCGTATGTTACGCGACTGACAGAGGTGCCTGACTGTAGAACAGCTCGCTATTCGGGCCGATGGCTTCCGTCAGCTGAAGCTCGAATGAGATCACTTGCTTCCTTGTGACGAAGCTCCTGCATTCACAATCAACACTCAGCGTCTACATGCCGGTTGAACTTCGAAACGGAGGACATGGATTCCGTTGGAGTGTGCATTCCGCACCGCGGCCGAACTTGTGGCATCTCATGATTGTCCTTATGACCTCTTGAGACGTTGCGTTCTCTGGTTATCTCTAACTAAGCATAGGTCACTTCTTACGCTCCTAGTCGGTATATTACACGGGCAGCGGCTCCGCTCGCTGAGTGTGCTTCCAGTACACCATGCCTGCCCCATCGTACATAGCCTCCTCGCTGACGGAGCTCGTTGCTATTCGAGCTAGTACGTGCTCTCCTACCTACTTACGACGACGCGCGCTCATCGTGATGTGCTTGCAGGGGACCAGCCGAACGATGTTGCGATCTATACAGGCATTGACGAACCCGGACCGCTGTTGAGACCCCTCACGTACGTCTGTCTTACGAGTGCTTACCAGTACAGTCAGGAACTAACACTCCATGTGCATCGGGCAGTTATTCGCAGGTTCAACGTGCCGTCGATCGGCTGTGCGTTCACTATGCTGGTCTTGGACTCGTGCCCCCACCTGGCAAAGACGGCATTCCGCCGCAGCGCGTCATTGCCATTCTAACCTCTACGGCGGTGGATGAATCGCTTCTAGAGATCGCCCTGGCCAAGCTGGGACTCACAGCGCTCCTACTTTCCGTCAACAACTCTGTCCCAGCAATCGCGCATCTCTGCAAGATCACCAACTCCACGCATTTGGTATACGGGGCGAAGTTCGTCGCTGAAGCGCATGACGCACAGAACATACTGGAACAGGAGGGGATTGAAATACAGATAGTCCCAGACCAACGCTACCCTATCTGGGGTCCGGGAGGCGTTGACGATGTCAAGATTGATCCTTTTCCTCCGGTGCTCAGTCCTAAAGACGAGAAGGACAGGATATGTGTGATTCTGCACTCGTCTGGATCGGTGAGCTTGGAACCTTCATACGTTGTGGCTAAAGCCAAGTGACAATCCGTTGCCCATAGACTGGTTTTCCCAAACCCGTGTACATTTCACATTTCTCTATGATTGCCAACGTCGCAGGCTTCGTCAACAAGACTGGATTCAGTGCTCTCCCCGTGTATCATGGGTTCGGGCATTACAGCGTGTAGGTGCCTCCGCAAATGTGCGAGGGCAAATCTGAACGTTGATGTCAAACACCGTAGATTCCGCTGTTATTACCCCGGCGTTCCGTTCGTCCTGTATCCGGCACACCTTCCCTTGACTTCTGCCAACATTTGCAGGGTCATCAATGCGATTCCGATCCCTTGTCCGCTATGTTTCGCCGTGCCATATGTCATCAAGGTCAGTGTGGTTCAGCTCTTCCGACAGCATATGGAAGGCTAAAGGAACATTAGCTGTTGGGAGAAACTAAGGAAGGAATCAGAGCTCTAGCAAACTTCGAGAGCATCACCTTCGCCGGAGCTGCTGTCCCCGTACGTGTGTTACTTTGTCGTAGGACTGCGCCTACTCAGACTAGATCAGGACGATCTAGGGGACCGTCTCACAGCTGCCGGGGTGAATCTGAAAGCGATCTTCGGCACAACGGAAGTAAGTGCTACGACAACGTGTGATACCCCTTGTTACTCAACCAAGCACAGACCGGGTCCATATTCTCGTCTGATCGCGACTTCGCGACCGACAAGGCATGGAATTGGTTGCGTTTACAGGGCCGTATCGTCGACTACCTCGTCATGGAGGACCGCGGATCCGGCACGTACGAGTCGGTTGTGTTGGATGGCTGGCATGCTAAGAACCAATTCAATCGTCCCGACGGATCGTATGCTACGAAGGACCTATTCGTTAGGCACTCTGAAACGCCCAACTGGTACAAATATATCGGACGGTTGGACGATACCCTAGTGCAGGTGCTCGGAGAGAAGACGAATCCAGGTTGGTGCCCACAACAGATTATGTTACTGTACGAAGTTGACACTTGATCCCAGTTCCCATCGAGCTTGCCATTCAGGGCAACAGCCCATACGTAGAGCAGTGTATTGTCTTCGGCGCAGGAAGGCCCCAGATTGGTTGCCTGTTGTTGCCGTCGGAAACGGCAAAGGACCTCTGGAAGGATCGCGATGCATATATGGAGAAGGTCTGGTCGGTAATCGAAGACGCCAACGCACAAGCTCCCACGCATTCTCGAATCCTGCCAGAGATGGTACAAATCCTTGAGTAAGTACGCAGCGTTGCACTACGGTACACGCTACTCACAATCGGGCACATCAGGTACGGCACGCAGATCCCTCAGGCCACAAAGCTATCCTTCCTCAGACCTGCCTGCTACGCGAAGTTCAAGGATGTCATAGGTAATCACAAATTCCATAACGTCCTGTATTTACGACTGACGTGTTCCAGATGCCGTATATGATCGCTTCGAGAACGGTTCCAGCGCAAACAAGCTAGACTTAACTCAATCAGGGCTAGAAGACTTCATATTCAATGCAATTACGCAGACCTTGGGCTCGACCAAGTCAGCGAAGCTCACGAAGACATCCGATCTTTTCGCCTTCGGTGTCGACTCGTTGCAAGCCACTCGGATACGGAACATCTGCCAGAAGGAGCTAGAGTTGGATGGCCTGACCCTGGGACAGAACGGTAAGTCGCTGAATACAGCGATGAGCCCATCAGCTGAAGTACCTTGGTTGGTGCAGTGGTCTACGAGAACCCTTCAGTGGAGAAGTAAGTCTTTCTTGCAATTATACGCGACAACAAGGACGCTTACGCTTCAAATTTGTCCAGGTTGGCCGCGTTCATCATTGCACTGCGTTCTGGAGCCGGGGAGGACCAGTCTGTCGAAGACGACCACGCCGCAATGTGGGCCATGGTCGACAAGTGGGCTTCGAACTTTGTGCAGCGAGCACAACAACAGACTACGCAACCCACAAGCTCTGCGTCACAGGTCATTGTGAGCATAATCGAGTCATACCGATCGACTGTACATCCGCTCGAGCTCACGGACGTCAGGTTCTCACTGGAGCCACGGGATCGCTCGGTGCCCACATCCTGCACCAGCTTGTCTCTGCGCCGTCTGTGGAGCGGGTGATCTGCCTGTCTCGCGCGAAATCGAACGAGGACTCTGTCATTCGGCTCCAGGAGTCTCTCCGGTCTCGTCAACTGCAGCTTTCAGACGCGCAATGGAAGAAGGTTGAGTCGTTCGCTGCGGACGTCAACGACGACCGTTTGGGCCTATCGCCTGCGGACTACGAACACATCGTATCTCGAGCAACTGCCGTGGTCCACGTACGTGATTGCATTCCTGTGTAGGGACATTCACATCCTGACGTTTGTGTTTAGAACGCATGGCCCGTGAACTTTAACATGAGTCTCGACTCATATGACGCGCACGTTGGGGGCGCTCTGAACCTCATCAACCTCTGCCTTCGATCCCCGAAGGCACAGCCGCCTTCGTTCCACTTCAGTTCGTCGATTGCTGCCGTGACAGGCAGTACAGATCCTGTCTGCAACGAGGACTTCCCATCGTCTGCCGCGACTGCGCTTCCGACGGGCTACGGGCGGAGTAAATGGGTTGTTGAGAAGTTGGCCGAGAGGGCTGTTCGAGCTACGCCTCTGCATGTAGGGATCTTGCGCATTGGGCAGCTCGTCGGGGACACCCACAGGTACGGCGACAGACGGACTGAGTTGTGCAGGTATTGACCACAGTGTCTGTAGCGGCGTCTGGAACGAGACTGAGTCTTGGCCTCTGATGTTCAAAGCAACAGAGAGTACAGGAGCGCTTCCCACCTTCCTGCAGGTCAGCGAAGGCCCTTACATTATAATTTCCTGGATTTTGACGTCTTCTCTCTGCAGAACCCGCAATGGCTGCCTGTCAACATCGCAGGTCGTGCCATCGCTGAGATTGCCACCCGCTCCGAGCCACCGAAAGCTGCGGTATACCACATTGTTAACCCCAACAAGACTAGTGGATGGGACGTCATCGTCGCTGGCCTCAAGAGGGCTGGCGTAAAGTTCGATGTGGTCAGCCGCTCGGAGTGGCTGGACCGTTTGGCAAAGTCGGACCCTGACGGCGAGCGCAACCCAGCGGTCAAGCTTCTGGTGAGTGATCCGGTGCGTCATTGAACCGCTGAAGCTGATTATTGCGTAGCCATACTACCGCACTCGGTTCGGAAAGCCGACCGAGAGTACTCCCATGGACTTCCGTGTCGAGACGACTTGCGGCATCGCTCAGAGCCTCGCCAGCTCTCCTGCAATCTCAGAGGATCTCGTCGAGAAATGGGTACAGCACTGGCGCGAGGTTGGCTTCCTGGGTAGATCGTAGATGGTATCCGCCGTAGATCATACATGAGTAGTTGCTCACCTCCACAAGCGACGAGAGGTCAATTGTCTTGCAAACATCCTGTGCTATATGCATTACATACGTCGCTGCTTTGAGAATTGTGCCTCACCACTATGTGAACCCCGACGAGGGATTTCGAAGCATATCTATCGCTCGACTGCGAGTCGGGCCTGCACTGCACGTTCCGCAGTCGTGACATTCGGTAGGGTCTCCCGCACACCCTCATATAGAGAGGTTTTCAGCCATACGCGGAGGTGGGCCTAAAGTGAAGAAAGGAAGTACAATTGAGTCTGAGTGAGAGAAGCATGGGGGAGGCAGACGAAGTTGCGGACCGCGCTATCCGCGGCAGGCCGCAGCGCGCGATCGTGAGTCGTAAACGCGCACCGACCTCGGGTCGCATTCCTCACCATCTAACGACGACGACGACGACGTTCTCTGCTTCTACGCTATCAACTCTACACACGACATCTTAAGTGAACAGGTCCTCGTTGTACGCGCTTACCAAACCGCGCGCACACCCACACCTGGCCGCAACCACACCTTGTCCGCGTTGCAACGTCCTGGGTTGTACATCTCGACGGGAGGAGTAATCTAGGCACAACATGGTCAGTACTCTGGAACGCTACGTGTTACTGTATCTTCATCCTACGCATGAGCAGGCACCGTCCAAGAAGGCTGGCAAGAAGGTCGCTGCAACGCCCAAGAAGGGCGGCGGCGCTGCCAAAGTAGCCAAGGTACGGCTATGGACCACGATTGCGTCCTGAACGGCGGTCCCTTGACGCAATTATAGGCGGATTGGAAGGAAGGTTTCAAGAAGAAACAAGTCGGGGTCTCTGATATGACCCTGTTGACCACTATCACCAACGAGGCGATCAACGAGAACCTGCAGAAGCGGTGGACCAACGGCGAAATCTACACCTATATCGGCTCTGTGCTGATATCTGTGAACCCCTTCAGAGGTGCGTTGCGTTGTGCTCACTGCCAGTCGCGCAATTGACGCAGTTTACCAAGATCTCGGCATCTACACGGACGAGGTCCTTCAGAGGTACAAGGGCAAGAACAGGCTAGAGGTGCCTCCACATGTGTTCGGTATTGCCGAGTCGGCGTATTACAACATGAACGCGTACCACGAGAACCAATGTGTCATTATCTCAGGCGAGTCCGGTGCCGGCAAGACGGAGGCAGCGAAGCGTATCATGCAGTACATCGCCGCTGTATCCGGTGGCCACGACAGCAGTATCCAGGAGATCAAGGACATGGTGCTCGCTACGAATCCTTTGCTAGAGAGCTTTGGATGTGCAAAGACGTTGAGGAACAACAACTCTAGTCGTCACGTATGTGAGCCCCTCATCGGACGTTCTTGTAGCTCAATGTTACGCAGGGCAAATATCTCGAAATCATGTTCAACGACCACGGAGAGCCAATCGGTGCCCAGATCACAAATTATCTACTTGAGAAGGGTCGTGTGGTTGGCCAAGTCGAGAACGAGCGGAACTTCCACATATTCTACCAGTTTACTAAAGGCGCATCTCCGGAGCAGCGAGGTCAGTCCACGTCTTTCTTGGCGAGCATAGGTGATTGATCCCTGTTCAGAGGCGTACGGATTGCAAGGTCCCGAGGCGTACGCATACACGAGCCTGAGTAACTGTCTGGAAGTCGGTGGTATCGATGATGTGGAGGACTTCAGCGAGACGATCGTGAGCTACATCCCTTATGCAATCGACATGTTACTGACCACCTCATAGAAAGCCATGCAAGTCATCGGTCTGAGCGACTACGAGCAGTCGGAAATCTTCCGTATGCTTGCCGTTATCCTCTGGCTCGGCAACATCCAGTTCCAGGAGGATGACAGTGGGAACTCGGCGATCGCTGACACTGGTGTGACCGATTTCGTTGCGTACCTCTTGGAAGTGGATGGGGCTCTCGTAGAGAAGGCCATGACGATCAAAGTCATGGAGACTCAGCGAGGTGGCAGGCGTGGTTCTATCTATGATGTCCCTTTGAACCCCTCACAGGCGACCTCTGGAAGAGATGCACTGGCCAAGGCCATCTATAACAACCTCTTTGAATGGATAGTGTCCAGGATCAATGCGTCGATGAAGCCACGAAGCGCGACTGCGCAGCTGATCGGCATCTTGGTATGCAGTTCGCTTTTCCAGTTGCGACTGTTCTGCTGAATGACCATGCATAGGATATCTTCGGCTTTGAGATCTTCGAGGTACGTCCTATGTAGCCAGATACAGGAGCGGGTATCTGATATGGACGTCTGCAGGACAACTCATTCGAACAACTGTGCATCAACTACGTCAACGAGAAGCTGCAACAGATCTTCATCGAGCTGACGCTCAAGACGGAACAAGAAGAATACGTCCGTGAACAGATCAAGTGGACGCCCATCAAGTACTTCAACAACAAGATCGTATGCGACCTCATTGAGGAGAAGCGGCCCCCAGGTATTTTTGCAGCACTGAACGATGCCTGCGCCACCGCGCACGCAGACCCGACCGCAGCCGACAACAGCTTCATCCAGCGGACGGCAGCCCTCGCGAGCAACGCGCACTTCGAGGCGCGTGGCGCGCAGTTCCTGGTCAAGCACTACGCCGGAGACGTCATGTACAACGTGGCGGGCATGACGGACAAGAACAAGGATGTGCTCGTGAAGGACTTGCTGGACCTCGTCGGTGGCAGTGGCAACCAGTTCTTGCAGGGCCTCTTCCCGGATCGGCCGGATCCGAACAGCAAGAGGAGACCTCCTACTGCGGGCGATAGGATCAAGGTGAGTTCGGCGTTCCAGCTAGCATTTCGTCGCTAAATTTGTGGAAGGCCTCCGCCGGTGCGCTTGTCGAGAACCTCATGCGCGCCCAGCCCTCGTATATCCGTACGATCAAGCCGAACCAGAACCGCAGTGCGACCGAGTACGACACGAAGGCGGTCTTGCATCAGGTGAAGTACCTCGGTCTGCAGGAGAACATCCGCGTGCGGAGAGCAGGGTTCGCGTACCGAAATACATTCGAGAAGATGGTGGAGCGTTTCTACCTGCTTTCGCCCGCTACCTCTTACGCGGGAGAGTACACATGGCAAGGCGATGCGAAGTCGGGATGCGAGCGGATACTCGTCGACACTGGGATCGCAAAGGAGGAGTGGCAGATGGGTGTGACGAAGGCTTTCATCAAGAATCCCGAGACGGTACGTCGTGTCCGCAGAAGACTCGAGAGCGGAATGTGGCTGAACAGTGTTATGCATAGCTCTTCGCTTTGGAGACCATGCGTGATCGCTACTGGCATAACATGGCTGGCCGTATCCAGCGGGCATGGCGGAACTACATGCGCTACAGGCACGAGTGTGCACGGCGCATCCAGCGGTTCTGGAAAAACAACAAGGAGGCGATCGAGTATGCAAGGACCCGGGACTACGGCCACCAGATCTTGGCGGGCAGGAAGGAGCGCAGGCGGTTCAGTCTTCTGAGCTACCGGCGGTTCTTGGGCGATTATTTGTATGTCAATGACAAGACCCCCTTGGGCGAGGAACTTTCGGCTGCTTGCGGCATTGGGAGTATGTCTCCGAAATTTGTCTTCTGTGCCGTGTTGATGCTGATGGGCTTGTAGACGAGAATGTGACGTTCAGCTCAAGATGCGAGATCTTGGTCTCCAAAACCGGTCGCTCAAGTAAACCAAGTCCACGCTTCCTTCTTCTGGTATATTGTATATCCACAAAATCGCAGCGGATATCATACTGACTAGCATCCGCATCACAGACACAGAAAGCAGTGCACATCGTAGTCGCTCAATCTAAAGATGGACAAGTTCAGTACTCCTTGGAGCGTAAGATCCCTCTGGTGACCATCAAGAGCGTCTCAATGTCGAACATGCGGGACGACTGGCTGGTATGTTGCCATGGTATCACACCTTGAAGACCTTGTGTCTGACTGCTTTCAGGTATTGAATCTCGGTCCCACTGAGGAGGGTGACCCCCTCATCAGCTGTATCTTCAAGACCGAGCTCTGCACACACATGCTGCAATTGACGTCGGGTAGTATCAACATCACAATTGAACCAGTGTAGGTGTGCCCCACCTTTGCCGATACAGTAGTTTATGATTTCTCCAGCATCGAGTATATCAAGAAGAAAGAGAAGAAGGCACAGGTCAAGTTCATCAAAGACGAGACTGTCGCGAGAGACGACGTCTACAAGAGCCACACAGTGCATGTACCTTCGGGCGAACCACCAGGCAGCCTGTCTCGTCCTCCTGCGAAACGCAAGGCTGGTGTTGTTCGGCCCATTACGCAGGGCAAGCTGCTGCGGAAAGGGGGCCCGTCAGATGTGAGCCACATCTCAATTGACGTCTCGAGGAGCGCTGACGCCAGCATACTGCACTTGCAGAAACCAGCTGCGTCACGACCAAAGCCTGCAGCACGACCATTACCGGGCAAGTCGACTCCCGCAGTAGCTGTGAAGCCGAGCAATCCGTCCACCGCATCTAACGTACCCGCTGCACCGCCGCCACCGCCTGCTCGACATAACGCGCCGCCACCCCCACCGCCCGAACCCGACGTGGACATGTACCGTGCCAAGTTCGCGTTCGAGGGCCAGCAGGGCGAGATGTCACTAAAGAAGGATGACCTCGTCGAGCTGGTCGAGAAGGATGACAACGGCTGGTGGCTCGTGAAGAAGGACGGCGCCGAAGGCTGGACACCCAGCAACTACCTCGAGCTCGTCCCGCCAAAGCCCAAGGCTGCACCCGCTCCTCCGCCACCTCCCCCTGCTGGACGCCGCCTGCCCCCGACTGCGCCCGCCGCACCTGCAGCCCCAGCTGCCCCCAAAGTCTCCGCGAAGTCGATCGTCGCCGACCCCTCCGCGAAGCCCATGGCGGTCTTCCCCGGGATGATGCCCGCGAACGGGTCCGCCGCGCCCTGGAAGAAGACCGCGTCGACGGGGACAAATGGCTCGTCAAACGACACGACGCCGACCAGCTCGCGCCCCGTCAGCTCGCTCGCGTCCAAGGCACCGCCGCCCGCGCCGAAGCCGAAGCCGGGTCCTCCGCCGTTGGCGGCGAAACCAGGTGCGGCTGCGCCCCCGAGGGTGGGCGGAAAGCCGCAGGTGCCGACGGCGTCGAGGCCGCCTGCGGCACCGCCGAAGCCCAAGGCTGGAGGCCTGGGGAAGCCTTCCGCGCCGACGGGACAGCTGGACTTGGCTGCTGTGGTAAGTGGCTTTCAGACAAACGCAAATTCAGATTGACACGGTGTTCGTAGATGGCGAAGCGTGCACAACAGATGGGGTAGAGAATGGCGGCAAAGAGTTGTCGCTTGGCGCGGACGATACTGTAGGAACCTAGGGATATGTATATCTACAACACCTGTGATAGAATGATGAGCATTGACGACAAACGACACATCCATGGGAGATCCCAGACTGAATAACTGAACATTATCGGGCCAGTAAAATCCGATCATTGGGAGAGCGGTGCATTGCGATTAGTGAGACGTAGTACTACGGGACACTATTGGACAATATGCATAGCAATGAGTAGACATCTATGGGGAGCATGCGAGGGTCGTGAGGTCGTGATGGACGTGACGTTCAGACTGCTATCAGTGTTCGAGTTCGGATAGGAGAACGGAAGCACAGCTTGAAACCTAGCGTTCACTGGGTCTTCACCTTCGCACCCGCGACGCGCTGGAGGTATGGCACCCCGAGCTTGGAGTAGATGCTGAAGTTGCGGTGGTCGTCCTTGATGCATAGCGTCCTGTAGAAGAGAACACGTTCGTCAGTGCGGGAAAGGCCCAGGGACGCACCAAGGACAGCGTATCGGTGATCTGCCCCTTTGGTCGCGAAGACCTACATATCTGGTTACAGCGATGAGCGGTCAGAAGCGCGTGATAGCGAGTGGGGTGGCTTACATGTGTTTCCTACGAGCATGAGGTAGGTGCCGGTAGCCTAGGGCGGGCGGGCGAACGTGCGCGTCAGTGGACATGCGCCGGTGCTATCAGCGTGGCGGTACTGACCGTCAGTATGTGCCACCACGAGTGGCCTGAGCGCGTCGGAGGATCAGTCAATCAGTTTGACCCCACATCGGGAGGGCGCACAACAGATGGGGGCGCACCTTCCAATACGAACGCAGCGGGCCAGCCCAGCGCGTGTTTCCAGCGGGTGATGGTGTCGCAGAAGATGTTGTCGAGGTTCCAGATGAAGAAGCCGAACGCGAACGTCGCGGCGCCGCCGCCGAAGAGACGTGTGATGGCAGCCTTCACGGGCGGTGGGACCCGCTTCGCGATCTCTGGGTTGCGCAGGAGGTAGACGGTACGCAGGCCCGTGATGGCGAGCAGCCCCGCAAAGACAACCTGGTGGTAGACCGGGTTCCGGTTAATGTAACTGGGCGCGGTGTCAGTGGGCGCGTCGCGTTCTATGTATAGGTGCAGCGCGGGAAGGAGACGCACTAGGACCAGGTGAAGAGCACGTTGAAGGTCATGACGCCGACGGCGAGGGGGACAACGAGCGGATCGCGGGGGGTGAAGCCGCGCGTGGTGTCGAAGAGGACGGCAAAGCAGTAGGACGCGACGTAGATCATCGGCAGCTCGTCGGCGAGCTGCGCCTCGTACAGGAGAGTAGCATGGAAAATGAAGCTGCCCACTCCGACGAGTGCAAAGCCCTGGGCGGTGTCAGAAAGGGAACTTCACTGGCAGACGCGTCGGGCGCACTCACCACCTGGCCAACAAAGAACCGCGGAGGCAGAGACTGTGCATACGCCTGGTACGCACCCAAGAGAGCGAGCGAGACTGTAAATAGGTTTGAGAATGTGTTCGCAGCCTCGGCGATGTAATTGGAGAACTGGTAGTTCGCCTGGGAAGTCGCCCGCGATGAGCTCGGGCCGGAGATGGAGGACGGGAAGATCGCTCACCTCGCACCAGTCGAGGGTCGCGGTGACAGGGCCCCAGAACTGCAGCGGATTGGCGTGGGCGAGGGTGCTGTTGGAGAGCACGCTGGACACACTCATCGTGGTCAGAAACGAAGATCACCAAACCAGCCACTGAGCCACAATCCCTGCCCACCAGCCTATCTATGGTCCTCCGAGTTCTTCCATTCAATCATCAAACTGCTGACACCGGTCTTATAGCTCAGTGGTAGAGCATACGATTGCAGCGTGCGTCACGTGACCTATCGTAGGGCCCCGTGTTCGAACCACGGTGAGACCTTACTTTTGCACCACGTCGGTCAAGGTCAAAGAAGTTACACAGTTGCTCCGTCGTCTGAATATTTTCACAAATGCCTCACTCCTCGAGCCTCCAAAATGTGTGCATAACTACCCATTGGTGTACTGTCCGGTCTTTCCTTTGTATTGCGCGAGCTTGAGAGGCTCCGCAAACCGGGCGAGATTCCGGCCCGATACGGTGCGTAGCTCGTCTTGCCGTTTGGCGGAGTGGCAGGGTGCACCGTGCGGTCATATGCACAGGTGTGCTTAGTGGTACTCGCTCTACGACCTCGTCTCTCGTTCCACCACGCCCTTCATGCGACGAGCACCATCCTCTCTCCTCCGGAGCAGTCTCAGACGACAACGACGGGCCTATTCAGTCCTTACAGATCCCAATCCGCCTGTGAAGATCACGACGCTGCCCAACAAAATCCGTGTCGCGACAGAGTCTACTCCTGGGCACTTCTCGGCAGTAGGCCTCTACGTTGACGCAGGCTCTCGGTATGAGACACCGTCCACGTCGGGCGTGAGCCATTTCTTGGACAGGATGGCCTTCAAGGTGCGTACTGCGTGCTGCAATGTCGATAGCCGTTTACCCATGTCACACAGACCACCACCTCTCGGTCAGACGAGGAGATGGCGCATGCCATTGACAGACTCGGCGGCCAGATTTTGTGCTCGTCTTCGCGAGAGTCCATCATGTATCAGTCCTCGCACTTCCACCAAGCGACTCCTCTTGCGCTGTCGCTCATCGCAGACACAGCATTGCAGCCGGCCTTCCTTCCCGAGGAGATTGATGCACAGCGAGAGGCTGCCCGCTACGAGATCAGAGAGGTGACCGCAAAGCCAGAGATGATCCTCCCGGAGATCCTCCACGAGGTCGCATACGATCAAAACACACTGGGGAACCCACTGCTATGCCCCGAGCACCGCATCGACCTCATTGACCAGCCAACCATGAAGGGCTTCATGACGCAGTGGTACCGACCAGAGCGCATGGTCATTGCAGGAGCGGGTATGCCGCACGAAGAGCTAGTCGAGCTTGCGGACAAGTATTTCTCGTCATTACAGGCCGCGCCTGCCCTCGCACCGTCAGCGACATCATCACGGACGGCCGCACAGCAAGCACCGTCGCAGCTCCTCCACTCCTCCTCGACACCCTCTCCACTCAAATCGCTCACTCGCGCAGCATCATCATATCTCTACCCCATGACCAGCGTCACCGGTGCTGACGCCGCACTAATTCCGGAGTCGACGGAGGCAACCTACACCGGCGGCTCGCGCTTCATCCACAGCCCCTCGTCCGAGTTCAACCACGTCTATCTTGCATTTGAGGGCGTCGGCATTCACGATGACGATGTCTACGCGCTCGCGACGATACAGGTCCTCCTCGGCGGTGGCGGGAGCTTCTCCGCAGGCGGCCCGGGCAAGGGCATGTACTCGCGGCTCTACACGCACATCCTGAACCACTACCCGCAGATCGACCACTGCGCGTCCTTCCACCACATCTACACCGACTCGTCGCTTTTCGGGCTCTTCGCGTCGTTCGTGCCCGCTGTGGGTCGCCACTCCGCGGGCAACACACCCTCGCAGATCTTCCCGCACCTCGCGCACCAGCTCTCACTCCTTCTTTACACGCCCATCAGCGAGACGGAGCTCCAGCGCGCGAAAAACCAGCTCAAGAGCAGCCTTATGATGGCGCTCGAGAGCCGTGCCGTCGAGGTGGAGGACCTCGGCCGCCAGGTGCTCGTGCACAATCGCAAGGTCCCCGTCAGCGAGATGTGCGCCAAGATTGACGCGGTCAACCCAAAGTCGCTGCGCGCTGTCGCGCAGAGGATCTTCAGCCCGGAGCAGGCGAAGCGCGCGACCGTCGTTGTCATGGGCCGCGAGGACTTGCCCGACAGGGATGCGACGTTGAGGAAGTATGGCGTCGGAGGTGCGGCGTGAGGGATGGGTCTCATGGGTCGCGTATCGTATCATGCTATCAGTACAATATTGAATTAATACACCACACACATCATGCGTACAGTTGCAGAGCAAAGCTTGAGCGAGAGCGCAATAGAGCAATAAGGAACGCATAAATTACGTGCAGTAGGGCGTGTACTGGCGGGCTATGGCTTGACCCTCTGGAATCGCGTGCTCTTCGTGGTGTTGAAGTAGACCATGGCGCCGATGTCAGGCTCCATCCATGCTGTCTTGTGCGACGGCATAACGCTGGAGACCTGGAACGTTTGTGGTTACTGCTGGTACGTCTTATAATGATGCGATGATACACACGATATATCTCTCGCCCTCCGTGAATTGCCCAGGCTTACCGCCTTCGGTCTGCACATAGTTCAGGATGTCCCAGATGTGTAGCTGGCCCATGCGCAGAGGCTCCCGCTTCGACCAACGTGCGTCCTTTACGACAATGACCCGGAAGCTCCGCGAATCGCGCGGAGGGTAGTCCGCCTACAATCCCTTAGTCATGTTGGGCTCCAGTCCACCGACAGACTGGACGCACCTCCAGCTCTTTGCCAATATCCTCGGACAGGTCCTCTCTCGCCTTGGCAATCGCATGGCGAGCATGAAACGCGAGCCATCCCGCACGGTCGGTCGTCAGCTCTTTCTTCACTTGAGCAAAGGTCGCTGGTTCGTCCACGAGCGTGAGCCACTGATCTTCGGCGTCTGCGGATACTGAGAGGGTGGTCGGTCAGTCGGGGTCGCAGCATTGCGCATATATGCGGGTAACGCACAATGATCATTCGCATCGGTGGGTTGCCATCCTGAACCGGAGCGGGCTTCGAACGTCTCCGCCCAGCCTTGCCACCGATAAATCTTGACGTCGTATTCATCGCGGATTTTCTGCGCCGCTGCTTCTCGTTGTGCCTTCACGACGTAGCGTCAGACTAAGCCTCTCATGCGGGGATCCGACCAAGCGCACCCTCCATCTGTCCTGGGCTTCCAACTCTTCCTTCTCGTTCAGAATGCCGAGACACTCCTTCATACCGTCTCGTGTGGTGTTGAACTCTGTATAGGCGATAGGATATACCTGTGAAAGAGCGCTGTATTAGTGCACGGACGACCCGCCCAAAGATCCTGCCTACCCTCTCGACCGTGACGTCTAGCAAAGTCACCAGCCCGCCATCGGCCGTCAAGCGGTCCAGCGTGGCGACCATGGGATGGTGCATGAACCCTAGCTTAGCGTGCCATGGAGCCAGGTGGCAAGAGTTTCCGCAGATCTGGAGGTTCATCTGTGTATACGCCTCGAGCGGTTCTGCAGGCTCTCTCCCTTCCTTATGCATGAGCTACTAATTTAGTCAGCATACACGATAATAATATGAAATGAACAGTGTGGCTACCCGCGCGTTCTGGATTGCGAGCTTTCGCCCCACTCGAATATGGCCGCTGTTGATAGCTCGCTCAATTGGGTCGTCCACTGCGACGCGGATACGATACCATCCGTCGGTCACCTCAACGTTAGCCCAACGATCACTGGTGCTTCCGTGCTCATCCCTTGGCCCATTGTGCCAAGTAATGTTCGTCACGCATAGGATCATGGGGCAAGTCGCCGGCGCGTCGTGCGTAGTGATGAGCCGTAACGGGGGACGACTGCTCGAGTTAAGCTCACGCTCATATCTGAGGACATATTAGAACATTCGCAGAGGAGTGTCGAATCACTGAACAAATACCGATAGAGCAGCTGGTTGACGACTTCTTTCCAACACCATCGCCGCGTGGCAGGGTTGGCCTCGAGCTGAGGTTGCAGGCAGACCATCCCCGCGAGCTTCCATAGTATTAATGACCAGTGGTTGTTGACCCATTCTTGGGTCGCGAGATCGCAGCCAGTGTCACGTAGATCCTCAAGAGCAGCGTCCGCACCCAGTATAAGGGACTCGCCTAGAAGAGACGACGCGTTGTGCGAGGACCTTGAGTTAAATCTGTAGAACAGTGCGTTGTCGGGCGTCAGCTGCTTGAGGCTATCATAGTTACTGCGAGACGAGGAATCAATATGCATCGCCGCACTGCACCAGAAGTTACCTACTTTCCGACCATGTGGGACAATTCGACTTCGTCGTACATTTGGGGACGCAGCCCGCTCGATTCAAGTGTTTGCCTACTCTCCGACTTCGCTACGGGAGTGTGTCAGTCCTGAAGGTTAGCCGCAGGGCGACTTACTTACTGAGATCAAAGAAGGTGGCCTTTCGCGGGGCCTTATCAATATGACGCGCCGGTTTAGCGTTCCCAATCACAGTGACACTAGTTTTCTGAGATGCCTCCGACATCTTTTGCTCGAGGTCCAGGCGACCAGATTCTCCAGGCTTCATGCCAGCCTTGAATGGGGTCACGAACTGTGGTTTGCCAGCAGCCGAGCTGAATCCTAATCGCCGGGGAGTAAGCCCTAGACTCTTGCTGGGTGTCGTGGTCCTTGGAACTAATGGCATGAAGGATGACGTTCCAGGACGAGTAGGCGTCGCAAAAGCCGGTGGCAGCTTCGAAGTAGACGCAATGGTGTTCGGGTTCAGCGGCGAATTGACGTACGATGTTCCCGCAGCAGTCCTAGGCGTTGCTACAGGGCGTGTGAGTAGCGGCGACTTGAATCCCTTGTTCCTCCCTAGGGCGGGAAGTTTACTCGACAAGTTACTCGCTCGACCAAAGCCTGACCCGGCAGGAGTTGGACTGTCCGGTGCGCCACTCGCGGGCGCGAAGGAGTTCTCCAGCATACGCAGCGCCGGTCGTCCGAATCCGCCTCCTTCAAGCGTTCCGCCACCTTCTGGAGGCTCAGGAATAGATGGGTCCGACGTAAAATCTGACCCCATTTCTGCCTCCCATGTCTTCAACTTCGCAGCCGCGCGAGCGAGGGCTTCAGCAGATGGCTTCGCCCAATCTTGTAGCACGGTTCCGCTCTGCATACTATGCACGTAGTTGGCGGCAGAGTTGAACCCGGAGATAGTCGGCGCTTCTGCATTGACTTGCGACATGGGCGGTCCGCGCTCCTCGTTAAAGATGATGCGACAGGATGTGAAACTCGGGAGAGCGTTCAAGGCTGGATCTAGCAGCACGGGTGGGTCGTCGACAGGCCGCGGGGGTTTGATCGCTCTTGCTGGTTGGAAACCGGTCGCCGCCCCCTCTGGAATCTTCGCAGAGAACCAGTCTGCATAGTCTTGATCTTCCGGTACGTCCGGAGATGACGTTGGTTGCTTGTCGGTGTCATGATTGAACGAGTTATTGTCAATATTTGCAGCAGAAGTGAAGCCGAACCCATGATATTTAGCGGGTGTATGCGTCGTCTGTGCCAAGTCCTCATGAGTATCGTCTCCACTATCCGTCGCGGCCACCCGTGAGGCGGATACAAAGCCGGAGAACCGAGGAAAATCAGCTGCTCCTACACCGTCAACTTGCGATCGTTCATCCGGGGGAGGTGGAGGAGCAAGCGCATCTGATCAGCGTGAGTGCGAGCGAAGCCAATCCTGGTATGAAACCTCACCATCAAGGCTGGCCTGTCTTTCTAAAGATATCCGTTTCTTCCTACTCTGCGTTTCCCACTCATCCAAGCTATCCGCTATTTCCTTGTTTCTGCGTCTCTTGACCTCTATGGGGTCCTGGGGAACAGGTGACGGACGGCGTCCTGCGTATTGGCTGGACTCAAATTCGTCGAAGGCTTCGAGCTCTTGCTGGCTCATATCAATTTGCTCGTCATAAGTGGGAGAGGAAAGCCTGTGGCGCGACTCGGCTGGTGAAGGTGATCGTGAACCTGTCGCGCGACCATCAATCATCAGTAAGAAAGGGGAATGTCAGCGCACTCTGGGCATACATTGCATCTGTACTTCCTCGGTCTTTTGTAGTAGTTCCTGTAACAGACGCAGGATGTAGGGTGGTCAATCCTGTGAGTTGAGCAGGGTTTGCAACGACGTGCACCAGAGCGTGGTACCGGTGCAGATTAGACGCACGTCGACGCGACGCGTTATGTTTCCACGTGATCGACGCGACGATCACATGCAGATCCTCGCATTGCGCGCCGCGGCAATAGCCGTAGCGCGCAGTGGCGCAGTGCGCACTGCCCAACTCAAGCTGTCTGACTCTCAGTGTCTCAGTCTGACCGGCGCACACTGGTACGCTGAGGGTAACCTGGCCTCTCTCGGGATCCTCATGTAAGCTGGACTTACTCGCTATCTACATTGATGTTTAGACTAGGCGAAACCGGACCCGCGGTCTAAGTATCACCAATAATTAGTGCAGCACTCTGGAAATTGAGCAAGACACCTTCACCGTGACCTCGAAAGGCACTTTCTACCGCCTGCTTCACTCTCAACCGTCGGCTTCTCCTTGAAGACAGAAACGCGGCAAGAACATCGTAATGTGACCATTTACCTGAGAACATGACACATAGGTCCGAGGTGAGGTCGTATGGGGGATCCTACTTCGACATCGCTCAGAAATGTGTGAAGAGTATGTACCACGCGAAGGTGCGCTGACTCTCACTTCACATATGTCAGAGCTGGCCATACTGCTCGCGCCATCAAGAGGATTGACTTCAAGGATATCATCGGCATATTTTCTGAAGAACAGTTTGACTCGTGCAACTCCAACAACCTGCCTGACTTCGCTGTCGTGATTGTGCATACTCATTAATCATTTCCCGTCACTTCAGACAATGATTGACCAGGCTTTCTGTAGTGCGCCATCGGCGAGTCGACTATGCCAGCTGTCGACACAAGTCAATGAATTCGAGGCGAGCTTCAGGCGACCGAAGTGGTTTGGACAAATCCACCTACGTTCACTCGATGCTCATATACGACCGCCCTCCTCCCCCACGAAAAGGTCGTGTTTAGACTCTGCCTAGGGGAGACTAACTCGATGCAAAGGCCGAGCCGCTCTGCGGTACATATGAACTGTCTCGCCGCAGAAGAGGACCGCATGGCCCTTCGAGCCGCACTCCGCAGTGTGACCCGCGCAGTTGCCTACCAGCTACGCGAAGGGAGGTACCCTCTGCGAGGCGTCCAGGTCCCCAAGATCTCGAGCGAGGTAGCGTTGGACGACATCGATAAGTACTCGGACACTATGCATCACTACTCGAGCATTTGTCGCATGGCTTCTGAAGACGACGAGCGTCCGGGCGTTGTGGATGACGGCTGCGCGTGCATGGCATTCGCAAGCTGCGCATTGCAAATGCTAGCGTATATGCCAAGTCCCCTCCCGTTCATCCGCAGGCCGTCGTGTACGCCGTCGCCGAGGAATGTGCTGACCTTATGCAACAGACGGCCGGTCCTGCGGAGTCAGCGTAGACTCAGCCGTTGGTGGTGATGAAAGGAGGATTGACCCGTTGGTTGCATCATCGAAGTAGCATGCGCACTCTTGCGAATCGCGGCATTCTTGCCCACGGCTACACTGCATAGTTCTACTTGTTTGATGTTCCACGCTACAAGCATTGTATGTGCCGTACCATTTGCCTTCGCCTGTCACTGTTCCTCCGACCCCGCTTTCCATATCAACGAGTCCAAGAGATAAAGTGGCAATGCACGAGAGAATATCAGTTGCGGCTCCGAGTCATTCGAGCGACGCATTCGCCGGGGTCAGAGGTCGCGCGATGATCACGACACCGCGTCCCGTCCGCGTCGCATCGGCCCTGCGCGCCCGGAGAGGTACCCGGAGTCGTCGCGCACGATCGCCACATTAGTCTGACCAAGTCTGACTCAGGTCACCGGGACTCGCCAGGGCGCTCGGTAGCTACTCTCACCTATTCGGCCAGCGGCAGTCTCCTAGACCCATGAGTTCGAGTGCAACACCAGTCAAGGGCCGCCCACTCAGCACGGCCCAGGGTTTCCTCTGTGGCGGCGCGGCGGCATGCGTGGCGGTATGCGACGAGTAGCAATGTAGTGGCCTGGGACTGACCAGTGGTCTGGCCTGGACGCCTAGGTGACATTTTCAAACCCCCCAGAGGTGGCAAAGACGCGTCTGCAGCTGCAGGGTGAGCTGGCGAAGGATGGTGGTGTGAAGGTGTACAAGCACACTCTGGACGTTTTGCAGAAGACGTGGAGGCACGAGGGCATCAAGGGAATCCAGAGGGGTCTCGGTCCCGCTGTGAGTACGTCATAAGGCTTTCTCAGATGTAGCTGACTTCGAGACGAGTATCTGTATCAAGTGAGTGCGGAATTCTGCTTCCAGTGAACCAGTCGTCATGTTCTGCAGATCCTCCTGAACGGATCCCGTCTCGGTGAGTCGGCCCGCTTTATCAGCTATGTACCTATCTTATGCTCGTACAGGTTTCTACGAGCCAATACGACACAATGTAAACAAGCTACTCGGTTTCTCTCCTACGGAGCAGCGACCATATACCTCAATCCTTGCCGGTGCCGCAAGCGGTGCGATTGGTGGTATGTAGCTGCAGCGCGCGCACATCAGCTGTAGGCTCACGAACGTCCAGCATCTCTTGGGAACCCACTGTTCTTGATCAAGGCGCGGTTGCAAGTGAGTTCAGGGTATGCGTGACCGAGCGTTGACTGAGCATGCATTCAAGGCATATTCACCCGCTCTGCCCGTTGGCACCCAACACTATTACAAAAGCGCATGGGATGCCTTCACTACGATCTTTCGGAGAGAAGGACTGCGGGGCCTTGTCCGTGGGGTCGATGCTGCTATTCTGCGTACGGCAATGGGTTCATCTGTACGTGTGAAACTGCGTTAGTCGATGCTAGGCCATATCTGACCTGACGCTAGGTTCAATTGCCCTCATACAACTGGACGAAGAACCAGCTCGTCTCGCGTGGAATTCTGCCCGCCGATAGCGTTTGGACGTACTTGGCGAGTAGTTCTGTCTCAGGCATGTGTGTGGTAAGCAGATGCAGTCATTTACCTAACCGTTGTTTGAGCTGACTGCCCCAATAGCTGACAGCAATGCAACCTGCTGACACGGTAAATTAATGGTCTTTTAACCAATCGACATAGTCGCTCACCCAGTCGATCATAGGCACTGACTCGTGTCTATAACCAACCGACACACCAGCTACCGAACGGCAAGTATGTCGGCACGCTATACAAGAACCCGATAGATTGTCTATGGAAGACGCTGAAGACAGAGGGTCCGCTGGGGTGGTACAAAGGTATGTACTTCAAATTTAATCCACGTCGTGGTGCTGACCGTCGATTCAGGGTCTACGGCGCATTTCTTCCGGATAGCACCGCATACGTATGTCCCTAGTATGCCTATTTTGTGCGCGTTTCTATTGACACTCTTCACAGAATCATCACGCTTACCGCTAACGACATCATCGTGGGGTTGTACAAGAAGTTCCGTGACAGGAACCTTGATTGATCCCTGTTCCGCGGTATCCTTGCATACGTTACGTGACACGTTCGGGGCAGACATCTCGCTAATGCCTGTACTCTCATTGCCATTCGTATTCATAGATGCTCCGACGACTATATGCGCGGGCTGGCGATGTCAGGCAATCGCTGTGGGTTTTGTACAGGACATGTATACTGTCTAACATTCGTTATGCATGAGCGGCTGGCTGACCACACGCTAGAGTCAGGGACGAATCTCGGAGAAATGACTGCTCCTCGAGGGTGTCTTCTTTGCAGTGCGTAGGCATCTGTCCTTGAGCGCGAGAAGCATGAGGTCAACTGATCCATTTCCCGTCCTCAATCCTACGCATGAAGCCAAGGCTCGCCGAAAAAGCTCATGTAATGCGGACCGAACGGTCTACGCATGACGACCCTTGAATACAGATGGACACGATAGCACAAGGTATTTACGGCCGCGATCCCGAGTCTTGAGACAGAGGAATCCTCGGTGCTCCGCGCTCTCTGCTCGGCGATGTGTTCGTCGTGTCTCTTTCCCTCTGCAATGGCGCATATAAGTAGAGAAGCCCCCATGCTACTCGCTCGGCATGGTCAAGATGCTGTTCCTCCTCGAGCTCCTGGCTCTCGGGAGCCTCGCGCTAGCTCAGAACACCTCTGGTTCGGCCTACCCTAACACTGACGTTGTCATCGTTTCGAACAACGACCTGAACCCGTCGAACCCAAACCGTGCCAGTGCCTTGTTCTTGACGAGTTCGTTCACTTGCGCGGAGGCCTATGTGGCTTGTGCGCAGTTGCAGGAGACACTGCTTCCCCCGCCTAACAGTACGGGTCTCGACGCACAGAACCTATCCGTGGTGCTTACTTCGGAGAGACACGGTGCTGCACTCGATGCGTCGCAGCAGATTTGGATTGGTGCAGAGGGTGAGCACTTGGAACCAGACTGGCTGCTCTTTGCTCAGCTGACGGGGTGATGGACTTCCTAGACCCGAGTAGTTGCTCAGTCTTCACACCGAGCTATGAGTATAGTACAGACGACTATCCGGGTCCCTTCAACCTCAGTGCTGACATCAGCGCTCGTCTACCCGTGCTCTGCACGAACTCCGCACCGCTCACGCGCTCGAACGTCACCGCCGACACGTCGCGCCAGATTGAGCTCTCTACTCCTGCAGCGGGTACCCTGATCGGCTACCGCGACAAATTCAGCTTCCGGTTCTTGGGTATCAAGTACGCTGAACCCCCGACCGGGGAGGCGAGGTTTCAGCCTCCTACACCGGTGGCGGCGTCCCCGTACACAGTGCGTTCCGCGCTGGAGTATGGCCCCGCTTGTGCTCAGGTGCGTATGAATTCTCCCCTCTGAGGATCCGTCTGAGACACATCGTAGCCTCCGGATGCCGACAATGGGCACGATTGGTACGACGCAGAGGACTGCCTGCAAGTCAATGTCTTCTCGCCCGTTGTCAACTCTGCCACGAACTCGGTGCAGACTGCACCCAAGCTTCCCGTCATGTTTTTCAGTACGTACGTTCCGAGCGGTGGATTTTCCGCTGTTGACGCTCTCTGTAGTCCATGGTGGCGGCCTGAACACAGGCGACAGCGGTCCGATTCCCTTCAACGAGACGACGAGTGGCTACGTCGGCCCGTCGACCTCGAACATCTTCGACGGTACCAACCTTGTGTCGTACGGAGGAGTTGTCCTTGTGACCGTCAACTACCGCCTGACTGCGTTCGGGTGGTTCAACGCCTCGAATGCGGCTCTGAGGGATACCCTCTTGGCACTGCAGTGGGTTCAAGACAACATCGAGGCTTTCGGTGGCGACGTAGGTTGTGTCTCAAAGGTGTAAGCATCAGCTGAGCACAAGTTGGTAGCCCACGAAAGTGCTCATCTTCGGAGAATCCGCGGGTGGCGGTATGACGAGGTATCTACTCGGGACCAATCCGGCGTACACTGAAGGCCTCTTCAGTGAGTGCCGTGAGCCTATACCGTGTTCCTTCTGGTGACAATTAAAAAACAGGCGCTGCCATCCTGGAGTCTGACTGGCCTACGAGCAACCAGTTCTACTCGCCTGCAAGATCACTTGAATTGTCTCTTACGCTTGCCAAGGCGCTCGGATGTGCGGACAACTCGTCGACAGAGTTCAACGAAACGATGGCGCTCTGTGTCCGCGCCCTTCCTACCATGGACATCGTCGCGACCTCGTATGATCTCAATCTTTCGTGGGAAATCATCGTAGATGGCGACCTCGTCCTGACGGACATAGCTAGCAGCATCAAGGACGGAAACTACGGGCGCGTCCCGACCATCTGGGCCACGAACGAGTGTGAATACTGTTTCTTCATTCCTGATTCAATCCCCACGAACGCGTCGCCGTCGGCCTTCCCCGACAACCTTGATATATGGTTCAACAGCACGCAGGTGCAGAAGATCCTTGACGCCCCGCCGGACCTATACCCGTACGCGACTGCTCCATCCGAGGACGGCATAGACGGCACAGTCCTGCAGCTCGCACAACTCATGACCGACTGGTACCTGCACTGCCCGATGCTCTACCTCTCATCTTTGGCTGACAACACCACGAACCCGGGCAACAACTACAAGGTGATGTTCGCCGTCGGCCTTGGCTCCACCATCACTGCGAATCCTAGGACGTGCGTCGGGCAGGTTTGCCATGCCGATGAACTGTACTGGGTGTTCGCCACCGCGGAGACGGACAACCTGTACCAACCGCTGACGCCCAGCGAACTGGCGACTACGCAGGAGGTGATCAAGCGGTGGACGTCCCTCGCATGGACCGGGAATCCGAACTATGAAGGCGCCGTTGTCGAGTGGCCCCCGTATACAGGCGACAACGAGGTCATCATAAACGCTACCGCGACCGAAACGATCGAGCCGTACCGAGTCGCTCAATGTGACTTTATCGAGAGCCAGCTCGGGTTGGTGTTTGGGCAGTCATGATGAGGCCTCCTTGCTTGCCCTCAGGCTGGGCGTGTGATTCTATGAGGACAGTGCATACGCGTATGTCTCCAGATGTCTCCATTCTGTCGCAATGCATCTCTAGTTGGGGCTACATGGGGGTGCCGCGGGTCGGCGGATCAGGTTCAGACACTTGCTCGTCAAAAAGAAAAATGAGCTGAACCCTGCCCGGATTGAACGGACGACCTTCTGGAGATTCTGATAAGCGGGCGCTTAATGTGTATCACGTGACGCTCTGGAATCAGATGCTCTACCGCTGAGCTAAGGGTCCATGTTAGTTTCGCTGCGTGTGTGCATCATGGGCATAAGACGCCCCGCCGCTGAGCTATGGTCCTGGTGCATGCCTGCATACTGGCATGGCTGCGTATTGGATTGTTTGTCGAACTACGAATCGTGGCGAGTCGCTATGCATGTCTCTGAGCTTGTTGTAAATATTGTAATGCGTAGACTAGCGGTGACAAGCTATCATCGTCCAGGCGGAATGTCTATGATTGCGGAACTTGGCGCCGGGAGCGTTGTGCAGCAACTGCCCCTTAATCTATGAAGCAGCACACCTTCATTCGAAGCAACTCCCAACGCAGGCCATAGATACCCCTCTTTTCTCTTCACGGCCGCCTACGCAACTTGTCGTCTACTGTATTTTCTGAGATGCCTCGCGAAAACAGCTTCACCGACTCGGAGGGTCGTTCGCTCACGCCAGACCTCGACGAGGCCATGATGCGCGAGGCCGAGGTGCAACGGTCAGACTCGCCAGAGCCGGTGATCACAGCGGAGGACGGCCGACCGCGGCACTTGAACCCGGACGTCGTCTCAGCCCCAGACCTCCTCAATGCCCAGCAGCAAGCATCGACAGCAAAGTCACCGGCACGGCCAGACTTTGACAATGTGCAGCCCCGCGCATATACCACGCCTGGAGACCGCTTCCGCGCGACGGTGCGCAAGGTCATGACAATGAATCGCACCGCGTCCTCGATTATGGTTCGACCAGGCATCGGTGCAGAGCCTGGTGTCGATCCTCGACGCGCCTCCGCGAACATCGCATACAGCGGCGTTAAGCAGAAGTGCGTGATCGAGGTAGTCGACTACTCGACGATACGCACCAGCTTTGGCCGGATGACGAACAACGAATTCATCAACATGCTGAGGGACCCGTCGGCGAGCAGGAGGGATCCCTGGGTGCGTGTGCGGTGGATCAATGTAGGTGGCATTAGTTGGGATGTCATCAGCGCGCTCGCGCTCAAGTACGGTGCGTGCGCTCTCGTTGCTATTGAAATCGAATTTGACGCGTACGTCGCCTAGACATGCACCCCCTTGCCATCGAGGACCTACTCAGCCAGCGGCGGCATTCTCGCTCCAAAGCGGACTACTACCCGCAACACCTTTTCCTCCGTATTCTCTGCCACTCGCTCACGTCAGACGATTACGGGACACCCGACGCCTCTTTCACCAACCTCCCGCGGTCGGAGTCGCCCGACGGCATTGGTATCGATGACTCTGAGGACGAAGAGGAGACCGCGCTGCCAGACGATGATCGTACTGTCTTCGGGAGTGCGCGCGCATCAAGGTTCTCGACAAAGCGCGGGTCGCTGAAGAACGGTACTGCAAAGATGAAGGACATGAAGGATGTGGAGCATTTGGCTATGCAAGATCAACAAATGAAGCGACTCCAGATTCCAGCTGATGACAACAAGGTCTGCTGCTCGTCATGACTATTCGGCAGGAAGGCCGTACTCACTCGAGGAAATCCAGAAACAAGTCGCACGCCAGATGAAGCTCATTCGCGAACTCAAGAAAGGCGCGCGGGTCGCCGTCAAGATTCACCCCTTGTGTATCTTCCTTTTTCGTGACGGTGGGCCGGTGATATATGCCTTTTTATACCTATTCACTGACCTGCTGTATATAGGCACAGTTATCTCTATTAACAGTGGTATGCATTTGACTTGCGCTGCGGGATACGTAAAGTCAACCAGTTGTTCCAGACCCGAGTGTGGAGTTCACAGAACCCATCACCAATCGTCTGCGCCAACGGCATACCGGTCTACGTACAACAGCAGACCCGTCGCTCCTAGTGCAGAGTCTGCTAGATCTGAGTGCGTCTGACCCACTTTTGTACATGTCAAGGCTTAGCTTACCGGCTGGCTGTCAGTCGTGGACTCCGCCTTGGAGGTGGTAGAAGAATATCAAGCGAGAATTCTGAAGATCGAACAGGAGGTGCTCATCAAGCCCAGCATGGAGACCGTTCGACGCTGTATGTTGTTCCTGCTTCCTATCCCTCGCATTTCTCAGTTTGCCTCGCCCCACCAGTGCATATCCTCCAGGGCGATCTGATCCTTCACAAACGTACGCTCGAGCCGGTCAAGACGGTCATCTATGGCCTGCGGCGGTACGACGACGACCGAGTGGCGGCAATGTCCGAAAAGGTCGACCCTGGCATGAAGATTCAAGGGTACATGAGTCACAAAGCCAAGATCTACTTGGTACGTAGCACACTGTCCTCGCGTTGATCCCGCAAGCACCCTGTATGACTCTGCTGGAGTTGGGACTTCCTCTCGGGTCATCCCACATGCCATCGGTGCATTTGGGGTGGATCTGGCTGGACAGGCTTCGTGCAGAGATTCGCAGGGCGCGGAGGCTGACCTTGGGGCAGTGCCATGGATGTTTTTGACTAAGAATTGTTCTCGCCAGGCGGATGTCCATGACCATATGGAGTATATCCTCTCTAGCTTGGAGATGTTTGCCGGCGTTAGCGAAAATCTGATCAACTACACTTTCAATGTGCGTGGCCCTTTTTCTTCCTGGAATTTGCAGCAGCACTGCGCCAGGTCCTGCGATTTGCTCGTCTCATCAACGCGTGCGCGCCGATATGGACGGTTGCCTTGTACGCACACCGATGCAGGACTGTTCCGGGCAACCGTCTTCCACTTATCGGCCTGGCAACTCCGCCTATCCGAGCTGGATGTGCTTCTGCATGATCCTAGGCCTCGGTTTTGGGTTTGCGAATGGTCGCTGATACTGCTGCCCCTTAGATGGCTTCGTACGAAATGAACGAAGTTATGTACGCGCACTCTGCCGGTGGTCCCTCTATCCGCAGCACTGAATTGCTCTGGCACTCCTAGGCGTCGGCTTACCCTCGCCACGATCATCTTCTTGCCGTTGACCCTCCTGACCGGATACTTCGTACGTGCTAATTCTAAGGATGGCAGTCTACGCCTGACATGAGCTCTTGCGCTCCCGTGCCACAGGGTATGAACTTCGAGAACATGTGGTCCGTGATGCATGGGCACAGTGACATAATGTACGTCTTCATCGATGTCCCCGCTGTTCCCTCACTCGGACCTGTCTCTTGGTCCCGCTACTCACCATCTCTCGTGGTCGACCGCTAACCGATGTGTTGTGCGTTGTTTACAGTTTCTGGATCATCGCATTGCCTGTCATGGCAATTGTCATACCTATATTCACATTGCCCGACCTTCGTAGCATGGCCAAACTCCTTCAGAAACGGCTCGTCAAGCAGAAGGTCACACGGGTGAGCTCAGCGCCTGAAGAACCAGGCCGGCAAATCACTGAGCGTCGTCTTCTTTTACAGTCCTATGGCCGCCCTAGCCGCCGGTGATCGTCTCTCGAAATACGTAGTCTACATTCGTACTTGCGATCGTAGGCCGGCCCAGGCCGTCCTGCTTCTTGGTGATGTTGTTGCCATTTGTCTGTATACCTTTTCCAGGATTGTAGACAGTTGTGTTATTTGGGACAATGCTTGGAATATCTCTACGCTCTTTGATCTACCATGGACGCACGCTCTTTCATAGTATCTACCGAGCTTGATCGTATAGAAGAGAACTGTCTTCATATATAAATGATTATCTATGTCGTGTGTACGTCAACGCTCCGAATGGCTGAGTGACTCATCTACGCTGGCAGCCCGCATATCTACCTGACGAATGGGTAGACGGAAACGCAATGCTACATACTGATTGTTATCGAAAGCATCGTTAGAGCAACATACACGAGAAGCGGATGTCGTGATGTAGAGCAACAAGGATCATGAGCTACGAGGGGTAGGGTGTCGGTGCGGAGTATGGCAGACGTCTAGAGGAGGGGTTTCTCCAGTGGCGTGAAGACTAGAGTTCCTTTAGGAGGCTGCGTGACTGTGTTAAGGGGGTCCGTAACTTCGAAGCGGCCCTCGAGAAGACTCGGCGTGGCACGTCCTATCAGGCACAATACAATAAGTTTGATCTCTGTATCGGCCCGGTAGACATCGTCAGGCTGAGGCAGTTCCCGGACGAGGTAGCGAACTGACCATTTATAGCGAGTACCCTACCCGGGCACGCAAAGCGGCCGAGTCCGAAGACAATGTGTGTCGCGCCGGTCATTGCTGCATCCTTGTTCTGTTCTGCCCATTGGAAGCCGTTGAAGTCCGACGCCTCGTCACCGAATGTCTCTGGATTCTCGTGAACCATGCATGACATCGGTGTCACGAAGGACCCTGCAGCAGTTATGGATATAAGCCATTTCCGTCCTGATTCCCCTGTAATTTGAGCGGCGAGTCAAGTACTCACCCTTGGGTATTATGTATTCGCCCAACGGCGCGTCGCATGTGGTGAATCGCATGGTCGAAATGGTATCCCCTTTGAGCCGCATTACCTCGCGGATGAACGAGTCAAGCAAGTGCGCTTCGCGCAAAGATGCTGCGGTCAAACTCATAGCACCCGAGTCGTCTTCCTCGCGGATCTTAAGGAGCTCTTCGCGCAACGGGGCCAAGTACTCCTGGTGCGCAGCGAGCTGGAAGAGCACCCATTGCGAGACGACCGTCCTATGACCGATGATTTATTCCGGTGACCGTCTCCGAGAACGACATGACACACTTACGTGGTGTGTACTGCGGCAAAGATCAGGCTGCCACATAGCCCTGAGCTATTCGCGTATACGCGGTGAGAACAACGGCTCACCATAGTAGTAGAACGCCGATGTAGATTCGGCGAAAGAGTCCAATTCGCCGTCCGTCGGGCGAGTACGTCTTGACGATGTGGTACAACACATTCTTAGGCTATCAGAGGTACTTCCTTCAGTGACTGAATCGTCATATCGCGGTAGAAGAATTACCTCGTCCCGCGGGGAAATGCCGGATGCAACGTTGGTTTCAAATTGATTCACGTCCGCCCAGAGCTGCGGGCCAAGCAGACGCAGGAAGCCGAATGGTATCTTAATCAATATCACGTTGATCCTGCATGCTGTGTAAGAGCGATCGACGGTGAACCTGCGGACACATCGAACTCACCAGGTGAGAAAGACCCATAGCCAGGGCAGGTATCTTCCCAGGAACGAGAAGTTCTGGTACTGACCCGTGAGTTCTGCCATCCCGTTCGATACGTCTTCGATGATTCGCATGTTCCGTTCGTTCACGTAGGCCTGTAAAGGTTCTGTGGTCAGGAGCTAAACGGGGTACCCAGAGCCGAAGACTCACTTCACCCAGCAGAAGAATAAGGGTGGTCTCGGAGATGGTGTTACGAGAATGTTGGAAGGAATCAGGCTGGGGTTGACCCTGTTGAGACAATCTGACAGCGTCCACGAAAAATGAGCCGTCACGGTCATAGATGGGGAATACTGCAGACGTGGTGAGTGACCGGACCGCATGAGAATGCTTGCAGCTCACTCTTATACACGATCTCATCAATCCTCGCGATAATACCTTCTCGAACAAATTCGTTGAGGTCTTGGAAGAGGGCGCCCTGGGTAATAGCCATGATCGGTTGCAAATTCATGATCTGACGGGCCCGTCCAACTTGAGCACATTTACGCCGATGCGGATGATTCTGGGCACCTACCGCAGCGGAGCCTTGTTCGAAGCTGAATAGCTTGTCGCATGTAAGGACATATCTCGCGTACTCAGGACCAACGATGTATTCAAGCTGAGTGTCTTGAATATATGAAAAATGGCAGACAATAGCCGGGACTCACGTTTCCTTTCCGATGCACAGCGATGACAGGGCCATATGCCTCAAGGGCGGCCGAATACGCTTCCTTCGGTCTGGCGAAGATATCCTCGGCCTGTGATGGAAATTCAGCACCTAAAGATTAATGAAAGCTGGGCGACGCGCACCGGTATATCAACGACGGGAGGTTGCCTTTCCTTTGAGATCTGTGTGCAGAACGTCATATACCAATGTCTCAACACGGCACGACGCTCGTACCGAACGTCGTTTGAAGACGCCATAGAGACAAATGGCGAATGGAACGGTGAGCAAGTAAGAGCGATCCATGGGGAATCAGTGGTGAAATGTCTACGAACCATCACAGATTATAAAGGCCCCTAGGTAGTACTATTCCTCTGACCAGGCGAACCTTCGCGATGCGGATACTCTCGGCGTATCACGCATAACTTCGTGAGACGAACCCTTACCTGGATATCACTCACCGAGCTCCTGGTCGTGTACTAGAACAAGCGGATATTTGGGTTGCGAGTTCTACGCAGACCTTCGAGGCCTTCGAGATGATGGACCGAGGGAACGTGCAATTGTGCTTCATGGAGACTTCCGGACAACAACAGCTAGCCTAGCATTCTGTGCTGTACGTACACCGTTCTGGATTTTCGGGGCGTCAGACGATAGCAGTAGAGCTTTACCTTCACTGTGCATGAGCGGAGAGGTCATGACATTTCCGCATCCACGCAGACTCGGAGGTCTGCTAGATGCAGGATCCGGAAGTCCGAACGTGTGTCACTGAAGTTCAGCGCCACGGCAGCTGGTGCGGGGTTAAAATGAGCATCATGATGGCCGAGTCCATGGCTCCGCTTCGTGTACTTAAGTCGCGCAGGGTGGAAGATTGGTGGAAGAAGGCTGGAGGCAACTTGACAGAAAGTGGCAGACTGTAACTTACACTGTAAGTAACACGGGCTCCCAGCCACAGCCAGCCAGCCACCCACTTCGCGCGCCTCAACTCGCGCCTTCACTCACCACCACGCCTGAAGCTTTGAAGGTCTGTCGCCCGGCAGAGGTTTACAACTCTTCTTCGATCCCTACGAGCTCGAATGGGTATAGTCACGGTGCTTGCTTTGTCTTCGGTGTCATATGGTTTCGCTAGATGCTTGCCTTGCCATGAAGCCTGCGGCACTCGGAAAACCTAGACACGCGTCGCACGTCGTTGATTTCTCGTCAGAAAGACATGAGGCCGTCCATCAGCTGGAAAAAGGGCAACTACCAGACCCGGAAACTCATCTGGCGACTTGTGACTGGCCGGCTGAAGACAGAAAACGTCACCCGCTGTCTTCCACCCAACTTGGACCACCCAGAAGCATTGCTGGTTGTATTGCTCTTCGACATCTCGCGTTTACTGTGCGCGTGCGTGTCTCTGGATAGCCGGTATGAGGACCTTCCTCCGCTGTGTACACTATCCCACGTTTACTATTCAACTGCGCTATCATCCTCAAACCACAAACTTCTGATTGACTGCTTCATCGCTCCGTTGGCTCACCTATACCGTGTCTGTATGATGCGTTGTTCTTCAGTGCCTTATAGGTTTGCGTCTCACCGAATGGATGTTCCCGCTGATGATTGAGATTAGATATAGTGATACGTAGCTTCTTGCGACGAGCGGACTAAGAGGTTGTCGTAAGTGTTCGCACTTCGATGGTACCCGCACGACTAATGAGTTCTCGTTCGCAGTCATCAGCAAATGTGCAAGTTACTTAACCGGTCTTACGGCGCTTTGTATGCTTATGATTCACCTTGTTTGTCTTGACAGTCTTAGTATGTCTTACGACACTTGCAGTTTACCAGCACGATGCACCGTCAAGCAGCATTAAGGCGTAAGCGTGTATGAAGCGCATATCAAGTATGCGTCGCAAATAAGGATAGACATCAGGAGTAAGGGAATACATGTAACGTCCGAATCCAAGTTGAAGTTAAAATGCTATCTCGTGAGCATTATGATCGGCAAATTTACTGACGAAGAAGGACCGGAAAGCATCTAAGGAATATTGGTAGTCGAAGTCAGGTGGGAGGAAATCTTCGCCGTAGACAGGGATAAGATGTGCGAGTCGAAGAACTGAATCCAAGTGAATGACAGACATATAGCGGGAATTGTCTGCACAAAGATCAGGCTCGACTATCCACATACCTGTGCAGCGATCAGGCTCGTCATCCGCACGTTCGAACCATTCGACAAGGGCACAGGGATAGGTTACGTCATCGTCATGCCGAAACGAGAAGAGGAGGCGAACGCGGGCAGCGTGCATGCTCCGCATTCCTTGCTGCGAAGGATCTGTGCCCACGAAGACACAATCATAGCGCGGTGGGCCTTTGCGCCAACTCGATACGGTCCGGATGCGTTCGCGCCGCATGCCACCAATTCCAGAATCATCGCTCGGCGCGTAGAACGTCGCCACGGCCGATGGGAAGACGTGGACTCTTGATCGACTGTTGACGACTGGACACTCGCGGATTGGGATCTCGTCTCCAGCAGCTTCAGAATCTGGGTTTTGTTGATCATAGAGAAATTGGCGCAGTAAGGTTGGCAGCTCGGGACGTCCGATCTGCTCACTGAGCGCACGAAGGGTATTCGGCAAGCCACAAACTACGAGATGAATTGCTCCATGAGTAATTGAGAAGCCACGGCGAAAATCTGAGTTGAACATACCTCGACGCCGTGCGAGCGATACAAATCCATGTACCTGTGGCCCATTAACTGCGCCATCATCTTCATCTTCGTCTCCTTCGTCTTCGTCGGCTTCATCAGCACCTTCGTCGGCTTCATCAACATCTTCGTCGGCTTCAAGTTCATCAGCGCGTGCACCATCAGCGTCAACCAGTGGTGGTTGCTCGTCCTCATCCTCTTGCATGAGCTCAGCAAGTGCGGCTACTAACGAGTCACCCTCGAGCATCCCACGACGCTCGAAGTCTCTGCGCATTCCAGCGAGCTTGTCTAGCCGCTGGTTTGTCAGCAACATTTGCCCGAGTGGTCTAAAACGGTTTGACCGACGCCACGGTTCCTTGACAGCTTTGATATGCTTCGCCTCGGTCATAGACGAGCACAGGCCATTCGGAGCACCAAACTGTTGGATGTGTCGTATGTAGTGATCCAAAGCGTGCATCCGAGGCAGCGAGAAGCCAGTTGGCCGAACCCCAGAGTCCTGAAAGATCTGGCGGTAATGCCGGAATTGCTGGAGCGCGGCCTCACATCAGGAAAACCCCCTTTTGAGAATTTGTTAGAAGTTATGAGTATTGTGCAGAACGAAGCTAATGTAGACATATTCTACAGAACATAGGTAATGATCAATGCATTCTACAGAACATAGGTAACGATTGATGCGTTCTACAGAACATAGCTAATGATCAATGCATTCCGCAGTATTAGCGGAATGAACAAAGCACATGACGTAGTAATATTTGTCTTAGTGTCAACAAGTGAAACAGACCGAAGAAAATTAAGAAAATTGTATCAATTCTACAATTCGGTGTACATTACACGAGTTCAGTCCTTTGTACTTCAACATTGGGACATTACGCCACAACACAAGATATATATTATGTTCCTGATAATCAACATGATAGGGCGGCAGGGCATAGGTCGTCGTCGAGGACGTAGACCGCGGTGCTCGGCGTTAGTGTCCCAAAACACGGGTAGCACCGTGAGTGCGCAGGGCGCATACCGCACCCGCAACCCGCAAACCCGTACCCTTCCCGGATACACCGCCGGTGTTGGCGGTGGACCGCGGGTTTGCTTACCTCGGTGGTATCTGCGCGGCGTTGGGTTTGTTGCCTGCACCCCGTTGTCCTCGCTGTCCTCCCTCAGGCTGTTCACTCGCACTTGCGCCCACACGTTCCCGCCATCCGCTCCCCGCCGACCCTTCGCCCGCAGGCGGGAGCAGCCGCTCGTGTGCGTCCGCACAATTCCCGTCCACCCGCGCTGTCCGCACACCCTCCCGCCTGCTCGTTGCCGTGCCCGTAGTCACGGCGCGCTCGTCGGCCATGCCTGCGTGCGGGATATTCACCCAGCACGCTCGCGGTTAGCGTGTGCGCTGTCGCCTGAGTGCTCGCCCGGCGTGCGCGCTGGGTCGGCGTGCACGCCCCGGCCCTGGCCCACGCTGACCGTCAGCTGTCCACCCGCGCTGCCCGCACACCCTCCCACCTGCTCGTTGCCGTGCCCGTAGTCGCGGCGCACTCGTCGGCCATGCGTGTAGTCGCGGCGCGCTCGTCGGCCGTGTGTGTGTGCTGGGCATTGGCACAGCACACTCGCGGTTGCCGTGTGCGTGGTGCTAATCCGCGTCCTGTGCCTGTGTGCTTGCTCACTCACCTGCTCATCTGCTCGTGCAGTGCTGGGCATTCGCCCAGCGCGCTCGCGGTTGGCGTATGCGCTGTCGCCTGGTCGCCCGCCCAATGTGCGCGCTGGGTCAGCGAGCGCGCACCGGCCCTGCCCCATACTCCCCGTTAGTCAGCTCGATCGCGTGCGATGTTACTCACCTTCGCATCGTGCTCACGCGTCCACCGCCCATTTGTCGTCGGCCGCGGCGCAGCGAGGCGGCGGCATGAGACGGCGGCGGCGGTGGGTGCGTGCTGGCAGGTGGTGGCGGGCATGTACTGGTGGGCGGTGGCACCAGCGGGTGTTGGTGTTGGTGGCGGCGGCGAGGTGGGTGGGAGGACGGCGGCGGTGAGGTGACTCTGAGTGGGAGGACGACGGCGGCGAGGCGACGTCGCAGTTATTGACTATTGGGTGACTTGGACTTCAGAAACGCGCGGTGTCCGCGTACCCGCATCACGTGAAAATTCTGCCGCATAAGGCAAGTCCGACAGCGCTTGCGTCCGTCCACTGCCAGCGCGGTTCGCAAACTCCCTTTACCTCCTCTACGAGCCTCCACGGCCTTGCCCTGCGCCGCTCGCCCGCCGCGCAACCACAAGAACATCAAATGCGGCTGTTCCATGAAGAGACAGGCCCGTCATGGGCCTGTCAGAGGTATAGGTGAGTCGTAACCAATCTGACACGTCAACGCGCGTCCAACGCGACACGTTAGCAGTACATAACAGCACTAACGACGCCGCAAAAGTGTCGTTAGTGTGCTCACGAAGGACGCGGATGCAGGGTAGAGGGCTAGCGCGGCCGAGAGGCTGCATAAAAGGTACGTTGTATGTCTTATCCGCTCTGCTGACCCTCCTCACAGCCCAACTCACCACCCTCATCCGTGTGGCTCTCACCGCGTGTCGCAGCCCTCTCCGCTCATCCCGCCGCATTGCCACTGCGTGCCAGGTTCCCACTGCAGTCGCTGTTCCCATCACCATCAGAGGAACACAGCGCCGCCGCCACTGCGTCTGCCCCCCGTGCGTCTCTTCCCCGTGTTCACCTTGTGCCTGCTAACTTCAACCCCGACCATCAGCCACTCCCGTCAACCCTTCGTGTTCACGCTCAACGTGCCGACAGACGCGGCGGGGGCTACCGCGTCGACGAGAGTAGCGCTTCCTCCCCGATCGCTCCCGCGCTGTATACCGTATCTTCCGAACCACGCCCGGTGACGGCTCCGTCCGAACGTGAAGTCGCGCCAACAATGCTTGTGTTAGCTTTGACTGCGGTATGTCATGGTACATCTCGTTCAATTGGTGATGCTTAGTAACTTCACCTGTACTAGGCCTTCCTTATGTGTCTTCCCTAACGTCTGTGTTTGTTCAGCCTCGGCCACAACCTTCATGTGCTGTTGCAGTCTGGCAATGAGAATGGGTTTGAGGGAGCAGATACTGGACGAGTAGTACCTCTGAGAGATGATGAATATAGAATTCAGGCTTGCTAATTAGTAATAGTAGTACTTTGTTTGTTCACCACATGTACTCGCTCCGTCTAGATAGTTCACAGTACTACCTCACAATTCATATAATGTTCCTAATATGTTCTGTCTGTGTGAGGCTTCTGACAACATGAACAATGATGGATCATATGTGCTGTATTCTTCAATCTGTGACAGATAACAATGAGGTAGGTACACATAATGCACTCGCATACTCTGTATATTGTCTGAAATTCGTACAAAAGTTCGGGGGGGTAGCTAATTCCCTATAATATTCCGAACAGGTGAATAGTTCAAATTGTTCATTATTACATACAATACTCCGCAATTTGACATATTCTGAAAAGGGGCTTTTCCTGATGCAATTGAGACCAGATCGACATCGTCCAGAACTGATCGCCGGACGAGGTAACAGACCTCCATAAATGCGGCGATAGCGCGGACCATATCATCAGGCACTAAGCCATAGATTGCGGGCAGATAGACCTAATCAGGAAGTTGTTCCGAGTGAGCCACTTGTCAAGTCCTAAGTGGTACGTCGTGATGCATACCTTCATCAGGGCCTTTGAGTCATCACCAGTCCATTGTTTGAATTCACGTCCTTCATAGAAGTGTCGGAGCCCTGGGAAGTAAGGCGTGGCAGCAATGCTGTGAGATTCGTTAGGAGCTAAGACAGATAAACGTGCCATATAATGATTACATACCGTCGATCTATCTCATCGAGTATCTCCTTTCCCCGTGCCTCACCATGTTCGAGAACCAGATACTCCCCGACCCACGTCACAAGATGGTCTTTGAAGGCGCCCTTGATTACTTGATGTAAGAGGTCTCCTGATAATAATTCATGGATGTCCGCTCGGGGGAAATCATTTGTGAAAGGCTTGCAGACGGCGTCTTGTAAGTCCATGATCGCCTGACAAGAAGCATGTGTACTGGACTCACGATAATGTCATGGACAATGCCGTACTCGTCCCATAGAACCCGCGGGTCTAGCGTGTTGATTAGGGCTTCTCTGATTGCTTCAGTTCGGCGATCCGCGCCTGGTCCAAGGTTTTCACGATGGGCGTCACAGCTGTTGTTGCCAGTAAGATGTGAGATCAATCTGTCACTAATGGCATCGCTTACAAAGAACACCATCCTTGAACAATACACGCAGCGAGGACTTGTTCAGGGTAATCAGCGATATATGGGCCGAGACCGTACACGACACGCCGGAAATAGCCATCGCCACACCGAACAAGGTCGTACCGCTCTGCCATGTATGGTCGTAGACAGTCTAGGATTGCGGCGAGGCTGGAGTGGAAAAGCTGCTGCCGGAATTTGAGGAACTGCTTCGATTTTTTGTGCGCGCGATTTGCTGCAAAACAATGAGATTCAGTACATTGATCGCCATCTCGTGACTCGGAAGCTAGAAAACCTACACTTTGGTATAGATAAGAAGCCGATAATAACCAAGGCATCTCGATGTGCCCGGCGGACATTGTTGTGAACGTTGCCAAGTGACATGTATAGAGGATAATACTCATTCTGACCTGTTGCTACAGAGACGGTGGTCTTGTCACTACCGAGAATGATGGGTGAGAACATCGTTCCGTGCATTCTCTCGTCTTCAGCAATGATGTCCTGTTGCGGTGCAAAGTTAGTACGGCCGCAGCACATTTGAATAGTTGACGTGTACAAACCGCTTGTTCCCAGGGCCAATTTGCAGACATAAAGTTACCAAACCGACGTTGCGGCCCTTGCGCACCCTCAACATGGACGAACTTACGGTAGGGAACCTTGTCGAACTCGCCCGAGATGTCCGCATTCCCAATGATCTGGTGTGCAACAGCGCGGGGCGACTTGTACCAGACCTCGTGTTCTGCGGTCATCCATGACGGGACATTTCCCTGAGGTACAGCGCCCGTATAGTGCACAGAAAATGACTTCCATGGTATGTCACCCATAGTCGCTGCGTCGATCACATTTTCAAGATCTGCGTTGTCAGCGAAGGGCGGTTGGTCATCATGCTTCATGAGAGAGGCACCCCAGAGGCTCATAAGCATGTCGACTCGCTTCTGGGGCATCTGGCACGTCTTGTACAGGAAGTTCGCAACCTCAAACTCGTTCCGGCTGTCGAACGGCGTCCAGTCTGTATGAGGAGGATCTTCGTGTGGAGGCGGAGGGGCTCCCACGGGTAGGACATGATCGTCTCCATCGCAATTAAACGCTTTCCGCGATGTCAGTCGTGTCAGATTATATGTGAAATATGCACTCTGAACACACCTGTTATGTCTGAGTGGAACTCCTCAAAATCCTCGTTGTCGTTTGGCCGGCGGTCATCATCACGGTCATGCTCCGAGGGCTGAGGACTTCCTGGGCTCTCAGCACGGTGAGGAACAGGGGGCTGTCCCATTGAGAGGGCCGGCAGATGAACGACGTTCCAGTGCTGTGTCCGACCAGATGCATTGATAAACGTTCGGTCGCATGTTGGGAATGTACAAGTCAATCGCCGTATGTGTTGCGTACGGCGACGGGGATGCATTGAGGAGGATAGAGGCTAATTGCAGCCTTGTCGAAGGATTGTGGATGGCAGGACGCTACGTTCAGAGAGCGGTCACACGTTGGCGAGCGGGAGTTCAAACAATTGGAGTGACGCTCTGCGTTGCCAGCAAAAGGCGACACGTACATTCTTCCAGTAACGTCCGTCCTATTCAACACTCTCTGATACCTTACATCCACTCCTTTTTTATCTGTCTCGGTTTCGTCATCTCTGGCATCCTAGCCCCGGCACCTGCAACTACCACGGCACCATGGCTGTCGGCACACGGCCTTCCAATGCATCAAAGCATCCCGGGATCGCTGCCCTGGACGCGCTACGTACACGACGGTCGTCAGCTCAGGTGGCAGCTGATCGAGCAGAAGCTGACCTACGACAAGCCGCTGTAGCAGCAAAGACGCGTAAGAAGGTTGTGCAAATTGCAGGGCTGCAAAATTCTGTGCGTCAGCAAGAGTCAGAGAGAAGCAGTATGGGGACGGTACCTAGTATGAAGCCTCCATCCTCAACGCGCAAGGCATCTGCTTCCGGCGTACCACAGTCAGCCTCGGGCTCAGCTAGTTCTGCAGCCAAGGCTATTCGTCAAGTGAGCAGTGAACAACCTGTTCTATAGATGAAGAGGTGCTTACCATGGATGACGGCTCTCAAGCATAATGCATCGCTTCAGAGCGAAGCTGCACATGGTTGGTCGATACCGTATGCAAGGGTGGCGGTGCAAGATTGACGGTGATACTACAGGTAGCCAGGACAAGGACGTTCAGCCAGCTTCACGCAAGGTGGGACGAGACGCGATCACCACACAGAGGGCACTGTTGAGTGCGTCGGGGAACGAGAAGCAGAAGGGTCGTGCAAGTACCGCCGCAGGCAGCGGGAAAGGTAAAGCGGCCGCCACAGGCGCCTCTGGTGGCACAAAGCGCAAGGCGCCTGCCGACTCGGAGGACGGCTCAACTACAACACCTGTTTCTAAGCCCCGCGCGCAGGCAACGTGAGTATTACTTGGACTTACAGCTTATGTAGGTGCTTGCTGACAGTTTGTCCCAGACGTCCGGCGAAGAAAGCGAAGACGAAGGCCCCTGCTGGTATACAATCTGGCTGGACGCCGCCCACTGGCTCAAGGCCAGCAGCCTCAGCTACTCCTAAGAAGGCGGTGCGTCGCGTTAGAGCCACTGCCTCTAGGAGCCCTGCATTTGCTGGAACTCCTTGTCCGCGGACCGTTATCCAGATTGCACGCGAGTGGTCAAAGATGCAACCACCACAGGACTCCGAGTCGACAATGTCCAATCAAGCTCACGAAGGCAACCCGGGTCTGCCGGGGGAGGTCAGGAGGGGAGGATTTGCGAGCGATGATGATGACGAGGCCGCAGCTCCAGAGCCGGGCGATGTGCGCACCACGGCCATGGTGAGTGATCCGTGCTTGACTCTGCATCCTAATCGTTGAACCGGCATGCGGACCGCATCATTTAGGGTATCGTCTCGATCACTCATGCACCCTCAAAGGACAGTGTTGCCAAAGGCCGTAAACGGGAGAAGTCTATCCGATACAAGAATGAAGACCTTCCGTCGGGTTGTCTTGCTCGCTGGCGGAACACGTACGTTCCAACAATGTACGACATGTATGCCACTGGCAGCGATCCTTGGGCCAACAACGCGAATGACTCGATGATCGGCAATCTCAACCACATCTGGAAGCGGGTGTACGGAGACCCTCCAGCATCAGCGGAAGATATTGCGGGTCCTATTCTTGGAGTAGTGCGTGTCGTACATCGCCTTTTATATGAGTGTAAAGTCACCTTACTTTACCAGATGATCCAACGTCTCGCTGAATGGCGGAACAAGTTCGCTTCAACAGCCACAGAGGTCGTCCAGCAGTTCTTCGATGATGCTGGCGAGCAATACGCATCACCAGAGTCACGCGCCGACTACGTGAAGTATGCCCTTGGGCCAAAGAAACCCTTCATATGGCAAACAACCACTCCGGTATGTGCAATGCTTCGCTATAGTGCCGCCATTGATTATGAGACTTCCAGAAGCGGAGAGGTGCATTCCAGTCTCAGTTCGTGCTCGAGACATTCGCATCTCATCTCACCGAAACACACGGAACCATGGACAAGTATTACATGATGTATGAGCCGCAAGGAGCACTTGCGCTCGCTTGTGTTGCGGTACGGTATCTATCATTGCTGCTGTATTGCTGGTTCTAATATCCCATTTTCTACTAGCTTGAGCGCGCGTTCACGCTCTTTGAGTCGGGTGTACGCTATCAGCCAGATCGTCAAGATCCCACCTGGCACTTCAAGACTGACAAATGGAATGACGCTACCGAATCGTACCTACTAAGCATCGCGCAGCTGAAGTTAGAAGATTGGGACGCAATCGTGGTCGGTGCAGAACCTTATGCGAAGAAGGGCAAAGCACGACGTCGCAAAGTGTCAGCGAGCTCCGACTGTGACATGGGCCCAGAGGACGACCGTGCCAGGCTACTCGACAGCTCCGACTCGGAGTCCGAGTCCGATAAGGGCACTGGCGTCAGACAATCATCGCTGGCTGATGATTTGGGCGAGCTTGACGCAAATCATCCAGGTGGTTCAGATGACGAACAACTTGATGGAACGGCGGGGAACTTCGGCACCTCCGATCCGTTGGAGGTCGATGGCGTAGACGACTCGGACGGGGAGCCAGACACTGGTGGCTCGCCGCAGGCTCTAAACAGCGACGACGCCAACAAGGATGAGTATGATGATGATGGCGGTGAGTCAGAATGGCGAGGTCCGTGCGTCAGTATCTTGATATTTTGTTGCATTTTGTAGGCGACTGAACGTCCTATCAGGAGTCATTTACAGCTTCTCGTTCTTCAATGACCCATCGATGTACTCTCTGTGTATGTCTACGTTTGTTCGCTCGGCGCCATACTGTACATTCATTACACATGCCCACTGCTCGGGGCTAATCAACGTACTGTACATGACTCTCATACCATCACCGTTTCGGTCCTAATCCACGTACTGTACATTCGTTACACCGCTATGTGCGTAATGCGGCCAGATTTGGTTTCCGCGCGGTCTATATCACGCTCATTTATGTCAAACAATGCTACTTGATGAGTGCTTGCATACCTCGAGTGCCGGCTTGTCTCCCTTATATGACTGCTTATCTAGTCTGAACGCTAGCTTAAACGCTACTTACTAAGCACGTCAACGACCGGGTGTCTTAATCAAGAGAATGGATCTTCTTGATTAAGCAGTGCTGCTTGGTGCCCTTATACACTTACTCGACTTAGTAAGGTGTCTAAGGATCGAATAAGCGACTTGCACGTTTGCTGATGGTGGTATCGGTGCTTTCCCGTGAGTTTGGGTTTTCGGGAGAGCACAGGCGGACCGTGAGCTGTGGACATCGCCGATCCTATGACACCTAATTTACTGGTATACACAAGTCTGCATTGACGGTAGCCAATCAATTTACTCATGTACGCGCTCCACACCCTATTCATTCTACAAGCACACGTTTGGAGACCATTAACCTCGCTCAGAGATGCTGATTGTGTTCCTAGTCGCACTGTCGTAAGTGTTGGGCCGCATCATATTTCTGAGTACGTCGTATTATCTCTGGTCTGCATTGGCTGACTCGATTCTGCTCGTTCTTCGGCAGGGGTACTCATGTCCATTCAGCGGAGATGCGCCAAACGTCCGGGTCACTCGTATTCTACCCATCTTCGTTGCCCACGACGCGCCGCGGGTAAAGCACAACGGAACAAAACTCTCGTGCTGCTTCCCGAATACTTGCAACACCTTCATTCCGCCGACAGTCCTCATGGTCCGGACGGGTGCACGCGGCATTGTTGTAGCATTCCTAGTAGTGCTAAAGAAGCTGTCCACGTGGAAACGAAGGCCTTCGACGGTGATACTAGGGCGTACCCCTGCGGGCCTCTAGCCGGTCCGCTTGCGAACGTTCGCCAACCAAGACGGATACATCCTATACGCTAGTCCACGGAGTCTACGTCTCTTCGCTCCAAGACACTACGTGTGAGTTTTCGTCCAACGTTGGCGAGATATTGACCCATCTCTCGCATAGTTCTGCTAGTAGCTTCGCAGCTGTCTGCGTTCTTCAACCGTATTCTGACGAGCTGACCGGCTCGATGGCTAGATGACCGGATGAATCGGTAAAAACTTGTACCGCGCAATGCGGTCTCTTCGCTGAAGCAGCGGTTCCCGCTGACGTTAACCGTGGGCAACGGCCGTTCCTTGTACAGCACGCGGCCTCTCTTCAACGACAGCCGTCCGACGGCCGTCAGTCATCGTGGTAGGGCAGCGTGTTCCGAGGACGCGTAGACGTGTTTGCCAGCGACCGCGGTGTATGTCCGTTACTGCTGGTGGATCCATTTGTCAACTCATTCTCTTGTATCCCACCATTGGCGCTTCTTGGCCGCGACCGCAAAATGACATCTGCTTCTGCCAACCGCATCCGTCTTGCATGGTAATCTAACTGCCAGAGGCCACTGCTTGGGATGACGACGCTAGCATGCAATGTAATATCCGTGTAATATCCGACGAGTTGATACAATTTTCGTGATGCAATTCAATCCGCGATTCTTCGACTGAGTCTCCTCGCTCGCGTTCTCGGTCCGACGCAACAAGCTGAGTGTCCGATGAATATGTTCGTATGGTTATGTCTGGCCGAGGGTAAGTTCGACGCCCATTGATGAAACAAAGAAAGCAAACCTGAGCCCCGTGTCATAATCCTGATGCCTTCTGCGTGAGGATCCGCCTCACTGAGGAAGGCACCGCCATCATGTCGGCGAACTCCCGCGTTTGCGGTGCGATGCCAAACGACTCGGCCTTGATCCGACAGAGGTCGTAAAACGCGACCGAGAACGCGAACTTCGGGTTCGTTTTATACGCACACGACGCTTTGAGTGTACATATCGTCTTGACGTCATAAAAGACGACGTTCTCCGGACCGTCCGCGAACGACTTCGCGATCAGTTTGAAATCGTCGGATGGCTTGGCGACTGACGCGGTACGCTTTCGTCGAGTGCGGGACGGTGTTGCGGTCGATTTGCCAGCCGCGAGCTGCCACAACCGGACATGCTTCTCCACATGACGGTGGATCTGCTGCAGATCATTGCGTGGCTCTGCATACCTCCGCTGCTCCTGCAGCCTGGTGGCCCATGAGTCAGCATCAGCCCAGGGCTTTGACAAATCTACATCGAATGAATGAGCCAATGTAGGTTGCAAGGTCTCAAAACTCTGGAGAAACCGAGTCTCGAGGGCCTTGCCAGCTGTGAGGAGCTGGTCCAAGATGAATGGAGGTAGACCGCGATCTCTCTGTGGACATGGTCGGGTGTATCCAAGATGTCCCTGCTCCGTCTCTTCATCAACACCAGCTATTGGTTTCATGCAGGGAGGTTGGGCATGGCCGTAGTGGTTGGTGTCTTCATGAAAGACAGACTCCTTGACAATAAGGCCAGTCTTCTTGGAGTCCAACACTGTGTTGAACCTACAGAAGCATATCAGTTAGTCTGTTTTCATTGTAGAACAATTATGGCCTCATACATCCATGCATTATGAAGGGTATGCTTGTGAGCAAGACCATATAGGTAGGCTGAGTTTTCATGGAATACTGAATACTGTCCTACATTTGGGCTAATCATACCAACCAAGAGAGCCTGCTGCAAGCATGGCTCTCTCATGCTAGTAGAGCATGACTTCATATCCTCCAGAACCTCAGATACCTGTTGGATATGCTCCTGTGATTGGAAGTTATCCTTCAGGAAATTCTCAGGGGGATCTGTGGTAGCAGAGCCCTCGAAGGACTGTACAAGGAGCTCATCATAGATGCAGACACAAGTGTCTTGTATAGTGGCTTGATCAGAGACAAGTTCATTACACCAAGTCCTAACTTACCTCCATCATAATCTATATTTGCTACGTTTAGCATCCATCAATGTGAGGCTTCTGTGTGACATACCTCCCCCAGCCAACAGACTGGCCAGTGACCGTGGCCCTTTCGTTGGGAATACTATGACATCCACATAGTCACTCAGCATCGGGTGAGCTACTGCAGAGACCTACAGATGCAGTCCATTAGTACTATGTTAGAGTGTGTATGCGAAAACATTGCCTTCTGAATGTCTGCAGGGAGCCTTGCTGGATTACGATATACCTGTTTCTATTGTTCAATTGCATACAATAGATAGAATCGTTAGGACATACCAGAACATTTCCTGTGATTTGGTTGGCGCCAGGACCATCCAGCGGATCCTTGAGATCATCTGACGCCCTGAAGTGAATTTCACCAGGTTCAAGTACACCATAAGGATCTAACACCGTATATCTATAAGCCTAGAAAATCCCATCCAATGAACAAGCCATACCTGGGACGATGAATGCATCTGCAGACCGAGGCACAGTGATGTGGTACTCCCTGATTAATTCAGTGATCCTGTAGGAGATGATGTCCCGAAGGGATTTGAACAGTATGGGGTTCTCCTGCGGCCTGAACCCCGCTGCCAGCATCTCGGAAGCTCGCTCATGTACCTTGACCGGCTCGCCGCTATATTCATTGCGATCCACCAGAGTTCCTAGCTGACCATGCTCCGGGTCTTCCTCTTCCTCCTGCTGATCGGAGTCTTGGCCCCACTCGCGACCGAGACCAAATAAACGCGCTGACCCCGACGCAAGACGCTGGAGTCTGGCAGCGAAGATGCGCCCAACCTCCGCCACAGTCGCGCGAAGGAGATGGGGGTCGTCGAACGCACTCAGCGCTCGGACCTCCTCATCGATACCGGCCTCCATTAGCGAGACAAGGGCCTCGTCACTCACGGCGTTGTGTGACAGAACCATGAGAGTGTGCCGTGACAAGCGCGACGGCACAGAGACACGCGGTGGCGCGACGAGCTCGAAGATACAATGAGACAATGTAAGCTTGAGATGCTTGATCTTCTGTTGCGACGGCCTGACCCATATCCTGGGTGGGTCGTCAGGCGATCGATCATGGGGATGGAGTGTCCACACGCCCTTTGAGCCAGCAATACGTCCCTGGACAGCAGTCGGGAACCGGGTATACTTGAGTGCTCGCGCGATAGCAGCCAGGGCGGCCCAATTCATAAAACCGCAACCGTCCGTCAGTATTTTCTCGGCAGGTACTTTCCCTCCTGCATGAGGAGCGGCTACATACAACAACACTATAAGTACATGCATGATAGGGTATAAGCAGGTACACTGCGTACTCTCATCGTCAATGTAGAATATATCAACTCCCTCGCCTCTGAATGCGAGTGCCGGGACTGTATCCGACAGTCCGAGGTCAAAGCGAGTGACCCACTTAGTGACGGGCTATAGAAAGGCATATGAGCTTATGCCTAGAAAGCGTAGGGACAGGTACTTGCCTGATTGCTGTTACAGTCCAGAGGGTTGTGCCACTGGACCAACTCTTCGACAGACATTCTTGAGCGATCGGCACCATCCGCCGTCCGGTCGTAGTCCTCCTTCGTCTCCATCAGGAAGACTTTGCCGTCCTTCGCGGCGAACGCAGCGAAGACCCGCCCGCACAGAACGAACTTGCTCTGCATGAAGCGACGGACGTCGTCGCCTCGCTTGCGCATGAGCTTGTCGTCCGGCAGCTTTACCTGCAGCATCCGGCGCGACCCCAAGTAGCGCGCGAAGCGGTTCGACTTGCGCTTCATCATCGACTTGAGTCGAAGGACGAAGCCGTCGCCGCTTTCAACGACGCTGGCGATCTGGCGGATCTTGCCACCGTACCAATTCGGGTCGCCCTTCCACTCGCCGCGAAGACCGAGGCCACGACTGGTGCCTTCTTCGAGCGCTGCCTGCTCACGATCCAGCTCCACCCTATCGCAAGTGACCTGCGGTCAGACCAAAGGTCGAAGGCGGAGTAAGTCTGCTCACCATAGTGGTAGACTAGCTGCATATGCGCCTCTGGACACATTCGCGTCGAGCATAACTGACTCGACTCGAGGCGCGGCCTCGCTGTCCGTCCCTCTGAGAGTATCCAGCTTCTTAGCCGTCACGTCGTTCCACTGCCACCGACCACTGCAGACTCCTCGTGCGAGCTCGTACTGGACGCCCCACGAGATGCGTTTCACGTCCATCATCTGTTGGACCTTGCGGTCATGAGCGATGATACTGCAATTCGGGGGTTCAATGGGCCCCGCTTGGCGGGCCCGCGCGCCGCTCGATGTGTTCGCGGCAACGTCCTTGGAACTGCGGAACGGGCCTCGGAAAGACGGTCCACGAGACGGGGCAGCCGAGGCGATCGTAGCTCGAGGTGTGACGTCTACTCGGCTGGGATCTTCCCCCACTTTCGCCGTATCGGCCAGTGCCTCCTGTATCTCTTTCATCCAGCGATCCCGACGGCTCGGGCTCACATCCGCAGGAGATGGCTTCGAGGGCGAGGGAGGTCGAGTGCGAGTTTGCGGGGTGATGTGGAGTCTCGGAGGCGGGAACGAGATCGAGCAACCCGCGGCGGTGCCACCCAGTGCGCTCTCCGACTGCGATGCGCGCTTTTTGGACGGACTGAGAGGAGAGGGCGGGCCATCGGGGTTCGGATATTCGTACGTCCGTTTGCGCCCGGTCGCGGGTGCTTTGACGGCCGGGATATTTGACTCAACCGACGTAAAGGACGTAAGTCGGGACACCGAGGGCTCGGAGAATTCGAAGGATGGTTTGCGTGAGCTCAGTGCAGAAAGCGATTCCGAATCGACCTCTACGTCTGTATCGACTTGCAGCACTGCAAGTTGTTAGCACTGGGAGCTTAGTTGGGTGGATTTCCGACGCACTCTGATCCACTGTTGATAAGGACATACGTTAGTATGACGGATTGTAATTAGGGCACGCAACCGACCTTCATCCTCATCCGTATCATACCCGTCTGAACTGCGAAAGCTTGAGATTGACGTCTGGGATGACTATGAAGTCAACAGATCGTTGTGACTTGACTGGGTAATATCTCCTTGCCTTGGACGGAAATGTAGACAACGCCACTTCCCCGACGCGTCGATATACCGACGGTCCCTTTCCCTTGGAAGACGGATCTTGGTTGCGCGTTTCCTCATCCGTCACTTGATGAGTGAGAGATGGAACTCGTGAGCGCTAACAGCGCAGGACCTTTGGTACGACTTACCGAGGTTGGTAGCTCCAATGCCCTTCTCAACCAGCACTCTCTTGCGTGGACTATGTCTCGACCGTGTTCTCCGGGAGCTTGAAGGTCGTTGCCCAGCGGTCGGAGTGGTTTCATTGTCGCCTGATCTCAAGCTCTCTGACAACGTCGCAGGAGAGCCATCAGTACAGCTGCCAATCGTGTAGCTGACTGAGGCTTACCTTCAGCTCCGACCCAGTAGTCCGTGTCACGGAACGGATCGTCTCTCCAAAACTCGTCCTCAGATGTCTGGGCAGTCTCCGTATCTGTACGCGCTTGGGGTGGTATTGATCGCTCTGTACTCACCGTACCGGCAATGGTAGGCCACACCGTAGGTTTTTTGCGACTATGGGCCATTGAAGGCTTGCACGGATAGCCAGAGGTTGTTAGATGCTGTAGCCGAGTCTAGCTGGTCTTTGTGCAGTTCCTTCACGCTGCTCGCGGTGGTCACTACGCGCGCCGAGACAAGAGGCCTCGCGCGTCGTCAGACGCTCAATCGCGCGACGCGACTGTCACAGACCATCGATGTCACACGCGCCCCGGCGCTTGAGCGATGTTCGACTTCGCAAGGCATGGCATCGCGACTCTCCTCCTCTTGTCGGCATCCGCGAATGTCGAGCTAGCTATGTATGATTTATCCCATATTTACCTTTAACTGCTACGAAGGAGGATGCTTCACTCCAAACAGCAGTAACATGTGGGGCCTCAATATGTACCAGTCCTATGATGGCCCGCAATCCAGCTTTGGAGGCCAGGATAGCATTCGCAGCTCCTCGCGCATATCTTCAAGGAGTAAGTCTTTCATTGATTGTTTGGTTCAAACGATGACGAAGCTTAACTGTACTCATCAGCGGCGGGGCCTTCTATGTCGCTGTCTTCAGTTTGCGCAGCACACGTTCACCCTATTGAGATGATCCTTGATACAGCCGACTTCAGCTGCCACCGCCTTCACTACAATTGGGAGTTCACTTTCTGCCGAAGGTACATACCTTCCGGTAAGTAGGGCGCTTCAATAATATGCGTACGACTTACGATCCATACCCTTGCAGGTGCAGTGGGCCGCCGCCTACTCAAAGTAAGATATCATACGCTCAGCGATAACAGTCACTCACGTTACACCGGCTTCCTGCTCGCTATCTTATGCGTCTCCGTTTCGGGTCTGATGCTGAGCATCCGCACGCTCGCGATCGCGTCGCAACTCTCCATGGACCACGGCATGCTGCTCAGCACTGCAGAGCTGAACCGCGTGCGCTGGAGGCGATGCATGCACGATGTGGAGCTCATCGTCGATATCGACACCCTGGAATTTGTTCAGCTCGATGACGCGAATACGCCGCAAGGAAGCCCGCGCAGACCCGCGGTGCAAATGTCGACGGTAGGCGTATATGCGAAAACGGGAGTATCGCCAATGCCTGCGGTAATGTACCTGCTAGTGCGAGTTCTCGACATGCGAAGCTGTACTAGTCTCTACTGGGTGGTAAGTTGCTGATGACAAGTCAGAATTGAGACTGAGAGTCGTCTCCCTCTCTAGGCCGGCTTCATACGCGGAAAATCGATGATGGTCCGGAGACCAGGATTATTGATTGTGTTTGTATGTTGATCTGTGCAAACGTCTCCGTAAGGGGACATGCGAAGCGAAGTGATAGGGCTCGAAGTCGCCTCTCTCCTACACAGCGCCGGGTCATAGAGGCGATGTTTGCTCACCGAAAGGCCCGGAGCTGTAGGTTCAGCATGATCAGGAGAAAATTTGGATCGAACGCGCAATTGTGATACCACGGTACGATCACCGCTCGACGACGCTGGCGCAAGCAAACGAGTGATCGGACTATCCTAACAGATCTTCCTGCGGTCGGCCTTGTCGCATCTGTTGCAATACTCAGTACTGTGACGAGGTCAATCATGTCCACATGAGCCTCCATGGTCAAACTGGACATTTGCATGCCAATTCCGAGTCTTGCTGAGCATCGGTGTTACGCCAAGATTACACAGATCGATATTCGCGGTCGGTGCGCAACGTTAACGTTCAACGTTCAATGTTCAACGTCGTCAATTCCTAGTGCCAGTGGTACTGGCTTATGTAACTCAGTGAACTCCGTTATCGGCTCGCCGACGGCCCGATGTTTTCGTGCTGCCAATTTGGACTGATGCGGGGAATTCTTTGCAGAGCTACCCAGGGCTACCCTGCAATGCAATAGCATGCAATATGTCGTGCCGCTTTCAATCCTCGTCTGAAAGAACATATAAGAACAAGTCTCGGAGTCCGCGGTTGCTCGGAGGCACGACAGCACGTTTGATCGCTCCCCAGGCTGCCGATGTGCCTACTGCGCTTTGGCAGCTTGAGCTTCCAAAGCTTGTGATCGCCCGTTGATCGCTGCGAGCACGTTGCGCCACACTTAGCCGGCGGAACCATTTTCGATCAAGCCTTCCGGGACCTGATCTATAAGGTTGGCCTCATTCAGATCCATCCAAGGTGACGCGGTGTGACTCGGCGTTACTCCGAGGAGTTATCCAGTGACACCCAGAGCGCCCACCGGCGCTCTGCCTTGAGCGGGAGGAGGCTTGATCGTAAGTATACGCCAGAACGTCAAGAGAGTGTACTGACATCGCCCGAGGCTACGTGATTGTAATTAGGTACGACCAGGACACATTGCACTATTATATATCATGGAGCTTGTAACTACCAGAGCAGTATGGAATTTTTCCGTGATTAAACCTGAGAATTTGTGTCAGCTGCAAGAAGCTCGTTCATTATCGTGTTTGGTAGGGTGTGATGGCTATGATACTTCTTCGATGCCCATGCGGCTTGTGCGCCGTTAAGACCCTTGTGGTACGCGCAGGCACAGACTCACCGCCGCATGGCCACCAACGGAACACTTTCGAGCGCGTTCAAGACGTCGTTTCGAAGGTCTTCTTCCTTGGACGATGGGGGATTCAGCCGGTAAGTTCGCTTTGAGTGTCCAGCGCTGCTCTATGAAATTGAGCTCGCAGTGAAATTTGGGAAGGAAGAGAACATCGACGCCACGAGCTCTGCAGGCCGTCTCGACTAGGCTTGGGACTGCCTTGAAATCTGGTTCCTCGAAGAGCATACGACGACAGCAGCAATCCCTCGCTCCAGGAATGCATTTAAACCCTTTGCACTCGGCGCGCTTCTTTGATATATTCCTGGCACTATATGACTGACAGAGATTCGTGCACTCACATTCTCTTTCGGCCCATCCTCTGACTGATTCCTCTCCTTCTTGGGCTTCTTCCTCGCAATTCCAAGATTCGCAAATCGCCAGGAGTTCTTGCATTTGGGCATTAGGCAGGAGAGTGCAATTGTAGCAACAGGTCTCTACCGGTACGCGGTGGGCGCTTAGCCACCGGATATGTTCTGGAGTACAGAAATTCATACTACATCGCCATTTCGCCGCGCGTGCAGATTCTGCGAACTATCCCGACACCAGAGACATCAAATAAAGATTAAATCGTTACTCCTTTCACGGTACAGTGCGAGTAAGAGATGTAGTACAATATTTCGACTTAATGACCATATTGTGTCACACTTTGTAACGCTCGGCCATTCCCGTTGGATGGATCTGAGCGAGGCCAACCTTACATTTTGACCGCCCTTCTCAGGTTGTGGCGTCGTCGCTCACCTCTCTGACGTCTCCTGGGCCTGGCGAATGTTGTCCCTCGTCAGTTGACATACATGCAGGGGATTATTGGCATTGGTAGCGTATGCACAATGCCTCTCGAGTTCCATTGAACATGACCCTCACTACACCCGGCCGAGTATTGCATCATCCTACTGGTCATAACTTAGCTGCGCATGCGGAGGGTTACATATGGCGCGGTACCGGGTAACGTACGCTGGATCCCAGGATTCGATCGGCGGAGGGTGATACGTGGACTCGTTCCCCGACGCTAACCATAAAGGGACGTTTGATGTGTACGTGAGTTTCACTTTCAGGCACTCCCTGTCTCAAAATGACATCTTCTCCCCAGTTGATCCCTGCGAACTCTACAAAAATCCGTCTCAGAATAGCTCAGGCTATGGTTCAATCGAAGTAACGGCATCGCCGTCGAGGTCCTGGCCTCTTGAGCAGCCCCTCTCGAAGATGACGGTATGAGTACTGTATCATCCCCAATAAATGTGCAGCGGAGAATTGATAACGGTACCGCGCGAGATTCGCAAATCACTGGTACCGCGCGCCCACCGTGATGGCCTTGACAACAAGGCTCCACCGAACGCCCGATCCAAGCACCGTCCTAGGCCTCCTTTAGGCTCTGATGCTGCAGGGTCGCTGATGATGTGACGAGCGTAAAGGCCAAAAGGATCACGCTAGGATGCCGGCGGACGGACTCACTTCGTTCTCCCTCCCCATGTCCTAGTCACGGTCTCCCCTGCGTACCGAATGGCGACCACTTCTCTTGATGCTGCTGAGTGGGAGGAGATACTTGGCAACATCGTCGCTTCTCAGAGATTAGCGTTCCTCGCCGTCGCCAGCTTCACGCTAATCGTCTATGATTACTTCGTCACTTTTGGTCAGGAAGTGAGTACTCACGTCTACCTGCCGGATACGAGTCTGACGGTGCATTCAGGTCAAATACTTCTGGACGGGGCCGTGGTCGCTGTCCCGTGTCTTGTTCTTATTGGTGCGTGTCATGGGTGCGACGCATTAAATTTATTGTGAGCTCACACTAACGGGCGGCGCCAGAATCGTTACTTATGCCCGGCCGTCTTGATGTGAGTTGTATCTATGGTTATTGGAATGGAAAGGATTGAACATGGTCATGGTAGGGTCGGCCTAGTCAGTGAGTTTGTCGTGATAGTTTGCCACCCCCGCTGTTGATACTAACTTACACCACTAGCCATTCTCGGCATTGATTTACCATACGCTGTGAGTATCCATTGGCGAAACTGAGTCTGCTTAATAGCGTTACTGACCTTGTGCTGTAGTAGTAAGAGGGTGATTCTAGTTCGCATTTGCTGTATCGCTGAGGTATCGATTGAACCAACCAGCTGCGAAGGCGGCATTCGCGCTATGTTCATCATGGAATATGTTGCTCTCAGCGTCATCCAAGGTCAAGACCTCCGCGAACACCCTCACAGTGTAATTGATATGACTTCCCATCACAGGCATCATCGTGTTGCGTATATGGTACATGTTCGCGGAGAGGCCTATCGCACGTCTCCTAGTCGTCTGCGCGTACCTCACGGCCATCGTCGTTACGGCTGCAGAGATGGGCATCCTCTTCGCAAGCATCGTACCAATAAAGTACAACATACCAGGTGTCGTCTACCACCACTGTACGGCGCCACCTGTGGCGAAGATCTGGCGACTATACCTGCCGAACTTTATCTTGCACACGATTCTCTTTGTGGCGACCACATGGCCAATACTCCAACAACGAAGTTCTACCTCACCATTGATGATCCGCCTTGTCAGAGAGTGAGTGGATTGCATACGTACTCATTTTTTTGCCGTCTGACCAGTCTCCAACCCAATAGCGGGGGTATCTTCTACGTCGCTGTGTTCGGTATGTCGAGACACCTCCCTTACCCATTAATCATAGTAACCTGACCGACGACGTGCAGCCGCCTCAGCATTTACGACCGTAGGGTCATTGCGACCAAATGATCCCGCCGTACGTATCCCGCTCGCTGCGAAGAGGCCTGTCAGCTAAAGCCGAATCCCCTCAGGTCATCCTTCCCGCCGTGTTCTCCAAGTAAGCGATCTGTGCACTCGCGCTGTCCAATCTGACGAACCGTCCACACAGCTTCCTCCTCGCCCTCTCCTCCGTCTCCGTCTCGCGGCTGATCTTCAGTATCCGCTCGCTCGCCGCGGCGCTCTCGATGGACTCCATCACGCTGCTCAGCACCGCGGAGCTCAGCCGCATTCGCTGGAAGCAGGGTGCGCACGACGGCGAGCTCATCGTCGAGATCGACACCGTCGAGGAGGACGAGCACGAGATGGGCGACCTCTACAGCCCGCAGCACATCCCGCACACGCCGCGCCCGTACACGACCAGGGTCGGCGTGTACAATGACGAGCTACTGCCGGGGTTCCATAAGCTAGCATCGGAGAAGACGAGGAAAAATAGGTCTTCGAGGGTGGTCCGGGCAGCTTCTATGACTCCCGCCCATTGATGGGCTCTGTAACAGCTCCCCAGCGTACTTCTTGGCGATGACCATCTGTACATTAGCAATAGTCTCCGGCTGCATCGCGCAGAGGACCAGCCATGCATGCGCCGCTAGCGTGTTCGATGGGTAGGGGACTGCGGCATGTAAAACAGCTATGACACTATAATACATACACATACGATACAACGCATAGCAGCGTATGGTTGGCAACAAGATGACCGCGCATGCAGGAAGCAGGTGATGAGTGGAACATGAAGGGGCATAATGTTCACTTCCTCGCGAACGTAATCTGCAAGACATCGTCAGACAGGCAGTAGCATCGGACACGCAGCGACGCACCTTGATTTTGTTCTCGCCATCGAGCTTGTAATTGTGCAGCGCGTCCTTCGCCATCGTCGCACTGCCTTCGTCCACGTACTCCACGAACGCGATGTCCTTCTTTGTTGGGATGAGACGCACTTCGTGTAGGTTCGGATACCTGCCTCGAGCACGTCAGAAGTCGTCGTCAAATGCGAGAGCATGGGTACGCACTGTGAGAAGAGGGCCATGAGTTGGTCCTTGGTGACGCTCTCGGGCAGGTTCTGCAGGAAGAGAATCTTGTTTGGTGGGAGGTACTCGTCGGGCATCTGGACGTTTGGCCGCTTGGATACGGGGGCGGCTCCCGTTCCGTCCACTGCAAGGTGTCAGACAAAAGTAGGGACGCACGACGCGCATATACGCACTATCCATAGCCTGTTTGCGTGCCTTGTACTTCCGCTTCAAGGGGTTAGTGTAGCGGGTAGCCTCTGCGGCCAGTAGCTTCAGCATGGATCCAGTATACGAGCAAGGGCGTTGCACGCACTCTTATGTTCCAATCTCCGTATCTTGTGCTCCTCATAGTGCGCAGCATCTATCTTCTTCACCACCGCGTCCGACCGTGTCCTCGCGAAGGATATTTGCTTCCCATGGGTGAGCACAGATAGCGCAGGTACGGTAGAAGGAAAAGGCACACACCATCGGTTTTGAATATAGCGGAAACCCTCGCACCTCCTTCAACGCCTTCTTCGCGATGTCCGCGGACTCGAACGCCACGAACGCCTGCCCGCGCATGCGCAGATTGCTGTGTGCGACGACGTCTAGGACCTCTCCGTACGCCTTGAAGAGACTCCGGAGGGACGCCTTGAGCACTGCGGCGCATACAGTCAGAATAACGCTGTTATGAGCCATTGCCGATGACGGGCCTACCGGGTATCTTGATCTTCTCGTTGAGGTTTTGGATGTACAGAGTCTCCGTGGCGAACTCCGGCTCTGCTGAGGGTGCGGGCGCGACGGGTTCTGCAGCGGACGGAACGGCCAGGGCAGAGACGGGGGCGGGGGCGGCGATGAGGCCCTGCATGGCGTCGGAGGCCATTGGGGGTGCCGCGATGTCGGTCATGTTGTGTCGGATGCCTTCGTGCGAGTGAGATGTACTTAGCAGCGGTGGCTGGAGAGAGCGATGGTGTACGCTGAAGAGACGGGAGCCCAAGCTTAATCCAGATTAGGTAATTTTGGAAACCGGCCGCCTGGTCTCTGAGGATGCCTTGATACGGCAAGTTGGAGACCACTACTTGTGCAGCTTCGCCTGCACCACACGCGATCACGTCTCTAAGAAATGCCACTGAACCTGGACGCACACATGTCATGTTAGACATGACAGAAGTCATACAGTCGCCCTCGCTGACACCGGATGTGAATGAATCGGAATTTGTACTCCAAGGTATGCCGGAACCATACATGCATGCAAGTATCGGGCTGAGGGGCTGAGCTAATGTCTCAGACATCGACGATAATGTTATGGAACGTACTGGTGGCGAGCTATGGCTATTCACTCGAAGGCTGATTGGAATCGAGATGGTTTTTCAAGCTCCAAGTCTGATCAGCGCGCTCGAGATGGTCATCCCGGCCTGTTGTGAATGCCGTGCTCAGAACTAGACGGAACGAGAGAACGGATGGTAGCGAGAACAGAATCGACATAGCATTCCACAGGTAGCGCAGGGTAGGACATAGAGTTCGGGCTTCATTGCCGCAAACAATACGGTATACAGAGATTACGGAGGCACACTATGGTACAAAGGGGGTGAGTGAGTGGACAGCATCAGCACTTAAGGCCAAGGCAAAAGAGGCGTAGACCACGAGAGTCTAGTCTACGTTCAGGGATGTGGGTAAGCAAATGGTTTGTCCAGGCATGAGACTGTTACAGTCCACGGTAGGGTTGAGATTGAGGAACTCCTCGAGCGTGCTGTTGCGTGCCTGCGACAGCTTCCAACAGGTGTCTCCCGCATTCACCGTGACCGGTTCGCTCCCGTCAGGACAGAGCGCGGCGCCGGGAGGGGACGGGTCAGAGCCCGTGTGGTAGAATACGAGACGGATTACGAGGAGCAACGCGACCGCGACGAGGAGGAGGAACGGGAAGAGCATGCGGTATGCGTGCCTGTTACCACTGTACATGAAATTGGGAGACTGGTTCTGGAGATGTGCGTCAATGACAGGACACACGACGCAGACAGAGTAGGCCGCTCACCACATCGCTCGCGAGCGGCTTGTAGCCGTCTGTACGAGTTGGAGCTGCCTCCAAGTCTTCGTCACTGGCATGGCCGTCATCATCTAGCGCAATTGGCGCATTGGAGACTATAACGAGGGCTCATCAGCATAACGACCCCGGGATGAAGGCACGACCGAAATAGCTCTCGGGCGACAGCAAGGCGCTACACACCTTGCGTGAGCTCTCCGTACTCTGCGCCTGCTGGGCCCTCCCAGAGCGTTCCATCTGCATCTCGGTAATAATATTTGCTCGTGTCAGAGTCGTATCCAACCCGCTTCATGCCCTCGGGCAAGCGGTATTCGTCCTACGGGGAATCAGACCGGTCACGCCACGAACGAGCAGCCTGGAGCCGGCTCACCTCATCATACTGCGTCCAGCGGCCCATTACTGAGGAAGTGTGGCAAGAAGAGAAATGGATGAGCGATATGAAGTACCTTTGACGCCCCAGACCACAGGCAATATTGGTCTTTTGTAGTGGGAACGCGGAGAGGAGGAGAGCCTGGCAGCGGAGGCGCCGTCTGACGCAGCACAGCAGTGGCTGCTCGCCTGGAGACGGGCGGAGACCGCGATGGTCTCCCGGAGATCCTGGACACGGCGCTACACGGTGGCGCGCATCATAGGCATTGGCAATGCTGTCCTCGACTCGGACATGTGCGTTCGATGCGTATATATATCCTCGCAGTCCATGACTTCATTACACCCGTCGCCGCTCTTACCCCCTCTCGTTGCTGTGCTGCACGATGTCGACCCAGGCAGCCCGCGTTCTGCGCGTTGCCCTCCGCGGCGAGGGCATCCTCACAAGCCCGCGCTTCAACAAGGGCACCTCGTTCACCGTCCACGAGCGCAAGGTGTTTGGCCTAACCGGCCGCCAGCCATGGCACGTCAACACGCTCGAAGAGCAATGTCGACGTGCATACGACCAGCTGTGCACCAGGGAGACGCCGATCCGGAAGAACACGTTCCTCCAGAGTCTCAAGGACCAGAACTGGGTCCTGTACTACGGACTGATTAGCAGGCATCTGAAGGAGCTTATTCCAATCATATACACTCCGACGCAGGTGAGTGTATGCGGACTGTGGTCGCTGCCTCTGCTATAGACCCTCTTCAGGCCGATGCAATCGCAAACTATTCGCACCTCTTCCGGAGAAGCGAGGGAATGTTTCTGACGTTCTCTAACCAAGACTCCATGGAGGAAGACTTCCTCGAGCAGACGAAGGGACGTGACATCCAGCTCTTTGTCTGCTCAGATGCGGAGGCTATTCTGGGAATTGGCGATCAGGGCGTTGGTGTGAGTATATGTATCACTTTGCTGGAGCTAGCTAGCTGACTACTCGAGAACAGGGGATTGGCGTAAGTCGCAGTGAAGACAGTGATGCGGAAGCAGTCTAACCCTTTACCAGATTACCACTGCGAAGTCCGCGATCTATACGTATGTTCTTCGTTGAGATCTCCGAGATTCAGATCACTGACTTAGGTCGTCGTAGGCTTCTAGCTGGCATTGATCCCTCGAAGTCACTCGCAGTCACTCTCGACGTCGGTACGGATAACGAGGAGCTGCTCAAAGACGATCTCTACGTCGTATGTCTCCGTTCGCGATGTAGTTGAGCATGCGTTCACCTCCATTGCGTCTGACAGGGTTGGCCACACAACCGCGTGCGCGGCAAAGCATACGACGAGTTCATCGACAAGTTTGTCCAGCTCATCCGCAAGCACCACCCTCACAGTCTCCTCCACTTCGAGGACTTTGGTGTGAACAACGCAAAGCGACTCCTGGATGTATACCGTGACCAACACGCTGTATTCAACGATGACATGTATGCTTCCTCTCTTATTGGTACCACCTGGTTACTGACCGTCACGTTTGCAGCCAAGGTACAGGTGCAGTCACGCTCGCGGCCCTCATGTCCGCCATCGGCGTGACCAAATCCAAGCTCTCCGACCAGCGCATCCTCGTCTACGGCGCGGGCACCGCCGGGCTCGGGGTCACCCGCCAGCTGCGCGACGCGATGGTCCAGCTCGACGCGCTCGCCGAGTCCGACGCCAACAAGCGGTTCTACCTCATCGATCGGTACGGCCTCGTCAAGGAATCTCTCGGACCCAAAGTCCGCGGGGACCTCCGGGAGTACGTGCGCCCCGACGCGGAGTGGGAAGGCGTGCCGACGAACGACCGCGGCGAGGTCGAGCTGCTCGAGGTCGTCAAGCGGGTGAAGCCGACGGTCATGGTCGGCTGCTCGACCCGCGGCGGGGCGTTCACGGAGGCGGTCGTGCGGGAGATGGCGAAGGGCACCGAACGCCCGATCATCTTCCCGCTGTCGAACCCGAGCCGCCTCGCAGAGGTGGACCCGAAGGACGCGAATATATGGACGGACGGTAAGGCGTTGATGGCGAGCGGCAGCCCGTTCCCGCCGTGCAAGAACCCGCAGGGCGGGAAGGACTACATGTGAGTACATTTCATGCCTCGGCTGCGTACGTACCCCTACTGACACGCGGCCGACAGCGTCGCGGAATGTAACAGTGAGTATTTCAGCTCGTGCCACACATTGCGTTCACCCTGACGTTCGATAGATGCCCTGATCTACCCCGGTCTCGGATATGGCGCGATGATTACTCAAGCTCGCTCGCTCAGCGACTCCATGATCATCGCTGGTGCACAAAGGCTCGCCTCGCTCTCGCCCGCTCTCTCCGACCCCGACAGTGCGCTGCTGCCCGACTTTACAGACGCACGCGAGGTGAACACTCAGGTCGCCGTCGCCGTCGCGGAGCAGGCCATCGAGGAAGGTCTGGCGGACGTGCCATGGAAGAAGAGCGAGGTGCACGAGCACATCGTCTCGGGCATGTGGCAACCCATATATGCGGATTTTGAGTACGACCCGAACGGTCTACACTAGAGCACGCTTGATATCTCGAAAGACACCTTGTATAGATAGACTGTACGGATCGGAACTCTGTACAGTAGATGCGTGATAGACGAACCATACCATTCTTGTGGTTATTATACAATCCGTTGCGGGAAGCGATACACCGAACTACTACGAAAACACAAACAACGCGTCTAGCACTGCGGGCACATACTTTTCTTTCTAGCTGTCCGGTGGACAAGACCTTCACGAGCTGACAACTTGCTGCACGACGACGATCTCGTCTGCTAACAACTGGTCGACAGCAGCGGAGAAGTTGTTCGTGTTGTGTGCCGCGCAGTCCTTGAAAAACGACAACAAGTGGGCCTGCACCATATCGTTAGCGACCTCAGTCTTGAATGAGCGCTCTGAGCTGACATGTTCTCTCAGTGAGAAGGGGGTAACTACCGCGGGCTAGCGCACTAAAGGGGTGTAGCAAGACCACCACTGCTCAGACCCCTTTGGTACGCTAGTACGATGTCACTCGTTTCCCCCAGAGTGCCTGGCAGGCTCGCGAGCGGCGTAAGTGCATCCAACGCACCTTCATATCCATCTGTGACACAGGGTCATTCTTGAGGTCCTCATCGTCGGTCGCCTCCAGCAGGTCGTCATTGTCGAAAGGTAGACCGCCGGGGCCTGAGAGCAGGTCCGACAGGAAGGCCAACTCGTTGGCGCGCGAAGAGCCCTCGGGAGCGGCGACCTCGTCATCACCCTGCCATTCGTCGTCCTGAGTATCCCATGGAAGTGTCAATTACTCAGAAACGGGGACATGAGATGGTAACGAGACGCACGCCATCGTCCGAGTCAACATCCGACGCGTTCATCCTCCGCGAGGCGGCTTCTCCACCGGACTGCAGCTCCCGCAGCAAGAGCTTGAGTGCCTTCACTGGGAAGGGTACGCGAGTGAACTCGGTCGGCACTGGTCGCAAATCACATTCATTAGCCAATTGCTCTATCGCGAACCTCAATCGTACGAACAGACGCACCAGCTTTTGTCTTCGATCTAGTCATGATGACTACACCTGGATCGTCAGCACCCGAACGGACTTTCTCGCTGTCATTACAACGCGAAAATCACTGCTGAGAACGCACCATTCCTCGTCTCGGGCTTGATGATGAGGTCACCCTTGACGACGACGTTTTGGAGGCTGGGCCGCCCGGAAGCAAATAGCGAGCATAGGGCGAGGGTACTGATGCGCTGCGCCCAGAAGCCCTGGAATGTCTCCTCATTCTCGCACCAGGTTTGAAGGAGGATATCGAGCCCTGAGCGTCCGTCGACGTTCGCCGACTCTAGGAGATCCAGCACGGTGTCTCGTTGATTGTGGATTAGGAAGGCGAACGGTATGACGAGACTCTGGTGAAACGGGTAAGCATCCAGTAACAGGGAGCCAGAATCCCCAGACATGCCTGAATGAACGTGGCGGTCTTCGCAGTGGTCATCCGGCCGATCATGGCATTGAGCAATTCCGGAAGCACAGGGAGGACGTTCTCGCGTGCTCGACGCAACAGGTGGATGATGAGGTCGCCCACCACCAAACCGCCGGATTCGTCCTGGCTCTTGAGCTGCTTCGCGATGGACTCGAGCACGCAGTCCAATCCCAAGCGGCCGCTCGTAGGGTCTGTCCAAGCTTGTAGCTGGGCGAAGTCCTTGCGGACAATCGTAGTTAAGCATGCGATGCCGTTCTTTGCAACAGTTGTTAGCAAGACGTCACAAGCAGTGATTCTGACGAATGTACCTGGATGACATCTCTGTCCTCGACAGACCGCAGGGCGAGGAAAAGACTTGGTGCAAGTATGCTCACAAATCCTTCTCCTAGACCACCCTCCGGCGCGCCCTGCGCCAGGCTGCTAGACAGATCGATGGCAGCACCGGTGATCCACGGTTCCCTCTCGGTGGACGACATGATAGCATTGGTGAGGATAGGCAGGGCTTGCTTGACCACTGTCTCGTACACTCCTGGGGCCTTCGACCCCGCCAGCGAGGCGAGGATGTCGGTCAGAAGGGAGATGAAGATTGGGTCTACACCACAGAACGTCAGGCCAGTCTGATCTGATCCGGGGCACAAAAGGCACCTTTATTGTTCTTCATCCAGATGTCTAGGACTGCTGTAACCAGCGAACTGGCAAGATCCTGCGTCATCCACGCGCACTCCCTGATCTCCACAATTGTCAAGAGCGCTTCCAGCACAAGGGACAAGGTGTCCTCAGAGGTCACAGAGAGGAAAGGACCGACAGCCTTCGCGATCCGCGGTGCTACGGGTTCAAGCAGACCGTCGTCGATGTCTTTGCAGAAGCTGGTGACATACAAAATCGTCAGCGTATGACAATGAATGGGAGAAATTGACCTGACTTCAGAACGGCCTTGACTGCAGAGATCTTGATCGGTACATTAGCTTCGCTGGCCTCGAGCACCTGGACAGTCGCCTGCAAGTACTGTCCTGCCATCTCGACAGGCAGGACCTTCGTGTACTGGCTAGCGAATACGAAGGCTCGACCCTGCAAGAAGGGACAGTCTGCACCATGGTCAGAATAAACATTCAGATAACGAGTTCGAAAGCGCTTACCTGACAAGCTGAGCAGATTCGGTATGACGTTCTGCAGGAGAGGCGCGATCTGGATCTGCGCCTGCCTGCCGGAGGCAGCCTCGTCGTCGATCCACTCAAGGACAGACTCGGATTGGCCGCCGACTGCAGCAAGCATGGCTTCCAACGGACGCCACCTGCAAACGTCTCCCTGAGTTGGACTGTACAAGCGGAACGTAATTGACATACCAGCTCGGATTCCCAGAGGCCTTCTCCACATCTGACTGGGCCGTGATCTGCTGAACGATAGACTGCATGGTGTTCATTGCCGGCGACTGGAATCCATCAATAATGGCCTAAAAACAAACCATTTGAGCATGACGGCCGCGGAGAACCCATAAACAGAGCACCCACCCCGAGCAAGTCAATACCAGCTATTCGGGCGCTGAAAGACATCGCCTCCTCGGCTTCCTGGGCAACGAACGCATTCGCGTTGTTGATCCACTCCTCTTCCTGTCACAAATCCACCACATCCGTTAATCCCAGCTGTTGGAACAACTGGACAGTCGAGCTCAGACGTACATCATCCTTCGTGATCTGCACCCACTGCGTGAGCGCCAGCACCAACTTGCCCATATTATCGTCCGTCCAGAACTCCCGCCCGCGCGCATGCCGCGCTGCACCCGCGATAAAGTCACAGACAGCGCAGAACAGCTGCGGCAGTGCCGTGCTTTCGCTGTCAGTCGTCTCCGAAGGCGGAGGGACGGTCGCCTGGGCGAGGACGTAGTGGTGCAGGTACGCAGGGTATAGAGTCGTGAGATGCGTGAGGGCTGCGGAGAGAAAGTCGGGGAGGGCGGGGATGAGGAGGCGGTGGAAGGGTACTTGGATCATGTCGAGGGCCTGATATCATTCATGAGTACGACGTCAAGCAATAAGGCGTGACAAAACCGGCCTTGAAGATCTGAATGCGCAGAGCGACGCCATCCCAGTTCGGGGTGCCCTCGACGTCCTGCCTCGGGTCAATGTTGAGTAGAAACTTGAACGCATCGAGCCACGCGGGAAGGATCGACTGCGCCGCCTCCTTGACCGCTTGCGGGTGCTCCTGCTTGACCATGAACAGCGTCTCCACACACGTCCTGAAAACCCCGACAGCGCGTGCACGCGTAAGCACGCTATGTTGCTGCAAGAACATTTGGCTTCAAGCTGCTGTGTATCTAGGCAAGTGGCGCACCTCAGGTGCTCCGAGGATATTCAGGAGAATTGGCAGAAGCTGTCTGAGCACGGGCAGGATCTGGTCCTCCGTCAGGTCAGCCTTGATGAACTCAGCCATCACCTGCATCGCGCCGTGCACGGACTGCGGCGAGTTCGAGGACAGAAGCGCGATCAGCGCGTCGAGGAGGTCTGGCCACTCATCAGGCCAGTCGGTGTTCGCAATCGTGGTGACGATTTGCGCCTGATGGTAGACATGGTTTAGCGGGACGCACGCGCTGGGAGGGCGAGAGAACAGCCTACGCTGAGCGAGCGGATTTTGCTTTGGGGATCGGAGAGGGTTTGGAAGACTGCTTGGCGGATTTGTGCTTTGAGCTGTACAATGTGACAGGCGGTCAGAAGGGCATTCCAAACGAATACACGCAGCGCGATTGATCGCACAAGGGTGGCGCGTAGAGCAAAGGGCATAGTATCTCACCTCGACGGGAACGGCGGTCAGGCCTCTCCATTTCGGCAGGCCAGGGGACCATCGTTCGTTCACAAACTTGCGCAACACTACCGAGGCCGAGTGCTTGTCCAGGGTACGCCATCAAGCCAGGTCCTACGCAGTTATAGACAAGGAGAACACTCATCTGTCTAAGCCCTACATCGGCACCCTGACTTGCCACCAGCTGCGCAAGCACCACGCCCGCCTCTGCACACACCATTAAACGGTCAGAGAGAGAGACAAAGCACAAGGGCGCGTCAGATGTGGGACCAAAGACAAAGAGCGATGAGACGCGCCTGGGGCAGCGAGCATGTCGCCAAGGGTGAGCTCGGCCTTGATGCGTGTTGTGGTATCCGTGGAGAGGGTCTGCGTGAGGCATTGCGTGAGATGCTCGAGGGTGGCTGCCATCGTAGGCTGGAGAACAGAAGGCGAGTGAGGAGGTGAAGATCAAGGTCGATTAACGTCACAATGCACGCGTCGAGACGCGTTGAGGTCACGCGTATCCTGTCACACCGCGACCCAACGCGTTGGTGGCGTCCCAACATCAGCCTCCACATATCCTCCATTGTTGCCACCGTCAAATTCACTCAGGATGAGTCTGGTCACTGAAGCTGATGCTTTTCTTGTCTCGCTCACTGAGGATGCTCATGGTCTGCTGTATTTCTAGAGATCCGAGATATTCGCTGATCATCCAAGTCGTGAAGACAAATCGGGGCCGACAACAGCGAAGGGGCTACAACTCGTGTCATTATCATTACGAAGGATACACTGTATACGATCCGAGTCCAAAGATCCAGGGGTATACAGTACTTTGAAGAACAAGCAAGGTAAGGTGTGGAAAGGTGATCGACCAAAACGGGACATAGGCAAGTAAGGCGGCAGGTGGACGTAGCCTTAGGCAACCAACTGGCCTCTGAAACCGTCTCCGCGGCGCGAGGCTGATACTCCCCGGAAGAGGACAGTGATGAGTGCAAAGGTGACCATGATCCTGAACACGGGTCAGCATTATCGACCACACGCATCAGAAACGTACGTACCACTCGATCCACGCGAAGGCTTCCAGTGCGTTCAGCTGACCACAGTACGTGTACCGCAGGCTTCCGACCAATGCTCATCAGAATTCTGACGGTAAGGATAAATGATGACGACGCGTACTTGCAGTCAAGCCCGCCACCGAGCGCGGATGTGATGCTAGCAGCAGCAGCGACCCAGAGCACCCAAGTGAGGAACAAGCTGCCCACGCCAGTCAGCCTCTATTCACCTAACAGCTGATGGGGAACGTACAAGAATCCATGGCTCATTACACTGGTGAGGACCGAGCCCGTCGACGCAGAGTGCCAGAATAGCGCAAGGTAGAAGAGCGAGAAGAACACGGTCCAGCAGGACGTGAAAAGGATGTACCGTGTTCGGTCGCGAACGGCGAGACTCAGGTAGTCATGGTGCGAGTTGTACGTGCCCGTGAGCCATCCGGATATTGCGACCTACGGCGACGCTTGAGCGGAATGCAAGGCAGGGAGTATCACTTTAAAACGCACCTCGATGATCCCGAACAGAATAATCAAGCCAAACACGACTAGGATATGGCAGGTGAGTACAGCTGCGAGTGTGTGCACGGTGCCACGAAGACGCACTCGGGTGTCCCCTGCGTACATGGTTGTCAAAGTTGACCATGATGGGTTAACTGCAAGCACAAGCAATAGTAGTTCGTGAGGGATTTGGGGGTCGTGACGGTCGTGGCAAGAGGGATGAGGGGAAGAGAGGAACTCAGGCGGGGAGAGCAGGGTGGTGCTGCGGCTGGCGGTCTGAAAATGAACGAGTGGACCGATGTCTGCCGCCGAGTTTTGGGCGCGCTGCGCGATGATGCAGATGACGGTCTGGTCATGACGTCACACCTGCCCCGCAGTCCCCGGCTTGTCCGTTCTCGCCGCTCGGAGACCTCTCGCCGCTCGGAGACCAGTTCTCGAGACCGCCGTCCGCCGTCCGGACCAGCCCTCCGACGAACGATGCTGATCTCGTGCTCGTCATCTCAGCTTCGCGGTCCACACACGCTCGTCGTCGTCGCAACGCACAGATTGTGTCAGGCGTCCGCGCGCCCAATGTATCTCTTCGGGTCCCTAGGCATTGCCAACGCTGCTCAGATCCCACCGAAGAACATTATGTTAACCCCATAACCCAACTTGATTTCAGCATCGAGCGACTAGCACAAGGAGTGATCTAGCACAAAAAGGGACAGCACACACACAGGGCGGCACGAAAGCGTCCACAGCAACAGTGCATGCGTCGGAAGAAAAGAAGTAGATGAACCCCCAGGGTTCGCATCATGACCCAGAAACCGTCCAGCGCGCAAGCGCATACACGTCCTGCTTGAAATAGCCGAATGGAGCCCCGCAGAGCCAGCGCGCTCAGTTGGTGGTGGCGTTGGTGAACTGCGTCGCGGCGAACCCGACCTGGTTGTTCGCGGTGTCGTACACGGAGAGGTACCGCTCGAGGAAGCTGAAGCCGTTGATGAAGTCGAGGCCCTGGCCCGAGTTCGTGCCGATGTCGCTCACGACCATGTAGATCTGGTCGTTGTTGCCGCCGATCACCGAATTGAGCGCACGCTGTGGGCAGGCGGGACAAGTTAGTCAATGTATGCGCGGGAATTCGGAGGCGGGGTGACTTACAGGCCAGATCTGAGCGTTGGCAGTGAGCTCGTACGATTGCTGCAGGTAGCGGATGACTAGTTAGTGATCCAGCGGCATGATGATGCCTTAATACACGTACACCACCGATGTTGAAGAACAAGCTCTGGAGGTTGTTGAAGTCGGCGTTGGAAATCGTCAACAGACCAGTGGTCTGGTCTTGCGTCGCACCGGTTGCCTGCTGGTAAGCCTGGAACGCGTCTACGACCACTGTCAATGATCATTCCTCAGGACAACGTCGGATCCACTTACCAGTCGCCATGAGGATCAGCGTAGTGCCAGTGTCGACGATGCCGGCAGTCGTGTCGAGGATGGTGGTGTTCGACGAGCCGTATGTGATAGACTGGTCGATGCCCCAGAACTGGCTTGCAGGGGCGGTCGTCGTCAGCGGCCTGTCCAGCCCATCAGCACACGCGCAGATCAACTAGGAGACAACGGGACGCACGTAAAGGCGACATTACCGACGGTCTTGGAGTCGTCGACGCTACCGAAGGTGAGCTCGCCGTTGGTGTCGTTGGCCGAGGTAGCGGGCGCGAAGAAGACGGAGACGAGGTTCTCGCCGATGATGCCCTGCGAGAAGAGGTTGTCGGTGACTGCAGTATCCGCCAGCCGTCAGCGACTGTCGTCTCCATGGCGAAGTGAATTCTGCCTCACCGGTCGGGACCTGGGTCTGGGAGTTTTGGCCGCCGACGGTGCCGACTGTCAGGTCAGTGGGCCCAATCCTGCGCACAATCGAAGTGAGCTTTCGGTACAGACTCGGCCGTGGACGACAAAGACGGACCCAACAATACCGTCGACACCTGTGAAACCCTGAGCCTCCGTTGCAGCGCCGATTGACTGCCCAGAGATCGTGAGGCCACCGAGTTGGACGTCATCCTCGAACTCCTCGCCGGCAAAGGCACCGGAGCCGTAGCTGACTTCCTGTGGGGTGATGCGTGTCAGCAGCAGAACGTTTTTTTCGCTTTGGTATGACGATACGTACAACTTGTTGGCCGGTCGACTTGGACGTTGACGTCTGGACGAATGGCTTGTTTGTGTCGGCACCCACCCATGTGTTGGAAGAACCAGTGTCGACCAACAGGTTGTCTGATGGTCTGGTCAGCGCAATGGATGATAGGTAGCTTCGATGGTTACTCACAGGTCGTCGGAGGGTTACCAACACCAACCTGCGAAATTGGATAGTAAGTACGCATCGCACAAATCGCAGACGGGCTGAACTCACGCTGATAACGTAATCCTCACCCTGGTTTGTCGCAGCGACATTATCGTCGCTGGCTAGGGTACCATTCGCAGCAGCGGTACCGTTCGCAGCAGCGGCACCCGCGGTCGCTGTGGCATTCGCGTTGGCCGCGGCACCACCAGCATTGCCTTTGCCTTTGTGGTGCTTCTTCGCCTCGCGAAGAGCCTGGCGCCCTCCCTGGAGGAGGGCGGCACGATTGCGGTCGTTCTGGAGTACTTTGCGGATACCCAAGTGGTTTGTGCGCCTGGCCATAGGAAGTGTGATGCGGTTGTTGCGGACCCGGATGGGGCTCGCGGCCACGGCCAGCGCGAGGACGAGGGTCAAGAGCAAAAAGGAGCGAAGTGCCATGCTAGCAATGAAGAAACCAAGAGGGGCAGCAGGTCAACTGGCGGGAAGGGTAACCGGGAGGGGAGAAGCTGCGAACATGCTCATGCGTGCGCTTCTATATAGTGCGCAGAAGGGGGCATTGTGCCGGACGACGCATGGCATTGGGCAGAGTAGCCGCCGGGAGGGCTGATTGTGCCCGAATGCACCTGCCGGCATTATCCCATTGAACATGTGCTGCGGACGGCCTATGTGCGACGCCTCATGCGGTACATCACCCATCCCTCTCGGAGAAGTTGTCTGCGGATATATCGTTTGATCTGCACACACAATGTCAGCCCGCGGCCAAACTGCAGCTGCACGCAAACGCACCTTGCAGTCTGCCTTGTATTCCAGCGGAGCACAGGCCTGCACAGGGCCTCTGCGTACCTGGCCACTCCACTCCGCAGCCACTCACAGTCGAGGCTATAATTGGAACGGCCCCAGCCCGAGGAGAGATGGGATGGCTCGCGATCAATCGGTCGTCAGCGTTACCGGACCTACCGCGCGCACCATGCCGGGATTGCGTGCAACTCTGGTGCAACTCCTCGATAAACTTCGCATTCGAGCGGTCCTTGGCGTGGAAGAGAAACACACCTGTGTGAGAGCCGACTCAGCGCGCTCACTCTCGCACTATCCCGTCGACAGCAAGCTGAACAGCAAATACTGGGCTCGCTGATTCCCCATCACTTCGCAAATGAGAACCCAGCGGGAGTGCACAAGGAGTGCATGAGCAACAAGAGCAACAGAGTGGTTGAGACAGTCTATTTTTAACATTGCGGTCAGGAGTAGATTGCAGACGTGTTCGACGACGGTTGCAGCGACGACGATCGAAGGTCGACGACGACGACCGAGCCGCGAGCCGCGACACGGCCGGCGCCTACAAATCAGTCGCGATCACGGGACTTGCATCCCTCGAATTCCTTCAATTCCTCCAATTAGACCTTCTCCCGAGTTGCTGTCCACTCACTACGGCAGTTCCATATGCATGCCATACAGAAGTGCAGTACACCGATCCAATCCGTCACATAGACGACGAGAAATTACTAAGGAATTACTGTTCGCCGTCTGCATCATACTCATAACGTCCATAGATTGGCTTCCACTGTCTTTCTCTCACCTTCTCCCTTACCTCCTCCTTCGTCCACTCCACAGCCGCAGCACCCTCCTCAATAGCGCGTTCTACCACAGCGCAAGTCACCTCGTAGTTGATCTCCGGCGAGTCCCCAAAGTCCGGTAGGAGCGCGTCGTCGGGGTCATTCAGCGCGGGCGCGAGGGACGCTAATCTCTGTGCCCCCGCGACGATCATACTATCCGTCAACGACCGCGCCTTCGACAGTATAGCACCGAATCCCAGTCCAGGGTAGATCAGAGCATCTACGGAACCGCCTCGCATCAACACGCCGCCCCGCACAGCCCAACAGCACAAACAACCGCACTCACTATTACACTCCGCCACCCTGTACTTCTTCCCGCCCGGGAGCTCGACAGAGGGGAACGGGCTGCCCGTCGCGAGAAGCGCCTTCCCGTCCGACCACCGCTTCGCGTCCTCCGGCGTGCACTCATGCTTGCTCGTCGGGTTCGACAGCGGGAGGATGACCGGGCGCTCCGTGCCCCGCGCCATCTCGCGCACGACCGCCTCGTCGAACGCGCCGCCGACCGTTGAGCATCCGATGAGCACCGTCGGCTTCACGCGGCGCACAACCTCGAGCAGCCCGATCTCCCCGCGCTCGTTCGCCGCGGCGCCCTCCCATTCTTCGTCCGCACGCACGAAATCAGAGAGGCCCGAGCGGACATTGTCGGGCCCGAGGGAGGCTTTGACGAGTCCGTGCTGGTCGAGCAGCCAGAATCGCTGGTTCGAGTCGGATGGGGAAAGCCCGTCGAGAGTGACCATCGCGTCGCGTAGCTGACGTGCGATGCCGAGTCCTGCAGTGCCTGCGCCAAAGATGACGATGCGTTGGTCTGACAGCTTGGATTTCATTACGCCGACGGCGGCCATGATCGTCGCGAGGGTCACCGCTCCAGTGCCTTGTCTATCAGTTGGAAGTTCAGATGGAGTGATACCGGGGATGCAGTACCAAGCACGTACACATCGTCGTTGAACACCGCGTGCTTTTTTGCGTAAGTATCGAGCAATCGTTTCGCATTGTTGACACCAAAGTCCTCGAAGTGGAGAAGGCTGTGGGGATAGTGCTTCCGCACAGACTGCACGAATCTAAGATTCGGGTATCTAGGAGGACGCGATACAGACTACAGACCACCCTCGCTTACCTATCAACGAATCGATCGTATTCTTCTCCGCGGACCCGTTCATGAGGCCAGCCCTTTCAGGCATTCAGCCGGATATTCCAGAGGAGTTGTCGTCTGCACGTACCACATAGAGCGGATCCTTCAATAGTTTCTCGTTGTCAGTTCCAACGTCAAGGGTCACTGACAGCGTCCGTGCGGGGTCTACGCCTGCTAGAAGACTAAGACAACGTTACGATGTTGATGAGGAGCAATGTTGATCGGAAGCCAAAGCCAACATACGTGTATATGGATGCTTTTGCTGTCGAAATCTACAGTGTAATTGGAATGTTATAGACTCGTGTCATCCCAAGGGGGGATGGCGAGAACTCACGCCGATACCCTTAGTAGGTCAACCAGTCAGCGATTGTACTTCACGGCTGCTACGTCGACTTACCCCAACGCCTTGGTCACCGATCCCGAGAATCATCTCCGCGTCAGAGCAGACGACCAGATCGACGTCCCGGCCCTGTGCTTGCTCTAGGAAGTCTTCTTCCATTGACTCTTGGTGAGGCAACGTCAGGTATAGCCCTTCGCTCCGTCGGAACAAGTGCGAATACTTTGATATCGCCTCCGCCTATGCACCGACAAGTGACCACATCTTCCATTAGCCAAAACAGCAGTGAAGTACACGTCAAACGCACCTCCGTAGGCGTGTATATGATCGGGGTCAACTCCTGCAGATGCCTCGAAATCAGCGCGTAGTACAGTACCCAATTCTGGTCCCTCAAGCTCTGGAGGAATGTGTTCTTCCGCAGCGGCGTCTCGTGCGACTGGAGCTGGTCGTAAGCCCGCTGGCATTGCTCGTCGAGCGTGTTGACGCGGTACGGGAGGTGGCCAGTTAGGCCAAAGGCATTGCGCTCTGCGGTGGTGAACGCGGTGCCTTTGTTCCATCGTGGACTTGTGAGGATACGCTCGCCGCGTAGAGCGACGCAGAATCTTTGCTCAGAGGACATCGTAGTAGAGAATGTAGTTGTCGGTGTGCTCAGACCGGGAACAAGAGGGTTCAATGTGATGGAGTGGGTATGACGTCGTTCCTGGCAGACGACATGGCTTTCGCGAGTGAGTTCTCCCTGCAGCGGCCATCTTGACATACAAAGCGCTAGAGTATGTCCGGAATGGCACACCTTCCTCTGTAGAGAACAAATAATATTCGACTCTCGAGAGTCGAGCGATCAAGCCGGCAAAGCGAGAGCAAGTATATACATGAGCTGACGGCAGACATGGCCATGTATCATCGTTCGGCACAGGCGATGACAGCTGGTGCTTGATTGCAGACCAATAATAGTGAAGATCCACCAAAGTTCAGCGTTCCATTATATCCAGTAGAGCACAGAGCGCGAGGCATACGAATGAGCCGCAGTGCAGAGTCACTCAGGCTGTGATACCTGTAAGTTCGTTCTTGGCCGATTCTTGGCCGTGTCGGGACAAGCGCCACCGAAGCCAAATGCACACAAATAGACATCTCCCATTGTGGCACCAAGGGATGCTGTGGCTGAGCTCCGAGTCGCTCGGCGAGTGCACCGTCATGTCCAAGTCCTCCCTCTCCTCCGTCGTCTCCGACCTCGTACGAGCCCAGATGGGCACCGCACTGACACAGACAGTGACGGACGAAGACCTTGACCGCCATGTTGCCGAGCTGATCCTGAAGGAAGCCAAGCAGAAGGCGGAGAAGTATGGGACGGACGGTATTCGCGCATACCTCCAGAGCAACGAGTAGGTCACCCCAAGGATTATTCTATCCATGATTCACTGAGACAGCGTGTAGTAACGAGAGCAATGCGCCGAAGACCAACAAGCGCTTTCTCTCGACCATCATCAAGAGTACAGATGATCACAACAAGACTATCCTGCGCGCGCAAGCCCAAGCGGCACAGGAAATCAGGCTAGAGCGGGAGGAACAGGAGAGGCGCGAGCGGAGAGCCCGTGCTGAGGAGGCTGTCGCTGCGGAGCGCCTGCGGCGGCTTATGGGGCAGAGCGGTCGTACAGAATGGGCGAGCAATTGGGACCGTGGTGGATCGAGGGGCCTCAAGCGGCGGGAGAGGAGCTGGGAGAGGCAGGATGCATGTGACGACGAAGTTCACGAGCGGGAGCACAAGCGCGAACGCAGGTCGGACAGACACGAGCGCGAGCACCGCCACCGCCGTCGGTCACGGTCTGGGGAACGGGAACGTCGGAGTCGCAGGGAAGAGGGACGCAGGTCGAGACGATCACGCAGCCGGGAGGGGTACGAGAACGACGACGAAGACGACTACGAGAGGCGGAAGCGGAGGAGACGTCACAAGGAACGCAGTCGTTCGAGGTCCACTGCCCGCTCCGAAGAAGACCCCGACGACAGAGATCATGACAGGCACAGGAGGCGGAATAGAGACAGAGATACATTTCGTCGAAGCCGTCGCCCGAGCCCTTCCAGCAGGGCACGCTCTCACTCCGCTGATGTCGAGCAGCCGTCGCGCTCACGGCGGCGTTCTACATCTGATGAAAGCCCTCGACGCCGGTCGCAGCAAGGTCATGGCGACGAAGAAGAGCCCGAGGACACTCTGACCCGAGAGGAGAAGCTCCGACTTGAGCTGAAGCGGAAGGGCAAGACAAAGGCGGCAGATGACGCCTACGTCGCTGCGACTCATACGAATTCTCCGTCGCGCAGGCCCCGAGACGACGAACGTCGGATTAAATCTGGGACACCTGACGAAGAGGGTATGAAGCATGGCTCAACCTCTTCACGTACTATGCGCTCGTCAACTAGTCCAGCTCGGTCATCCATCGGCCCACCGTCTCCCCCCACCTCCCCTCCACCTCTCCCACCACTACCATCCAAGATGGACAAGTACTTTGATTCCTCTTATGATCCCCGCCTTGACGTCGCGCCACTGGCCGTGCCTACCGTGCCGAAGACTGGCCTCATCGATGACGCCGACTTTGCCGGCTGGGACGCGATGCTGGAGGTCATCCGCCAACGGCGCGAGTACAAGGCGGAGAAGAAGATGCTGGAGCGGTGGGGCGTCGGGAAGGACAAGGACAAGAAGAAGAATGCTGACGGCGCGGGTGCGTCGTGGTCGGAGGGCGGGACTAGCGTCATGGACATCCAGTACAAGAAGAAGGGGGCTGTCCGGGAGTGGGACCTGGGCAAGGAGGGATTCTGATATTTCGGTTGGTTGGATCTGACTGTGAGGGACACATATCGTTGTATGTTCTTTTGGATACTCGCACATGTACTAATGTATACTGCCGACTAGAATAGGTGTCATAATGAGGCCCGATCGTTTCCATTGTAGCGTCCACAACCCCGTCCAGAGAACCCGTGCACGGGCTCAAGACGAAGTGTATGCGTCTGCAGCATCGTGTCTAACCCTCGCGAAGATGACTCGGGAAAATCGCGACGTGCTTAATCTTACTGATACAGGAGTTCACTGACTGAGTTCATGATGCAATCGAAGCAGTAGAGGGCCCAAGTGCACTACGGCCACAGGCGTAGGCGTCGTGAAAATATGGGGGCCTTCCGAGGGCTGTGGGCCTTGTGGCACCTATAACACCGTTGTTCCGTAAGTCATCCCTCAGTTGACATGTATCGAGAATGAGGCCTGAGGACTCACTGTGGGTGCTCTCTCGAGCGGCTTGAAGGTCTCGCACACGATCCAAAATGACTTGAGGCCAGCGGTCACCGGTCAAGGATCGGGAACAAGCGGTCAATAAGCTGGGCAGTCAGCTCCGCTTGATCTAGCGTTATGCGCGGGATGTGAGCTGACATGAAGAGCAGCGTGAGGTCCTGTAGCGGGCGGAAGGAGGCGCGGTGGCACTGGTCGAGGATCAAATGCCGGAACGACGCACGCCCCCAGTCCTTCACGGAGATTACCCGCAGCATTCGAGTAGGTATTCGGGAGCTGGGTCACGGTGTCGCTGCTCTGCCACTTTACATGGGACAAAGGAGTTGGATAGTGTTCAAAGAACGGAAATGTCGGGTTCATGCTGATGTTCTGCAAACCCGAAACTAACATTGCTTGTATACAACTGATTCTGGTGGCGTTGCTTGACGCCTGGCGAGGTGAATACGTGTGGGACTCAGTTCCTCAGAATCGATATGAATGGCAAAGTACTGATAAGTTCACATCTACATTCTGAGGAGACCAATACATATAATGTAATAAGGCAATAATCAATAGCTCGTCAGATCAATAATATATTCACCACCCAGGATGTCCTTCAAGCGATACCGCGGATTGTCGGTGTGCACTCTGATGTACCCAGCTGCGAAGTTCTCCCAAGCCGCCCTGGCTTCTCCGTTTCCGAGAACGCTGCGAACACGCTTTACAGCCACCATGAGGTCGTCAATGACGCTCTGAAGAGCGTCCGACACCGAAGATCCAGTAGACAATGCTCGCTCGTGGATGTAGTTGTCTTTCTCGCCCGCAAGCTCCTCTTTGTAAAAGGAGAGAATGTCGCTGCACGGGAGATGTAAGCATTATACAGATGGGAGCATGTGCGTCACTTACTTGACGTAGCTCACATACAGCATCGTGTCTCTGAGAGGTGACGAACGTATGTCAGTCAAGGCGGTACATCGAAATCTGTGGAACTCACGGTATCGCCCGTACGTAGACTCGGTAATCCGGAAATTGAGCTCGCGGCCAGATGAAACATGCATACGCCTCGGTGGTGGCCGTCATGCTGCGCTTGTATTCCACGAACGGACGCGCCTCGAGATTGTACGCTTCGCCACGCCACTCGTTCTCCATGACAGACGCGTTCACAAATCGGAGCGCCGACGCGTAGATGGTGTTGGCGGAGAAGCTGGGATAGTGGTCCCACATTCCCTGCAGGACCTTGGTGAGCTCGCTGAGCATGCCGTGCTCCTGCTGGACGACTCCGGTGCACATCTTGCGGTGGAAATCGACGGGCGTAAGTCCGTTGAAAACGACTGGATCGTCCATGGCGATGATCAGCGTGGTGAAGAGGGTGATGAGCAGCCTCGTCTCCAAGTCAGAGACGTGGGCGTAGGCCGTGATGGTGAGGATAAGAGCCGTGACCACATAAGGCCGCAACGCTTGCTCGTCGCCCCAATGCTTGACGATCTCCTTTACCCGCCGCTCGAGCTCGGGGTCTCGAGTGTACTGCGGGAAGTCAACGTCGACTTTGCGGAGGAAATCCAGGATGGCATCTTGCGATACGTTGATGGTGGACGACTGTAGAGATTGCGGTCAGCCCCGTGCCGCACCTTGGCCTTGCTATCCGGCTTACCATGGCTACCCGGTTGGCGATGTGGTTTTCAGACTTCTGATTGCTGTGGGCCTGAAGGGGTGGCTTGGACTGGTGACTCGAGTCAGGTATGCCAGCCTTATATACAACGCAGTTGCCTGGGCCATGAGTAGCTGGACACCGGGGACATTCGTCAGATATAGTAAAGTTGGCAAGTGGCAAGCCGGCGTTCACGCCACACGCGGCCTATGTGGTACTTGAGCTTGAGGTGTCATGGAATCTGTGGAGGTTGAGTTCAAGCTCATTCATCCACGAATGATTCATGAGCTTAAGCACCTCGGATCATCCTCGGGGTACAAACGTTTCTCCGCTGGGATGCACGAACCGGATGCCAATGGCTCACCGATGGTGTTGGTACTAGAGTCCGGAGTAGAGTCGCAATGCTCTACTTGCGCAACTCCAGTGCATCAACCAGTGGCGCCGAGGCCACACAAGCGTTGTCACGGCGTCTGCTATCCTCAGGAAGGAATAGCCGTCACTACGCAATCTCAGTCAGTTAATAGCTCCTCGGACCCAACTGCTAGTAGTAGGTCTTGCGCTGTCTCACCTACGCTTTCAGATCAACGAGGTGTCTTCGACGCTTGGCGCGATATAGTATCTCTCTAGCAGCGTAAGGTCCATCATCCCCGGTAGACTCGGAGTGCACCTCTCGCGGGCAAGCGCACATAGATCCCTACTGCCAGTTGTGCTCGCAAGGTCACGGTCCGGCCCAGCGTAATCAAATTGTGACATTCAGCAACGTCAAGGATGGGATATCGAAATCGTAAGTACCTTTGAATACATCCTCATCATGTACAGGTTGGACCGATTTCGCCCCTCAATCGGCCAATTCGGAATTGTCTCAGGTCTTGCAACACTCATCACGCACGAGCTGATGCATCTAACAACAAGTACTCTGCACAGGACCACAGATTCCAGTCTGCTTCGATGATTCTGCCTCAAAGCAGTCGCCTCAAAGCAGTCCCAGGACAGGGATTAGCCAATCAACAGAGAAAACAGCATGAACATACTGTTGCTAAAGATGGGCAGCCACGAGATGGGTGGCATACCTTAGTGTCCATTGAACGATGGCCACGGACTTGCTGCTCCATCAGACGTGGATGGACGGAATGTACCACAATTTCTTGCGAGGTCGTGTAGCTGAAATTGACTGCTTCCAATTCCAGTTAAGCGCATATCATTGACCGGTACAGCCATAGCGCTCGTGTCACTGTCAAGGCTTCCGAGGCCAGCTTCGGACGCGCATAACGACACGAGCACTGGCATTTGAGACAATACACGATGTGGTTTCTGCTTGTCCTGGGCACACGACACTTTGTCAGAGAAAGTTTGCGATGCAGGACGTACAGCGACAACAAACGCATTCGGATCCGACGACGATAGGCGGGTCACCAGAGTGCTAGATTGAGCAGGAACCGGAGCACGCTGACCGTGTCCAGCATCGGTGACCTCGGGCAGCAGAAAGTCGGCTATTACGCAAGGCGGGCAATGTGCATGCCATCGCGGACACCGTTCCCGCCCAATGTGATAGCCACGTTTACCGGGGACGGACAGCTGTCGCATGGCGCAGCACGCCTTACGTAGGCAAACCATGTTAAGTAGTAAGCGCAGCTAATCAGGACTGTAGGACTCGACGACTCGCTCACGTACAAAGGCCTGTCTCGCAGAATGGATGCATTCGGTGTGCTGCCATCAAGAACGCGTGTCAATCTACATTGCCAGTGGGGTGGGTGTCATACGAGCCATGCGAGGCGGAGTCAACGAACCATTCTGTCAAGGTTCAATGACTCGATACTCACTTGAGAGACGGCGGTTCCTGGGCATGCGGCCTAGGTTACTCGAACTTCGACGTCCATGCCAGCGTCAACAGCATTCAGCGCAATATCATGATTCATACGGCGAGGCCGCCACCTCCTTTGGCCGACTTGAGCGTCTGTGGCAGCTTCCCGCACGTTGCGGTATGGAGAGTCCTAGCGCTGGTTCCTTGGAACAAGCAGAAAACCTGCTTGGTACTGGGCTGAAATCGAGTTCTGTAGGTAGTACAGTTGCTTGAATAAAGCTCGATCAACGAGCCACGGAGGTGGGCGGAAGGCATTGTACGTCGATCACCGACTGGCTGCGCAAACTCCGCGGCCATGATGCGTGTGAGCGCCCCGAGAGTACAACGAGGCCGGGGAAGAGCAAAGCAAGCGTCCCGGTTCTTAGACTCTCTTCGACGGTAATGCACAACATGCGTCGTAGGTATGCCGAGGAAAGGAGCCTTCGGCGGGTGCGGCACAGAAACAAGGCCGGCGGCGGAGGCAAGTTGCACCAGAGCTGCCAATGTGTTTGTGGCCGACGTGAAGTAGCGACATCTGAGCTAGGGAAGTAGAATGTGGTGGCCAAGACATATCGCGGCGTTACACCAGAAGTCGTGCGGAATTGGGTTATCGAGCTTGTGTTGTGAAGGCGGCGTTACACAGGAGACTTCTGGGTGGGAAGTACACCGATTCATCAAGGACTGAACTGGGCGATACGCTCAAGAACGAGGAGCACAAGAGTTGGGCGGTAGCAGGATCACGGAGGGGGCTGAAGGTTCCGCGGAGTCACATCAGCGTAGACGTCGAGGGTCAAAATGAACGTTTGTACTCACAGATGAGTCTGCGCGGATGCTGGAGATGACTATCCTGCAAGGTAACCTGTCCGATCATTCGAACCTGTTTAGTAGAACACAGAGCGGACAGCATGGACGCTAGCGAGGCGAATAGAGCCTCTGTGGTAGGCGATTTCAAAATACACGGCAGGTTCTATCGCCGCTCTGTCTGTACTGTAGCCGCTTTCCGACCTACCGCCGAGGGTTGTGCATTGCCACTCATCTTCTGGATCGACCGTGCCAGAGAAGCCCGAGAGTCGACTGTCTCGAGTACGTACAGTCGGATTCAGCGGGAAAACGAGCCTACCGGTAGCGGCCAGTACCATCACGGAAAACAGCACGATTTACGAATTGCTGCCTGCAGAGCGGTACCGCCATACTATGTAGAACGACGTAACGGGCGCCAGCGAAGACCGATCCCGCGCGCCGCCTCTCGTAAGGCGGGTGGCGCCCCTGCATGCGCAGGCCTTGTGCGAACGAAGCGGCGCCTCGACGAGCTTGGAGTTGCTAGAAATGGCAGCAGACCGTCCTATTTGGGCGGACGGGAAGCTCCTCCATTCGCCGGGAGCGAGCGCGCACTGCGCACCCCGCGGCTTCTCACCATGCAGAGTGCAGGGTTTGTTGGCCGGGACGCCGGGGAGGCACATCCAAGACCACGCGACGGTGGTATGATCCCGTCCACCTACACGTTGGCGGCTAGATGTCAAAGAACAGGGAGCGTGAACGACGAGGAGCTTGCAGCTTTCCAGGCGAAGACCAGTGCCGAATTGCGTGTGCTGGGAGGCGAGGAGTGCCGCACTGGTCACGTCTGATAGGAGGCGTCCGACACTGTGCCAAAGGCGGGCCACAAAAGACACTTCCGACGACCCACCGCACGCACTGCATTTGGGAGATGAGCGGAACATTGCACGAGGTGGGTGGCCGTGAGACGTCCTTATTGTAAAGCACTGTCACTAGTAGGATCACTGCGGACCAGTAGATAGAGGAAGGTTAGATCTGCCAGCGTTATTGTCGGAGCGGTTCCGCGGAACATTCAAGGTTCTGCGGCCAGATGGAGGAAGCGTGACGGTGGACTTTGACTCGCCTCGCGATGCGAACTGTCGCCGGAGAACAAAAGCGCTGCCAGTGCTACGCAACACTATTGTTCTGTCATCGCAGTGGGGCGGCGATGTGACCTCCGAAATGCAAGCGAGGTTGTAATGCGCCAACACGCGCTCCTGGTGCGACCTGTTTGAGGATGGCAGGGCTGGGTGGATGCCGGATAAAAGCCCGATAATTTCTCACCGCACGGGCGGCGCATCGCGTACGTACGGCGTTCGTCCGCACGAACCGGACGTTCGTTCGGGCCAGTGTGCATGGCGGCGTGGCCCGTAGGAGAGCAGGCGGCGGGCTTTCCGTTTGCGACCCGGCGAATTCGAAGAAGACATGGCAGCCGAACGCGCGACGAGGGCGCGAAGCTTAATTTTGACATCCCATTTTTGGTGGCCGCCGGAAAAGGCAAATTTGACGCTGTCGGCGGACGCCGAGAAGACAGATCTGGCGCGCGCCCGATGAGCACCCGTCACTCGTCCCTTCACTCTACAGACCCTTCATATATAATAAGCTGTCCTCCGAAATGAACTGCCCGCCCTCTCTCCCTGCTCGTCGTGGTGTGCCGCTCGCCGGATCCCTCAACGCGTTCTCTCCGAGTCCGGGCTAGCGATGGGCTTCTTCTCCTTCCTCTACCAGGCAGCTGGGCCTCAGGTGAGTCTCCGTTCTATTCACTTTGCGAAACCGCCTATCCAGCCGCTTTGTACATGGAGTGGATGGGCTATATGCGCTGATTGCAAGTGAGACAGTAGCGCACGCAGTCCAGTAACCTTTCCTGGTCTCTGATGCTGTCTTGCGTCTTAGACTTCAGCCCTTCCTATCGCCGTGGTGGGCACGTTTGCTGACTATGTACCTTGCCAGACATCTCAGTCTCACGAACCAGTTGACATCACGACCCGCTACCCTCCCCGTCAAACAATGACGCGCAAGAACGTACGTCTCCCCATCGAGATTGTCATGAACATCCTCGAGACCGCCTACGACGACCATGAGCCCCGCTCAAACGCCAACCTGTACACAAACTGCGCGCTGGTATGCAAGGACTGGTCCGTCATCGCGCAGAAGCTCCTCTTCCACCATGTTTGCCTGCACAGCCAGACCGCGTACATCGCCTTCCAGGACGCTGTTGACCGCTCCACGCTCCGCGGTCGGATGCTCGGAGATGCAGTCCAGGAGATGCAGGTGACGTTGGACCACAACCAGCCGTACCGCCTCTCGCACAGGTCCTTCGCACGCGCTGTCACTCTCTGTCCGAATCTTCTGCGCTTGGGAATTGCTCTCTACGGCAAGCCGGGCCCTGGTGATGACCTCGTCGGCGAGCCCTCAGTCGACCGTCTCAAGCGCTCTGCGCCCTCGTTCGACGAACGCACTCTCGCGATCCTCCGCAAGGGTCCACGCATCACCTCGCTGCAGTTCAGCAACTGGTCCGACAACAGCTCCTCGCTCGCGCAGCTCCTTGACATCTGGCCGTCGCTCAAGTCGCTTCTCATCAGCGGCACGCCGCCGCAGCTCCCGAGCACGTCCCCCGCGCCCTCGACGTGCGCGCTCGAGGAGTTGAGGATGAACTTCCAGAGCACGCCGTCGATCGACTTCATGAAGTGGCTGCTGCACAACTCGCAGGAGAGCCTGCGCATGCTCGAGCTCGAGCGGGACCCCTCGCCAGAACTACTCGACTACCTGCTCCGCGAGCACGCGCCGACGCTGGAGTCGCTCGCGCTGCCGACGTGCGGCGGACATGAGGGTGTTGCGTCGATCCTCCAGTGCACTGCCCTGCGCGAGCTGCGCGTCGAGAGCGCGTGGGCGCCACAGGGCCTGTTCAGCTCGCTGCCGGAGGGCGTGCGGCACATCGCGTTTGGCGTGGACATGGACACGTCGCTGCAGCCCGTGCTGAGAACGATCAAGAAGAGTGACGCGCTGAGGGTGGTGACGGCGCACGTCTGGCACGGCGGCGAGCGCCATCCGCAGCTGAACGCGCTCAAGATTGCGTGTGCGCGCCAGGGCGTGGACCTCCGGTTTACTCGGGACGTGCGCGCGTTCCGTGCGATCAACGTACGTGGCTTGCTTGGCTGTGTGGTGGCGAGGGCTGACGGCGATTGTGTAGCGCGGGGTGCTCGATTCGTGCTCTGAACATGACCTTTGAGGGCACTCTCATGCCTTAACGCTCCCACAACGACGACGGAATCAAATCGTTCCCATAAAATCGACTAATGCAACATTGTTGTGCCATAGCCTCGTCCGTCTGTACATCCGTCCCCTCTCCGCGTCCCGCGCGTGGTACACGTTTCACGATCATTCACGACCATTTCCGTTTGTTCGCCTCTCACACCATATGATTCCGTACAACATCAATCCACTATCGTACATCCGTCACCACCATCAACCCCGGTCACGGATATCAGACTACTCTGGATCGCTTTTTCGTTCGTCACGGACCCAGGCCCCCGGAATCGCAGGACTCTTAATCGTCTCGCTTCTCACTCAGTCATGCCTCTCTGGTTCTTATTAATAGAGTAATCTGCATTCGCGCCGGTAGGGAGCGTGGGTAGGGGCCGAGTTGCGTATATGGGCGGTGCAGTATGTAGATGATTCCTTTTTACGACTTATGTTCGCTGTTGCGCTTCTTGACTCGCATTCGTGTACGTGCGATAGCTACTGTACGAATGGTATTCACCCCGCATAGCGAGTGCACTTGCGGGATCGCTATATGATTTGCGTGCAACCACCATGCGTTGGCATGTGATCCACTGGGTTACTTCAAAATTTCCTAATGTGGATATCTTGTGGCTGCGTTGAGTACGCGCGTGGCTGCTCTTCCGGGCCTGCGTGTCCTACGTGTCTGATCTGATTCCTTTCCGCCTTCACGGACCCAACTGGTCGAGCGGGACGCTACACGAGGCACAAAAGCCTCGGAACCTTCGTCCGCATCGGTTCAGGCGGATGTGTATTATTCAACGACTGTCTGCGTGACGCAGGTCCATCAATGGCATCATTGCACTCCGAAGTGCGATCGGACGACATTTGCCGAGTCTGGATCGAGGACCGCAAGACGATGAGGAAGCGGAGCACAAACAATTCCCGCAGAGCTCAAGGCCACATGAGCAGCAGCATGTACTGCAGCCCGAACATGAGGCTTCGAGTCGACGTAGCGTGTACTACCATGGAGACGATGATTTATCGGCAGTAAATAACCCAGGAGAGCTATGGTACGTTGACGCTGTTGTGAACGGTGTTGGAAATTAAGCTGAAACCAGACGCCTGTGGATCCACGCCCCTCAATTAGTGGATGTTCGACTGAGTACTCGCTGGAAGCTAGTAAGTACTAGACGCGCCTGTGGTTCAAAGCGCTTCGGGTGCAGGCTTTCAGCGCCGTCAAATGCGCGATTGACAGGAATGTCCGAGGCTTGTAAGCCGCAGGTGTCTGTACGCAGGTGTCTGTAACAGAGACTGCCACCACAATGTGTCCCATCATGTCCAAATTTAAACCAGCCTGAACATACTTTGCGTATAAATTGAGGAGCTCTACACTCTGCCTCCGTCCATCCCTGGGCCAAAGCCATCGGTGAGTACAAGTTCACGAGTAGGCACTGTGAAGCCTTGTGAACGTCTGACGAAAGCACGACAGGTTCGCGGAAAGATTAGCCTCGATCATTGCATCGTAGCGCTCCGAGGGCCAGTCCCCCTTGCGGGTTAGCGCAACGACATTACGACTCGAATTGAGTTGAAGATACCGTTTACCGTGATACGCCACCACTGACTCGGAGGTGTCTACTTCGCTTCATTAAGGGGCTGTATACCGAGTGGACTCCCTCCGAGTAGGTACGTCTCTACTGACATAGACGGTATAATTTATTGCGCAGTTGTCGAGTCTGTCACGGTTCTTTCTTCCGCAGGCCCTTTACCTTTCCGTGCGCGAAAGGGGAGTTGTCTTCCCCGCCACAGGGCCATATGCAGGCGCAACCGTACCTAATGTCCACGGTACGTTCATCTGGGACTTTCGCAAGTACGGAGATCCATTTATCGCCGACCACGGACCCCGCCTTGTTCACGGAAGAAAGGTAACGCCTCATTTGGGCGATGCAGCTGCTGTCAAAGAGTAGGCGGATAATTCGATCCCGATGGGAAGCAGACACCAATAAAATGGACAGTAATCGGTGGACGTCGCTGTTCAGCGCTTCAGGTTTACTTGACCTCGCAATCTCTGCCATTCTTTGCCATGACACAGGTGAGTTATCTTGTTACACTTGCCTCCGTCGCCGTCTAACAGCCCCAAGTCTCCCACTCTCCTTCTCGCTCAGGAAGCAGTGATAACCTTCCTGGACAACGTCGACATCTACCTTCCGAAGTACACTCGCGACCGGGAGCTTGAACGACGCGTCAACGAGGTTGTCTGCCAGTGGGGAGGCGAACGCGCCATGCACCCCTACGTCGTGCCGGCGACCATCCTCACGATCACCGCATACTCCCACATTACTGACATGGAGACGAAGGTGCTCATCACCATCTTCACGACCTTCATCGCTATCATGGACGACCCCGAGTTCTTCGACGGGCTTACTCCCGCGGATTTCCACCGCAACATGTGCGCCGGCGTCGTCCAGCGAGATCACGGTCTCCTCGGGGAGTTCACCAAGGTGCTCGGGCGCATGTGGGACCACTATCCAGGCTTCACGGCGAACACGATATACACGTCCGCGCTCCGGTTCATCAACGCGTCCGTCATGGAGAACGAGTGGCAGGGCGCTGTGCTCTGCCGGGACGCACGTCCGTTCGTGGAGTACAAGCGCAGCATGACGGCGACCACTGAGGCCTACGCATGCTTCATCTGGCCAACGGCGCAGTTTCCAGACTACAAGGCATACGTGCAAGCCATCCCGTACGTGCGATCCCATTGATCCACCATCCTTCCTCTTGACAAGAAAGGTCCGATAGCGATACAATGTTGTACGTGAGCTACGTGAAGTGAGTACAAACCAACCCTTCCTTTCCTCTCGTGAGGCGCTGACTCGGATGCGCCCCGACCCGCAGTGACATCTTGTCCTTCTACAAAGAAGAGCTCGCGGGAGAAACGGACAACTACATCCACGAACGCGCGCTCGCCACGGGGCGGTTAACAGCGGACGTCCTTCAGGAAGTCATTGACGAGACCGTCGCTGCAATTAAGCGTGTTCGTTCTGTACTTGGAGACGCAGAAGCGCGGGCGGCATGGGAGAATTTCGCGGCAGGGTACATCAGGGTGCACACTGACAATCCTCGGTATCGTCTCAAGGATATACTGGGAGGCGAGTATCTGCTCGATATCTCGAGTGACTGAATTCTGGGTATCATCCTGGGCTATTGCGAGTCATCGGCTCCACTCATATCCATAAGGTACTAGATATAGAATCATGCTGTTTATGATTTTAAAAGGCTTGCCATTCGGTGGGCGCACGTCGAGGCAATATTACTACTACTATACTCATCCGGTGCCAGTAATTCGTTGACGTCTGTTTGGCATCTCACACATGCATGCACATCGGGTGTCTTCGCCTTTCCATTTATTTTGGACATTCGACATCTAGTGACCTTTCCGTTTCAACTTTTAAGGATAGGTTCGTGACGGCCAGCCTCATGATTCGAATGCTATATGGATTGCTGACGTTACTCTAGGTGTGATACTGACAGTCGGAGAGAGGATCACACCGGCGCCTGCGACCTGCCGCGGCCATCAGCCAGTGGCCACAACCCGAACTACAGCTGCGCATGAATTTGAGCTCCTTCTCTGCTCCTCAACCATCGTCACTTTTCTCATCGTTGCTCAGCCTCAGATGCTTGCCAGCTGAGTTGCTGTCCGAGTCGCTTCTGCTCATCAAGCAAGCGATCGCTTCAGGCCAAGAGCCACAGCTGTGCGACTCTGATCCCGACCACATCGACACGGCATTGCAGACGATTCGAATTTTACAGCCTCAGGTTCATCGTATCAGCGCGTCTGATTGGCCTCCAAGATATTGAGTCACTCACGCCGTGCTGGAAACCACTGACGTCAAAAACACACCGTCGTGTCAATGATCAATAGGCGCACGGAGGGGCCCGGGATTGACGTTACAGGTACGAGGTTTGAACTGCCTCGTGCTAGCAGTGACACGGTGGCCATATCACTATTATCAGTCTCAGACGACAGCTCTCTGAGCGAACGGGGCATTGGTCAGCCGGTCGCGGTACGTTTTCAACGTTGTTCGAGTTGCTACTTATAGTACAGTACTCAAGCCGCACTCGGCGCAATTGAATCATTCGTTGCACAGGTGCTGCGGCGGAAGGGCGGTTTGATCACATCAAACTGTCACATCTGGTTTGCATCTGGTAATTACTTATGTCCTGTCCTCGAATGCGAATCCTCACTCGATTTCAGGCTCTAGCAATGATGATAGGTGCTACAGAGTTACATACGACCATAGGTTTTGGCCCTGCTGAGACAGAGTGCTCCCACACGAGAACTTGACAGGCTCTCAGTGACACTGCGACCAGACTTACACATTGATCGTATAATTACGCTGATGTGACTATAATCGCAGCTAGCGTAAGATGCCATCCCGTATTCACATCAGGCGGTGCATCAGCCGTGCCCCCGAGCATGTCCCCGCAGGACCAATGCGAGCGCTGCGCCCGGTGATAAAAGCGCGAGTGCTGCACTCGGACACCCCGATTACTCCCTTTTCACTTTCACGGGTCTAATCCACCTCCGTCGTTTTTCTTCGTTTACCAGCCTGGTGCTGCCCTTGTAGCCTTTTATTTACGAGATGTTGGCCAAAGTTTTCGTGTACGCCCTCCTCCCCTTCGCTGTTGTCAACGCGGCTCCCATTGCGCAGCGCGACAGTGAGTCTTTTGCGGCGGTACAAAGATAGTAAATGAACTGATGTTTGCCCTAGTTGCGAGTGCTGCGAGCTCGGTCGTTGGTCACGCAACATCTGTCGGTGAGTGTTCGTGGTCAATGTATGGCTGCGATGTAGAATTGATGAAGTGCCTCTAGTCGGCTCTCTCTGGGCTGAAGCAACCCATGGCTGTATGTCTCTGAGAGTTCACTGTGGTTCGTCTTACGCTGACGCATGCATCTAGTGGCGGCTGGTATCCTGAGCGCGGAAGGTACTTCATACCGTTGTATCATGTAATCCCGATGCTTACCATAAGTTATAGCTTCGTCGATCTACAAGTCTGCGACCTCCGTCCTCGGGACTGCGACATCTAACGTCCACGTTACCGTGACCAGTACGCGTCCTCATCCACCTGCTTGGCCGCCTTCTGACTTAATGCCCCCTTAGCCATCAGCGGCGCTCCTGTCGTTGAGGTCACATCCGTCGGAGGCCCCGCGATCACCCTGGCTACTACACACTCAGGACACCACCACCACTCCATTCCGGTAGCGACGACGACCTTCGACGGTCACACCTTCGTCGTCCCGTCGAGGTAAGCCCACTCCCACTGACATGTCGACAGCGTTCTGACCGTTCTTCAGTGTGTCGCACAGCGGCTCCTGGTCCCATAAGCACACGGCCAGCGTGTCTTTATCGCACAGCGGCTCGTCAAGTGTCTCATCGACTGCCTCGTCAAGCTCGGTCTCAAGTACCTCAACGAGCGCGTTCCCGACGAGCAACGGCGCGCTGGGCATGCACGCCCTGAGCATGTCCAAGCCGATGGTCATGGGCGCTGTCACGGTGCTCACAAGCCTGCTCGGCGGCGCGTTCATCGTGCTCTGAGCCTGGCCGCTGGGCGCCCGACCTACGCTGTTGACAGCACGACCTTTACGAACATGTCACGACTCTGGGAGGTTCGGTCTTCACGTCTTATTTGCATGTCTGCGTAGCTTTGGCCATCCTGGTGATCTCGTAGTTTTATTTATACCCTTCATGATGATTACCGAGTGCGTGGAAGCCGTGGAAGAGTGGCATAAGAATTGCATAAGTATGATGATGTACCGACGTCGGAGCTAAGCAGAAACAGATCACGGAACCCGATGCAAGCAAAGCTACACAGACTTTCTGCGACCCTGATGTCCAATGCGAGGTGTGGGCGTAGGAGTAGGAAGCTCGCCAGTGATCATCGCTGGCAGTGGCATCCTCATCTCGTTCGCGGGGGCGAGTGGCGCGTTCATCACGGAGGGATCCACAGAACCAGTCGGGGGCGTGTGCAGGCCGTCCTTCGACTCGTCCCCATCCGAAGTCGACGTCAAGGCGTGTTCGTCTCGCGCGGATTTTGGCACCTTGTCCGAGATCATCGAGGGAGCGGCCTCAGTGGCGGCAGCCTCCGTCTTCCCAGTGGTCGAGGTGCTATTGAGGACCTGCACCTTGACACGCCGCCCACCCCGCTGCTCGATTGCCTGCACTATCTCGCGGAACTCTTCTTCTCCTGACCCAGTCCCTGCGTAGCCCTCTATGTCCTTATAGCCTTTCGCTCCCCGAATCGAGGCACGGATGTCCTTGAGCTCCGAACGCGTTCTGTTGGTGCGCTTGCCTTCGAACATCCCAGCGCAATACTTGGTCAAGCCCCAGTAGATGCCAAGGTATTTGCCCTGAACGAACGTCTGGTTCAGTGACAAATGGGATGTGCGAATGGGATGCTTACCAGACGGAGGTATTGTGGTATGAACGTTCGCTCGAGGTCCACGAACGGTGTTGGTGAGAAGCAAGTTGGGTTGGCCTCAGCAGCGGTGGCGATCATACATGAATGTGCACCTGAGTGGCAACAAATGCCACATGGGCCAAGGCGTCGGTCTCGGCACTCCGCAGACAATGCATTGCGACGCACCTGTGATCCCTCGTATCCGGATGGCATCCTCATAACCTCCGCAATCGCCGTTTTCAATGACCGCTACGCCCCGGCCCATGCCCTCGACGAAGTCCACGATCTCGCGCAACCGGTCGATATGCGCAGGCTGCTGCTTGCGCTGGTTCCGCGTCCGACAATGCACTGTCAAGGCGCTCACGCCGGTATTGATGATGCGCTCGACGAGCTTGAGCGTGTCGTCTGAGGTGGGCAACAGGCGGATTTTTGCGGATATGGAGATCTCTGGGGGCATGGCTTCGCGGAGGGCGGTGAGGATGGCGCAGAGCAGGTCGGAGTTCGTCAGGAGCGCTGCGCCCATTCCCGCGTGAGTAGAGAAGGGCTTCGGGCACCCGCAGTTGAGGTCGAAGCCGGCGACGTCGTTCATGACCATCTTCGCTGCTTGGACGGCGGTCTCGGGGTCGGCGGAGCCAATTTGGTAGATGAGGTAGGGCTTCTCGACGGGGTGTGTCGTGAAGATGGCTCCCGACTTTCCCATGTACGAGACGACACCGGTGACCGCTACAGAAAGGAACTGAGGGGACAAGCCGCGAAGCGAAGCATACCACTCACGATCTACGACCCGCTCAGAGTGCAGGATCGCCTTGTCCACTGTCTCCGGACCCCATACCAACGACGCTCCGTGCTTCAGAGAGTACAGACGAGTAGGCACTGTTCACGGGTCAGACTACATGATATGTCAGAGCTATACAGACGGACGCACATGCGCCTGATCTGACCATCGGAGCGAGCATGAGGCCATCCTTGTAGTCCTCCGAGGTCAACGGCTCGAAATCCAGTCTTGGTCGCTTTGCGAGGCGGGGCGAGGCGGGGGCGGACGGTGAATGAGAGCGTCGCGACATGGCGAGTGGGAGTGGAGAGAAGAGCTTGCGTCGACCGAAAAGAGCGAGCAGGAGCATGTGAGTGAGCGGGTCCAGGAGTAGACTGCTTCAACTAAGGGGTCGAATACCGCTCGACTCCTGCGCGGAGTTACATAAGCACTTTGATCTCCGCAGCGCGCGTGTAAATCTCGTCGCGCGCGACGCGTCGCCGTCAGGCTCGACGCGTTCCCCTATACTATCCTCGCTTCGTCGCTCTCTACCCTTCATGTACCGTAGCCATCGATAATCAATGGAGACTCGGCTTTGCGCGGGGACGCTACACACTCATGTACACAATTCAGCTCACCCAAGGGTCTCGCGTTCTGCCGCAACATCGCCTCGAAGAGCCTCCCCTGGGACCCTCACGACTATTTGAACCTGAGGGCATTTGCAAGGCTCTCGACGGGATCGACGTCTTCGCCATAATACTAATGGGACCCGGCAAGACGGGCTTTCTCCTCATCTACGTGATTGTCGCTCAAGCCATCGCGAAGGATCCGGAGCACTGACTCACCGTGGTGAGGAGCTCACTGCTCGGAACGTCCGTGCGTTGATACGCGCAACGTCATTGGACATTTATGCGGACCGCCTGGCTGTACGGCTGCCGGGCGGATATTCAGCGCATGCCGGCGTTGGCCATCGCGCTCATAGGTGCGCTCACCATAAACATTGCGCTGATGCATTGGTGGCACTAACCTTGATGCTTCAGGGAACCCCTCTGAGTGACTCGTGCTCGATGAGTTCTCCACGGGTATTGACGCTAAGATGAAACGTGAGATGTGGGGTACACTCAGGACAGTCGCAGTGGACAAGGCTATTGTCATCACGCTACGTGAGTGCCTGTGTGGTCGTGCGTCAGTTTGTTACTGACAGCGTCGCTGCAGACTCCATGGAGGAAGCGTCCGCACGGGCTAAAAAGGTCGGCATATTGGCGAAGAAGATGTTAGGTGAGTCTGCATGGTGGCCATCCACAAGAAGACTGAGGTCGTGTTTGCTACAGCTGTGGGCACAAACGATGCACTGGCCCAACGGTATGCCACCTACGAGGTGCAGTTCTGTTGCCCGACGTCGTCCGCGCACAGGAGCTCATGCCACAAATTCCCGGAGTGCGCATGGCAGACGACGTCGCAACGCGCATCGAAGTGCGGCTCGAGACAGACATGTCCCTTGCGCGACTCTTCGGATTACTCCCATCGCAAGAGGACTTCGCGCGGAGTTCACCGTAGAAAGAGCGGGACTGGAGAGCGTGTTCTTGAAGGTCATCCGAGAGAACGATGTGCTCAATGAGGACCGCTCGACGCCTAGGCAGAGGTGGCGGAGGACTTGCTGATAGTGGTCAGCCATTGTCTTGCTCGAAGCCGTGGCTCTCGTGAAAGCTACGTCGGTACTGTCACGGTCTCAGACTAACTTAACAAGTGCAAGCCAGCCGAGTTGGATAGTCGGCTTCCGCACGAGTCGACAACCGGGTCGCACGGGTAATCCTCGCATAGTGTAAGGTTGACGAGATGGATGAGATATGTGAATACCCTGAGACCGACATGGCCATGTAATTATCGCACCTGCAGTACTTAGCAGGCTAGTAGTGGCCGATTATATCTTAGATGGATCTATTACCAGCCACCGGCAGTCCGGCCATAGCCACCGGCAGCTCTGCCGTAGCCATCGGCATTGCTCGGCCATCACAAAATGCGTCCTCCAGGCTCCAGGAGTCGAACAGTGTTGCGGGCGCGTTTTGAAGCAGACCCTAGACGACCGCCCTCCTCCCCTCATATTAATAAAGGTCGTCCTAGTGGGCTGCCTACGGGAGACTAGTCCAGGAGCGGGTCGTTGGTCGAGTCAATTTTTGATTGGTTTGCTCAAGGGGCGTCCATCAGCGACGATTCATGACATTAACCAAGGTTTGCTCCTCTTCTTCAGCAGCGATCTTCCTCCTCTAGCCTGACTCGCGGATCCCTGGCATGTCTCGACGCGACGAATGCGAACGACTTGCTGAACAGTAGCAAGCAATTTATGGTGGACTGGACGCATTGCGAGGAAAGGCAGTGGGTGTTCCAGCGAAGCGCTTTCACGACCTACTTCACACTCTCACCGCCTCTGACCTCGACCATTCGCTGCGCTCTCTGGCTAGACGACGGGCTTGTCACGACAAGTTATTTTCCTGGAATGCACGCCTGGAATGCACGCCTTGCGATGGCGAATTCGAAGCTTGACGAAGTGTAAGCCATGTGAGTGACCATGAATCATGCTGCCAGTGCTACAACGGCCGCATCATACAAGTACTCCCTGTATATAGGCCGCATCTCCTACAGGGACACACACAGTCAAAAAGCAGGCTGTGTACCTGCGCCCTGTCTTTTGGGCTTGGGGCTACCAAAGGTGTTCTAGGCGCTGTCCTTCCCACTGAGCGCCGACCGCTCGAATCGCGGATGGCCTCGGTGGACACGAGACCGGTCTCAGCACCATCTAGAATGCTCGTGCAATGCTTGACGTATGCACTGCACATGTATGACGGTGGAAGGATAAAAGTCGAACAGTGAAGTGATGCCAGTCCCTACATCTGTACGTCCCCTCAAACCCGTCGCTCTACTCCTCGCCCATGGTGTCAGCTCCGCGTTGGCTCGCCGCCCTCACAACGGCCCTCGGGCTCCCTGAGAACAAAGGCCAGATAAGTGCGCGACCTCCGAATCTGTTACATGTGCCATGATTGACTGATGTCCGAGCAGTGTATCAGCTTGCATCGGTCGATGCGAATGGCAATCCTCATGTTCGCACCATAGGCCACCGCGGATTCATAGAGCCCGAGGGGTCGCCTAACCTTCCTCTTCTGATGTGCGCGACCGACATACGGACCCCCAAGGTCACACAGATCCTCACAAACCCACACGTAGAGCTCATCTGGTGGCTGTCGGGCTCGATGGAGCAGTTCCGACTCACCGGCGTCGTTCGGCTGGTACCCCCTCCCGATGCTCAGCTTCCCGACCTGCCTGTGCAGTCTACGGAGGCGTCGTTGGCGTTCCAGAAGATGGATGCGCAGGGCTTTGAGTGGGAGAAGAAACGTGTCGAGACGTACGACGTGCAACCACCCTTCTTGAGGGCAGGCTTCGCCCGCCCGCCTCCCGGGGCGATCATCGAGAACTACGATGTCGGGAAGAGCTGGCCGGGTATAGTACCGAGGGCAGAGGATGCGCAGAATGAGGAGGAGAAGCAGGCTTATGAGAGGGGATTGCGCACCTTCGCCCTGATGTTCTTCGACCCCGTGGAGGTGGACTGGGTCCAGTTGAAGGAGAGGCCCAATCGGAGGACGAAGTTCATCAGGAAGGGAGAGGAGTGGTCGGAGTACATCGCTGTACCGTGATGTGCAGAGGTTTGTCTCAATCGCGGTGTGTACCCGCAACTGAGGCATATCTATGTAGTCAACGGGATGATTGTCAGATGTGTACTGTTGTTCTGTAATTCTCCACTCCTTGCAATGAAGCTTTGAAGACTCGTTCACCTGCTGGCTGCCCATGTCGTGCACTTCCATACGCATGTCCGATATGTATCTTCTACCGATAATGCTGGACTCCTGTATTCGCCACGCCCACGCCACAGTCCTTCAAGTACATAGATATGTAGCCTCCTAGGACCACACGCAGCCTCTGCGCAAGCCATTGACATCGCCTCCGACATGATGGTCGTCATTCCTACGTTATATTTAAACGGCCTTTACTAACCTAGTGTTCGCTCATCAACGGGAGAAATGGCTCGGCCGGAGGACCTGAACAGCGCTTTGCAAGTTTCACCCAGTACGTGATATCACGGTTTCATTGATCTGGAAAGCGTCCGTCTCAAGGCCGTCTCAAGCATGAGCATGTCTTCTCAAGACGCCGTGCATTGTCTCGGTCATTTGCTGCTCCCTACACCCCCGGGTATCTCGGAGCTCTACGCGAGACAGGCTGTATATAGGGCCATCGCAGCCATGGACCGCCTAATCCGCAGCCTCATACGACGAGAACAACCCATTAGCAAGAAACGACTCATCGACCAATTCCCAGAGATGTCTATGCCTGGGGCTCCGCGATGGCAGACTGCATTGACACGCTCTCTAGGCCTACTTGAGAACAACAAGGAGTATAATAGCGGTCCGTCCATCTGCGTCTCTTGGGAAGGGTCAATCACTGAGTCGATGTCTACAGGAGTCCAGATGGCCACTCTGGACGACGAAGGCGTCCCACGCGTCCGTACTCTCGGGTCCAGAGGACTGTTGCACCCCAAGGGCTGCCCCAACCTGCCCGTATTCGTGTTCTCAACGGACGTGCGAATGGAGAAGGCCCCGCAGATGCGGAAGCATCCGCACGTCGAGTTCGTCTGGTGGTTCCGCGGCTCGAGCGAGCAGTATCGCTTCTCCGGCGTCGCACGCGTCATCACTTCGCCCGACGTCGACCTGGGTCCCGCCGGGCCGATCCAGGAGGACACCCTCGCGTTGAACAAGCTGGGTGAGCAGGGCTTCGATTGGGAGAAGAAGATGGGCGAACTCTACGACGAGGGCGACGACAACGGGCTCCGCGCGAGCTTGAACCGCCCTCCGCCCGGGACGCGCATCCCGACGTACGAGACGGCCAAGGAGTGGGTGCCAGAGGTGCCGAGGCTGGGGCACGCGAAGGACGACGCGGACCGGCAGCGCCAGGAGGAGGGGCTGCGGAATTACGCGCTTCTCCTCGTTGAACCCTTCGAAGTGGACTGGTGCGAACTCGCGCTGAGCCCGCACCAGAGGACGAAGTTCAGGAGGAAAGGCGACGCATGGGAGGAATGGCCAGTTGTACCGTGACGATATAGGATGCCGTTAAGTTAGAGTTGCTGGAGATGCATGCGCATGCGGGGCAACTTAAGTTGCGAAGAGAACTTACCTCGTACTTACTACTTATGTAAGTAGCCGAAACCGCTTATCCAGCCGGGCCAGCCACGGCGTGTGGGGTTGTTCAAAATACACCTAGCAGAATACATCATCCAAGGGATCTCTTCATGTCCCTGTGGCAGTGGAAGGATGACGTGAGGAAGCCGGAAAACGAAGATCAATTGTTGTCGTGAAGAACTCAGCAGCTGAAGGGCATTGGTACCATCCCGATCTTCCTCAGCGCTGCCTCACTCGAGGTTGCGAGTGATGTGGTGACAGTGAGGCCATCTGTCCCACGCAGAAATCTCCGGCAGGGAGTCAAGCGAATGGCACAAGTTAACCCAAATCACCGCACCACCGACCAAACATGATGCATGATGTTCGATTGGCCAACGGCCTTGAATACCGAAGGCGGGTCAAATGCGGTGCGGCACGCATCGTACGCACCATCCTGTCGTAACCAGCTTGCACACACTCCGACATGCGGAACAACGCATACATCTGTCATGGCCGACATCGTCCAGCATCAGGCTCGCGGTCACCCTCTCCAGCCGTGATGGATGCACCAATCGTCGAATCATCATATGAACACCGTCTTGGGTGATCGAGGGTAAACTGACGTGCTCCGCGTCAGTTAGTTCCGGAAGCACAGGAACGCACCACCTACCAAGCTGAGTGACCCTGAACGATGGTCTGCTGGACCTAGCAGCAGTGCTTGGTACCGGCAGCGAAATATCGTCGTACATCCCCACCTGGGTTGTGTAGAACCCAGGTGTGCTCGACCGGCCAGAGTGTTCCAGTTCATCCATGTCATACGAGTCTTCCTCGATGGTATTGATCTCAACAACGATCTCGCCGTCGTAGGCACCCCGCTTCCACGTGATGCGACTGAGCTCTGCAGTGCTGAGCAAGGTATCGGGGTCCATGGATAGTTGCGATGCGAGCGAGCGGATGCTGAGGATGAGTCGGGAGACGGAGACAGAGGAAACGGCGAGGAGGAAGCTATAGCGCAGACGTCAGCAATGACAGGACGGCAGGCAACGGCTACCCACTTGGAGAACACGGCCGTATACAAGAGCTGAGTCTGCCGGTTAGAAGCGTCAAGGAAAGATATCTTGGACATACCGATACGTCTCCTTTTTGGATTGAACCGATAGTGGTGAACGCGGCCCCGACTTCAACGTTCACGACGATCATAACTTAACATGAGGCAGAGAAGCGCAGCGGAGGACATACCGAAGAACGCGAAATAAAACACACAGCCGCTGCGACGTCGTTAGAACTTGTAGGAGAAGAGCTACATTCGTCGCGTACTCTCTGACAAGTCGGCCCATCACTTGCGAATATCTCCCTTGTCTGCGAAGGTTGACCACTGGCCACATGGTAGCGACGAAGAGGATGGTCTGCGTGACAAGGTAGGGAAGGAAAATCGTCCAAACACCCGTGATAGGTGGTGCGGGACATCCTCGGAATGGCAGGGACACATCGACTTCGAAGTGGACGGATGGGAGGATGGCGGCAAATTCGCGGGCGGAGATGACGATCGACGCCAAGAAAACGCCTAGGACGAACACTCGAGCAAGGAGCCTCCCGGAATATATGTACCACACCCTTACGACAATGATCGCTGCGAGACACATCTTTGAGCGCCATGGCATACCAGAACGGGTGCGAACGGACCTTGGACGACAGTTATGCCGATGTAATCGGTAACAAATGTCGCCTGAAGTGCACGAGAACAGCTATGGGGGCCCGATATGAGACTGCATGACGTTTGTTTGTGCGGATGGCATTGCTCACAACTGCAGACGCCATATCAGAATAGATCAGTTGAAGGTTCAATAATCACATCTGACGAACCTCGGCGGATAGGTCTGTTCCAAAGAGACCTAGTCCAACTCTCAGGAATTGGGAAGTACAACACCACATTGCGACTCACAGATTAAGACCAGTCTGTTTCCACAGTTAGATGCGAAGCGGAGACATACAAATTTGACCCTACTTACATGAGTACTACTGGAGAGAAGTAGCGGTTCTGTCGAGGAGTCGGTGACGAGGAGAGGGCGAAGATAAAACACTCACCCAGAAGAACAAGGCTCTTGATATTGACCAGGGCCCAGCCCAGAAATATTCAATCTATTGCTCGCGTAGTAGGATGATCCAAACCGGGAAGGCGCCGGTCAAGGGATACTCACCTCGTCCTCGAGGGTGAGAAGGTAGTCGTATACAATCCATATGAACCCTGCAAGTGCAAGAAGACGGGCATAGAAACCACCCTCATAGTATGGAATCCAGGCAGCAGGGATGAGGATCGTGAGCTGGCTCGCCTGCGACATTACACATGCTCTTGAGGTTAAAAGAGCAGAGAACTCAGTGAAAGCGGCTTTGAGAGGACAAGGGAATCGTGCAGAGGCACGCATATAAATTGCAGCGTCTACAGCGGAACTCGTGAAGGCAAATCGAAGCTGTTCGTAAGGCCGTCAAAATCGACGGTTCTCGGTGATATGCCATACCAAGAGCACGCATGACAGATGTGATGCGAATAGCGTCTTTGCAGGCTGCCTCATGGAGCACTCGGCAAGCTGTTGTGACGCACGCAGCCAACGTCAATATCTCAATCATGGATGAACACTACCGTATGCACAAAAAGTCAAAAATCGCATTCATACGTGAAGACCAGACTCACCCTGGATACGCGCGCGTCCTCCTTGTGAGTCAGCACGAGACTCGAATCAAAGGCTGTTGGACAGCGTGAGCTGGACGGAAGGTTTGAAGTTATGTAACAAGTCAACAGTTGGGTCCTACTTGCTTGCGGAATCCATTTGGTGTAGATTGAGATATGAATGCGTCAAATATGACAGCCCCAGATGCGAATCTGCGGAGACGACAGTATGACTTGGTGGCCGGCCATGTAATCGAAGACAAGACCAACTTCGGTTGCAAGCGCCCACACCAGTTGCTCGGCTTTCGCCGTGGCGTGGAGAGAAGGCCAAATAAGGCAAAGCGGACTAGGTTCGTTCAAGTCCACTCGCTATCTAACGCATCACATCTCCTTCCACCACCCAAAGGTGCCGTTATGGCTTCGACGCCTCGTTGGAGAGCAGCTCTTACAAAGGCTCTCAACCTTCCCGAGAATAAGTACCAGAATGGTATGCCCATCACCGTTCCCGTATTGGGCTTGCACTGATCATGATAACCTATTCCAGTCTACCAACTCGCGACTGTCGATGCGAACGACGATCCCCGCTCGCGCACGGTCGTGCATCGCGACATCCTGAGCCCAGAAGGATATCAGAATCTTCCTATCCTCTTGACCACCACGGACGTCCGGACCCCGAAGGTGTCGCAAATACGCGGTCACCCTCGCGTTGAGATTACCTGGTGGATGGGCGGCTCGCAGGACCAATGGCGCATCTACGGTCCTGTTCGCCTCGTTCCGTCACCGGACGTCAAGATAGACTCTAGAAGCGCCTCGCAGCCTTCTCTGGCACTCGACCGCATGGACGAGCAGGGCTTCGACTGGGAGAAGAAGCGCTTGGACGTGTTCGACGGCATGAGCGCGCACATGAAGGCCAGCTGGTGCCGCCCGCCTCCCGGTAGCACCATCAAGTCCTATGACGAAGCGAAGAAGTGGCCCCAGACCGTACCGAAGCTCGGCGAGGCCGAGACAGATGAAGACAAACGCAACCAAGAGCAGGCCCTACGGAACTTCGCTCTCGTCCTCGTCGAGGCGGTGGAGGTCGACTGGGTTCAGCTGGCCGAGAAGCCAAACCAGCGGACTCGATTCACGCGGAACGGAGAGGAGTGGAAGGAGGAGATCATAGTTCCGTAACGCTTCAGACGGCGCGTCGTCTTTATTCATCATACATGTATAGTCTCATCAGGAAGGCACCTCTGTGTCTGGGTGCAGCGTCTTTGTATTCAGAAATCTGTACCAGTAAATGATTGTAAACGATTCGGGAAATACCCCTTGACCGCTGTCAATATATTCCCAGACGTTGCTACCCGTCATGAATGGGTGGGCCGCTCTACGATCACGAGTGCCAGTGTCATATTCACTAGGAAGGTTGAAGTGATGTGACGTAGAGGAGATGCAAAACTCTGCATCTGCACTATGTCACATTACATCATGCGTAGCTCTCTGCGAATGGCACCACTCTCCGTCATTCCTCCTCCTCGGATTCCTCTACGTCCCCGCCGTCTCCGTCAGAGTCTTCAGCCGGATTGTCATTGTTGCCCCGCTCGGCAGCCTTCTTGGCGATGTGATTCGCCAGATCCTCCTCGAACTGCCGCTGTCGATCGGCGATCAGCATGTCAATGGTTTCGAAGAATCGGCCGTCCGTCCATCGTGAGTCGCTCTCCAGAGCCTGGGGCCGCATTTTCTGCTTGCGTCCGTGCAGTGTAATCGTCTGCAGGTCGTCCGGGGGAGGCATCCCGGTTTTCTTTCTTTGCCTAGCCACCCGCTGGCGTTGGTTCGTGAACCAGTGGCCGATCTTGTCGTAGTTGCTATGAACTTGTGAGCACGTATTTATGCGGTGGAGATAAGAAGTACGACTCACTAATACAACTTGATGGCCAACATCGCCCTCCAGAAGCTTTCGGGGTAAGGCGTGACGTTGTCGTATACCCAGGTCAAGATATGGACCTGGTAAGCCGACGCCGGAGACTTGCGTCCCGGTACTTCGTTCATATCCTCGCCCGTTACCCTATCCTTTCCGATCCACTTCGCCTGCTCGATGTAGTACTCACGGAGGGCGGGGCCACCCTTGGGCCGAACAACCTCCATTTCAGGCTCTTCAGAATGCTGTCTCTTGTGGGAGGGTTCCGGTTCATCTTCCATGGCCTCGGCTTTCCGCTTTGATTGTCGTCTCGGCGAGCTCGAACCTGCCTCTGAAGAGGAGTCGCTCCCCGCATCGCTCTCCGTACATGCTACAGGTGAGCTAGGAGTTTGCGCCACTTCCACCATCTCATACGCGTCGGTAGTTGGGCGCACGGTCGACGTTACGGGGGCGCGTTCACGAGACGGTCCGGCGATGGCCTCCGTGGCGCTGGCGAAGTTGGGCCCTAGACGGGCCGGGGGCTCCACCGATTGTCGAGTCGCGTTGGACGACTGAGACGGGCCTGCAATACTGCCAGCCTCCGCTGCTGCGGCTCTATGCGGTATAGCACAGCCTGCCATCGACAGTAGAGCCGCGATCGCGTCTTGCTCCGCGGGCGGCCTGGCATGGATGGGAGGCGGCGGGCTGGAATAGTGTGACGATTGCGCACTCCATTCAGACGGCTGAAGCGCAGGATGAGGTTCCCATGAGGACACAGCAGCGAGCATGTTGGTGATGTTTGAGAGATTATGTGAGCGGTGTGGGCGGATGCGGAGCGGGTTGCGTAGACGAGGGGCAGCACATAGCGCACAGAGCCAATATATACTGTACCTGCAATGTGTGGCCCTTTGTTGCACGTTCCAAACGCGAAGCACAATGGCCTGAATTTCATAGTCCGACCGGCGTGGTGCACAAAGCAAGTGGCACCAGTGGCGGTGGCCACCAAGTACGGGCCATGTCTGCCGATTCGTTGGGTGCCACCTCGACGACAAAGCAGGGATCGGACCGATTGGCTCGGGCTACATACGTGCCAAGCAAGGCATGTGAGGACGCCAAGAGAAGGGCCTACTGGGTGAGTCATGGTATTTGAGGGCACTTTGGCCTATGCAGGCCATGAGCTAAATGCAAAGCGTCACTCACCTCGCAATTAGTCGTGTCAAAGCAGCCGTCATTGTGCGCATGCCCACATATTTTGGCGGTCTGGTTGCTGTTATGGGGACACGTCTATATTCGACGACATTATATGACATACGCCTTCATGTATACTACGCGGATTGGTCGCGGTTGATTTGCGCCACACGCACCGTTTCCCGCGTCTAGTAGGGCGCTCAACCTCGCTCCCCGCCACCGGCGCGTTTCATGTTTTAAACCTCCTTTGCCTAGCTTTCTACAGGTGTGGGCTGTGAGCATGGCAGGAAAATTTTAGCACTCACTCAGAATTTCATAAAGATGCATGTGAGGACACCCAAAGGCCTACGAAGGCCGAGGGAGACTCTTTCTGAGGAGAGCAAATAGAGCCAAACATGTGCAATGCACGGTCACGCTTGTCACGGCCAAAGCTCTCCCCGGTGGCTGGGCACATGCTTTGACCTCGTACATTGACCTCTCATTCAACGCCAACAATCATGTGTATTGAGAGTCTTTTTAATTGTACATTGATGTTGCATTGATGTCATATTTGCGGCAATCCACAATTACTGTGAAGACCGCATCACAGTGGCTCGCCAGCCTCTTAGCGCCCGTGACCTCCGAGAGGGACTCATCGAATTAATCCGCACACTGCGAGTATGCAGCTGGACATGGGCAAACAGAGACCTATACACCTTCCATTGCGTTTCTAGGTGCTTAAGTATCTCCTACTAACTCGCGAGAAGGCCGTGGCGTTCAATTCGAACCGCTTTGGCCCTCTCAGTCGTGTGAAGAGCGTAGCGCTAGCGCGCATGCAACGCACAATTGAACCGCGACCAATCCGCGTACGTTATTCATGATCCCTCGCGTCTATGGTACGCCGGAAGGCCACAGTTCAAATGTGGCGCGGCTCGGCGCCACCCGCGCGTGACTTAGCGCTGGCTCCCTTCTCCTCCTCCAGCGGCGTCCAGCCTCCCCCTCTCTCGCCCCGAGTCCCCATCGCTGACCTCCAGTACGTGCGTACAGCGTGCCATTCGCCACCGCGCTCTCCAAGATAGCACGGCGCGCAGCCGCAACGAGATCTAGCGACACGTCAAGAGTGTCACTGAAGTCTGAAGATACGCAGGAGATGGGCCGCACGAGGGGCTAGCAGTGCGTGAGCACTACTGGTGAGTACGCCTCTGCTTGTCATATGGATCAATAGATAATACCGACAAGTGAAGCCTCACCAAGGACGACCCTACAAACCTGGTTGAATGCAAGGGAGACAGCTCCGGTGCGCGTGTGCGCGACGAGCTCGAGCGTGGCGCAGATCACTCAAGATGCCGCCCGCTAGCATGGTTAGCATGAATTGCCTGCACTCGGATACGTCTCATCATGCGCCACCATGCCATACAGGCGCGACGAGGGACAGCGTGCCGTATACCGATGAGTCAAGTCCAAGTACGGCGCGACGTGGTATGACGAGGAGAACCGCGCGATGAGCAAGAGCTCGCCTGGTCCAGCGCAGTGCGCGAGAGCATACTAGCCCGCCCTTCCTCCATTCACTGCCTGCGCCCTCTGTCGGCGTCGCTGCGGGCGAGTACGTCGGGATCATCCACACGTCCGTACTGTCCCAGACCACTCCTGCGGAGCCTTCGCCCGGCTCGGGCGGGACAACGTGCACGGCCTCCCGTAGGAACTCGCCCGCCTCGCGCAGGAACACCTCGCCGCCGCCCTGGACCTGCTTGAAGAGGCCCTCGCCGCGCTGGAGGAGTTCGCCGGCCTGGACACACTGGAGGAGCTCGCCGCTCTGCCCCTGCACGCGCTGGAGGAGCTCCTCGGACGAACCCTGCACGCGCGCGAGCTCGCCCGCGATCGTGCTCCGCAGGGCGGCGAAGTCGGCTGCGGAGAGGGACGTCGCGCGGGCGTGCTTGAGCAACTCGGGGGGCTTCTCTTGCACGGAGGCGACGAGGTTGGGCGGGAGCGTTGCTTGGAGGCGGGCTGACTCTAGGCCCTAGCTCAACACGCATAGGCCCCTCGAGTATGAGCATGCCATACCCCAACACAAGGAAGAACCAGGCCGCCGAACATTGTGGCCTAACCCTCCAAGGAAGACTGCACAGAGTAATGGCCCGGCAGACCCCAATCCAACGTGCATAGGCCCGTCGAGGGCGAGCGCGTCGCACCCTAATTCGAGAAGGATCCAGGCCGCCGAGCAATAATCTGACGAACGGCCGATGCACCAGCAAATTGGGCCCGCAATGCGTGAGTGTGACGGGATGACGAGCTCAACAGGTATCGTAGATCGACGAGCATGCCGAGCAAGCACTCACGCAGCAGTGCCCAACGAACAGAACCAGGATGTGCATCGGCCTGCCGCGGCGGGGCGACTGCTCGCACGAGCTTGCACTCATATTGTCTAATACTTTTTTGTATGTCAGTATCAATCAGTAGGAATCGAAATATATACAGTTGATTGACTTCATTTCTTGCATCTTTGCTGAGTTGTCCGACGAGCTGGGTAATCTGACGGGCTACTGTATGACGGACCCGACTTCTGAATCGCCTGAAATTGCCGTCAGACAGAGTGCGCAATTTCCCAATGGAGCATGATATTATGATTGAGCGAGGCATAACACAAAGACAGCATGATCGGTGTGCACGGTTGAGCCTACAGTACGCACTACTAGTACTTCAACATTGGCTCCATACGACTGAAGACCTCCCAAGCAGTATCTTTGTTGAGCCGTGGGCACCCAAGTGAGCTGTAGGCCTGCTCAGCAGACGTTGCAAACTCGTGGTCAACCCAACTGAATGCTTCGTCACGGGATATGGGCAGCCGTTCGCGACGCATGGCTTCCACAGCATCCCGGGGCACAGGTATACTGATCCGCACATGTCCGTAGTCCTCCGGTGCAATCCAGAGGTCAGTAGGTGTCGTTCCTGATGGCATGAGTTTGTCACGTTGAACCCGGAGCTTATGCATGTTCCAATAGTCGCGGAAGTCGGTTAGCTCCCGTTGGACAATTTGCGGCCATATCCAGTAGAAGAGACATCTGAAGAGGAATTCGATCGTGAATGAGCACGCAAATGCAATGGCTTGAGCACTCACTCATGTAATTCGTTATTGACGTGGAAAATGCCATCCTCCTTACCTCGTACGATTGCAGCATACAGGTTGCGGCCAGTATGCTGGCGAAATGCATGCCAGAAGCTCTCGATTGGGGTATTATGGACACTCTTCATTGCGTGGCATGGAGGATATGTTGTCGTGTCAATTTCTGGAGCATACACTTCACTATAGTGAAGTGCATGGCCGTGTAATTAGCTCGACGTCGCAATCATGTGATAGAGGAACACATCGTACCGGAACGCTGTCTGCATAGCATAGAGCTCGCCAGTCTCGGAGCCTTTGTCAAACGTGAGTTGCAACGGAATACCTGGTACGAATGTAATGTGTGAGCTCAAGAATGGGCAGGACTGTATAAAGGCAGCACGTACATCCGAGCTCACTGACCCAGTCACAGTACGTATGTCCAACAACGTCTGCCTTCCGATTGTTCGGAATAATGACGAGCTGGATACATACACTTGAACACTTGTCCTTGTAACCGTAGATAGGCAGTGCGACACCACCCATTTGCAGCGCTAATGCGCCGAGCTTGTCATGCCCGTCACAATGCACTTCGTACATTGGCCCAAGCGCGACTAGCCTTCCTCGCGGAATTGCTTGAGGCTTCCGCCCTGGATAGCGGGCCGCAGCACCGTCTGGGTCATTTGTTCGCACAACCTCTCGGATGACACTCCTGATTGGGAGTAAGCAAATTTGACAGAATCTACACAGCTGGCTATCACTCGCCGTGGTAACGGTGTGCCAGAAATTGCAAGGTGTGTTTGCATAGCACCAATGCCACGCCGTCCCGATGAATCCTCGGACATCTCGTTCAGAACGAGCTGTGTTGCGGCCACACCTTTTGGAGCCTTCCGCGACGAAGGAATTCCAAAATGCTTGTTCAGATTCTTCAACAGCGTTAGACTGTATGTCATGTCAGCAAGTAATGACAAGTCACACGGACATACAGTAAGTATAGGCTGCACAGCTCACCCAATATCCAGTTGTAATTCATGGCCCAACCGCTTGATACGACGCGGGAGTGGAAGACGTTCTTGCGAATAACGATAGAGCGCAGCCTTCAAAATCTCTTCATCTGGCCCTGCATTCTTGAGTCAGAAACAGCGACATGGTATTCAAGAGAAGTAGGAAGATCATGCCTAGTACGAGTGGGATCATACAGAGGACATTGAGAAGACTTACAATCACCGTTGTCGCGACCGTTCTTCCCAGAGTGGTTGTTACTGGTTGAAGGCTTGTCTTTGAGTAAGGGATTCCGAGCCATGATGACTGCATGAGAGTGGCTATTGCCCGAGTTCGTAACGCCAGCAGCGAGTGCAAGATGTCACTTTGGCGCCCATTTGTAGGCCACAACCACAAGCGGCGGTGCGCCGGGTGCGGTGGCACGGTCCCCGTGCCTGTTGCGGCTTGCCAGCAGCCAGCTAGCCACCGCCGACTGA